CCAATAAGTAGGACGGGTTCATTGTTACGGATAGCATGTGCAACAAGGACAGAAAGGCGACGCATCGCGCGTGTCCAAACAACAGCAGTGTTGACTTTGGTCACACCATTGCTAAGTCCCTCAATATTCGACAAGCTGTCGGGACTGAACAACCGCTCTTCGTCAATCGTCACTTTGGGGCCCTTCTCGCTCATCACGGTTTCTAGGATCTTCTTGACAGCGACTCGCTCTTCCTCTTTGCGCACACGCTCTGCAAGAAGCATGTAACCATTGTTTGCAAGATCCTGCACGGTGTCTGCTTTTCGTTGTGCCCATCTGAACAAGTCTCGTAGCGTTGCGAAACTCTTCTGCTCAAAGATGCGATTCTCTTGTCGAAGTGTAGAAAGTTCCCGATAGACTTTCACGATCCGTTTACACCATGTTTCCGGGATCATAGTGCGGCGATGTAAAATTTCAGTCAACTCTTCTACCGGTATGTCGTCGAAGTGTAGTTCCAGAAATCGGTTACGGAAAGCTCGTGATAGAACTTTGCGTCCTCCATACAATCCAGCCGGATTTTGCGTGGCAAAGAGCATGAAGTCCTCATGCGGCCGAACAACTTCCTGTGTTTCCGGAATGAGAAGTTCCCGGTTGTCGTCGAGCAGGCGATTGAGGGCTTCCAGAACGTCTGTGGGTGCCAAGTTGAGCTCGTCTAGGACAATCCAGTGGCCTTCACGAAGTGCTCGCACCAGAATACCTTCCTGGAATGTGAGCTTTCCGTCAGCACCAGAGATATACGAGCCCAAGTACTCTTGCAAGTCGGTATGCTCATGATTGTTGATACGGACGAACTTGTTCCCTGATCGTTTGGCGAGATATTCGATCATACTTGTCTTACCGGACGAAGTAGGTCCTTGAATTAACACTGGGTACTTTCGTGTAGAAGCGGCTCGGATGAGGTTGTTCATGTTGCGTTGAACAAAAGGGGTGATGATGTAGTGCGACTGCTCTTCCACATCATGTACACCTTGTCGTAGCCAATAGTGGCCTTGTCTGACGTAGCCTCGACCATCCGAAGGTTGCTGAAGGGGCTTTCCGAGCTCAGCCTTCATGGAAGCTTTTTGAGGGAACAGGTGTTTGGTGATGAGTGGCGCGACTAGGTCTTCAGAAGCCTTTCCTAGGAATGTCAAGAAACTCATGTGGAAACCTTCATACAAGGCTCGACGGAGGGTGCAGAGAGGTGCAATATCCCTGGCGTATGACAGTGTTCGTGTCAATGTTCGTAGACTGAAGTGAGCTTTTTGGTCAGCGCCATCCACGAGCATATTGGCTTTGGCGAGCCTTTGGATGTCGAGATACAGTGTAGTGACATCGCGTGCTACTCGTACTATTGCTGGATCTGTCCCATCACCACCCAGATACTTCTCCACAATATTGCGCAAGCTCTTCTCATCACTGTCTGGACTCTCAACATAAAGCTCCGTGAACCGTGATCGGATGCCTGGCGGCAGATCCTTCTTGCCTACATCGGTTGCCGGGTTCATCGCGGCGAACACTCTGAAGTTGGGATGCGCGACCACTCGTTCAACGTTGCCAGTCTCTGTTAACAGTATCGATGGATTTCCATCTGGTCCTCCGCCCAAGAGATCAGTAAGCGCCTCTAAAGTATCTGAGGATGCCAAGTTGATCTCGTCGAGAAGTACCCAGTCACCATTCCTGACTGCCTTGACGATATTGCCTTCCAGAAAAGAGAAAGCAAATGCCTCTGAGCCACCAGAGAGCTGCGCCTCTAGGTCATGGAGGTCAGTTGCGAATTTCTCCCATCGAGCAGTTGGAAAGTTGACAGGTAATGAGTCCATCTTCCGCTTCTTCTTTGGCTGACCACCGTCGGGATCTGGGGACGACGTTTGTGATTCGTGCGACTTCCGGGCGGCGTCTACCATCTTCAGTGCCTCGCGCCAGAGTGCACACACGCGCTTCCACTCGCCTCTTGCGACGCGTTTCCCGAGCATTTCCATGAACCGTAGATTCTTCTTTCTCGAGAACGTAGTATCAAAGATCTCATCAAATTCGTCCTTGAGGGGAATTACTAGGCTGCGCACATTGACAGGTTTGAATCCACCAAGCAAGTCGCCACTCTCGCTTTGCTGTGACAGATTGAAAGCTACCAGTTTTCGGCCAAGCTGCTCAGCCAGATACTGAATGCATGTAGTCTTTCCAGTTCCCGTCTCACCCACTAATAGAAGTGGCTCTTGGCGATCGACTGCTACAGCTACCTTCTCGAGTAGCCGTAGAGTGTAGTCGTTGGTTGAAAACGGTCGCCCTGAGCCAAGTTTCTTCGAAGACTTATGCTTGGACAGTCTCGCTCGTCCGATTTGGATAGTACCAGATGCCGTGATCTTCGAAGGTACCTGAAGCTTGATTTCACGATTTCGTAGTAGGTGATCACGTCGCTGGGGATCGATATGTAACTCTTCAGCCACACATGACATGACCTTCAGCCGTGCGCTCTCAGTGCGGAGACTTCCCGCAAAGCAGTCGAATGCCTCCATGAATATGTCGTCCTTTTGTGCGTTGTTGAAAGATGCACTTTGTCCAAGAAGCACCGCTATCCGATCGCACCACTTGAGCAAATCTCGTGGCGTCATGGCTCGAAGCGACGTGCCGTTCTCGGATGAGAACTTTGCATCTGAGTACAGCTCCACCAATCGCGCATAGACTTCCATGATTCCGGAAAGGTGTTTCTGCAGCCCAGGATACTTGGCGTGTATCACTTGGCGGAATTCGTCCAATTGTGGCATTTGCACAGTAATTGAGTTCCAAAATCGATGACCGATCATACTCTGACGGGGTATGATCTCTTGGCCCCGTGGATTGAGGGTGCTTCGCATGGTCGCGATGATACGGAAACCACGTGCCGCTCGTATGGTCTCTCCTCTGCTAGGTATGAGCAGCTCACCACGCTCGATGAGCGGTAGAAGGGTGCTGATGACCTCGTTTGGTGCTCTATCGAGATCCTCAATGAAGATCCATCTTCCTTCTCGAACAGCCGTAGTAAGCACACCTGCGCGCCATGCGAATGTTCCCGGTTTGGCTCCGGTTGTGTACATGCCAATTAATAGTTTGGCGTCGCTCTGTTCATTCAGATGGAGGGTAACCATCTTATCCAGCTTGTTAAGTTGCCATGCGAAATGGCGGGTAAGAAGCGTCTTGCCTGAGCCTGCGAGTCCAGTGAGTAGGATTGGGCTAGATTCAAGAAGTCCATAGGCGATTTTCTTCAGGTTCTGTTCTGTAGTAGCTGTCGGAACCAGCTCAGTAGGCCTCTCCTGGGATGGTGCACCGTCTAATCGAGGCAACAGGACACCATTGACGTTGACCGTATATGGTGACAGGTCTTGTTGCACAGCTATTGCCTGAGTCACATCAGTGGAACTGGTCTGGCTCAACTTCTTTTGCAAATCTTTCCATCGCTTCTCTTCCCATAACGACAAGAACCGGTAGTCGATTTGTTGCCCTTCCCATGGGCCTTCAATCTCCCCGTCTCCAACAAAGTTCTTGATGATCTCTTGGGTTGCATAATCCGCTGTGTGCGCGTAGATGCAAAGCGTCCGTATGGCCAGATACCGCACAATGCGGCTCGAGTGGTGGAAAAGGCTCTCTAGAGCTAGTGGTCGTACATAGTGGGTAAAGTTCTTGCAGTCGTAGCTGAGGAGTCGGAAGGTTCCCAACAGAACTTCTATTAAATCCGAATCCTGAATCGCTGTGGTCGCATGATTTGAAGCGTTAGATCCAATCACTGGCGAATCTGACGTATGTGATAGAAATCGTTCCACGTGCTCTGCGAGATGAGGCGCAAGTGGTAGTAATCGTCCAAAAGCTGCAACTTTCGCGTCGGTCTTCGCGCCAGACTGTATCCACCGCGCACATAGCTCTGTGAGGAGTCCACCATGTTGAACGAAAATATCGTCCGTCGATCCAGGCTTCAGCGCTTCGGTAACAAGCGCGTTAATATTGACCATTTCACCGGTCTTGCGAGTATTAATTGCTTCCATTTCTGCAAGGACTGATTCGTGATTCGCTTTCGGGGCGCCTTCCCATAGTTTCGACGCTTCAATATGCCCGGAAGGTGGTGTTGTGGCGGTGATGTCTGAGTGCCTCGAAGTTCTCTAACTTTTTTGCGGGTCTTTGAGAACGCCAAGACGGTAACCTGATTAGTCGTAATCCGCTCCGCAAAATCTCATGATGGCAGGCACGACCACAACGTGCAATCATCATTGATCCACGCCCTCTCGTCCAGCACAATGGCAGCACCAGCATCTCGCGCGCTCAGGCGCTGTATCTGCACCGCAAAGCAGTCCGCATACGTACGACCGACGATTGGCGCCACACAGCAGAGGATACAGCGGAGATGGCAATCAGATGCGGCAGCTCCGACCAACCCAAAGATTGCGACAATCGTGGACCAGATTAGCCAATTGACTCTGTTGGAGACTGCGGACTTGGTATCAACACTAAAGGTACGGATACATCAACGTGGGGCGGAGGTGGCGGTGGCAGACAGTCAACCGAATATTGGTGGCATGCGATGAAAACCCAAAGCGATATGCCATAATAGTCGTTCTGTCTATGTCTACTGACTTGGGTGCTGATTCTGGCACATTTGGAATTACGACCGCCTCCACCAGCACGCCAAAGCTCTACACGCATATATGCTAACATTTCGACCAAAGACCCGCCTGAACATCCCCGACATGCCCATGGGCGGATTCGTCGCTGGTCCCGGAGGAGGCGCAGGCCCCGCAGCCGCAGCCCCCGTCGAAGAGGAAGAAGCCGCCCCCGCTGCCCAAGAAAAGACCCTCTTCAACCTCAAGCTCGAGAAGTTCGACGCCGGCGCGAAACCCAAGGTCATCAAGGAGATCAAGGCCATGCTGGGGTTGAGCTTGGTGGACAGCAAGAAGTTTGTTGAAGGAGCACCTAAGATGATGAAGGAGGGTGTGCCAAAGGAGGAGGCAGAGAAGATTGTTGAGACCCTCAAGGCGCTGGGTGCTACGGTTGTTATGGAGTAGGGGACGGTGCAGAAGCGAGGAAGAGACGGACACTGTATCATAGCATTGCACATGGGCGTGTACAGATATGTTTGGAATGATCATGGATGTATTCAGTATACTCAAAACTCCAATAACAATGTGGGCGTCATAAGACAAGCCCGTGGTATCTCTGCCCTAACGCCTAGCTCATGCTGTGACAATACCTTTATGGATCCGATGAACGCCAGGAATCCGGATGAACTTCCTTCCGCATACTGTTCTAGGAGCCATTTCCAAATGACAGCATCTTCGAACTCTCGCTGTCTGCATCATTCCCTGAGTCCTCTTGTCTTGCAGTAATTAGAGACCCCGCAGAAGCCTCCGCGGCAGCCTTGGCCTTCTGCCAAGCTTCAATGCTCTCCCAGTCTTTGCTAGGGTCCTACCCAAAAGCAATGACCTTCCTCCTCTCCTCCGCATCTTCCCTTGCCGTGACATAGTCATCCTCGTTGATGTCGCTAGCCTCTTCCCACAGCTTCTCCAACTCCTCATACCCATCTCCAGGCACCGCCCAAATACTCTCCCGCATCCTCTTATGTCTCTCTCTATCCTCCTCAATTCTCTGTTCAATCTGCCGTTTATCCATCCTCTGCCCACCACTCCGACTTGGTAGTGTTGTGGAGCCATCTTTGGGATTGGAGGAATCGGTTGCCATAAATGGATGTGCAACCTCTCTGGACTTTAGAACAGCTTCAAGTTCTTGAACAGTTTCCTTCAACAGGATGGAGAGGTTCTCGAGGGTCTTCAGGACTTTGCGCACAACGCGGATGTTTGCTCCTTCTTCACCCACTACGCATTCGACAACCGCTAAGATGTCTCTTTGCAGCATGCGGACGTAGCCCATTGCGCTGGGATCTCCTGAGTTGTTGTCTTTTACGGCGTATTCGCAGAGGCATTCGATGAAGAACATGATGTTTGCGCGCGTGTTCATATTGGTGCGTTCGAGCTGTTCGAGAATGCAGGAATGAAGGTCTTCGTCCAGTTCGCGATTCTTGAGCGCGTAGAACGCGGCTTTTTGGAGGGAGGTATGCGATGCGCTGAGGTGAGAGAGTAGCGTTGTAAAGCGTTGGCGGACCTCGAATGGGTCGGCCATGATGAAAGCTAAGAAAGCGTTTGGCTACTACAAGCTTGCCGGTAGTATTGTCGGTATAGTGGTCGGGGTAGTGTGGAGCGATGTGTCTTGGTGTGCGATAGCCTGCGTGGAGTGGAGAGCTTCGAGAGCTGCGCGCGCATACCATCGGCCATGGTCATAGCTCAGGATTTCTTTAAGTGGACGTGGGGAAGGCCGCCGATCTCGCGCTCCAGTAACTCAGCAGTCATCTTCCTTCGCATTTGTCCAACACCACCACCCAGCAAGATCTACAGAAGACAGTATTGAAGATGGCAAGCGCACAGGAATCCAAGCCTCTTACATTGACCGTTCTCGGTTCAGGTAGGTCGATATTTACTGTTTTCATACGTTATTCCCAGCAAAAGACCACTCGGGCGCTGCGATTAAGTTTTGAAAGAGCCTATGGTTGTATCAATAGCACTGCGAGCCGTTTGTGTTTCTGAAATATACTCGCCTCACAGAACTCAACCCTCAAGCCCTTCAACGTCTAACGCGTCTGTAATGGTGCTCGAACCCCCACTAACACAACCCCAGGAACAATGGGCATAGCGATAATGGGCGGCGTTATGTCTTCCCTGGCCTCGGCCAAAACTAAAGCCTCCCTCGACCCCTCTTCGGCCCCCAAAGACGTCCCTAACCTTTCCAACTTCATCGCTTGCGACCAATGGGCCCCCGCTGAACAAAACGTCCGCAAGGCACTCGGCCACTACAACTTCCCTCTCCAGACCCTCACAAACCAGAACCTCAAGGGTGTTCAGGAAGCAGACATTGTTCTACTGAGCTGCAAACCGCATGGCTTCAAGACGATACTAGGTGAGGAGGGTGTGAGGGAGGCGCTCAAGGGCAAGGTGCTTGTTAGCATTCTGGCCGGTGTGACTAGGGAGCAGATTGAAGCGTTCCTGTACCCAGATGGTCCTGAGAAGACGGAGAACGCTTGCCGTGTCGTAAGGGTCATGCCCAACACGGCATCTTTCGTTGGGGAATCCATGTCTGTGATTCAGACCTCGGATCCACCACTCAGTGAGGCACAGTACAAGCTTGTCGAGTTCGTCTTCAGCTCAATTGGCCGCGTTACGAACCTTCCTCCAGCGAACATGGATGCAGCGACTGCGCTGTGTGGTTCGGGCCCAGCATTCTTTGCGCTGATACTGGAGGCCGCGGCGGATGGTGCTGTGGCTATGGGCTTGCCAAGAGCGGAGGCACAGATGATGGCCGCGCAGACCATGAGGGGAACCACAGGACTTGTGCTGAACGGTGAGCACCCAGCTGTGCTGAAGGACAAGGTCTCGACGCCTGGGGGCTGCACCATCGGTGGTCTCATGTCACTCGAGGAAGATGGCGTGAGGGGCGCCGTCGCAAAGGCAATCAGGGAAGCTACTGTCGTAGCTTCGAGATTGGGTGGTGAACAAAAGGAGTTCGTCAACCACAGGCGGTAGATTTTACGGGGTTGACTAGCTTGATGTTAACTTCGTCTTGAACTAGATGTAAAAGAGTAAATGATACCACGAACAAACCACATCTTCACCATGCCGCATCGTTCAACTCGATTCAGGAATATCTTTTATTAGTATTAGCCTAAGCTAATGACAGAGCGTACAGCATTCACACGCTCTTCCACCCATCTTACCCCGCTCAGTTCATCAAAGGGTATAATACAAAGAAGTAGAGAAGCAGCTCAGCTCTCTTCCAGAATCCCCCAGGTTATCCACATTACCACTTCGAATTGCTCTTAGCCCAATCATTCCTTTATAGCACATAATAATGTCCATGTACGCAAGATCAAAAGAGCCATACTAGCGCCTCTCCCGCTCTCGCTCCATCATCTCACGTTCAACGTCGCCTTCAGTCCTTACACCCCCGCGCCTGGCCTTAGCATTCTTGCGCAGGCCGGCTGTGAAGAGGTTGGCGATGTTGTCATCACCAGTCGTTCCAGACTTCCTACGTTTGTCGCGGTGGGATGCAGGCCCCGTAGGGGGCTTGACGTCGGCTTTAGGACCCTTGGGAACAGGAGCTTCGTCATCAAAGTCATCTCTGCTGCGCTTACTAGACAGGGCTGAACGAGATGTCGATGACATACGCGAATGGATGGACTTGCTCGAACCGGAGGGTTTTTCAACGCGTTCACGACTGTCTCGCTCTCGGGCATTGCGTTCTCTTTCAGCAGCGTAGTGGTCCTGAGAAGTTTCCTTTTCCTTTGATGAAGGGCCGGTTGGGATACTCGCGGCCGAGCTGACACTGCTCTTGCGGCGGTGATCCCTAGCATCTCCACTACGTTCTTTATTGCGGTCGGCAGCCGGACCCTTGGGTGGCTGGAAAGCACGTGGGCCTGTTGGGGGCTGGGCCGGTGGGGGCATGACAGCGTTCTTCGAGCGGCCTTTGATGCTGAAGCCATTTGCTGAAGGCCCGGTCGGGGCGTTCAGTGGTGGAGACACAGCGCGTTTCTTCATCATTTGACCAACAACATCCTCTTCTTTCTCCGGTTGAGATGGCTTGTCTTTGCGTTCACGGTCATCATAGTCCCGTCGCTCGCGATCTCGGTCCTTGCGGCTACGACGCGAAGAGCGGTACTTGTCATCATCATAATCACGCTCGTCGTCTTCAGCTTCGCGATCGCGGCGCCGCCTACGCTCCTTGTCTTTGTCACGAGAGCGATCCTTTTCACGATCATAGTCATAGTCGCGGTCTCGTTCTTTACGGTCCTTGCGGTCTCTCTCACGCTCTTTGTCGCGTGATCGGTCGCGTGATCGGTCACGGCCACTCCTGTGTTTACGACGTGAGCTGCCGTCTGAATCCTTTTCGCCGTTGGCATACACCTCCTCGTCTTCGTATTTGTCTTCCTCGCGAGGCGACCGGGAGCGGTGGCGACGGCGATGCTCCTTGCTTCGGTCGCGATGTGATCGCGATGAACGGTGCTTGTCCTTGTCGCGACGGCTGCTACGATACTTGGAGTCTGCTGACGCAGTTCGCGTACGGTCACCTCGACTGCCCTTCTCATCGCGGTAGCGATCATCGTATTCCTCCTCGCGATCTTCATAGCGTGATGATCGGTGTTTGCGGTCTTTACGACTCTCATAGTCATCGTCCAATGGCGTGACAGATCTACCACGGTCATCACGGCGGGAGTTTCGGTCTGCTGAACGAGACCGCTCGCGCGGTTCTTCCCTCTCATCATCCCTCACTCTTGATCTTGACCTAGAGCGTGATGGTGAGCGTTCCTTGACGCGCATACTCTCATCGCGAAGAGGAGACCGTCTGTGTCATAGTCAGTCATTATTTATCCTGTATGTCTCACACGGATCTACTCACGATCGAACTCTCCGCTGAGGACTACCAGCGGCTACGTCTTGCGTAGACGCAATGCTCTTGGGCGGCTGCGGTGGAGCATATCGCCCGCTGTTCATGCGACTCGAAAACCCAGTGTTGGGTCGGCCTTCTCTCATCGCACGTGGTCCAGTTGGCGCGCCCGCAACGCCAACACCAATAGGCTCCATTGGCTGGCCTGTCAGAACCGTTGCAGCGCCATAAGCTCCGTTGTTGAAACCGCCACGAGGACCGTAGTTGCCATTGTATCCCATGTTCATGTTCATGGTGGGATCGAAAGGTGTATTGATGTGCTGATTCGGGAACTGATTCATCATTCCCTGGGCGAATGGCATACCATGGCCCATCATAGACTGGTTGAACTCCTGCATGTCTGCATCGCCAGAGTCTACGGTCTGTATAGGCTTCAGACCACCGTCTTGCGCCTCATCATGTACAGCATCGCCTGTGTTGTTAGTATTTTCGGCAACAGCTCCGCTCGCGACGCCAGCACCGACGCCGTCTGCAGAGTTCGGCTGTTCAGTCGATACCGGAATACCGTCGCCGGTCTCCTTACCTTCCTCAGTGGGCTCTGCGGACGCCTTCGGCTGCTCACCCTCGACCTTGACCTCAGGGGCAGTGTTAGCGATTCCGTCAGGCGACTGGCCGTCACGCTGCGTAGGATGAATCGCGTCAGTTTTTGATATCCAAGTTTTGCCGATTCCCTTGAATGGGTTCGGTAGCTTTCGTTGATGGGTTGAACGTACGTTTTGCGAAGGACCGCCGCGACTACCCGGACGTCCAGGCGCATTCTGTGAACCAGGACCAAAGCCACCTTGGCTACCATTCCTGTTGTTTCGCTGAGGATTTGCTCCTCCTTGATTGGCATGGAAACGATTCTGGTTCTGGTTTGAGAAATTATTCTTGGGGAACTGGTTCATCATCTCGGGATATGCTCCAGATTGATTATAGCCACCCATCTGATTGGGCCCGCTGAAGTTTCCATAACCACCGCCCATGCCATTCCACCCATTGCCATAGCCACCACCATATTGCATCATGTTCATGGCAGACATATCGTTCATGCCCATGCCCATGTTCCCTCCAAAGTTGCCGTACATGCCGTTCATACTGTTGAAATCTGGATAGATGTTAGTGGCCTGCTGGATAGATGGGGGAGAATGCAAAAACATACCCATAGGATTCATGCCATTCCAGCCACCATTGGCCATCATGTTAGGCATGCCGCTCCAGGCCATACCGTTGTTGAAGCCACCCTGATTGGGAAAGCCGAAGCCCATCTGGCCTTGCATGCCGTTCATCGCCGGATTGTTGCCCATCATGCCATTTGCTCCATTCGCGTTCTTTTGCTCGTCGGTCGCGCCGTCTACAGCTGCCTGTTCGGTGCTTTTGGACGCGTTCTGGGAAGCCGTGCTACCACGTCGCTCGGCGTCGTTCTCAAGAGAAGCATTGTCCTAGCTTGGTCAGTAAAAGCAAAAGGTGGAATGGAAAGCATCTCATGTCATTGGCACGTGTGGCAACCATGTTTTGCAATTGTTTGACACCCGACGGTCTCTCTTTTGCTTGTCTTTTTCTTCTTTTCATTGTACAGTACCAACAGATCCAAGTGAAAACGGAAGGAAAGACATTGGGAACCTACCTCGTTCGGTTGGGCCGAGGCAGAGCCGGCGCGCTTTCCAGCCTCTTCCGCGTTCTCCGCAGAACCAGCAGCTTGTTCAGCGACGCCGTCCTCCGCCTTTAGTGTATCCTCAACACTGTCTACGGGTTTCTCTGCGCCATCGCCTACCGGCTGTACTTCAGGCGCGGCTGGTGTAACCTCCACGGGCGGGGTAGCTGCCTGTGCCGCGGCTTTGGCCTCTTCCTTCTTCTTCTGCTTTTGGAGCCACACTCTCATCGTATTTCTCAGAGACTTGTTCACTGTGCATGATTCGGCTTCGAGTGGTGAGTGGTCGCATGAGGGACACGTTGTCGGGAACTGAAGGTTTCCTTGACCTAAACCATGTCAGCACCTGTGATGGTCCGATCGCAGAGATTGTTGTACGCACATGATGAGCATATTGACTTGGCGCAGCAGATTAGTTTGTATGAGTCGAATGCAAGCTGGTTGCAAAGGGCGCAGAAGAAGTTCTTAGGGAAGACAGTGGTTGGGAGCGAACTGCACATATTAGTATTGGTCGTGCTAATTGGAAAAAGGCATACGTACAGCGCAAGCTCTCTCAGCTCGTCAGCGAGCGGTGCCGCCTTGGGATCCGCCGCGGGGTTGGCCATGGTGAGGTCCTACGGGTTCGCGACTTCGGGTAAGGCTGCCGTGTAAGAAGATGAATCGCAGTCTGCGCCGGGCTTTACTCCATTAACATCGAAGAGAGAAATGACAGACAAGAAGCGACCGGTTTGATGTGATCCTTCGATGCGGGCGCAGGCAAGCGGGCGGCGTTGATTGCAGGCGTTGTAGTCGTGTTTGCGGAGTGACAGCTAAGTGAGTCGCGGAAGTTTTCTGGAAGTCGCGACCGACCGATAGGTCCGTGCGCGGCGCCACTAATCTCCGTCACGTGCGAACTATCGTTTGCTCAAGCAAGACAATGCTCGGGTTTCACTTCTCACTGAACACGCGCGATTTGCGTCCAGCAGCGTTCGGGACTCTCGCATGTTTCTGGTCAAGGCTGGAGCAAAGGAAATGCGGTACCGTCGTGTGGCGCTAAGCGGTTGTGGCTTAGCTGGACCCTTGTCAGCGTCATCGCCATTGGCGTTTCGAGACACCGTCGCTGGGTATGCCATTAGCTGACATGCTTCATCCATATCCTATCTCATCAAGATGATACTGAGCCAAATCTCTTACTTGGACTGTGTAGCTTTCCTCGTCTTTCTTGCGCCTCAATTGCTGATCCAGATTGGCATCATACCACTCTTGACATGGCTCATCCCAGCTCTGCCTTCTCTCGGTAAGTCACATTACTCTCCATACGTGAGTGTACTGATACTTATAGCTCCTAAAGCCATCGTAATTCCATATCAGTTCATCCGCGAACGCTTTCTCGTGCCACATGAGAACCGCGCGCCCTTCGTCAGAAAAGCAACGCCATTTCAAGATCTAGTCATCCGCTTTGTTCGTTATGCTTTCGCCAACATGCCCGCCTTTTTAGGGCGGGTGTTCTTTTCAAAGGCTGTCTCACTCCCCTTCTTAAGATTTCGCATGTTGAGACACGGCATTGTCACAAGTCCGATCAGATGGACTGAGATCAGAAGACCGAACTTCGGAGGGGTATGGATCGTGCACGACCGGCAAGAGCAGCCAGATGTAATCGTATACTATTGCCACGGTGGCGGCTTTTCCATGGGCAGCAGTTTTTTCTACATGGAGTTTCTGCTAGCGTGGGTCACTTTGCTAAAGTCTGCCGGGTATCGCAACCCAGCTATCTTCGCTCTGGAATACACCTTGGTACCGGATGCCACATATCCCACCCAGCTCCACGAGACGGTCGCAGGTTACGAATATGTTCTATCACTGGCTCAGTCTTCGACTCGCGTAGTTGTTGGCGGAGATTCTGCAGGTGCAACCCTCATCCTGAGTTTCTTACTACATTTATCCGACCATACCGAATTGCGTCATCAGAAACCGGGTCTTGCCATCATGATCAGCCCATGGGTGACGATAGTATCGCGCGAAAACCGGAACACGGCGTCTGACTATCTGAACAGCTCATCTTTAGAGCTGTACGGTCGCCAGTACATTGGCAACAAAGTATCACCAGAGGATTCAATGGTTTCGCCTGGAAAGTGTAAAGATGTTAAAAAATGGACGGAAGCTAGCCCCGAACAAGGCTGGTACTTTCTCTATGGAAGCGAAGAAGTTCTCGGACCAGAGACCAGGAACTTGATCCGTCAACTCGGTAAAACAGGAAAGGAAGTTGATAGCTGGGAAGAGCCAGGTGGCATCCACGCATGGCCTGTTGCCAGCTTATATCTTGGGGAAACAAGAGAAGAGAGACTGAGTGGTCTAAAGAGCATCGTGGAAGCTATCAAGGATAGAATACATTGATGGTATGGGTACACCAGACCAATGTACTTGAACCTTTATCTGTGGTAGCATCGTGAAGGTAATTCGAATCCAAGCTCCATTGCAGCGCGCTGCAGTCTTTCGATCCTGTTCATTTCTTCCATATCCCACAAGCGGTTTACTGAGCGCGTGTCGGTGTTCTGTTTTCTCAACGCAGCTTCCGAAAGAGGAACCGTCTTAGTGAGGCTGTCAAGGTTATCAGACAATGTATAATGATGGGCTAGAATGTCTAACATGGTAGATGACGACGCCATCTGACGAGCATTAGTTGACACATTTGTCTTAGTTACGCCCGTATTCTGGCCAGTCATTTCTGGACCGAGTTTTGAAGTCGGATTGGGTGGTGAAAAATCTCTGGGTTGGCTATATAGGTATGTAGGTTTCGATTCGCAGAAGCTGGATATATAACTTCAAATTTGAGCGGATATGCCTCCACGTCTAATATTTATAACTCCCAAGCATACTACTCATAGCGCCGCACTCAGTCTTACTCTTTCGCATACGTTCGACGTCGTCGTCTCCAATCATGGTGTTCAGACTTGCCGCCCAACAAAGCTAGCTTCTTACCCCGCCAGGCTTAGGCCATTTCTCGTTCTCTCATAGGGTAAAGCGCCCGTAGGATCCAGCCATAAACCCCCGTCTCTGCATGAGATGACCCTGCAATATGCACCCACCCTGCTACCTCCATCACCATGCTGCCGGTGGCGACCACCCGTGTTGCGCGAAGCACATGCACGCCAGCTGACACAGAGTGTAGCGCAAACCGGCCGACTTTAGACGCTTTTCCCTCGGCTGAGCCTTCATAGTGTTCGCCGCTTATACATACCTAGCCTTTAAAGATTGGTTTATCGCATTCGAATAGGATTGTTTGTTTGAATTGGTTTGAGGAATACAGGTGCGGTTGTAGCTCATGATGTCCTACATCGGTCCTTGCCAGATTCGGTGTACGTATGGTATCGTAACGTTCTTGGCGTGCAAAGACTGAGTCGGTCTGTCACCCCACTATTTGAATTTGGCGCTCTTCTGCTGATCGAGCGTCGTTGAGGAACGGAGGCTCTTAAGTTGCGACTGATGCTGACATCCTTACACATGGGAAAGGCGGATGTTGAAAACCATAGGGGAACGAAAACCCGCACCGTATACGAGGGAAAAACCGATCAGGTATAGATATAACAAGCTTTACCTTGCAGCCTACATTATCTTCTAATTAGAAAACGTTAAAGATTAACAGTATTGTAGTCTTCTAGGTTTTTAATCTATATCTATATGCTCTTAATATGCTCTTTTACAGTAAGAAGGAGTACTCTTAAAGGGGAAGTTTGTTTTTTCTCTTTAATACGGTGCCCGTACCAAATGGAGGTCAACATGAGATTGTCTGCAGTTCTGGAACTTGAATTTTCTCCTTGTTTAATGGTATTTATGGTATATGTCACTTATCTACGCAGTCATCTTAATCACAGCCCGTCCAGCAAGCTTTCCCGCATTCATATCCGCACAGAATCGATCGATGTCCTCTAACCCACCATGCGTCAAGATTGGATGTACCAAGCCTCGTGCAGTAAAATCAAGCGCCTAGATTCTCGTTAGCCAACACTTTCAGCATATCCAATCACAACACGACACTTACTTCTTCAACATCCTTCAATGTACCCACTACACTTCCCACAACATTCAACTTTTTCAAACACATTACGATGGGGCTAGCACCTGCGACAATAGTATTATCCTTCGGCAGACCCACACATACCATCGTACCGTTCGGCCTCAGCAGATGTGGTGCTTGCTCGTATCCTGCTCTCGTGGCGGCAAAGACGATGACTCCATGAGCACCGTAGGTAGTGATCTTCATGATTTCAGATGTGATGTCTGAGCACGTCGTGTAGTCGATAAACTTTTCTGCGCCGAGAGAGAGGCAGAGCTCGCGTTTGGCGTCTCCGCCGTCAATTGCAATGACGCGCATGCCCATATGTTTGGCGTATTGGACGCCGAAGTGACCGAGGCCTGAGTTATGTCAGTGTCTCTAGAGACTGGATGCGCCTCTGTCTTCTTTTTCGAATACATCAAAGAAGCATGTGTTTACTTACCACCACCAGCTCCAGGAATAACAAGCCACTGCCCAGGAAGCACCTTACTCCTCTTACACGCCACATACGCTGTTACACCGCCACACATGATTGGACCCGCCTCTTCATCCTTGACGCCATCAGGCAACCTCGTCGCATACCTCGCATCTGTCAAGGCGTACTCTTGGAACGTTCCAGCAATAGTGAAACCACTATTCAATTGCTTTGGGCAATGACATTCATCTTGACCGTTGGTACAGAACTCGCACTTCCGGCATACGGACGCGATCCACTTGATACCAGCACGATTGCCAATCTGCCAAAGATCTTGCACGTTAGAGCCAACGGCTACGACAGTACCAGCGCCTTCGTGACCCGCAATACCGTTTGTACATTCTGCCATCTTGAAGTCCCATTCATCGTGAAGCAGGGACTTGTCAGAAGCACATAGGCCGGTGTAGTTGATCTTGACGAGGATCTGATCGGGGGATGGTTCTGGAACGGGAATCTCCTTGATGGTGGTTGTCGCGCTATCACCAGTGCCTTGCTTGATAGCGGCCTTTTGTGTTTTGGGTAATTGCATTGTGACTTCGTCCCGACGATGACGGTTGAGATGAAGAAAATGTGACTTAACGAGAAGACGGTTTGGGTAGCAAGGTTCAGAAAGCGAGACGAAGGGGCATATATAATGGAAGATGGGGAATACGTATACGACCACAAGGACCCGACATGCAGTGCCTATGTGCGGGGTTCAGAAGCAACGCGCCCTTTCCTTGGCCTTCGTACGGGTAGCTTAAATTGACCCATCCAAGTTTCGAATGCAAAAGCGCTTTCGACCCAAAATACGACGATCATTCCATCGTGGCTAGGCTTATGCGCTTGCAACTAATTGTACATCGTGATTAAGTTCTCGTGATAACGCGGCATCGCAATTCGGGAGGGAAGATCGGATAACGCACGTTTATTTCGCAGCCTGCGGAGAAAATCCGCAGAATGCAAGAACCGAGGTTGAGGGGGACTGAAGACAGTGGAGTCGCGGAAAGAGTTAGGAGTTAGCGTCCAAGGCGGGGTACAAACGCGAAACTGATCGAATAGGATTGAGCCTCTGTTATATGGCGATTCGCAATACCTCAAGAAACTGCAAGTTAGATTTTCTTCGATGATTGTTGATGTTGTTGCTGCTTTCCCACTGCAGTGTCTGGTATTTACGAGGGGTTGAACCTCAGCTCTTCTCGCCTTAGAGCATATCATAATCATACAGCCTTCTTTCAAGCATATGCCGAAAACTGTACGCCGACCAATGCAGTCCTCTCCTAAACCTAAAACGCCATGCTAAATTTCATATTGTCGTCCTCCTTACCATGCAGTGATATCCTCAACTTCAGCCTCACCAAATGTACTGGTCTTGGTAGCAGTCATACCAGTATCGCTCTTGACGGTTTCTACATTTGGCGTTCTGTTCATGATTTCTGGGAGCTCAGTATTCAAAAAGCCCAGCAGATGTTTGTTTACCTGCTCAAATTCTAGAAGGAAAGCGTCATGACCATCCGGGGAGTCGATGGTCTTGAGCGTGGCTTTCGGAATACAAGCGGCCAGCTCCTTCTGTTCGGCAAATGTAAAAAGGCCATCTGATTGTATACCCAAAACAAGGGTGGGCTGTTCGATCAAAGAAAGCGCATGATGAAGGGCCGATACTGGGTCCAGTGTGTCGGGGGTCTCGCCCTCAGGATAACGGTAACGAGATACGTCGTGTGTGTCCAGCTTTCTAGTGATAGCGATGTAGCAGTTGGCGTCGAAGCGCTTGATGAACTTGTCGGCTTGGTAACGGAGGTATGATTGTGCTGAGAAATAGTGAGGGGCTAAGGGTTTCGAGGAGCGAGGGAATGCGCCGTTGCTACTTGTGGAGCTTGTGCGTTGCAGGTTCGGCGTCCCAGGGCCCGACGCATCGTGGAATTCGAGATCAGCCTGTGCCGCTGCAGAGCCAGGTATGGCGGTACTGCTGTTTGATCGTGACATAAGACGCGGCGATCCAGCATTCTTGTGGCCGTGATTATGTATAGCCCAATGTTCGTGCGAAGGATTTGATGGGGTCGTCGGGCGCGGTACAGTATTGATGCTCTGTTTCTTGGACAGGTCTGGCGTGTTGCGCCCAAATCTCGATTCGAACGAATCGCGGCTCCGGTAGGTCAACAGGGCCGACATACGTGCTGCTCCAAGCCCAGTCGACGGAGGGTCTTCGTATGAGTAGTAGCCATCGTCGTATTTGGGATCGCTGTAGATGCTCTGCCGTTGCGCCTCGCCCCAGCTGATACCCCATGCGCTGTAGCGAGCCGACGTGGCTATCGGGATGATGGTTCTGACATAGTCTTTTCCAAAGTATGCAAACTCGAGAACAAGCATACCGCCCATAGACCCTCCAATAACTGCAGCGATCTGCTTCACACCGAGATCATCCAAGATCAGCTTGAAGACACTACGCCTGTTAGCGCTGTCCAAGCATAGGGCTCGGAGCATGTTTGACTCACTTGACATCGTCTCTCACAGTTGTCAGTGGGAACTCGGGACCGTATGGGCCCAGCGACGCGTCGCCGTCCTTTGCTGTGACGGGACTTGCACTGCCGTATGGACTGCCGAGACTGTTCATACATACCACGAAGAAACGCGAGATGTCGAAAGCCTTTCCAGGTCCTCCTAGCAACGGACCCCACCAATCGCCAACATCAGCGCTTCCTGTGAGCGCATGGCATATCACCATGGCATTGTCTCCGCTGGGCGCGAGGGTACCGTACGTCTTGTATGCAACGCTGACATTCTGTAATACAACGCCAGATTCGAGCGTGACTTGCGGTATGACAGCGAAGGTTTGATCAGGAATGAGGTTGGCGAACGGGTTCTCAGGTTGCGACGACACCGTCCCTGTAGCATGTTAGTTTGGATGATCAGGACCAGAACGCGACGAGAAAAGCTGTCTTTGGAGTCGGCATCATCGCCCGAAGCAAGTCACGGCAAGCAGCAGCCATTTGCTATGTTTGCGTGTGACGATATCACCATACACGAGACACTCCGATTGCACCGTGTCACGACTACCTCGGAAGGATTGCGACGGTAAAAAAAAGTTCAAAGGATACTCACTGTATTTCTTGGATCCATTGGCGGTTTCAGCGCCTAGCCTTTGAGAATCCATGATGGCGATATTGAATACGTTCAAGTAGAGAAATCTGAGGCCTGCGTCGCAGGAAGTGGGGCGTGTTTATCACATGGCGGGGAGTCATCTCTCTGGTGTTGAGTGATGCTCGCGCATTGCCGCTAGACGAGGCTCGCCAAGACGATGACGTGCTTTCGGCAATTCGCGTAGCTTCCCCTACAGGAGGATTCTCTTGACGGACCGAACTTCAATCAACACTCTTTTGTTTCAATTCCCCAAGAAGAAACCTCGCCACCCTAAGCTCCACAAAATGTCGAAGCTTTTCCGGTCCGTCGTTCATGTCCAAGCGCGGTAAAAAATACTCCAGCTATTCCACGAAGTGTCGGCGTAATCGCTGTCTGTGTCACCAACGATCAGCCAGAACTCTATGCTAGACTGACCTGTAGAGATGTTTGCTAGTGCCCACATTCTGTCTTGTCGCTTCAGTACCCCTTGCCATGCCCAGTCCAAGATTCAGGCTTTTGATTGATCGAAGTTCGACGGTACTTTGTTTGACAACACTACTACACAGACTTCCAAGAGATCATGTCAGCACCGCAAACTTAAGCCATACACTCGGCGCTTAGCTCCACGTGTTCGACGACACAATCATCATCTATTTCCCGAAAGCGTAAAGACCGTCAAACAAATGGTGCGATTGTGATCAATCGTCCTACACACCACAGTAACCAACTCTACGTGCTACACGTGAGATGCAAACCTACAGCCAACACTGGGAAATCACATAAGGTTCGAGACGGCGTCATAAGGGAGCATATATCTATCAGTGGCCCATCATAGGACGCTCGGATAATGAGTTGTGAAGCGACTAACCTATGGTCCAAAATGGCACCTCTTTTGTCCAGCCGAGGCCAGAGCTTGATCTTCACTTCCAAGGCCTTGGATCTCCATCCCCAACTGTTCACTCAAGTCCCAAGATCCGATCAGCATTGCCAACATCACTTAGAAGAAACAGCAACACCCGATACGACGGAAATACCATGGTACAGGGAGCACCCCTTATTAGCAATCGACTCAAGACAATTTGAGACTATCAAGTGGACGAGCCTAGAGAGAATACATAATTCAGTCGATGGTTCGAGGTTCAACAAAGCACAACGCAAGCGAGGAGGACTACTGCGGTCACCAACATCAAGCTGTGCTCAGGCCATCAACGCCTTCGTTATGTCTCCCACAATAGCGCGCGATGTTCGTCGAGAGATGGGCCGGCTAAAAGCGCGCGTGCAACACGAAAGAGATCGAAAACGAGGACGCGTGTTCAACATCGAGATGAGCAACTATTTGTTCAAAACAGAGGAGCAAACCATTCCTGAGGTCATCGGTCCTGAACGCAAACAAATCACTTTTGTCAAGGAAGAGGATCGGGAGTACATTCGTGAAGACCGGGCAGGTACTCCTCATATGAGCGAATTGCAGGCTGACGACGATTTGGTACCTCCGTCCAGCGTAGAAGAGCTCAGTATGGGTGGCGAAGTAGACGCATTAGCGATGAGTTGGTATGATTGCAATGCTACCACTATACATTGCCATAAATCCGACAGGTAGTCTGGAGGCGCTGATCGTTCGGGACTGTCAATTTGGTGGGCTCGTTGAATTCTGCGGCGAACTTGTGAATTGACCCGAAGAGGATTGCCCACAGCTTAAAACAGAACAGATCAAAGCGGCGTCCCACGGCTGGCGCAAGAGTACTAGATAATAATGCGCATACCACAATTGGGCTGATTTATTTCATCACGAGACCATAATTCTACAAAAGAAGAATTTTCTGGCCTTCACCATGTGCATCTGACAGTGGCACCTATTCGTGAGAAGAAGACGATTGAGGATATGAGAAATGGAAGGAGCTGAACGATGACGCCAAAAACGCACGCACCTTACGCTAACACGCGCCACATGTAGTTTGCGCGTGGCACTAGCTCTTCCTGCTCACCCGAACGCGTCCTTACACCAATATCAACCATCATCATTGACATGCGATGAGACGGGTAGTAGTGACAGGCTTAGGGCTTGTAACCCCTCTCGGATTAGGTGAAATCATGTAGATCTTTCCCCGAGACTTTCCAGCTAAATGAGACAGGTGTTCGACAAACATGGAAGCGTTTGATCGACGGCCAATGCGGCATCATTTCCATCAAAGATAGAAGCTCAGAATTCGCATTACTACCTAGTCAGGTGGCTGGCTTAGTTCCTCAAGGCAGCAAAAGCGATGGCAAATGGAACACGAAGGAGCATTTGAGTCCTACTGTAATTGCCAACATCTAGGCATCTTCTGGTTAATCCTAATCATATTGTAGGATGAACGTCGCATGGCGCGCTTCGCACAATATGCCATGGTTGCATCTGAGGAGGCTTTGAATGATGCTAGCTGGTTTCCGAAGAAAGAAAACGATCTTGAGGCCACAGTGGGAAAATTCAACCAGACCTGAGCTTACATCTTACTAACACTTTACCAGGGAGTATACATGGGATCTGGCATTGGCAGCCTAGATGACGTGTACGATACCACAGTTGCTTATGAGAAAGGCGTACGTTGTTGCAGCTGCCTTATCTGATTGTCGACTAAGAAATATCAGGGCTACCGAAAGGTATCCCCACTCTTTGTTCCACGCCTGTTAATCAATCTCGCTGCGGGCCACATCTCTATGCGATATGGCTTCAAGGTGCCTGAACCCTGTCCTGTACACTATCATCAATGTTGACTATGATAGGGGCCAAACCACGCGGCAACCACAGCGTGCACGACTGGAGCACACAGCATCGGAGACGCTTCACGACTGATCCAGTTTGGTGACGCTGATGTGATGATCGCTGGCGGAGCTGAATCATGCATCCATCCTCTGGCCATCTCGGGGTTCTCTAGAGCCAGGAGTTTGGCCACCGAGTTCAATGATCGACCATTAGAATCAAGTCGGCCCTTCGATCGAGAACGGGATGGATTTGTCATAGGAGAAGGAGCTGGAGTTGTGATACTTGAAGTACGCGATCACCCTCTGCAGATTTGTTTTATCTAACAAATTGTAGGAATTCGAACACGCGAAGAAACGAGGTGCGAATATCTATGCTGAGGTCGCGGGCTACGGACTATCTAGCGACGCATACCACATGACGGCACCTCGCGAAGATGGTCAAGGACCACGTCTTGCTATGAAGCACGCACTGCGGCACGCTGGTATCAAGCCTAGTGCTGTCGATTACGTTAACGCGCATGCTACAAGTACCCCACTGGGTGATGCTGCGGAGAATCGAGCCATCAAAGAGCTATTGCTGGGCGAAGATGGAAAGGACGCCGCTTCTAAAATCAACGTGAGCAGTACGAAAGGTGCAATCGGGCACCTTCTCGGCGCTGCAGGTAGCGTAGAGTCTATATTCACGATTCTCGGGATGCATCATGTAAGTCAGGCGTGCTAATATGCGTGGCACAATGACTGACAGTGACTAGAACACTCTACCTCCGACTCTGAATCTTCAAAACCCAGGCGATCCAGCGGATGAATTCGATTGCAATTACGTCGCCAATGCTGCTCAGCAACACAGCGTCAACGTCGCGCTCTCAAACAGCTTCGGTTTTGGTGGCACCAACGCATCCCTTTGCTTTCGCAAGATTTGAGAAAAGGGTCCTATGATAATATGCACTGTACGAGCTCTTGATCGTCACATATGATGCCGAGGCTTTGTGAAGTCGCGATCATTAGTACATCACGATGCTAATTACCCCGCCAGGGTCACGATAACAGCTGCTAGCCCCACTTCGCGTCATCTGCATCCCACGGTGCTTCGGCGGGAGCCGCATCCTCAATATTTGTCTTACAAGCTTCGTCGTCTCGACTCTTTCAGACTCCTTTTTCCTTTCATCGGACCTAGTGTCGCCCTCCTTCCTGTTTGTATCACCCTGGCGAGCATTCTCAAGTAGAATGGCGACTTCCCGCCCCTCGTCAATCGCGGGTAGCGATGCAGAAGCCAAACCATCATTCTTCCGCAACGCGTCGAACAAAGCATCTACATACCATGCGCAGATACCATACCTAAGGAGGCTTCCATTTCCCGTAATCGCAATCATCATCACGCTCATCGTAGTGAACCTTTTAGTTTGGGCGGCAGTTGGTATCGTTCTCGTACGTAGAGAGATCTAGTCTGAGTCGTGTTGATTGGGTAAGCTGATTATCCTTAGCATTGGCACACGCCTCTGATATCAACCGCAATTCTCTCTTATACTCTAGGATTGCGCCATGCCCTGGACGCGGATCACATCTCAGCTATCGATCTCATGACTCGTCGCCTTATTGCAGCAGGCCAGCGTCCAGTGACAGTTGGAATGTTCTTCAGTCTTGGACACTCTACCATTGTCATCATCACATCACTCGTAGTCGCAGGCACTGCAGCAGCCGTTTCAGACAAGTTCGGCAATTTTGAGCGCGTTGGTGGCATCATCGGAACTTCTGTATCTGCTGCTTTCCTGCTACTCCTTGGTCTCATGAACATCTACATTCTGTACAAACTCATCGTTCAGATGCGAAAGATGATCGCGAGTGATCCCGGAAGTGAGCACGAGGAGTTCAAGATTCAGGGCGGAGGATGCCTCCTTCCAATCCTGCAGAAGCTCTTCAAGTTGGTCGATCGACCCTGGAAAATGTACCCTCTTGGTGTGCTCTTCGGTCTTGGATTCGACACTTCCTCTGAGATCGCTATCCTGGGGATCAGCTCGATTCAAGCAACAAAGGGAACCTCCATCTGGCTAATTTTGATCTTCCCGCTGCTCTTCACTGCCGGCATGTGCCTTCTCGACACGACAGATGGCGCGCTGATGATGAGTTTGTATACCAGCACACAACTAGCGCGTGACCCCATCGCCATTTGTTACTACAGCATTGTACTCACAGTCATCACTGTTATTGTCGCGACCATCATCGGGACAGTACAGTTCCTCAATCTAGTACTTAACGTTGCTGAGCCACACGGCAAATTCTGGGATGGCGTCGAAAAGCTGGGTGACGCTTGGGACATAGTTGGTAAGTTGATCAGTCAGGTCAAGGAGGCGCTGTACTAAAAGCATGTAGGTGGAGCGATTTGTGGCACATTCATCGTGTTTGGTGGTCTCAGTGTTTTGTTGTACAAGCCTTGGAGACGGCGTATCGATCGCAAAAGGGTCAACAACGCGCATTTCGAGCCACTACCGCAAGAGAACGAGATTACTGAACCGGACGAAGAAAATCCCCGAGAAGTGCCCGCATCGATCACGACATATACAAAGGATGTGGATGTCAATGTTGAGCCTGTTGAGGCTACAGACATTGCTGGGCCTGCACACCGTTGAACATTATCGACATACGATGTGAGGAGAGTCGGCCAGCAGAAGATTGTGGAAACAAAACAAAAAAAGGTTGGATTCTTTTTGACTGTAACGCCTTCGCGCCGATGCCTTCTGGTCCATCCCATGAAGCAATACTGGACCGAGCGTCTATATCATCCAACCATACCTAGGTAAGGTGTCTACAATGCGACGTCCGCCCTACGAGCGCCCTGCACCAAACGCCATGTCCGATCTTTTATCCAATACCATGTTCCTCTCACAACTACCCATTCCCATCAACGTATCACTCAGTGTCCATCGAATTGCGAGCCCATACACGTCAGGTCGATGATACGTCCGGCGGGATCTGTTCGAGGCGCTACCGCAGCCTGAGGGACATAGGAGACAGCTGTACAGTCATGCTTTACTTGGCCATTCGAGGCATTGGAGCACGAGCAGTTCGCCAATGTCCTAAACATGCGTTAGGAAGGCATAATACATGAAAAGGTACCACGCTTACGATCGAACATCCGGCTCATGAACAACGGTGGTAGGTCGCAACTGAGTGCCGTGTTGTGTCTGTGCATCGATGATGTAAGGCATGATTGCTGACTCGCCGGTCGATAGAGGTTGGGGAAGTTTATGAGCTCTTGGCTATAGAATGAAGATGATGTAGAAGGAGGCCACCGCCGCCCTCTATTTAAACATGCACACGTCTGAAGGACTCACTCTCACTACAAAACTCTCGCGCCATACCATCGACTAAAGCTTTCTCATTCTATTGCCACGAGCACGCGGAAGACGCTGGATGCAGAGCACAGACAGCACCAGCTTGCCCACACAGCAGAGGCGCAACCAGGGTGCCGGTCCAGTGTGTAAAGAGAGTTGCGGGTGGAGGTACGCGGGCGTATCATTTCGCCCCGCTTTCCTCTGGTTTGACGTGGATTTCCACTTACGGTTGCGTCTCGAGGAACTACAGGGTAAACGGCTGGTGCGGTCTGTGCGCATCGACGGTTTTCCCTCGCCATGAAACGCCGCACGGCTACATGACTGACCAACGTAGACCTAGTTCATGGCCGCATCCGCGTCGCCTGGCGAGTGTCATGCATACCACCTGACGCCCGCCATGCTTGCCCGCGTCATCTCCTCTAGTGTACAGTAGGCGCAGATCCGCCAACTCAGGGGCGCAACCGCATGTCAACTGTCATGATTGGAGTGGAGACGAGTTGACTGGACTTGATACTTGGAGGTTTCTCTCGCAGACAGAGGACGCACCGTCTTCATGGGCCGGACGAAGAAGAGACACGATCCAGACAGTTCATAAGATCAGTTAGAGCAGGCATGGACTTGTGTTAATGATGGTTCTTCCGTCACCAAATGTTACGGTAGACCACCCGGAATGCTGCATAGAGCTGGGACACAACCTGGTATTGGATCAGCCGGCTGCGGTGCATCCTCCAGAAACTTCTGACAGCAAATTTCCGGTACGCACGAGGTCCGGATTGCCATAAAGAAGGTGACAAGGTTGCACGCAAGTTCGCAGGGCAGGACGCGCGAAAAGGGCAGGATGCGTGTGAAGGGCAGGACTCCGCGCGACAGACAGGGTTCAGTGCGAGAGACAGGGTTTCGCGCAAAGGCCCGCAGGGCAGGACGCACGCGAGGCGAGGCGACGTTGGCGGAACGCCCCAAGAGACTATCAACACCTGGAAGGGGAACCCACGTTATGAGATCAACCACGGTGGGGCCAGGTTTGAGCTTTACCGTTGCAAGGATACCTAGAAGTGGGGAGTGTTTTCTTCTGACTGGCTGAGGAAGGGGAGGGCAAGGTGATGGGTGGTGGGCGGACAGTTGCCTACAAGTTGAAGCAGGCACAAGAGCGGATGCACGACTATCTGCAGACAGGGTGCGTCAGGAAGCAGGGATTGTAGCGCTCGCTTTACCTGGATACGCCCCGCAACACGGTGCCGAATCTGCTCGGTGTGAGGGCAAGCATGCTTGTCAAATCGCTGGCCCAGCAATATCTAGACGAGTACTGTAACCGCAGATCCGGACGTGGGCGGAGATGGGAAAAGCAATCATGATTGTAGCTTGACTAGACGCATATTTGAGCGGCCAGGCGTCAACAGTGCAGCAATGGCGCAGGTATTCTCCGTTCGTAACGCTCATACTCTCCCTGTAATTACCCGTCCTTACTCCTTCTACCGTAATGGGTTCAACGAATACTCATGACGATCCTATGGTGCATTCTGGCTGCTAGGCCAAACGTCCATGTATCGAAACTTGACCAAGTTTGCCAAGGGCATTCTTGTAGCGTATAGGATTATAGCGGCATTGCGTACCCGACGCTCCGTGCGGTGCGCCATATGCCTTGCAAGCACATCTGAGAAAAGTTCAGGGCAGAAAGCATTCACTAACCACGACTGAGCGTGTGTGTCGGAACACATGCATTACGAAGAGGGATGTAGCAACCTGTCTTCGATAGACCCCGAGGTTACTAGAAGTTTGCATATCCACTTTATCTTACAGTTAGATGCATCTGTGCCTGAAATTTAGACGAAGACAAAGGTACAACCACTCTGAACTTCGCTACTCAAGCGCCCCAGCCCTCTTCTCCAGTCCCACTCAAAACTGACACTTACCACGTTCCGGGAAGTCCTTCGTTCTTTGCTCGTACCTTGCTTCATCAGGACCGATTAGACGCACAACATTGTAACGATGATCCATCTGCCCAAACACTTTGGTGCGTTCGGCTAGAATTTCATTGTTCGTGTAGCCGTGGAGAACAGCCGGAGTGGTGTCGGATTTTCAACTTGGGTCGGGCAATTCCAAGACAGATATTAAGAGATTCCTGTTGTTTATACCCATCTAGCTCTTGTACTTGTTGCAGATCATTGGACCTGTGAAAGCGAGCGTTGATCGAGAATCTTTTTCTTTTGCAGGACGAGTTTGGTGATGACGAGACGCAAAGACGGTGCATACAAAGCGAGTGACTTGTTTACCGGGTCTCGACAGAAGAATGTACTTTGTCTGTGGAAAAGGTTCTTCTGACGTCGCTCATGTCATAACTCCAGCTTTCGCATAGTAATACATAGTTCCGAAGAGCATCCTGACAACCCCATCTCTTCATCAGCCTACATTCGTACATTTGACACTGCGTAATGCTCAAGCCTCCCAGTCTGCGATGTGCAGGATGGCTTCTTCAGTGCCAAAGACTCGCAACGTATTTCCAAACTCATCCCAGAACTTGGAGTTGAAGGCCGGTATCAGCTCCATCGACCGTCGCTTCATCTGCTCCAACGGCACCCATCCCGTCTTATCTTGAACATGGACAGCATCTTCCCATGACCCAGCGCTTTCGTGAAGCTCTTCATCCCATTCGATAGATACGCCGTTTTGGGCAAGTTTGGCATCATCGTCTTCTTCAGTGGAGGATGTTTCGGTCTCCGGATCCAGCGTCTTGAGTGTATCAAACAAATTCTTAGTCTCGAATTTTCGTTCCTTTGCTGCCTTTTTCTTGGCTTTTGCCTTTTGCTTCTTCGTCTTTCTGGATTTGGGTTGTTCCACGGGAGGTAAGGGAACCGGTTCCTCAACCTTCTCGCGTCCATCTTTGACAAAATCCGGAACGTCTTCACTCTGTAATATGCTGTTTGCTTTGTTGAGGGTGAGAGGATGGCTGAATAACGGTGCTGTGACCTTTTCTCCTCGTTCTGCACCAAGCTTGGCGGCTAGCTTGATCATAATGGTGGCAGTCAGAAGACTGTCATAGCCTGCTTCGTGGAATCTCTCGGTTTCTTGATATTTGGGATGGTCGGCATGGGTAATGATCTCGGGTAATGGCTGTCTGCTTAAGCTTTGTGCAATATCTTGCAGCGACGGCGATGCGTTGAGGTCGCCCTCAGCATAAGTAGCTAGATACTTGGTGTCGATGATCTTGGGGAACAACTCGTGTATTGCATCCTGGAAACCTTGTAGGGTATCCTGGCCGAAGTTAGTATTGCCTACAAATCATCAAACTTTTCACGTACTGGTAGCTCGCCCACAAAAGTGCGGTAGAAGTAAACGATATCAGTGAACATGTTGTGCCCAACAAGAACCGGTTGCTTGGTCTTCAATCTCTCTATGGCTCTATCATAACGATCCCGTATATCATGGGCGTCGGCTGTGGAGAGCATGCCTGTAGTCCGGGCGGCGTAAAGTGGACCTGTGCGATTGATATCTCCGCCCTTGACCAGAGCCTCGAAGATCCACCGGAAACCCGTTTGCCGTATGATAGAATCTTTAACACGGTTCTTGATCCTGCGCATGTTGTCGGCTTCGCGGACCGGGTCCAAGTCAACAATGCGAACACATTCATTGCGACCTATGGATACCAGTTCTGGAAATTCCGCACGGACGAGTTGGTGCACAAGACGCTTCTCAAATCGTGTTATTACCGGTATCGATGGCGCGCCAGAAAGTCCAGTGTGAGTTGTGATGTCCAGGGAGGAGGACGTGCTAGTCTTCCATTTCTTGATAGCTTCCCTCACGCGGCGCATGAAATCAAGAGACTCAACGTCGCCCTCCTTGAGCTGCAAGTCCGGTATCGGATTCTTGTTCTCCAGCCGATCCCAGGCCATCTGTCTCGCCCTCTCAGCCTCTTCTCGGGAAAGGTACTGTACGCCCTTGGTAAATGGTGCGCCGAGGTCGAAACCGCAGCCGAGGAGAAAAGTACATGCGCCACTCTGGAATCTGATTTCGCGCTCAAAGTCCATACGCTCGTCGAAAAGTGGGCTGATGTTGATATTGTATGGTCTCAGGACATATTTGTTCGCGATGTAGTCGAACCTGGCGCATGTAATACCTACCTGTAGAATCTGATAACGATCGGCGCCCATCTTGGTTTCGGCATAGCGCTCCTCCATGGTGAAGCGTCCTGGACCATGGGCAGGCTTATCTTGAATCCGCGAAGGAATGCCCGATAGTTCGAGATCGAAAGACACAAAGTCAGCCTCGGATATATGGATGAACATGCCCAACAAGTGGTAGGGGAATGTTTCTGCGTCGACCTCCATTTTGTAGATAACGACGAAGACGACAAGAAAGGCGCGTATTCATGTGCTGTTGGCGATCTGAGGGCAAGGTCGCAAGCGCTGTGTCAACAAGTGTGGGCAGCGATGAATGATGCAATGTCAGTCAAAAGTAAGTGCAAGTGGCAAGCTGTGTGGTCTCGAGTGAGTAATGAGGTCAGTAGCGATGGATCAAGCGACAAAGCCGTTGTCTAGCTCTTGACGCAGAGCTTGTCGCGAACAAGCGTTTGTCAAGCGTGTCAATTGCGAGTGCAGAGTGTCACTGCACGCGTCTTGAGGGCGCCTTCACGTGCCTGCCATGTGATGCAGGAGGTGAGGCGGGACATTGCAGCGCGCAGAAGGCTGGGGGTCGTCTCGTCGGCAGGTGACGCGCCAAGGCGGTTCCGGGTGACGTGAGCTGGTCTGCCGAGGTTGGAAATGTTGACAACCAACGCGGAGAGACAGGCACAACACCGAGTTCCGTCCCTCACCGCCAGGGGCTTGTTGAGCTCACCGAACATCGCGAGCGACTATCGCATCCTACCGAACCATGGCGACCTTGTACGATGACATCAATGGGTCGCGCTACCTGTCGTCGTCCATCTCGTCGCTGTCAACATCGCGGCAACAATCGTCGCAGATCGCCAAAGCCTACCGACAGGCCGCCCAACTGTTCCTGACGCGACGTCTGCCGGAGGCTCTGTCGACCATCGAACCCATCATCACGCCGCCGCCCGTCGATGAGACCACCGGCGACAAGGGCGACCTCGTGGGCCACGCCCCGGTCGCAACCGCGTCACGAGGGACCCGGGTGAAGGTGTGGAGCTTCTACCTCACCTTCCTCAATGCCGTCATAGAGCTGGGCGCCGAGGAGGGAAAGCACGCCTTTGGCAGCACGAGATGGAAGCAATTGGTGTCACAGTGCCGCGACGGCAGCATCTGGGACAACGTGGTACGGGACGGCTATGCGGGCGTCGAGGGAGACGTGGATGCCGACGTGGTCATCAACCTGTGAGCACCCCGCTGACTTGCTGAGATACTGAATCCTAACGTCCATGAAGGGCCACCCTCCTCCTCACCCATGCGCCCTCCCAGCGGCTCAACCAGCAGAAGCTGGAGACGTACCTCTCCGCCACCGCCAACCCAACCCTCGATGTCTCCTCGCACATGTCATCTCCAGCATACCTCGAGAAGCGCCCAGGCCACCGCAGGCAAAATACCGGCACAGACACACCTCGCGACCTAGAGAAGCGCATCAAGCTGCTTGAGCTGTATACCCTGCATGTCTTGCCTAGAAACGAGGAATGGGACTACGCCCGCGAGTTCATCACCATGTCCGAAATGCTCGACGAAGAGCGCAAAGAAGCATTCTTGCTAGCGTTGCACTCTCTCAAGGAAGAGAAGGAAGACACAGAAGCCCGGGAAGAGAAGCTACGCCAGCAGCAACAAGAGCAAATGGAGGAGCGCCGTAGAGAGACCGAAGCCAAGCGCCTCGAGCAATCCCGCGCAGAGGACGAACGTCGGAAACGCGAAGAGGAAAACAGGCGGCAGCCCCGCGGCTCAGACGAGCGCTTTCGCAAACCCCAGCCAACTCCTCAGCCCACCCCGTCGCAGTCCCGAATCTCCCGCACACCCGGCAAGAAACCCACAACTCCGCCGCCCGGCTTCTACAACCGAGCGTCCACAATGTTTGGCAATATACAGACCATGATATCCAACACGGCACATCAGATGACTGCAAATCCCATGGCTTTTTTCCGTACCTTGCTTTTCTTACTCGCGTTTGGCTTAGCTTTTGGCAGACGGGACCTCCGAGAGAGGATACTCCGCATCATACGGAATGCGTGGGACAAGGTGAGACGCACCGTAGGTATGGGAGTCAAGGTTTCCTACATTTAATGTGATTGACGTGATTGGGTCGAGGTTCTTATGTCCATGTATTTCTATTCTCAAAGCTACTAGGGGCCATTGTGCTAACTCTGACAATATCATTATGCTCATCATCTTCATCACCATTACTGTCTGTCATAGGGGCGGCAACACTCGGCCTGACATCTTGTTGCTACTTGTGAACTATTCTTGGCAGGAATGAACCAGAGCTATTTCTTTCATTACGATTCTGGATATACCCATACAGTGCTCCGTCCACGTCTGACTGCAACAGGCCTGGGTCTGGTATCTGCATCGTTGGATGCTTTTGCAGCGGCCTTGAACATATCAGAATATCCCTGCACCGTCGAGGAGCACGGCCAATTGTTGCGCGCACCCTTTCGTGACAAAGACACGAATTGTACCCCCATTCCTTCGGCCAGCGCTCGCACTTTGGCGTCTCCCAAACTACTCAAAGTTACTTGAGCCAGGTTTCGCAGTCTCGATACGCGCTTCTCAGGGAAACCCTGAAGCAACAGCTTCAAAACCTCCTCTGGCTCCGGAGGATCATCCATCCAGCCGTTGTTGTCGATCTGTACATCCACGATGCTCTCCGGTAACATGTCTCCCAAGCATGGAATGTCTTCAATGGTCCATGGCTTTTCCCCCTCTTCTGCCTGAACAGCATCTTCTCCCAGCCTTTGGCCACTTGCTACCGATGGCCCACAGAAGGAGGCCAAGTCAATCTCGAGCATGCGTAGCTGGAGAAACGCTCGAAAAGATACCACACCATTGACTATGGCTCCCCAGTCTTTGTCCTTCTTGATTGTGAGTTCGGTAATGCTTGGACCGCAATGTTCAGCAATGGCTTCCACAAAACCACCAGGGTTCCAGTCATATCCACAGCCGTGCCTAGACATTGGTGGACAGAGTTAGTCATTGTCTCACTTGGTTTTGAACATGAATGTTACGCACCATTTGCACTCATGCAAGTATCTGAAGATTTCGAGGCAAGGCGTGTGTCTTAGGAGGACAGAGATTCCTTCTGCGTCCATGCAACAGTACGCCAATTCCACTCTACGCAGGCTTGAGTTGATTCCTGGAAAGCGCCAATGGAAAGGCATGCCAGTATAGCCGTCGTCGATGGCCAAGCAGGACGTGATGTATAGCTCTTCTAAACTCTTCAACCGCGTGAAAGGTTCCAAGACCTGGAAAGGGTTCCGTTCCTCATATCCCTCTTTGGTGGACGGCAGGATGATCCGCAGTTTTGCAAGCGGCTGGTCCCGGTTGCCACTGCTGTTAGAAGCTTCGACCATTGTTTTGAGCACAGCTTCCAATCTCTCTTCCGCTTCAGGAAGGGGCGTACGGTTGTTGTTGAGACTGTACCATTCGGGTGGCAGTTCTAGCGCTTGCAAGTTTGGTAGTTGATTCAGGAGTGTTACAGTCGCGTACGCGACCCTATGGTAGGATTGGTGGTTATTGTCTTCGTTTTCAGCTTCGTTTTCGAGGCCGAACCCTCGCAGCATGGCTTCCCACCAGAGCTGCGCATCAACTCCTGCGTTGTTGAAGCACTCTGAATGCAAGACCATGTTCTTGATCGACGCCATAACTTTTTCATTAGATTTGAAACGATCATTCTTCGTATCGACATTTGGGCCTCCTCCATGTCCACACAAACTCAACGACTCAATATATTGCCCGACAAGAGGATCACAAGCTATCTCGCATAGTATGCGAAGTATGTCGCCATGATTTCTGGAGCCGGCAATCGTGGTACACTTCCATCGTTGTTTGAGCAAGTTGTGTCGTGCGATTTTGGGCGCAGCGCGTGTGTATATGGCGCGGCAGCAGAGTGCAAAGGCTTCGAAGCCGGATGGGAGACTGTGGCTGATGATCTCGTCGATAATATCAGCGGGGAGATCGAGAAGCTGCATGGTCGACAGCGTATGATGTTCGAGTGACAGCAGAAGTGAGCGAGCGCGTGCTCGCAATGAGAATCACTAAGCTTTATCTTAGTTTCGTAGAGCCTTCAGGTTGCCTAACATTGCCCCACACTGGTCGGAGTTGCTGCCTGCAAGTGGCATTGCGCACGTTTCGACGCGTGAACAGGCCCGTGGTAAAGAGAGGGGACGGAGAATAGTACATGGTGAACCGAAGTAACCTGCGTCGCCTTCGAAGTAAAAGAGTCTCTATAATGCGTAAAGATATTGAAGAAGTGAGGACTTGGAGGCTCGTCAAGCCACGCGCCGACAAGGTGATCCCTGCTGCATCGCTCTCTATTGACAACACCTTCAAATTATAGAGTGTACAGTACGGAGCATAACCCTCGTACAACGATGGATGAGACAAACCGTCGTTCCGCGCTTTCTGATAGGTGACAGCGTTTCTGCGGCCAAGATCTCTCCCGAGACCCTGTACGATTACACACCCAAAGAGAAGGACTATTTACGAACTTCCTTCGTTTCATGCATGGCCAGGTTTACCCTATATATTGAGCAAGCTATACACTCACTGAGTCTTGCGTGCTGTATTGAGCGTCTTCCTTCTTTGCTTGATCATGTACGTGTACATTGTATAAGAGCCTAAGGGAAATTAGATTCATGAGGTAAATTTACTTGACGACAATCCATACCTGGGATGTAGAGCAGCAGGCAGAAGTAGAAGATGAGCGGTATCACCGGGCTGATCTTGGCTCCTGGAGCAATAGCTTGGTACAGTAACCACCATTCAGCCCCGATACCGATCGGGTAGAGAGGATAGAACATGGTGTAGCTGGGGTAATTAGCCATGTTTGGAGCAGCTTCTGATATCACAACAAGACATACCGAAGCCAGATCATGCCTTTCGACGCCTTCCCGTGCATGTTAAGCGCCAAGTACAAGTACCGAATCGTATCTGCCACCGACCAAGCAAGCAATAACGCAAGGTAAGCACGTGAATCTGCTGTGCTTTGCGGGAAGCTGTACCACACCATCCAGACCTGGATGACACGAGTAACGACTTGTAAAGCGGTTGTGCTGACTGGAGATTTGATAATACCTATCATCATGCTTAACAAGAGGCACAAGAAAAAGGGGGATAGTGAACGAACCGAAAGCCGCATGGAAAACTTCTATCAAAGACGCGGTTTGTATCCATCGCGCATATGGTTCCGTCGCATCGAAGAGTTCAAATTTATCATTTTGGACATTTGAGATGGCTCGGACAAAGACAGACGCCCATAGCGATGCGAAGAGGACGTTATAGGCAGTCAGATAGATTGTTCGGGGTTGCGATGCTACTGCGTCAGCAGTACATTCTCTACTTTGGTTAGCCATTCTCGCTCCTAAACCTCGATGTTTAGTCAATGTGGTTTGGAAGCATATGAGAACACATTGCGCAAGCAGAGATTGCTGTGGTTTCCGTCGGGCAGTAGGTCGAAAGTGGGTGATGAGCCGAGGCTAATTCGGTGTAATTCCATCGTTGAAGAGCACGCATCTTGTGCACATCCTTTTCAGGTCTCAGAGCACCCGTTCAACGAGCTACCACAGATGCGATCTGTCAGCTTTCGCGTCCTTCCTGATTCTTGGGCAGAAACGAAGATCACGTTCGAAACATAGTGCAGGGGCAGTGACCAATCGAAGTCGCGACATCACTCCCCGGGGGCGCGAAAGTCTATACCATTTCTCGCTCTTAGCCATGCATAAGGCGGGGCAGCTTGGTTGGTCCCTGCGAGACGCTAAGCTTCGCTCGATCCACTGCCGATCGCCCAAGTAGGTTCTCTTGGATTATACATCGTCATCAGCACCACACTTCACATGGCTGATATCCCAGATAACAATTCTTGGTCGGTTTTCACTGCTTCACAACTAGCAATATCCCACACATTAGGATTGAACTAGAAAACTCAATGAATGGGATCATAATTCCTTTGATGATAAGCCAGTCCCGAAGCCGACGCACGACATCCTTTTGCACGACAAAAACTTCCTCAAACTCTTGATGACAGTATACAAAGTTTTACTAGAAAGCCTCAAGATGTTCTCGGACCTACCTTGCGGAAGATGAGACGCGAAGGGATTCTTGTTTGATCAAACTGGGAAGATACCATCGCGCGACTGCCATCAAACTTCCATCTCCCGCTCCGCTCCATTTGTCCAATTTCTATGCTGACTGGAAGATAGATATTTGGAAGCTAATACAGATGGCTAACGAAGACTGACCAGTCGATGAGTTCGAAAAGATTTTTTATGACACGAGCGTACGGGTCGTGAGAGACAGGATCATGATAGAAAACAGTAGCGGCATGAATCGCCAATCCTTGGACCAAGCCGTGATAGTCACGCGGGGAATGCCTGGTGTTCAGGAACAATGCGACGAGATCTGTGAATCCTGCTTGAGACTCAACGGAAAGAGAGCATAACTACGCTTCCGGAGGGGATGCCATGCCCGACGTCAGAGCGGAAGACATCTATTTTGATAAGGATTAATCAAGATTTGATTAGGTGTAACACGGAAAAAGGGCTACAGATAAGTATCCGAGGCCGAGCTCTACAGTTGAGAACTGTCATTTGCTTCTAGTCAATTTTGCGTCCTGAGCACATGTATGATTCTAAGGATGCGGAGCATGCATCCAGTCCATTATTGCTGGAGCAAATCTTCTATTTTGGAATCTTACTGCGTCTAAAATTATGCTGAGACTTTCTTGCGAATTTAATTTAATAAGTCAAAGCTCCGTTGTTGAAGATTTTCTAGATGAGCTATGCCTTGCTTCTTGTCGATATGTCACACTAGCTAGGGGTCGCTCATCACCACTCAATGACGACGCGTCATCACGACCTCCATTTGTATGCGTCGCAATGACGTTGCTGTGGACGTCGTAGTCATTCTTGAGGCGCCTGAAATCCTGATTGCGTTTGCTCCCCGTGCCGCCAATGGTAACAAGCTCCGTCTTATGCGACCGCCCTCCCGTAGCCGACCCTTGTCCAGATCTGTTCCGAGTGCTGCTGAATTGCGACGAAACAAGGAGCATGAGCGGACGCATCGTAGGTAGGCATGCGCTTATGATTCCAGTTGCAACTTCTACGACACACCAAGTGCACGCTGTTGCTAAAGTTCCCGTTGTGTCGGCCATGTCAAATTGCATGATTGTCGTAAAGCGATATATGCTAGCGAAGAGCACACTGCGAACCACAGTCAGTAATGAGTAAATCCAGATCAAGAAGGAAAGTACTAACAATGCTCCGAGCAAGAACATGAAGATCAGCGATGCGCGTTGAGCGTTTGACACTTGGAGCCTCAACACCTGAGTGACAGGCATGCATAAGATAATAATATCTGTCAAGATATTGGGCACGGCATTACCAATGAATGAAGCCTTGAGGTTGATGCATGTACCGGCAACTGCAGGGCCCAACCAGGCTTTTTCGATAGGATTGCACTGGAAGATGCTGACGCAGTTGATGGCTATGACCCAACCAATCGTCACGGATCCTAAGATGTATGCGCCGATTCGAAAGTCCTTGGTCGGAAATATGCGCAAGTACATCAGGAGGAGTGAGAGCTTGACCAGCCCTACCCCAGTGCAGTAGATACACTCGAAGGCAACGAGAAGCTATGAAGATCTACGTTAACGGGCTTTCCACCTCACTGAGCCTTCAGGTATGGAACACTAACCTTTAGCACCATCGTGACATTATCGGGGGGCAGAGTGACAGCATGCCTTCCCAATCCCCAGTTAATCACTGGAGAGATGTTAAAGTGCCAAGCAGACTATGACAAGTGTAAAACCTACTGGCATAGTTGAGTCCTCCGGCAACGAAGCAAAAAACCTTGCACGAAGTAAGTTGTCTGAAGCGGACGCCAGAGATGCAAGGGCACATACTAATGAGACTACTATCATCCAGTCGTCTGATCCATAGGTCAGCCCACGCTTATAGCGAGCGGCAAAGCGTAGTACCACGAATATAAACGCAAGAACCAGCAATGCGGTAGTCGTGCCTCGTAGGTTGGGGCCTGGATCTGACATTTCCGAGTTCATTCGAGATTGAAGCATGCCTTCAAAACTTGGAACATGTCGTATCGCAGACGGGAAATGCATTGAATTGCTTCACTGTATATGTGAAAGTGAGAGAAGCTAAGTCGGCAATACGTGAACCCAGATCGGGGGCCTCGAGTGCAGAAAAGGAATCATATGCATAAAAAGAACCATGATGAGGTGCCCAATCATAGTGACATGTGGGGCTGTTCGGGTGGAGGAATCTCCTGTTATGGCCTGACTCCTGATGATCTTCGCCTAACAAAGCCACACCTGGCGCAGGTGTACGTATCCTAGCAAAACGCCTTCCGTCAAGTACGCACTATCGTCGGAGTTTGAGTGATCTTGGGATCTTTCAGCTGCAATAAGCACGGGTAGAAAAAGCACTCACTCGGAGGTTATGGAGCTATAATCAAGAACATCTAGGTGCTTACACTACTCATTCTTACTTTTCTGATGTCTTCTAACAGAGGTTTACGAGAAACTGGAATTAATGCCCGAAGTAAAGCCCCTCCAAACTAGTCTCAGACGCGTCTAGACTTCTGCTCTTCGGGCCGTTCCCTAACGCCTGGGACTGTGCCGTGGAGATCAGTCCTATCTAGGTAAGCTCGAAAGTTTGATAAGCCATTGCATTCCGTCCTGTGCATGTCTGCAGCCTCATCACCTCTTGTCAATTGAATCTCGTTGCGTTCTCCCTCAGTTCCATATCAACAGCACCGTCAACATGTCCAAGCCTATCATCGTGTTTGCTCCGGGTGCCTGGCACACGCCTGACTGCTTCGACATCACCCGCGATCAACTGCACCAGCGCGGATGGGAAACCGAGGCTGTAGCGTACCCCTCCGTTGGAGCGGAGCCTCCCAACAAAGGCCTTGCAGATGACGCCGCGGCACTGCGTTCTACCTTAGAAAAGATTGCTGATGAAGGCAAAGAAGTTGTCCTGGTTGTGCACTCATACGGAGGTTTGGTCGGACAAAATGCTCTCATGGGCCTGGGGTTGAAGCAGCGGCAGGCCATGGGTAAAAAAGGTGGTGTCACCATCTTTGTTTACCTTGCTGCTTTCGTCGCTCCGAAGGGGGCAAGTATTAAGGCTATGCTTGGTGGCCAATTCCTACCCTGGATGAAGTTCGATGTTCGTGCCTACGATAGATGAGTTCTCTTAGTTTCTACATAGCAAGACTAACAATCAGAGCCAGGGTGATTACGGTTACGCCGCTACGCCCGAAACCGTGTTTTATCACGATCTCAGCGAGGAGGCACAAAAGACAGCCATAGCTAAACTGAAACATCAATCAGCGCGCATCTTCACCGACGAGGTGACCTACGAGCCGTGGCACGAGATTCCGACCATGTACTTCTTCTGCGAGGGAGACAAAGCACTTCCGCTACCTATCCAGCAGCAGATGGCACAAATGCTAGGTGCGGATGCGCCGACCTTCAAATCAGTCGGTTCGCATTCGCCTTTTCTGAGCCAACCTCAAGAGGTTGTTGAGGGTCTGGAGTTTGCGGCTAAGGTTGGTGAAAGTAAGAAGTAGAAATCCCTAGTCTACAAATCCATTTCCACAGAAGAGTAACGCCCATGAGGTTTCAACCCATATTAGAGGATGTCCGTGCACGTACTGCGCTTTTCTCGCTTCTGGTAAGCGCCGCCGCTTGAATCCAGGCTGTGCAAGCAAACTTCCAACTTACCCCCAGGTGTCATTCATCTGTGTTTTCTCAAAGCCCATACAACTTCGCCTTCAATAATTTCCACGAATATGTCGCTCGAAACTCACGCCAACTCATCAACAGAACGAAACATCGACGCTTTGACGCATGCTTTAGTGCTCGTACCACCGGATCAAAAAGCTTGCCCCGTTTGCTTTGAGCCCTGGAACACCAGGATCGGATGCGAGTTTGGAACCATTGTTCAAACCCAGTGCGAACATGTCTTCCACCGCGCGTGTCTAGGGGCATGGTTTCACAAGCAAGATATAGAGGCAAAGGAGAATACTTGTCCGTGCTGCCGCACCATATGCTTCCCTATTCTTCGTCAGCCTGCGTACGAACAACAACACTTGCTTAGACGCAACCGGAATCCTGGAGACATGGTCGCCCCACAAAGCTCGAACGCGTCTAATACAGGCTCCACGCTAGCGACTCCAGAAGAGATTTGTAGACGATTACAAATTTCAATGGAAGAAATTGATGCCCAGTATGCGCAGATATGTACAATGGGTCGTTCGCGGATGAATATGGTGACCGATCAAATCATGATAAACAGAGTAAAGCTAGATAGAATACGATGATCCTTCAACGGTATAAGCCTGGTAGATTGGACATTTCTTATGTTTTTGCCACTTATTTATATATCTGAGAGTCCTCCACTTGATCAATACCATGTTCGATATGCTCCACGAAGCTATGAGTTCGTGAGGTCGTCGCAACAGATGTTTTCAAGGTCTACAGCCGACCAAGCATGCCTTATGTGCTTCATGAAGCTATGAGTACATGAAGCGGGTACGTATTGGCCTACTGAAACTGGGCCGGTCATCCTAAGGTCAACCAGCGATACCTTGAGTCTTTACGCTTTCTTACCAGACCCCTGGACGTTGATTCTGCTATCACCTGCACCTGGAGATGCAATTTCAGCGGCTCCTCTGACCTTGATGCCCCAGCCCTGACCTACACCACCACTGCCACTCTGCTGGCGGTCGTTCTGGCGTACCTTCCCGCGACCAATACCACCGTGCGTTCGACTGTCACCACGTCCGCGACGACGATCATGACCTCCGTCATGCTGCTGGTTGCCAGCGTCATCTGATCTGAGAAAGCCCTGTTGAGGATGGTATATGGCTTGGGCAGGAACGTACCGGCCCTGCGAAGAGTTATACCCGCCCAGAGAAGGAATGAACTGGACTGGTGGAGGAGCGAAGCCAGGCGTCGCTTGCCATTGTTGCGGCTGAAGTTGCTGCTGGTTAAGGTACGTAGGCGTTTGATAATTGCGGCGAAAACGCTGAGCTTGAATGCCTGTGTCTGCATCGTCGGCACCACGACTACGCTTGTTGCTCTTTGGACCTGTAGGAGCGTTTGGTGGTGGAGCACAAGCCGCTGATGCTTCCCGGGATGCGCGATTGATCGCAGCACGCTCCGCAATATCTGCCGCAGAAGCCTCGCAAACTATTGGCCCATTAGGAACCTGGAACTTCGACAATTCCTCTTTTTTGATAGGCGGATCATCATCCATATGCAAAAAAGAACACTTGAATGTGTTAGGGCAGTCCTTGCGCACCGTCCCAAAAGGACACATCTGACCTTCATGCTCGTGGGTATATATGCATCTCGAGCCCTTACTGCAACCCATGTTGGTGTTCACAAAAGAGCACATCTTCTTCGGAGGAGGCTGACTGTGGTCAAACATGCAGGTTGCTTGCTTCTTGCAATCAACACCGAATCTGCATGCGATGACGGTGGAGGGTGTAGCAGAGTTACAAGTCCGCGTAGAGGGAGTTTCTCCTGACTTGGAAGCAAAAGCAGTGTTGACAGCAAACTTTGGGCGTGGTTCAGTAGTCGGAAGAACGGTGTCTCCAGCACCATCAGCAAAATCGATCTCCTTATCGAAATTTGCTTCCAGAAATTTAACCGTAACTTCGATAGTGATCCCGTCGACCGTTATATGACGAGTTTCTGTCGTTCCAACCGCAGCTACACCAACCCACATCGCGAGGTCGGCGAACTGAAGGCTGGTTTCAATCCCTTTGAAGATTATGTTCCTCCCCTCAGCAGAGTACGCCTCGTTGCTTTCTTGCCTCTTGATTGCCTCCTCTTCTTTCGACTTCTTCTTATATGCGCCTTCTACCACCTTGACTTTGGTGTCAGAGTCGTCCTTTTCAGCAACTTTCTTCTCCCGGTCCACATTATTCTTAGTGAGCTTCGAAACAGACTCTACAATCTCTTCACTGAGCTTATTACAAAGTAGTGGTTCTTCGCCGACGAGCTTTCCGATCTCGACCTGTTCGATGTCCTCACTACCAACCAGTGTGATATCAGCTTCGTCGCCGGTGATGATCTCAATATCGTACTCAGACGCAGCTTCACTCTCAGGGAAAGTATTCTGTGCAGCTTCACCGCCGTCTACGGTCTCGCACTCATCATCGGACCAGTCGACGTCATCCTCGTGTTTCTCTTTTTGAACCGTGGTGTTAGGATTGGTCGTGCTAGCGATGGGTACGATGGCTTGCTCTGCCTCGACAGATACCTCAACTGAAACAACGGCTTCGGATTTCTCAGAAACACCAGGCTGAGGTGCGAAAGCCGCATGGTCCTCCTTGATGATAGGCGGTTCCTTGGTTTTGGTACGCTTGTCGCCCTGGGCTGTGACTTGTTCGGAGCGGGTACGCTTTTTGCCGGCCATGGTATTGGGTGAAGACTTCGAAGGGTGAACGTGGGGTATGAAGCGGTTTCCGAAGCTGAATTGTGTGGTCTGGTTGAAACCGTTGGATGTAAAGTGAATAGTATGAATCTTCTCGATCCTGCAAGGGCTTTGATGCAAACCTGAAGAGGGAATGTCAAGTAGTCGGTCTGTTAGAAGGGTTGCAAGCGGATGACAACTCGAGCTTCCAGAAATTGACTCGCTGCGAGCAGGAGGAAGTATGTGAGAGCTTATTAACCAGAAGATTTGTATCGCAAAGGTGCGATGAAAGCGCATACGACATCAGTGAAAGATGCACAGGCTCAGTAGTTCAGGTCCATGTGATGCACAAAGCGACCGAACACGATGGCCAAGCATTTTTCACTGTCCGTAATTTTGACGATTAGGCTTCTGGCGACGCCTTAGAGACAATGGCGCTTTTAGTCGTTGAGAGGTTGCTTTGTAGGTATTTTCGCGTCAAAGAAACGCCTCAATAAGGAGATTGCAACACATTCCTGCACTGTGTTTACTGTTTTTACAAATACTGCCGCGCCCGCAAGAGTCGACCTTAAACGCGGACAAATCGTTGCGTTGTGCAATTTAAACGTTGCTTACTCTTTAGCTCTAATTATCAGAGAGCATATAGTCCGCGTACGGACTTCGAGCATATAGTTGCATAACACTGTATTCTTTTTGTGATAGTATAACTAATGAGTGTGATGAGAGAATCTTGTGAGCTTCTCTACCTCCTCTCCTTATCTCCAACTACCTTCTGCCTGCTTTCGCCGCGCAAGCGCTTTTACATACCCATCTTCCGATCTGCGGCGTGCTCTTCTCGACCTCAAATAGAGAAGTCCTTCGTCTTCACCCACTCTTCGAAACCGGGGACATTGGAGTACAGCGCGCGCTTATGACGCGAGAGCGCAAACCTTCCTGGCGAAGGATCTGTAACAGGGGTGTTGCAGATTCCAGTACCTCGCTGCTCGGGAGGTACAATGACAGTGCTGAGCGTACCTGGATAACCGGGGTTTCCGTAGACCTCAGTAGAACATGCGCTAACACGGCTGGAGGCAGTGGTTCCTTCGTTGATGGTGGTGCGAACAGCTTCCGACTCATCATTAGGAGAACAGCCTGGTGCAGTGCCAGAAAAATACATGCCGATGGCACCAGTGGCTATGCCCGTTGGGAAGTTGGCGATGTACGGGTTGTTGAGGAAGCGCCAGATAGACTGCGCTGCAGGTTTGGCAGCGTTAACCATGTTGACTACGGCTTCTGTTTGCGCGGGAAAGTAGAAGTTGGCCAAAATAGGGAAGCCGTAGACACAGTCTCGAACCCTGCGGCAGATGTCGCGTTGACGTGGTACGAGCTCTGCTAGCTCACTCGACTGAACAGGACTGAAGCCCGGTTCGTCTCGAGCATCAGCCACGATGGCACGTTCTTGCGGGGTTGACGAGGGATGCTTGAGATCGTATTCTGTGAAGTTGAAAGGATAGTCTCGGCTAAACTCGAGAGGCGCAAAGCTGGCCACACGAACCTCACCTGCCCAATCCTCAGGTTTAACACCAGAGAAGGCATCGAGGGCGATCTGTTTCCAGCGCCAGAGTTCACCGTCAAGCTCGAAGAAGTCGCCGTGAGTAATGCCCAGGGCAGACTTTGGCTCCGCTGGTGCCTCTTCTTGAACGTCTCTGCGCTTGAATTCACCGCTGATGACGTTGTAACCGCCGAAGAACTGATCGTCTTGGTAGACGTTGACACAACCCGTATTGCCAGCCGAAATGGAGTCGCCGGGTCTGCAGTCAACGTCGCGGGGGTAGAAGGCGACAATAGAGTTAGGGTCGTCACCGACTTCTTTAATAATGTTGACAGAGTTAGTATTACCCCCTAGGTACTCCGCGTCATAGCAGGTACCGTCTTGATCGGCTTGTCGGGTTTCGAGCCTCTCGCCATTGCAGTCGAAGCCTGCGTAGAACGTGAGCTGATACGCACTGGCGAGGGGCAGTAGTGTAGCTGCCAGGAGTGTGGTTGTATGTTTGTTGAACATGTTGAGCAGTGATGTAGTCGGTAGGTGTGAACAAGCTCGTTGATGTGATGCTTCGTTTGCTTGAGGCCTAACCGTCTTTTATGTCCTTCATCGGACTCCAATGGTGCGACAACGTCCCGGGCTCATGGTCCTCGGACTATGCCATGCGAATATGCCCTCCAGTTGCCGGTAACCGATGCTAACGACCACTGACGTGAAAGTAACAGGTTAACCCAGTGTTGGATGACAGCACACATCGCATGTATGATGAGATCATGACAACAGCGTCGTGTTCGCAGCTGCCATATTCGGCCCCGTGGTGGTTTTAGATCGCATGACGATGAAGATATTGCAGCAAACCCAACCCTTCGGTAACATGGGTGGAGAGGGAAGTGCAGAACCTCGACGCATTTGGAGCCGCCATCCTTCAGGCTGCAGGGGCTTGTTGGTAATAGTGTCAAACCGACAACCAGCTGGTACGCTTTACCACCTGCGGTGTTTTTGGGCCAGTGGTTGTGAGAAGTTGAGGATGGGTATCCAGGTATCCCGTACTGGCCTTTTTGCCAGCCCTGCCGCCTCAGTCGAACAACTGCGGAACTTTGTGAGAATGCATCATGTGAAAGACTTTCCAATAGTGGCCACGACTTGACTTGCTAGGTTCCTTCACGCTTCTACTCGCCAGATTTAAACATAAATGGAGGGTGTCTGGGACTATATGAAGATCAGCTTGACGGCCGATTTCGACACTTAGCGACCCGTGACGCAGTACTCAAAGGTCGGGCGCTGATAGCTAATGAATAGAGTCGCGCGACAGGCAAGAGCGTACAGCTTTCACAGAGCTTTCGCGGTCGTCTAGAGACTGTACAGCGCCTCAACCGACCCACCTAACAAGCTTCTTATTGGCTGGCTATAATACGAGTTTACACATGGAGTAGAGGAGATGAACCGATGCACACGGCGCGTAAGTGGATACCGGGCGTAGGTGGATCTCGGGTGTAAGTAGATGCAGGAGAAACGCATACCCATAGGGTGCTATGTAACCGCGGTGCAGTAGTAAGCCAACTGTAACATCGCGTGGATCCTGCAGCGATAGTTTAGATGGCGCGCAGTCGACATCGGCCTTGGTCGTTCAATGAGTGCAACTCACGATGCGACGATGCGTCGCTCTTTCACGACGGCACAACAGCAATGGATGCCATCCGAGTTCTTTGATGGAGATTGGTCTACCTTTTCGTTGCTAAGCTGGCGTATAGCTCGTTGTTCCGGGTCCTGAGCATGGAATGTCTCCAACATCGCTGTGTCCTAGGAGGTACTGCCTGACTCCGGCTAACCGGATCTTCCCGAGAAGGTTCGGCTGCGTTCGCCGATCTAAGCTTGATCAAAGCACACGCCGTTTCTTCGCATGCTTGGGAGGTCGCCTTATCAACAAACTAATGGAAGATGACTTGAAACGTGGGTATCCAACAGCCGCATCGAGTGGGCACAATAATGTGGTAGTGGAGAATTGCGCCGCCTTGAAGATCAGGACCAATAGGAGAAAGTCATTCGGTGGGTTTGGGGCCAAACCGGATATATCGGTTCCTTCGTAATGTGGCCGGGATGGCAACCTGACCTTAGTACCGCGGCGTGGGTGAGGAGTATCGATAATCTTCGCACAAACGAAATCCCTTCTCTCTTCTCATCCGAAACATTGCGAGTGCCATACAAAGGCAACGCCCTGTTCATCGAGAACTCCACCGACTTCACATTATCTCCCTCCCTTTCAACTTCCGATCAAGTACCTACCAAAATGACCAAAGACAAGACCCTCCAACTCGGAGACCTTAGCCCGCGCAATAGAAACAACGTAGGCTCCGCAACTCATGGCGCGATCAACGGCAAGGAGACCGCACTGAGAGATGACGTCGATGGAATGGGGTTGCGAAATGCGCGACTGACGCTGTGGGCCAAACGTTTCGTAGGATTTCTGGTGGGACTGGCTTTTGCATTCTTGTATGATAGACTAGTAGGCTTTCCTCGGCGGCCTTGTCCTTCTTGCGAGACCTCGGGTTGTTGAAGTTATCTCATGAGGATTGTTAAGAATCGGGGCGAGGATCGCGGAAGTTGAAGGTAGCTTGTCGCCGCCTCGCGGCATCGCCAAGTGGAAACATGTACAGTACTGTCTGTTATCGCATTAACAATCGCGGCTGCGTGTTAACGCAGGCGGCACGTTCGGCATGATACATAGAGCGTCAGTCTTGTGATTGGTGATGTTTTGCTTAGGGATTATACATTTTTACAGTGCCTAGAATGTGAAGCATACCATTCTATTGATACTTTCTTTTTCTTGTAGTATTATGACGCTATAGCAGGGAATAATTCGTCGTCGGCCATTGACGGTCGCTGGCAGGCAGACGGGAGTAAACAGTTGAGTATCGTGTCGCGTCGCGCGCAGCATGCACATGCAACACCTGCGAGCGTGCGCTTGCCATGGAAGTAGCTAGAAAAGCGTCGCAGTATCCAAATCGCGCATTTCTCTCGTGCTGAGCACTGAATCTGGTTGATGAGTTCTGTACATGGAAAGGTGTGAAAGGTGTCAAATCTTCGATGCAGGTCTATGAGTGTCAGCGTTTCAAGGTTCGCTCGAGTCATGCCCACACGCTAATCGCGCCCTTTGCCTGACATACGTATCAGTACAGTGAACGGCAATATAAGAATCGTAGCGCGCAGCATCATACAACTTATTTACCACTCCAAATATCGCAACAATGTCTGTTACTACCAGTCATCTCGTGCTGCCACGGCCAGGCACAACATATACACCAAAGCCGCCTATTAGAGGTCCTTCGGAATCATTTTTCACATCCACTTTTGGCGCCTTGCTTCCACCGGCGCAACACCTTGAAACTGCCAATGGAAAAGCGGCGTACTACTCGATACCACCATCAGCACCTACAGAGAGTGCACGAACAATCGATCGCGTACTCCTGATCCATGGTGTACAGACCCCAGCCATAGGAATGCTACCTCTGGCACGTGCACTGCACGATACATTCCCACACACGCATTTCGTGTTGGTCGATCTCTGGGGTCACGGCTTAAGTGATACACCCGTCATTCCACACGAAGCGGCTTTGTTCCATGGCCTGATTGACGCGCTACTCGATCATTTACAATGGTCTACCGCACATCTCATTGGCTTCTCCTTCGGCGGCTCATTAACAGTTGGATACACTGCATCGCGACCATCTCGCGTGAGCAGCTTCACGCTTGTTGCCCCAGCGGGACTTATCCGCATCTATGCTTTCCCAACAGAAGACCAACACCACCTGATGCACGGTGTTGACGAAGTCGAGGTGCGAAAGCTTATTCTACGGTTCCTGGAAGGCGGGGAATTGATAGTACCGGATGACTGGCGAGAAAGAGTTGGAAGAGGTGAGATCGTTCCTCAAGCGGTGAAGGAATGGCAGATGCGTGAACACCCTGGGCATACGGCTTCTGTTGTTGCTATGTTTAGAGACGGCGGTGCAATGTACAATCATGATAATTTTGAGAAGGCGGTACGGACTGGTATACCTTCTTTGGTGGTACTGGGTGAGTATGATGATCTGTGTACGGAGGAACAGTTGAGAGGATATGGGTTCAATGATGTTTATGTTGTTCCACAAGCCGGACATGGTGTTGTAAGAGAACAGGTACCAGAAGTTGCTGGATTCATCACAAACTTCTGGAATGGGCTAGATTAAAAGAATTGTGAGCGATGATGGAATCGATGAAGAGTATGGAGAGTTTTGGAACTTACTTTCCCTCATCGTTCGTGACTGCTTGCCAAATATAATCTTTCACTAGCCGCATCGCTACCTCATGAACACCTAGACTCAACTATTTGGCCGTCGAGGACGAGCTAATCATCAAACCAGGATAATCGCACTTGACGACAAGAACAAAACAGTCATCATGCTTGACAACGACACACCATCGCATTTCTCCTCGCCCGGGCGTTCAGGCAGTGATCATCCGCATATTGTACGCGCACGACGTCCGCAAGCACGGGGAATGTCTGAACAAGCCACAAAAGAAGACTCTGGAGTCGCCAGTCTGCCAGAACATTGTTGGTTACTCATACTGAAAGGTGGTGAAAAGCTTAGGGCTCACTTGTCAGAGTTCAACGCGATAGCCAAGGCTGCCGCATCTACCGACCTTCAAAACCTCCACTTGGCAATTGGGGCGCAGTATTTGCGCTTCCTTCCCAAATTTGAAGACATTCGGTATGATGAAACGACGGACGTTGGCGAATATCTGCCTATCATGGTGCAAGTTGGAACTTACAACGCTCCTGCTAAGCCAAAGAAGAAGGGCCTCAAAACCGAGCAAGTATTGGAAGTGTGGGCCTATCATACACTTTCACAAAAGTCTACCGAGGAAGATCCAGCAACCATCTCTCTGATCGAGCTTGTCGCCTTCAACAAAGACCAACAGCACGTGCCCAATTTATTCGGACTGGAGATAGACGACCCCTGGGCCACGAAAAAACAGCTCGTCAATCTCCTCCCACCCTTCGTCGGCATTCGCAACGAAACAGAACTTCGTTGCTTGGTGTGCTACTGTCTTCTCCTTGCTGCCGCCGAGAACCACTTCTATTTTGACGGACTCTCTATATCTAGAGAACCAGGTTTCACAGGTGTACTGGTCGAACTCTGCAAGAGGGCATGGGAAGATGAGAGATTCCAAGCCCTTGGAAAGACAGGCGTAATGTCAGACAAAAGCAATTTGTGGGATGGAGTTCCTAAGTTGGACGTGCAGAAGGGAAGAGATGCTGAGCAGTATTCAACGTCGGAGAGTGAGGGTGAAGATAGAATTCCGGCAGTCATGCCCGAAGGTACGACGCAGCATCTCAGAAAGGAGTCCAGGAGGAGAAGACGAAGGGATTCATGAAGGTCTGTGATAGAGCGAATGTTAGTGTGCTGCGCATTGCAACATCATCATGCAATCCAGACTCACACGGGGCACTAGATGGTACATTTAAGGAACCCTGACAACAAACAGGCAATATAGAAGGGTGCAGCTGGGCGCAGAAGCAGCTCTCGGCTACCACTATCTCTTCAATTAGCCTGCATGTGGGGCCATCCTTGTGGCGTACATATAAGCCGACCCCACACTGTATACACGGAAGAAGGAAGATCAATATACCTGCCACTGTAAGTTACAGTCGCTTCTCACATATCTAATTTGTATTCTCTGTTTGGTCTTCTAGACTTCAATCCACACCTCGTTTCGATATGACGCGCTTCTCCCGTCGCCCCTCATCCGGCGTCAACGTCATAATAGTAGGCGCAGGCTTCGCGGGCATTGCAGCAGCGATAGAATGTGACCGAAAAGGTCACTCAGTCCTCCTTCTCGAGAAAGCTGCAGATGTAGAGGAAATAACGCGATTCGGGGATATCATCTCATTCGATCCGAACGGTGCGCGCAACTTCGAGCGCTGGCCTGGCGTCATCGAGGCAATGAAGAAAGTTGCACGGAAAACAACGTGGCTGGATCTGTACCACTGGAAAGGGGAGTTTGTTACAAGACAAAGTTTTGATGCCGAGAAGGAGTGGGGGCCCAGGATCAATGGACATAGAGGGGAGTTGTACAGTATCATCCATCAGCATGCTGTCGACCGGGGCGTACAGATCAGATGGGGTCAGCGTGTGACTGACTACTTCGAGGATGCGGAAAGAGCTGGTGTTGTTACTAATGGGGAGCGTATGTTTGCTGACGTAGTCATCGCAGCCGAAGGGGTGCGCTCGCGTGGCCGCAAGATCGTGCTTGGATTTGATGATAAACCTAAGAGTTCGGGATACGCTGTATATCGCTCGTGGTTTTCTGGCGACGCTATCAAAGATAACCCCATGTTGAAGCACCTTGTAGAGAGGGACAGTCACTCTGGGTTCATTGGCCCAGACCTCCACTTTCTGGTTTCGTCGCTCAAAGACGGCAAAGAGTTTAACTGGGTGTTTACCCACGTAGACGACGGCAATATCGAAGAGAGCTGGCAGTTTCCTGGGAGAGTGGAGGATTGTCTAAAGTACGTCGAAGGATGGGCGCCGATAGTACAAGAGATCGTGAGATCGACACCAAAAGGCGCACGTCTCATCGATCACAAACTCGTCTTCCGCGATCCGCTACCGACTTTTATTTCCCCAAAACAACGCATCGCTTTGATTGGAGATGCAGCGCATCCATTCCTTCCAACATCCATCCAAGGAGCCAGTCAATCCATTGAAGACGGTGTCGTCCTAGCTGCATGTCTCGAACTCGCTGGCAAGGAAAGCATCCCACTAGCCGTACGTGCATTCGAGAAGATCCGTTATGAAAGAGTACACAAGGCGCAGGCGACAGGAGTGAAGACGCGCGAGCGATGGCACAAAGCCGACTGGGATGAAATCGTTAAGAAGCCAGAGTCGATTCACCTAGCACGTGAGGCATGGTTGCTGAACTTTGATGCAGAAAAAGACTGCTACGACAGGTTTCAAGTAGTTGCCAAAGATTTGCGGGGTGCACAAGCGCGGTTGTAAGGTTGGGACGCTTTGCTCGGGTAGTAGCGTCGGTATATTGTGTTGGTGTTATACGGACCAGGCAAACAACCTTGAAGGCACGTTATCTACACGTGGTATGTCAGCGCAAGGTTGTTTATGCATGTCTCGCGTTGGCTTTCCTGTTTGGCGTAGTTTTCGATCAGACTAGAAATTGGATCATAGCGGTTGGCATCATTGATGCGGATGAGCTCGCGCTACTGCCGTCTAATGCCGGGCTAGCACCTGTTACCGTCTATCACGTCACAGCCGTGCACCTGCCACTTGCAAACTAGCACGGGCAAAGGTGATATCTGTGTGTCTAAAGCAACTGCATGTCGTCTTTGCGCAGCCATAATAACCTCGCCACTTACCTATTGCGGGAGTTTTGCACCCCATAGTCGCCTCCTCGTGTTTTGGAGCAACAGATTAAGAGTGATTGGGCTGCAAGATGCACCTTTCTACCCTATCCTGCTTCGTCGCCGCTGTCACCACCACGGCTGGTGTTCAATTCGGCGACGCAAAGGACCCTATCAACATCGTAGGCGTCGGACGCAACGATATCGAAATCTTCTTGGGTATTCCATATGCTCAAGACACCAGCGGCGAAAACAGGTTCAAACCTCCGATTCCCTATGAGTATACTCCAGGCACTACTATCGATGCGACTAAACCCGGGCCTGCTTGCCCTCAACCACTGGGCGTACTCTACCCACCCCTCGGACTGGGCAACATCACCGAGACTTCTGAAGACTGTCTGAACCTGAATGTCGCAAGGCCCAAGGCGGAGGACAGGCAAGGAAAGGGGCCGCTACCAGTGCTGGTATGGATTCATGGAGGATCTTTCTGGTGGGCCAGTAATACCGAGCCGACGACCGCGCCTGACGGGATGATTAAGCAATCTGTGGAGAACGGCGACCCGATCATACATGTGGCCATGAACTATCGTCTTGGATTCTTTGGGTTTGCCAACTCCGACTCGCTGAAAGAGGAAGGAAGCATGAATGCTGGTCTGCGTGATCAGCGCGCTGCTATCGAGTGGGTCCGCACAAACATCGCTGCTTTTGGTGGGGATCCGGAGAGGATTACAATTGCCGGTCAGTCTTCCGGCGGCCTCGCAATCGGAATGCAGATCATGGCTTACGGTGGGGAGAAGCCACTCCCGTTCCAGCGGGGTATCGCCCAGTCTCAGTCCCTCGAGCCTGGTATCACCGGTACTTTTGCCAAGGATGCTATGATTGCATTGGTCGACTACGTGGGATGCAACACTACCGATGTGGATGCTCCTGAGACGATCGAGTGTCTACGAGCGTTAGACACTGACACGCTGTTTGAGGCCTCGAATGCGACATACCAGAGTGATATCGCCCACAATATTGGTGATATCTGGTTGCCACAAGTGGACGATGATTTCCTTCCTGCACCACCAAGCCAGCTTATCGCAGAAGGACGCTTCGGTAATGCTACCTTCATGTCTGGATGGATGCAAGGTGACCTGAACGTCTACACCAACACTTCCATTGCGACCGCGCAAGATACATACGATTTTGTTCGCGGGTACCTCCCAGCCTTCTCGGAGGATTCCTTGACCAAGCTACTGGACATGTACCCTGTAGAGGAATTCGGAACCACCGTAAATCTGACGGCGGAGTTCTACCGCTCAGCGCGAATCTTCCGTGACATCCTCATGGTGTGCCCATCGCTACATCTCGGTGCTGCGATCGACGAAAAGTACGAAGCGCCAGTCTACTTTTACAATTTCAACCAGACCATTCTAGATCCCATTCTCGAGTACGTTGACGATATTGTTGGGTTTGGAGTTGTCCACACATCGGAGTTTGCGTACATTTTCGACAGCATGCAGGTGTATAACAGGTCAGGCTACCCCTTTGATCCAACAGAATATGATTACGAGCTTGCTATGCGAGCAAGTCGATCGTGGAGCACATTTGTCAGCCATGGAGTCCCGGCGGAGAGTGGGCCTCAATCAACTACGCTGCTGAATTGGGACGAGGCATATAGTCGGCCAGGTGGTCCGTATGTCAGGACGATCGGTGGAACCCATCCGAGTAACAGCGCGCTGGGCATAGCGAATGCGACCCAGGAGATGGCAGAGCAAAAGCTGCAGGAGCGATGTGCTTTCTTCAACAGCCCAAAGATCATCCAGGCACTTCAGTATTGAGAGTGGTTTGGTCCGGCTAGATGGAATGTAGATGTCTTTGGCCAATGCAGAGTATATGATCCAGAGAGAAATAAATAGGCCAAATAGCGTTTAGGAGTAACGGCACAAGGGGTATCTTGAATCCAACCTCAGAGTAATCACACTTCCTCAACCGCTATCTTCCTACTCGGTCTTATCGTTCTTGTTCGCCCCATCAACCAACTCCATTATAAACTCCCACTCTTCCTTCCTCACCCTATTCACACTCAATCTAGAATTTGTAACGAGCTGCATATCCCTCAATGGCCCCTCCTTTGCATACTCTTTTATTCTCGCCAAATCTACAATGTCATCGAACTCTCTCACAAACTCGACGCCCACACAGTACCACTTAGGATTCTCCCTGACGCTCTTCTTATCATAATAAGGATCCTTGGGATCAAATGCCGTCTCGTCAACTTTGGCTTCTTCAACTACACGCAGTATGCCTACAATACCAGAGGGCTTGGCATTGGAGTGGTAGAAGAAGCCTAGGTCGCCTTTGCGCATGGCTTGCATGTTGTTGCGTGCTTGGGGATTGCGAACGCCGCCCCAAGGCTCCGGTTCTGTGCAGGCGCGCAGGTCAGAGATGGAGAAGGCGACGTTTACGCCGTTCTCGTAGCGGGGGAGAGGCTCGGCTTTCAGGAGCCAGTAGACTTCTTGAGCGCCGTTCGCGTCGCGGTTTGTGGGTGAGGAAGGGGCGGGTGGAGGGTTGGTCTTGGATTTTGGCGCGGATGTGTCTGGACTTGGTTTCGCTTTTGAAGCCTTGGCTTTGGCCGTGGCGGCTTTCTTAGGCGGCAGAGGGCTGTTGTCTGCTATTTCTTCGTCTGCGTCTTCATCTTCACGATCGCGCTTGCGACGCGTCGTCTTTTTGGCGCTGCGCTTGGATTGTACTTCTGCTGTGGATGAATCATCATCTTCGTTGTACTTCGGTGCTGCTGCCACCGTTTGACGCGTAGATCTTCGTGTGCCAGCCATGACGAGGTTGTGGTAGAGTTGCAATGGTTGTGGACGTTGGTATGCTGTGCGGCGCGAGCGTGCAGCCGACGAGGACGGCTGCTGCTATGACGCCATTGGCTGGCATCTGATCCCCCTCAGCCCTGTACACCCCCAGATCTATAAAATGCTCCACATCTCAACACAGCACATGCTGCCGAGCTGGGAACATCGCGCAAGCTGTACTAGATTAATGATCATGGACACAACTTTGGTCATCCAACAACGGTACTGCTCGCCATGCTCTGTGATAGGACCACCTAGACGTCTCCCCAGGTCAAGACCATTCGCGCGACCGTCCACAGTGCGGATAATAAATTCCACATTCAGACGGTCCTTCCTGAAACCGAAGTACCTCGGCTCATTCGTGGTGGAGTGTTCAAGAAACAGTACTTACGTGGCCTTTGGCGTAATCATGGACCTTGAAGCCTCTTCGACCTTCCAAGTCTTTTCACACCGAGTGCGAAGCACAATTCACAACTTACAAACAAGCTACCACGATCACCAAGTATCAACATTAAGCCGCGACGATGAGATACTTGGAGGTTTCTGTTGAGATCGTACACCAAAGACCACACTATGCATGATCTTAAATCGCCGCTTTCTCCCCTAGCGGCCGCATCTTTGCATAGCACATTCGGTCGACTACCTCAACATAGCCAAGCTCAAGGAACGGGGCCGGATAACTCCACTGAAGTTATGGATCCGCCTCCGCCACTCTGCCGCTACGGCCGCATGAGTTGACAAACGTTCCACTTGTCTCGTAGTAGCTACCTAGCAAAGACTAATACTCGGCCGACATGACCTCAACTTGTAAGGTAGAAGATCACTCTCGGAGGCTCCGAGGTGAACTCGATACGACTTGGCATTGGTATACATAGTACAGCTTTCGCCCTTAGTTGCACATCAATTCTAACAAGACATCCTGAATACATCACGCCGGATACGCAGCAATGGAAGCATTCACCAAAAAGACGCTCAAAACCTCTCGAGGAATCACATACACCTACTACACCTCTCCCGGCTCCGCTTCTCTTCCGACTCTACTCTTCCAACATGGCTACCCCGACCATGCCGCCATGTGGGCACAAGTCGCGACGCCCCTGCGCTCTCTAAACCACCCCATCATCATCCCGGACATGCTAGGCTACGACGGAACAGACAAACCCACAGACCCTTCCGCCTACACCTGGGACAAGATGACCAACGATATGGTCGAAATCCTCGATGCAGAGAAGGCACAAAACTGCATCTCCATAGGTCACGACTGGGGTTCCGCCGCTGCTTCCCGCTTATACAACTACCATCCAGAACGCGTAGTTGGCTTGGTAAACCTGAACGTCACGTACACAGCCCCAGGTCGCAAGCCCTTCAATCTAGATGGAGCAAATGACATGATGGAGAAGGTTTTTGGATATCGGTTGTTCTCATACTGGTACCTTTTCACCGCACCCGACGGACCAAAACTTCTCAAGGAAAGTCTAGAGAAGAACTTCCACATGATGCACGACAAGGATGGCTTGAAAGAGTTCTTTTGCACACCTGACAGTATGCGGAACGTCCTTACCGGAAAGACCGAACCTACTTTCAACCTCCGACCTTACGCGCAAGATGCTGAGTTCAAGAAAACTTTCATCGAGCGGATGCAGCGTGATGGCTTTGAAGCACCGGTGTGCTGGTACAAGGCTACGACGACGAATCTGCAGCATGAGAGTGATGCCAAGTTACCTGAGGGGAGGGAGATAGTCAACGTCCCATCGCTCTATATCGGATGCAAGCAAGATATTGTGTGCAGGCCTGAAGCCATGTATGAGAGTATACAAAAGGGCTTGTTACCGCAATTGGAACAGTCGGAGATGATTGATGCGGCGCATTGGGTGACGTATGAGAAGCCTGCAGAGGTAGTGTCGAGACTGGAGGAGTGGTTGAAGCGAAAGTTTGCGCAGTGAATGATGTAGTATTGTGAACAAATTGGACGAACAATAACATAAGGTCGTTTGATACGTGGTTTTTCATTCTCTACATTGGATCATTTAGACAGCTGTGACATGATTTGCAGGAAACAGTCTTCCAACACCACAGTAAACACCCCAATACCAGTCGCCGTTGATATCGGCTGCTTCTCTTATCTCTGCTCCTCGAGGGAAAGATAGTTCGTCTTCTACCCCTTCGTCTGGTAGGTAGCCCCATCTAGCTAGCAGTCTTAGTCCTACTCCTCCGTCTGGTGGATACCGTTGTACTCTTGCCATCTCCTCTTCTTCTTTGAGCGCGTAACCACCTACGAGATCGCGCACAACCATGCGTCTTTGTGCGCCATCACGGTCTTCAAATCCTACAATATACATGCGGTGGCTGCGGAGACACTTGCGCCATCCGCTTACACCGTCTTCCTTGGCAATACGACCGCTAACGACGAGCTTGTGATAGCAGCTCATACATATATCGTAATCCCCGGCATTACACTTTAGACAGTGGTATCTCGTGTTTGACGGCGGAATGGGATAACTGCATATATTACACAAGGTCGTGAACGTCAGAGGTCGGAAGATGGAATTCGCAATGGTAAAGTAGCCAGGGCCACGCATAAGAGATGCTGTCTTCGGTGTCAACGGAGGAGTTGTAGGTACTGCGTCGTGGTCTGGTGGAGCCAGATGTCCGTCTTGCCGTGGCGTTGAGGGCGCTGATGGAGTAGTATCCGTAATTGATTGCGAGTCCCTTGTCTTGCGAGCGACGGGAACAAGGGGATGCGTGCAATGATGGCCTTGGTTAACGCAATCATTGCAATAGCCCCAGTCGCCTTCGTTGCAGTAGTCGCACTTCCAGTAGCAGGCATTGGCGTATGCCTTGCACATGTCGCAGAAGACTCCAATTTCCACCCTTTCCCTGGGATTGTCCTCGCTCATAAGCACATGTGGCGGCGTTGTAGATTCTGTCAATGGTGTCATAGGCCTGCGATACCGATGTCCAACAAGGATATGGGGGTGCTCATGATTTGGCGGATAGCCACCTTCGGGTGCTTCTCGTTCGTATCGCGGCCAGGCAGTCCAGCCAAAACCATACCAATGCTTGCATCCTCTACCGAGACGGTAGCAGCGGAGGCATATATCATACTCTCCATCATCGCAACGTTCACAGTTGTAGTGAAGCTCGTACTGTATGTCATTCTTACCACATCGTTGGCACGCTATGTGCGGCTCGTTGTACACAACAGGAGCACCTAATGATGAGCCCGAAGCTTGTCTTGATCGAGACTCGCTCACAGTTGGATCGGTAGTGGAGCGAGGAAAGGGGGGAGGTGACAATAACGGGGGAGTGCTACTGTTGGAGGATCGTGGCAACACAGCTCTGCTGGGATCTGTAGTACGCCTAGACGTAGGGGGCTGGAATGGCGTTATGGCTGGGGTGGAGGAAGATTGGGGTACAGCCGAAGTACCGACTGTAGCTAGAGAACTCGTCGGACTGCCGCTGTTAGGTAGATCGAAGCCAAGGCTCTGGGGTGAGTTGGGGCTTGAGACTACGTTGATGGCGCTGGTGTTGGCGTGAAGGCTGATGCGAAACTGTTCGCGGACATCAAGCCTACTTCTCTGCTGGTTGTCGGACTGACGGCGTGGCCTTGGTCGCGCATGTTCTGATGACGACTGCCGCTCGCCACTACTGTTGTTCTGGGAGGTCGCAGAGACAGGCGTAGGACGCTCTGCTCTTCTTGCCGATCGAGAGCTTCCCTGACTTGAAGATCGCTGGCGTGGTGCTCGTCCGCCTCGGTTCGCAGCATCGATGAGACCAGGTCTAGATATGGGCGGTCCTACTGCCGTCTGAGGTGTCGACGCGCCGCTTTCCGAACGGCCGTGCCTTCTTCTGCGTGCTGCTTCCTCGTCGCGCGTAAGAGGGCTTCGCATGGGTTGAGGCAACAGCGATGAAGATGACGAGCTCATCAAGCCCTCTCTTGCCAGACGCTCCCTCCTTTCTCTCCTCTCGCGCTGTCTTTCTGCATGTCGCTCTGCCTGACGTCGTCGCACAGCTTCGGCTATCCTCTCTGTAATTTCTTCCTCCTGTGCAGTGCCAATCTGGTTCAAATCCACGCCTTCAGACACCAGCTCTTCCAGCACCTGCCGCACGAGGTCCTCGTCCACGTCTTCCGCGTCGAGGTCGGAGGCGCTCAGCAAAGAACGCAGGCTGGACTGGTGTTCAATGGCCCTGGGAGGTATAACGGCTCTGGATGGCGATGCGCCGGGCGGGTTCTGGCTGGTAGAGCGCCTTTCGTCCCGCGCCCTACGAGATTCCCTGCTCGTGTCGCGACTTCTCTCCCTCCGCCTGCGCTCCCTCGGGGGTTCCAGACTGGTCCTGCTGCTGCCCGGTATGCCCACGTCTCTCAGACTCAGCTGCTGGGCCTCCTCGAGCATGCGCTGATCGACGTCATCGCGCTCATCGCGCCGTCTGAGCTTGGGCAGCACATTGTCGCCCGGCTTGTACTTGTTGCGGTCTGCCGTCTTCTCCTCGGCACTCTTGCCTCTCTGGGGATTCGATTTTAGGAATATATCAAGCAGCGTGGTGACGGTGGCATTGGGCTGGGTGGTGCGCACCGAGGCGCGGCAGGAGGGGCAGGTGTAGGGGTGTATGGATGTGGCGGTCGAGGCTTGGAAGGCGAACCATTCCTTCAGGCAGGCGCCGCAGAAGGTGTGAAGGCAGTCGAGGAGGGTGAGCGGCTGGTAGAGGAGGTCGGTACAGATCTGAACACGGCCGAGTTAGCAGGCGCATCCTCGTCGTTGAGCGGGCCCCAAGAACCTTGGAGAGACTCGGAAGGAGCGACCCAGTCTCTTATCTCAACATGCTCTCGAACTCGCCCACAGTCGTGAAGCTGCAAATCCTCGTCCACGCACCCGTCGATGCGACGACACCCCACTCGCCAACACCACAAACTTGAACCTCGACTTACCGAGCACGTCAGTTCCTTCTCCAGATCGCCCTGTACTCCGCCAGCGCGCTCGGCCTCAGCCATGGTTCGTCGCAAACTGTTGGTCAAGAGCCGTCGTCATTAGCTGCCTGGCTATGAGGTTGCCGTCTAGCTAGCTCAGCTCGTGCGGTCAGCGACTCGATGCAACAACCATGCACTTGGCGAGCCTCTCTATTACTTGGAAGAGGCGTCATACCATGCCAGCGCATCTGCACCCTGCGCCAACCCAGCAGCAAAAGTACATGTATTCATCGGCCCGCTGCAGCCTTATGTTTCTTACCGCAAAGAGCCCCCGTCTCTCCATGTCGGTACGTCACGCGCCTTGCCGACGTGTCACGTATCCAGAGTCGGTGAGAGACGGCGACGCACCTACCATGCCTCTCAACCCGACAGCACATGTCGGGAAAGCAAACATGAATTGATATGTCGCCAACACTATAGCTGCCTCGCACGTCTATCGTCTCGAACCCTCCCATCTTGGCCTCCTGTTAAGCTTTCTAGCCCTGCAGCAAATGACGTTTGATACATGGTTTCACCTGCGCTACAACCAATGCAACTACGTCCCGACCACAGCACACCCAAAACACGATCCAGATCAACGGGTCACAACAGGCAAGACGCCGTCTGGGATATCAGGTATCCACATGTTCATGCCTGAGGTTTTAAAACCCCAGGCCAATAGGACTATTCCAGTTTTGGCGAGATCGATTAAGCTTTATAGCTCCATCTCATTGGAGAGATCGTGATGGTAGTTATATCCATATATATGAGAGGATATCATCAATCTGTTGATAGTCGATCAATAAGTACATGACATTATGATGAGTAGCAACAACGCATGTAACTTTTGGGTAAGTTTGTCATGTTAGCCAAGAGCACAGGGGATATATGTGGGTTAAGAGAATGGAGACAATGAAGAGGTAGTCGGATTTCATTTCATATCTTCCCCTCACCTCATATAGATACAGGTGAGGCACAAGTAAGAGACAGTTTTCTGCGTTGCGTCATCTTTGGTATACTTTTGTAGACATGCACATGGCTAGGTGAGAGAAGAGCGGGCAGACCTTAGGTGAAGTCGATTTATAGGTGGCCATATAAAGTCAGCATCTTCATGGGTGTATCCTCCACATCTCCACTGACAAATACTCTTACAGCTTCGTAACTGCTCTTCCATTATAATCATCATCATCAACATCATCATGCCTCCAGCTTTCACCGAATTACCTTTGGTATACCCACAGATAAAGCCATATATCCTCAAGAAAGAGCTCGTTACCATCGCGGAAGACAGGATCCAGACTGTCAGCGACCAGTACGAAACCCTGATCGGCGGAGGCCAACACAAGCGTGACCACGCAATGAGCATTGCTCGCATCTTGGCCGTACACTACGGGTATCTGCCTGATGGCTTCGCCAAGGAGGTTCTCGGCGTCATCACTGCAGACCTCACCAGGTACGGTCGATCTGCGAACACTCATGGCCCGCAAAGATTGGGCTCGGGTCTGGATCAGCAAGCTCATCTCGACAATGGACATCATGCACCGCAGCGTGATCACCCTCGAGTTCATCCAAGATGTTCACTGCGAATACTCCACAGACCCAGTGCTACACGGATCTTTCGAACTTCCGCTCGACAGGCCCAGCATGAACACATCTATTCGAGATCTTGTAAAGCTCGTGGACGAACCAGCGGATACTTGGCACTGGAAAAAGGTTCCGGTAACAACAGCCACAAGGATGCATGCCGCGCCTGCAAATGTGCACGAGAACGTTAACAACAAGAAGAGACGAGTCATCCGGGATGTCCAACTGGCCTTATTAGAATGAGAATGAGAATGTCGGTGTGGTTAGTTTACGCATGGTTCGTCTAAGGGTAGACAAGGACATGCTTCGAGGGAAAAGCGTAGGGATTGATGGAATTCAGCGGGATACTAGAAAGGAAAATACTTCAGTGCTTCATTCTCTTCATGTCTTTCTGTATCGGTTTTCAAGACTGAGTTCTTGCTATCTACGGTAGTCATGGTTAACTTCATCACATCGCCACCAATGCATGACTTTAGCTCGTAGTGACGAAGCACGATACGGACGATAAAGATGCTACCCCGTTGCCCCAGTAGCAACCAAGCTAGCGTATGGCATGCCAATAGTGCTCATAGTATACATTGAAGCAGTCAAATATCATCATGAAATTTTCTCCGAAGCAGACTCATGCCCATGTCTTTGTCAGATTAGTTCCATCCACTAGAGTGATTCCAGAGCCGCACATCACTCTCATCTTGGGTTCAATTCTAGAGAATTACAATCAAACACAAGAGCATTGCGACGGAAGCACAGTGCGATTCTGACTATAGAATCCTATCGTTGACAAAGTCCACACTTCTATAGCAGTAATTCGTGAATACGCTGATCAGTGTTTACTAGCATGCGTTACCTCCACACTTCATCCAAAGTATCCTCAAGGTATTCACGATGTTTTGCTTCCCAGCCTGAATATTTATTAGGCAGCGTATACATTCCGGGTATGCTTTGGTTTTGTCATCGATCAGGGTTCGAAAGATCGTGTTTCATGAATTCATTCTGCATCACATGACTCACACTTTCAATAAATGGTAACAAACATGTAGTCGGCAGGCTAATACCTTCTTTATCTACATTTCCAGCGAATAACTCTCCTCTTACATACAATACTAAATACATGTTCCAACCATTAGACGTCTGACCTGATCTTTATATACAGAAAAGACTGATTGGCTAGTGACCAGCACATCGCCCTCGCCTTGCAAGCCATTAGACTCGTTCTCTTCATAAACTCGTAAGCGCAGTGCTTAGTTGTTGTTGTTGTTGCCGCCCTTGGCTCCGTTGCCGCCGTTGCGGCCAGATGCCTGACCCGCATTCTGTCCCTGAGATTGTTGTCCAGCAGCGGCGCCGTTGCCAGCCTGTTGCTGCTGGTTAGCACCATTTTGAGTCTGGCCTTGAGTCTGTTGTCCGGCAGCGGCGCCATTGCCTGGCTGCTGGCCGTTCTGCTGAGTCTGCTGGCCGTTCTGTTGACCCTGTTGGGTCTGCTGACCAGCCTGCTGACCCTGCTGTTGGCCAGTTTGTTGACCTTGTTGAGGGGTCTGCTGTCCGGTAGTACCCTGAGAGCCTTGTTGAGGAGCTTGGACACCAGTCGTTCCTTGGGGTGCTTGGCCGTTGGTAGGGGTGATGCCAGCGGCTTGCTGAGGAGTTTGTCCGTTGTTGGTTGCGGTGCCGGTGGTACCTGTAGCAGTTCCCGCAGTTCCCTGAGTACCCTGAGTTCCAGTAGTGCCCTGAGTTCCAGTAGTACCCTGAGTTCCAGTAGTACCCTGAGTTCCAGTAGTGCCCTGAGTTCCCTGAGTTCCCTGAGTTCCCTGAGTGCCTGTGGCGGCACCAGCAGCGCCAGTGTTCTGAACCAGGCCATTACCAGTTCCTTGAGCAAGAGCCTGAGCAGCGGCAAAGGCAGCAGCAGGGCTACCTGCAGGGGCGCCGGGCTGAGTAGCGCCAGTTCCCTGAACACCACCAGCAACACCGGTCTGGTCGCAGACGGTGGGGCGAACCGCCTGGGAGGTGGATCCAGTAGAAGCCATGTAAGCATCGATGTTGGGGAGGACGTTGACACAGCGGTTTTGGTTGATCAAGTCGATGTTTCCAGCGGCAGCCATACCCTGAACAGACATCTGCTGAAGCTTGTCGACGACATCCTGGAACGAACCACCAGTAGCGAGTGTGCTGTTGGCCGCAATAACGTTGGGCATCTGACCGTTGGCAGCATCGATGATGGCCTTGTGGTTCAGCTCATCGACCTCTGCGTTGAAGGCAACTGTAGCAGCCTGCTTGAACTGGACGTTGTTCTGGATGCTAGCTCCAGTGTTGAGGAAGTTGGAGACCATTGAAGTGTCGGCCATCCAGTTGGAGACGGCGGTGGCGAGGTCGTTGGCAGTGGGAGTCTGTCCATTTTGGATACCGGCACCGAGACCAGTAGGGGTGTTGGTGGCACCCTGCTGTTGCTGCTGCTGCTGGTTTCCTGTCTGCGCGCCTTGCTGCTGTTGCTGGTTGCCAGCCTGGGTTTGACCGCCCTGGTTTCCGGTTTGTTGGTTAGTTGCAGCGGCGGCAGTGTTGCCGTTACCGCCGTTACCACCCTGGACCTGGGCGAAAGGAGCAGCGTAAGCCGCGGAGGTGAGGAGAGAGGCGATGAGAATGTACTTCATTTTGACTGTGAGATTGGTTCTGTCGAGTGGAATAAGATTATGAGTAAGGATATGAAAGAGAGTAAGAAATGCTGGAGATGCAGAGTAGAAGATATTAGCCTTAGTGAGTGAGGAACCAGTCCGATGAAGTTTATCTGGGTGTTGGGAGCTGTGGTATTTGTACCATCTCTGTTACCATTTCGGATGGCCTTGCCGTCAAGGCATGATGGTGTGCAGGCCTATGCATCGTAGCAGTCTGGGGATGGAGCTTCAAAGCTCCTAAGCTCTTGGCATTCAGTCAGGTAGCACACGAATAGCTTGATCTGGTAGTTTCGAAGTATGCCATAGGGTGAATCAGGCGCCTCCAAACTGTCGAAACTCTCGAAACAGGCGAAGCCGAACTCCAGTCCCAAACACAAACGGGGCATTTCGCAGGGTGCGCCATGTCGTGCATGGAAGATGAATTAGTCATTGGTGTTTGGCGAGCCGATGTCATTGTTTTGGCGGCGTCTGGGAACCGGTTTCGTCGGTCTTGGCGCCCGAAGCTTGCGGACGATCATCAGATCTTATGTTGAATCTTAGTCTAAACGCCCCACATTTGTCCCAGATCGACACAGGTTGCCGAGTTGCTGTCACATACTCTCACGACTTGATCGCGCACCATAGTGGTGGAGTGGATAGCTAAGCTTTCGGGTTGATCGTGCTCGATCTATTGGGGTGCGGAAGCAAGTACATATGCGAACAACGTGTTGCAAGTATCCTCTTGAGATTACAACAGATATCGCATCGGAGCCTTCCAAGACGTGCCCGCGTTGCAAACTCTGGAGATAATTTGGAGGCATGCTTTCAGTAATTGCTTCGTTTTGGAAATGCCTCCGAGAAGCGGAACGACGCGCTAGAACGCGCTAGAGCGCGCTGCAACAACGTCTGGTGTATCAGTGGCAGAAACGGTAGAGGTACATGGGAAGGTTTATGCGACTGTGACTTTTTTTCTTCTTGCATGTCATGCCAAATGTAGCTCACAGTCCGAGTACGAACCCGATAGGCTGAGTGCAATACGTGAAACTGCTCCTCGTGACGAGCAAGTGACTTGTTGCACACGCGACTAATGCACAGGTTAGCACTCCATATTGTTCTGCTCACCAGATTTCATGTTCTTCTGTTCGGCGTCCATCTCAGTTTCGATCTTTCGGATGAATTTAGCTGGGTTACCAGCGACAACAGTGAAGTCTGGCACGCTCTTCGTAACGACACTCCCAGCGCCGACCACACTGCCTTTGCCTATCACGACGCCAGGCAGTATGCAAACATTGCCACCAATCCAGCAATCCTCTCCGATATGTATTTCCTTGCCCATTTCAGGCCCCCTAGTGCCGTTACGGACAGCTGGGTCGAGAGGATGAGTAGCCGAGTAGAAGTGGACGTTCGGTCCAACAAGCGTGCGTGAACCAACGGTAGTTAGGCAGGTGTCGAGGAAAACGGCGTTAAAGTTGATAAAAACGTTGTTGCCTAGGCGGACATTATATCCATAATCCATGATGACTGGCGGTTCGACCCAAGGATCATTCTCGAACAGCTTCGCATCCTCGTCTTCTGAAGATGCCATTGGAGGAAGAGGGGTTTTGTCTTGGATGATGCTAGTTGGAGTATAAGAAGAAGTCTGCTGAAGAGCAATCAAATAGTTGCACATACTCTCGGAAAAGCTCAGTCAGCTTCCTCCGTGATACATCGCCAGCATTGTTATAGCGAGTGCAGGCTTGTCTGCTTCGTGCACGCTCTGCTGTGAGCTCAGGCGTGAAGGCATGGTAGAGTTCGCCGCGGGCCATGCGCTGCTTGTTCTCCGAAATCTCCATGTTTGCCTCTGGAATTGTGAGGATCTAGCACTTGATCTTGGAGCTGGTGTGATGGCTATGAAGCCGATGTGGATAAACAAACACATGTCGAAGTAGAAGTTGCGAATGCCAGGTATCACGGCACTAAGGCACGCTTGGACTAGCGCGATGATCTCATCGGCTGACTCCGAGGTCCCACCTGGCAAGACGGGACGCGCAGGAGCCAAGGCAAAAGTGACTGAGTCGCCCACCTCTTACTATTGTTCAGCTCAACTTCCTCACAAGCCACACGGCTGGATGTTGGTCGCGTACTTAGGTCCCGTTGCAAGCCTTTAGAAACATGCCTTGAGTTTCTTCGCTCGTCTTGTTATTCGACGCCAGAGTCCCTGCATAGCCGATATCTACCTATCCACGATTGCCATGTCTTCGAACGGCTCGCTCTCCTCCGGTATCGATATCTCCCTACCCACGAATCGACCGAGTGAGAACGGGAAATGGACTCCAGAGCTTGATCAGGAGCTGCGCGCTAGAGAAGCATCGAACGTCCAGACCAAACCCCAGAATGCTATTGCGCCCGAGTTCTTCCGTCACGGCAAGCGCTCGCTTTCGGGCATCGCTGTGCGTGCTTTCTGCCTAGGATGCGCTCTGGCTTTTGGTCTGTTCGGCACTGTTCTGCTCGCATACAACGGCAGCCATCTATGGCGACCGTTTTTGTTCCTCAGCACGCTCTCTCTTTTCCACTTCCTCGAGTTCTACACGACAGCCGCCTACAACACCCCGATCGCATACATCGATTCCTTTCTACTCACAAATGGCGACCAATACCGACAAGCCCACGCGGTGGCCTTCGTTGAGACGCTTGTAACATCGTATTTTTTCCCCGGTTATCAATCAACGATCCACCCACCGTGGTTGATCGCATTGGGCATAGCGATGATCGCGGTGGGACAAGCTGTTCGTAGTACGGCTATGATGCAAGCGGGCACCAACTTCAACCACCAAGTTCAATCGCGTAAGAACGACGGACATGAGTTGGTAACTCATGGTGTTTATCGCTACTTCCGTCACCCTTCATATTTTGGCTTCTTCTGGTGGGGCATTGGGACACAGATTATGCTTGGCAATACTGTCTGCTTCTTTGGATTTACTGGTGTGTTATGGTACTTCTTTATGAAGCGAATTACTCGTAAGTCCCTTCTCTTCGTCGCGCAAGCATGGTGGCTCACTCAATACAGATGAGGAAAAGTTCCTAATTAAATTCTTCGGCAATGAGTACGAGGCGTACAGGGCACGAACTCGCGTTTGGATACCTTTTATCTAATCACCTGTTGAATGACACGGTCAGTGTGGATTGTTAGATGAGTATGATGAATCTCGTAACACGACGACGTCGTCTCATCACTAAATCCTTTTTCTTTTTCTCTTATCTTTTCTACCTAAACCCGTGGAAGCCGCAAAGTCTCTCTATATTTGTATTTCAACAGGGATACATGAGTAGATAGACGTGAGTAGGTCTCCACATCTGGCACACTGAACGCGTAAATGGTGTAAATCCTCACATTCGTGCTGGATTCGCGGGCGGAATAAGGTGAACAGTGCCATCGTACGTGGGATTCGTTCTTCTTCTGAGCTCGTTTCTATTTCTGTCACCGCCTGCGTCTGCTAGAGCACAGTCTTGCCGTTGTCTCAGCTCAGTTTTAACTCATGAATGCTCTTCTATTTCATCATACCTAGCAAGAGTTTTCTACCTGTCATTGCTATATCAATATGTGCATGGGTGGTGTGTGCGCTCTTATGTCAACTACTACTTTGGCATCTCATCATGTTCATGTTAAGCTTCTGTCGTAGGTCTTCAAGTTTATGAAACCAACCTTACCTTCACGCTCAACTCAAACATTGTTATGAAGCAGATGCTGCACGAGTCTATTATCGCGGGACTCGGTTTAGGTATAGCACATTCTAGTCTCTATGGGTGCCACTATCAATCGTTTCCTATTTCATGCAAAGATCCGAAAGAAACATCGAAGCGGCAGGGAACTATCTCAATGCCGAATTCTACATTGGGTATCATTGAAGACAAACGCTCATCCCGCTTTTCGAGTTTCTCGTCTTCACCGCTGTCGTCTCATTGGCCACAGGCTAACACCAGGAACGGCAACCGCATTGAGACACCCTGGACTGTTTACATTCCTGCCCTCAACGATCCGACGTCACCTCAACTCTTGCCTACATGCATGCCACAGTCTAATGCCTGGTAAGACTCCGCCATGTTCTCGTATACGAAATAGCGAAGATAAACTGTACCAAGCTTGCCTCGATGCCTGCATAGAGGGAATTGCGAAGATAACAGTGGACAGGCGAATTGCTAGTGCGTGCCGATTCTCTTACTTGCTCATGCACTTTGCTCGACTAACTTTTGCCCAGCAACCTCCACTTCCACCCACACCAATACCAACTCCAATAAGAGCAGCAATATTTTTAGTGCGTGCGAACCTATACCGGCCTCATCTTCCCTTCTGTCGCCTCCTCCATCACCCGCGCGCAAGCAAATCGCTCGATACAAGAGTTCACTTCCACTGTCTCCGTTGCCGGAAATCATGGATCGTTCCAGGCACATGAGTCCGCCCTCAGCAGCGCCGTCTGTTTGGGCTTCTGGAGATGCACGCAGTAACCTTGCCGTCCAACCTGCAGCCAATCTGGGAAGTATCAAGCTCAAGAAGAAGGCCGTCAAGATGGTCGGCGCTGCGGGACCCGTATCTGGCACCACCTCGCGACCCGCAGCTCTTACCCTGCCAATGGCATCCTCATCTAATGCAGGTCCAGCCAAAGTCGAGCTGAAGGTTTCCGACGGGTACGAACTGCTACATAATCTTTCGAGCCTTACTGACATGCGTGCGTATAGACCAGCATATGCTAGGCCCACTGTCGCACCAAAGTCATCCTCAGTTGAAAAGAGTATCGTCGCGTCCTCCGCAGCTACCCCTACAGAGACGGCCGCGCCACAGAAGGAAGATCCGAATCCCACAAGCGATGCCTTCGAAGAGTCTGCCATGGATGCACTCTATGCTCGCCTAAACAGCAAGACTGTCCTGACCCCCCGCAATCCCATCGGCAGTACCTCAGTAAGGCCTGAGCAAGCCAAGTTCCCGTTTGGTGATCGTCTTGCAGAATCAAAGGCAGACAACACCAAGATCGATAAAGCAGAAGCCGAGAAGGCGGAACACAAGGGGATCGATGGCATCAAGGTTGCGGACGTGTCACAAGAAGAATTGGAGAATGCGTACATGCGTAAAGCTAGCGACTACATTCAGGCTATACCAGACGTCAATGGAAACACGGCAAGTCTCATTAAGGCCATGTCGAGGAAGTTGCGTGGCTCGTATATGCCAGAGGTCAAAACCGACGTCGAAAAGAACGAGATCATCAAGGCACGTCTAGCCTTCGCTGTTGCCAACTACATCAACAAGGTATTGAAGAAGCGCCCAGAGCAACCTCGTACACCCGAATCTATCAAACAGACGCTCAAGGATGCGAATGGTGATTTCCTCAGACTTTGTGCCAAGCTTGTCGAAGAAGGTCACTTATCTCTAGAGACACTCGCTGAAGTATCGGGTATTGTTGCGGCCATGCACAACATCCTTCCCAAGCCCGAACTACCCGCCACCGCGAGCGTTATCGCCCCGACCAAGGCAGCACCTCCTGTTGCGTCGAGTACTGAAAACACCAAGCCTGTTTCTAAGGATCCGGCAGACGGCATGAAAGGATGGCCGACCCAGGAGAAGCGGGAGAATCGTAAGTCTGTATCTATATGTATGATCAGGCTGAAACTGACAAAATTTAGCGGCTGCTCATCGCACCTGTATTCTAAAAGGGGTTGCAGGTATCACCAGCATCAACCAATTGCAAGCCCTTGTGTGGGGTGGCAAACTCGAGTCTATCTCCTTGCCAGAACCGGGTTCTTCCAATGCCCTCGTCAAGTTCCTCACACCTGAAGCATGCGAGAAGTATCACAAGGCGACTGCGAATGGCATCGAAATCGTCGGCGACATCAAGAAGGCGGTTGTGTTCGTGGAGAAGGCCGAGGGTCCGAACTCCATCAACGATGTCATCTGTAACTGCATTGACGGCGACGCATCACGCTGTGTGCGAGCTATTGGTGCAGACGAAGATAGCGATGCAGTACTCATGAAGCTGGCTCGAGGTAAAGGCGTTAACAAGCGCGATGTCGACCGCATCAAGAGCGGAAAGACTGCACGTGGTGTAAGTAACACTGACTGATTATCTTGATCAATGCTAACATCATCGCTATAGCATTCGTATGTGGAGTTCCGCTTCTCAAACATCTACCACGCCCTCAATTTCAAGCGCGAGCTCATGGACAACGACGACTGGGAGCACTGCAGCATTGGTTATGCACCTGATCCGTGTGAGTTGGCCAATGGTGCTCACTACAAGGATAAGGACGAGGAATAGGTCTACACATGAGCAGTGAGGTATGAGCGAACGAGTCGGAACAAGATCAGGGTATGGCCACGGCGTCTGTGACCTACGATTGCGTGCAGCAAATGTTACAGCAGAGGAGTCTTTGTATGGAAAGCTTTGCCCATTGCGATGCAGACCGCAAGGTTTTAACAGATCCCGTTAATGTTCTTGACACAGGCTCCACATTACAAATGATACTGAACCCAAACAATCTTCCCAACTTGCTCTGCCCAACGGACCGTACTGCTTCAGGTTCAAGTAATACGTTCACACAAACACGGACATGATCATGTTCACCCTAGCGAGCTTTGTTAATCAAGTATGCATGGAAATCTCGCCCTGCTTTGTGCCCACAATTTTAGTCGGTAGACACCTGTACTAATACACAATCCCCTGAACCCGGGAAAGAAACAACAATTACAAATGTTGCATACAGATACCGAAAGTCTGTACAGAAGCTCAAATGTGCCCTAACGCCTTGCTATCACTTCGGTGTTTTCCTTGCCAACTTTCCAGCGTTATTACAATCGACGCCATCCACTACCCAGGCTATAACCATCCTAGCGGTTGACAGCTGTGAAGCTTACGTCGGTCATCTCGGTGTCGCCGTTCTGCGGCGGAGGAGGCGCGGAATCGGTCGTCGGTGGTTGCTGGGCAGCACCTGAGTACGCGCGTGGACGGGCGGCTGCCTCCTCGTTGCTAGCGGGTGTGGGGCGTTGCTCGTCATAGGCTGGGTCGAAGTATGCGCGCTGGGCGGGTGCTGGCTGCTGCTGCTGTGGCTGCAGCGGTGGGAGCGAGTGAAGGGGAGGAAGTGTAGGAGGTGCGCCGTTTGCACCGGTGTGTGGGCTTGTCGCCGTGGGGGCGCCGATGGTACCGAAGTAGCTGTTCTGGGGACGCCCTGATGGGTCCGGGGTACTCTGAGCACTACTCATGGGGTTCATGCCATGCGACAGGGCTCCCAATCCCAGTCTGCCCTCCCCGCTCATGGCTGTCCTCTCACCGGCTCCTCCCTCAGCACTGCCGCCAAGGGGAGGTGTGCCCTTCCTATTGTGGCTCCTTTTGCTTCTCAATGGCTTGTCTGTTGGAGTGGGCGGTGGGCTGCTGCTGCGATCGCTGTCGTCGACGTTGTACTCCATGTGTTTGTTGAGCTGCTCAAGAAGAAATGCGCGCTCAAGACGCATCTTCTGAATCCCGCGGTTCAGGCGTGTGATGCGCAGGCGCGTGCCGTCATTGTTCTCTTCGATGTCGGTTATACGGCGGCGGAGGTCGATGCATTTCCTGTAGTAGGCGCTTTCAACCGAGGGAGGAAGGTCTTTAGAGGAGACGGCGCGGGATGCTGGGGCAAGCAGTTAGTTGACTGGCCACTGGGCATGTGGATTGCGACGCGCCTGAGCGCGAAGGTAGTGCATACGTGGTTGCGGCATCTTTGCGCCTCGTGGTGCTGTGTCTGGATATGCAAAGGTGATTACTAGGCGTCTGTTGATGGAGCCGATTCGCAGGATACGTGGGTGTAGTTTGGTGATACAACTTTGTTGATCAAAGTCAGAGTGCTGGACGCGATGATGTTGAGCTCGGTCCGTGGGGCCGGGGTTGTTCCGAATAGCCTCATCTTATGACATTCTTGGCGTGTCGCGACCTTCCCTCTAGCCAACAAACACCAGTCATCGTCCAAAGACACCCCTTAAGGTGACAATCACTGTATGTTCCGAAATCCTTCATGGACTCTGTCGCATGGCTCCGTCACCACGCCAATACGACGGAACCTGCCATCCTAGAGACTATGATTATCATTCTACACGTAGAACGTGGGTCGGTGGCACTCATGTTCGACTCGCTCCTTAGATGCATCATTCCAGAAAACATAGTTATATGCTTGACAGTCTTGGGAATGCACAAAGATCACTAACGGGTTGTCTTTCGTATTGTACGCCGGTCTGGACAACATGGCATGGGAACCTGCCAGTTCGTACACATACAACACTTGACTAGAGCACAGTCGCGATAGCGCTGGCTCGCCCAGAGCCGGAATAGGATGGACATCCGATCAAGTATGACGCCATAATTGGGGGCCAAACTGATGAATGATAAGAAGTTCTCAGGGTTCCGATCCTCCCGAGGTCGTTTTGTTACTTTCAACTCAAGATGCTGTTGATTTTTCTGTCCCTGGTCTGCGAAGTAGTCTCCGCCGTGTCGTTTCCTCCACCAACAGGACCGTATCACGTAGGATATAAACAGCATGTATTCAACAAAACCACACGAAATGACCCCGTGGCTCCAGCGAATGCTTCGTCAATTCTGCTAGCGACATTTTACTACCCAACCTTGACTATCCCGATACCTGGAAACAACACGAGTCCTTACCTTGATCCCACTACCGCAGACCTCTGGGGCGATGCCCTTCAGTACCCAGATCATTCGCTCCAAAGCTTCACAACCTGGAACGTATACGATGCTGTGCCTCTCGATATGACAGATCTTGGTGTAGGGCAGAAGCCAACCGTCATCTTCTCCCCAGGCGGCGGCGAGAACGCAATCATGTATAACGCATTGAATTCCGAGCTTGCCTCCCAAGGCTATACAGTGATCGCGCTTGATCATCCAGGAGAGACTCCTTATCTTCAGCTTCCCGATGGTGCACCAGGCATCTATGGTATCGATATCACAGAGACTTGGAGCTACGAACTTGGTGTAGCTGTGTACAACATGCGCGTTTCCGATACTATTGCAACAATCAGAGAACTTTTCCCCGCCTATGTCAAATCGACTAACGCCCCGTTCAATACTACGCACTACTTCGCTATTGGACATTCGCTTGGTGGTGCGGCAGCAGCTGGTGCCCTGGCTATCGAACCTTCACTCTTAGGCGGCATCAATTTCGACGGTCTCTTCATAGACCTTTCTGACGTGAAAAAACCATTCTTGATGCTGGCTGGTGCGGAACATACTCCAACCGTTGATCCTTCGTGGGCTCCTTTCTCTGCCAACCAGTCGGGATGGTACCAGTGGCTTAATGTCACAGGCAGCAGTCACCAGAACTTTGCCGACCTGGGCGACTGGGTCGATCTGCAAGGTCTGAGGAATAAGACGATCACACCCTCATTGGACACGATCTGGGCCCCGAGGATGGATTACATCGTCAAGACGCTTGTAGAAAGATTTTTCGGTTTTGTGTTGGGTGAGAATGAGTGGTCAGAAGTACCCAGTCCAACATTTCCGGAGGTTGAGTATATGAACGGAAGTACCACCAGCAGGTAGATGGTTTGCTGCACTTACCATCTAGCTTATGCCAATGACAGCGGACAACAACAAGTTTAGTCTAACTTGACGGTTGCGTACTTTCATTCGTTGTGTGTTCTGATATTGGTCTTTGTTGTACATACCAACTGATCGGACACTAGAATGATAAACCGAATTCGAGATTGTTACCAAGTCTAGCCTATAGTGGCGTCTACCTTCCACTGGAATCACTCAGTCGTGATTCCCTTGTGTCTTTATCCGAAGAAAAGGCACTGCAAACAAGCTAAGAAATGTTGTAACAGCAGCTGCCCAGAATACTGCTGCGAATGGCTCGTAAGGATCATTATCGTAATAGCCGGTCGATGCCGGGTCTGCAACCACACTGTTGAAAACTGCCGTCTCTACACCAAAACCAACTGTGACAGCGAGCTTGGTAATGGTCTGAAAGATTGAGGCTGCAATAGATTGCTGAGCCTTGGGCAAGGAAGAGAGAACGTACATCTGGGTTCGTGGCGAGTTAGCAGTTGTCAGATTGGTACAGACATTTCCGACTTACATTAGCGACGTTGAAATGGAAATCAGCTCCGACTACAATGATGACGAGGGACGGAAACGTGAAGGCCCAATATGAGTCCCCTGAGCGCTGTACGGCAACTAATATTGAGGCTATAGTGTATGCCAACGTGCCTATGCCCATTAAGATCTTGTTGGAGACTCGATGCAAAATGAGTCCAGCTACCACCTGTACCATGTGGTTAGTGTAGTTTAATTGTATCTTGGTGATGACCCACGTTGATTATGATGCCGCTTACAGCCATGGGAAGCATATGAACTGCTGTCAGCAGTGCCGAGTAGTGGAACAGCTCCTGCAGATACAGCGCAATGAAAAATGTCATCGGCGGAAAGACGAGGAAGCCAGGCACCAGAACCACCATGATCTAACAGGTTTTAGCAAACAAACGTGATCATCTATTGGCTTTTGCAAATGACATACCAAGCAGGACTCCCGGTCGCGCCACACATTCATCGGCATCAGTGGGAATGGGAAACGTGTCTCCCATAGTATGAACGCGACGATCAACACAACACCGAGTATGAGGAACACTAGTATGTATGTGGATTTAAAGCCTTGTGCAGCATCTGGCCCAGCGCTTAGAAGATCAACGTCAGTGGAAGATTCCATATCACAGAATGGTTGCCTACCTGAGGGCAGTGGAGAAGAGACCGATGCCTCCTATGATCAAAGCGGCCCCAATGACATCAAACTGTTTGAAGGAAGCGACAGTCAGTGGCAGTTTATCACTGTCATCCACTGGAACTGTGAAACCAGCTATGATGGCTACAACCAGGTAGATGATTGCAAGAAGCCAAAATGGTGCGCGCCAGCCGAAAAGTTGTGTTGCGATACCCGAGAAAATGGTACCAAAGACAAAACCTAGTGGATTTCCTGCACTAAAGCTAGCAAAGGCAAGGTTCTTTCTTCTGGATGGCTTCTCATAGATGCTACCTAGTATACCTTGACACGGGGGAACGGCCAATGCACACATCAACCCCATCACTCCATTGAGGATGATAAGCGTCAGCGCATCTTGTGAGAAGCCGGTCCCGAGCGCAAACGCAGCGAACAGAAACAGGCTGGCGAGAAACATGCTACGTCGCCCAAACATGTCTGCGAGTTTGCCGAAGAAGAGCAGGAAGGAACCCGAGGTCAAACTGAGATTGTGAGTCGCTGATTGAACCCTCATAGAGTAAACTGACTCACGCTGAAGATGCTGTCATCCAAGTGATCTCGGTTGTGCTCATTGATAAGTCCTTCTTGACGGATGAGGAGATGATGATAGTACAGCCTTGAAGCAAGCTCGGCATCGCCACACCCATTGTTGCAATAAAAACAAACAGGACTTCGTGGATCGTTGTGCGAAAGACTGCAGGGCGAGCATTCGGCTTGTAGTCTGGTGGCAGAGGCGTTGTTTTGGTCTCGTTCGAGACTTGCTCGACAGTTTTGTCCGAACTCTGATGAATGGGCATTGCGGTAAGCTCATGCGAGCTCATGATTGCTAGCAAATGTAGGCAGTTGATGGGCAGCGTCGGAAGCAGTCAATCATGGACTCGCCAGAGCTGCAACGGCCGGAAAAGATGGTAGTCAAGCTACATCAAGAGAAGAGGTAAGTGTCGAGGTGAATTAGCGGTGGGTGTCCGGGAATGCACCTGGACGACGCTAGTACCGAAACAGCGCACGCCCTGTAGGGCGTGAAGGAACACCGGCGATGAGTGCAAGTTTTTTGGAGGGCTTCCGCACCTGTCAACATGAATATAGGGCCAGCTTCAGTCTATCCAGAATCTGCAGATGCCATGAAGGGCTTGACCCATTCTGCGCGTAGCAGACCTCAGGAGCAAAGCCAGCAGCCAAACTATCCTCGTGCCTTGGACGAACGGTTTCGATAGTTCATAGACACCCGACTTTCCGGGAAATTGATTTGACGGCTTCTCTTCAAATTGAGCACTACTCTTCAGGGCGTGTCAATGTGCAAACGCATTAGCATGCTTAGGTATTAGGTATAGCGCTTAGTCTAGCAACATGTCCATGATGTGGGTCCAACATAAGCATGCACAAACTGCAGTACATACTCTAGGTATGAGATCCGGAGAAGGTAGCAAGGGCCGAAGGTTGCTGATGTGCATGCAGTACGTGTGGATCAGCTGGTGGAGAAGGTGGTACCTAGCGGGTGAGATCAGCGGGCCGGGGCGCGCGGGGCCGCGCGAGCTACCGCGTCAACCACACTCTTGATGTTCTACGACAGACTCACCGCTCGTATATGCAGTAAGTTTTCAAAGTTGCTAGAATGCCGCAAGGTGTAATCCTAGAGCAATTGTAGAGCGTCATCACAACATTGCAAAGAGCTTCTAGACATGATTGGTATGTGACATTTTGACGAATTTTACTGATCGAACGATCTGGAGACTTATTGTCTAAATTCCAGCTTTGATCTCCTGGTCCTGCAACGATACCTCGAAGCACCAACCAAAATCATCTGGCACCCTACCCATTTGATAGTCCCACAATCGCGCCAGTAGCTTCTGATGGACCGGTCCGCCACCCTGCTGCTGATCCGGCATGTAAGCAATAGTCTCGAAATTGCCGTCAACAGTCACACGCGGTCCAGGACCCAAGCCTTCTCCCATGCGCTTTCGCGTAATCGAAGCAATAGGCATCAATGCCACAGCTGTACCTGCACCCATAACTTCACTAAAGTTAGGTAGTTCCTTATATGATATAGCCCGCTTCTCTACGGTCCATCCAAAGCTCCGCGCAATCTTTTGAACGGTGTCACAAGTCACGCTCTCTATGACACATGGCGAGTCTGACACCACAATCGTCACCTCGTCGCCCGGCTCGTCGTCTGCACCTGAAGCATAGCGGGCGCCTATGAACGCACTGGTGCTAAACTCATCGATATCTTCATGTCGTGCACTGTCTAGGTGCAGCGTCACACCATATCCGGCAGCTTTTGATTGTTTTGCCCACCGCATCACAGGGGCATAATTTCCACCAATCTTAACATGACCAGTCCCTCGCGGCGCGGCGCGGTCAAAGTCATCAACGATCAAAGCCTTCATTGCTTGTGCTTTCTCGTGTACTCCTGTCGGGACAACAAAAGTGCAGAAGGTCGTCTGATCCGTTGCCGTGAGTCCAAGCTGCGGACTAGACCCGTATAGCTGTGGTCTCACATACATGGCTCCGCCATAACCATGAGGCGGGACAAATCCGGCATTGAGCGCAACGGCTGCGCGACAAGCCTGGAGAAACATGTCCACAGGCACGATTGGCAGGTCTAGTGCACTGGCAGACCGTTGGAAGCGATGGGCATTCATATCAGGGCGGAAAAGGGAGATTGAGCCAGGTGAGCCAGGGTGGCGGAAGGCTTTTAGGCCTTCGAGAACTTGCTGCCCATAGTTAAGGGCAGGCGACATTCCATGAATCTTCACGTGGGGACTTGAGACAAATTTAAGTGGCGTCCATTCGCCCGTCTTCTTGGAGTGAGTAGCTTCGATGTGGCCGTTGACTATTGGTAGATACTGATTAGTCGCTGTGATTGAGCTCGGTAGAACTTAAATACCTTCTTGGAATTTGAGATCCATCTTCTCCCAAGGGACAGCGGAAGTGGGAGGCGGGGGGAATTCGGTCATGTTGTGGTTTGTGATGACGTGTCTGGCGATAGCTTTGACCTTTGTTCTTACTGTTGACAACTTTCGGAAACACGACAACACTAACAACAACTTATATGCATCACTTGGAATTAGACTACTCCACAACGTAATTCCTACCACTCCTTGGTATGGCAACAAATTGCCGTCTCTGCGGGGAAGATCTCACTGCTAGTCAACTCCAGACTATACCTTTTACCTAGTTCATTCAAGTGCTTACCGAAGAAAGCATCACGATGCTTTCCGAAGCTGATGGATCATTATGTACAAGATAATGCGTAAAGTAGTGCTTACTTGGAGAACGAATTTGTTTAACCGTTTATAATGACTGGGCTTCTCGGTCACCGAAAACTGGATTTGCGCAGTGATGCCATACGCCATGACGAAAGCTATAGAACAGAAAGAAGTAGAAGGATGCTTCGAGACAGAGATGCTTTGATCGGTGTCGAGCATGATCGGTCTCACGGCTGTAGATCATTAGGCTCAGCAGTAGCAGGGGCATACAGATGCTGAATATGTCCTGTATCCACAGGAAAGTTGCAACTCAACGACACGCGGCCTTATACCGCATTTTGTGGCACCGCGGGCAGCAGAAACACTTCGTATTTGTAAAGTATGTCAGCCGGGCCTGACTCTGACTTTTGGTAAGCACTGAGGGGAGATCGACAGCGGAGTTCCAGAATTTGACGCTTGCATAATGGGCGGTTGATGCGGTCGTTGGATGTATGAAGAAACTTGAGGGGCGTCGAAACACATCACATGAGAAGCGCTTATAAGCTCGTCATTTTTCTCGTCATGCAATGATTCAATCGATAAACCAAGCTTTCTCTCCCTCCATCTCAATCATCAAGAGATAGGTATCCTCTTCTACAAGTGATCAACATGATCTCCAAAGCCGATAATGCCGACGCGCAGCGCGCCGTGGCCAACATCTACAACTCATACATCGCGGCCGCTGCAATTGGTGCTGCGTGGGAAGTCGGTCTGTTCGAAGAGCTGCGCCAGCACGAACACGTCCACATATCCGAGTTCGCAACTAAGCAGAGCCTGGACCTGAAATCCACTCAGGGGTTGGTGGTTTCGTTGACTGTTGTCGGCATACTCCAGCATAAAGGAGATATTGTCCAGACGGGCAGATTGTTCGACGAGGCTTATACGCAGAAGTCCGTCTTCCACTGGCTGGCTCTCGGCTCAGGTACACTGTTTGCACGTATGCAGTACGTGCTTCGCAAGGAGAATCGGACTGGAGATTATTACACACGGGATAGTGTTGCTATCGGATACGCCTGCAAGGACATCAACACTGTTCATTTCGATCCCATATTCTGGACGGCGATGAAGCAGCTTGATTTCAGTTTTCACAAGGTCGTTGACCTGGGCAGCGGCAGCGGTGAACGCTTGATGGAAATCTTGAACCGTTACCCCAACACCAAAGGTCTCGGTATCGATGTCGCTGCTCCTGCGCTGCAGAAGTCCGCAAACGATGCGGAGACACGCGGCTTCGGGGATCGATTGTCGTTCACCTTGGGTGACGCCACTAATCTGGAACATCGCGAAGAATTCGCTGATGTAGACCTATTGACATGCTTTCTTATGGGACACGACTTCTGGCCACGGGAGAATTGCATTGCCTCGCTCCAACGTTTGCGGTCGGCCTTTCCCAAAGCTCGCCGCTTTTTGCTGGGCGACACTGTCCGAATCCTCCTGAATCAGACAGGGCTCTCCAAGTACGCAGTTACCGAGGAAAGTGTTCCCAGCTTCACTCTCGGGTTTGAATTTGGTCATGCGCTGATGGATACGTATATCCCTACAATGGAGGATTGGGAGGGCGTCTTCGCCGAAGGGGGCTGGCGCTGTGTCAAGCAACATCTAATAGAGACGCAGTCTCTTTCCGTTATTTTCGAGCTTGAACATGCCTAGATGGCGAGCAAGTTCATGTTTGGCTGGAGTTGAGATAGCCTGTCTATATGGAGTACTCTATGTTATTAGTTAGCCAATGGAGGTATCGCAGCTGGTGATGAATAACAACTTCTCTGCAGTCTTAGTACCTTACATATTGCGCCTCACGATCGCTTATCAGGCTACCTCCGACTCATCTTCCCTTTACTAAAAGTGTGAAAAGTGTGGCATCGTGTTCTCTTTGATACGAACTGACCTCGAAATCAAGGCGCAAGTGACCGCCTGTGTGATCCAGCAGCTGAGTAGAATCTCCTAGACTGATTCAAGATAGCGGTTCAGGAAACGACGTTGTTACGAAATTCTGGACAAGGTTTATGATTCATCCATTGAGAAGGTCTAGAGTCTCTATCCCTTGATCTTGACCGCGCCTCCTCTTCAATTCTATGCATCAGCCTGTCTGCAAGATACCATATATGCTGTCTTGCTCCGCCTAGAAACTTGTAACTAGATTTAAGGAATCTTTGCTTGAAAACAACCCACAGCTCCTCATCAGCTGTCTCTCCAGTCCCCGGCCTTGGATAAAAGGGATCATTCCTAAAAAATGCTGCGCAGGCCTGCTCAACTCCCTCTGCGTCCATCCGCATAGGCCGACAGCAGTCAAAATCGAGGATCCACATGCAGTGGGTACCCAGAAAGTCAGACTGAAAAGCCATTGATTGTGTATGTTTGCTTCGCGGTGGAGCTAGCACGAATTCGACGTCGTTCGCATCAATTTCCGCACCCCAGTGCATCAGTGCGAGAGCCTCTGCCATAGTCTCTGCATATAATCCAGCGCAGAGATCTGAGGCTTCCATTTGATCGATGTGTAAAGGAACGTTCCGCAGACTGAAGCGCTGGAAGCGTGATTCGCTTTTCCCCTCTTGTCTGTGCCGGCGCCGACGTCCCAAATATGGTCGAATAAGGCATGCATCATCGTCTGGGTTGCCTTTCACGAAAGTGGATAGTTGAGCGTTGCCAGCGCAGAAGAGATCTACAATCTTGTTGCTGATTGGCCTTGGGATCTTAGGGATTCGTTCCGAGATGAGCGCTCTACAAGCAGTGTAGCCAGAAGGGAATTGATGTAGGTTTGATAGCCACCAGGCATCGTCGGTTTGGACAAGATTGTGGCAGTAAGGAATTGAAAGAGGCATCAATGGTGGCTGTTGGATTGCGCTCTGGAGAACTCGAAGATGCATGTTGTAATCATTCGTGACTGATCTACCAGGTCCGCCATCTTCGCGCTTGATGGCAACTTGCCCGTCGTCATTGTGTTGGGCGTTTCCAGGAGTCCAGACACTACCACAAAAGCCCCTTCCTATGCAGCGATATTGGAGGTTAGACTGTAGCATAGTCAAACGTGTTTGTTGTTGATGTTGAAAGTGGTGTAATAACTTTGGTTGTGTATGAGGCACAGAAGGTGCATGAGTGCTGGTATTTAAGGAAGTTGGAGTTCCAGGTTAGTGGCTCTTGCACGCATAATGATCTAGTTAAAGCAAGCGCATGACTCACCACCCGCATATATGTCCCGTGGTACCAACCCTCCGCAAAAACGGTCGTCGTTGTACCAATCTCCCAGGACGGCATAGCGTATTGGGGTACCGAGGGTTTGGCGCAGTACTCACGACGGGTGGGTTTCTATTGGAGGATGGCTATGTTTTACCTTGTTCAGGTGTGGATAGGTTTAATTTGATGAAAGCTAGCTAAGTTGAAGAATGGAATTTACTATGGTACTAATCTCGGTATTCTGTGCTCTGCCCTCACGCGTCTTACCTAAGACGCGCGGAGGGGTGTTTTGGTCACATAGATGTCGCTATATTGCACCTAACATAGTGTTGTGGTGATGTTAACAGAGTGTCTGTATAGTATTAACAAGCTAACGCAGTGTTTACGCGCTGTTTAACCTTAATATAGCGACATCTATGTGACCCAAAACCCCCTCCGCGCCGTATGGTACTGTTAGGCTACTGTTACCTAATCGCCCAGGTAGACGTTGAGACATGCTGCCATATTGGGGTCCATGAACACCATTCTTCTTGTTTGACAATGACACTGCCGAGCTTATCAGACTCCCATAGAGTTGTTTACTATGTTCTGTAAGTAGGGCGCACGAATATATTACAGAAGGTAGGGATCTTTCACGCTGATAGCTCCTACCTGCAACGATGCGGTACGGGCTGACGTTGATATCTAAAATATATTTTAAAATATTGCTCATCCTTGCACATACGACCATAGGACACTGAAAATTAGGCTTCCCGTCCGCTCAGCCATATACAAGCAATGTACCGGCGGATTAGTAGTTAGGTGGGTGACCACTAGCGAATCCCCGCTGTTGTATGTTTTTGCCTATCTTTTTGCTTTTACATACGACATGTACACTTTATATGATACGGCATACCCTTTGTGTTCTTCCTTTTTGCGCATGTTCTCATCTGGTGAGGTAGTAATACCTTCAAGCCGACCGTATCTTGTAAGTCAGGTGGCTCTCTGTTTTACTTTGTCCAAGTGTGCATAGGTCTAATATGACAGTAATTAAGACACTGTTAGCAGGTATAATTTGCTTCTTATGCTTTGCATAAATTGTTGTACGAGTCTTTAACAATTTCAACCACAATTTCTTTTTACGTACAACTATGAAACGTTGAAAACAAGTTTACCCGCCTGCTCTGCCTCGAAGCAATCATCTAACTTCGAATGTGTACTCTGCGCCGGTTATTCGTCAGTGGTATCTCGATAATTATCTAGTTGATGGAACTTACTAGTTGGTGGAATGTATGGCCACTTCAGTAAGCAGAGTTTGGCTTCCATAATCCTCAAGTAAGGAGGAGTCGTCATAACATCAATCTTACGGGTGCGTCGCACTTCAAGGGCATGTTTGCCAAGGTATCGCTCTGAGCGGAAGCTACAATATGGGCGAACAAGATTTTAGCGGATGCTTGACTTCCAGAGTGTTCCCATGTTACACAGTCAAATACAAGAAAGTACGCACCTCCAGCTGATGTTGGCCTGGACAACATTCTGAATGCCATCAATGTACCGGCGGACCTCACCGTCAATATCTGCGCCCCAACTGGGTAGATGATAGATTGCTTGATCCCATTGAATGTAACGCTGCTCAAGCATGGAATCCAATATATCGAAAGCTTCTTGCGCTGAGTGCCCGGCTAGCCGGCAGACAGCGGTCATATTAAAAGGACATCCCTCACACTATACATTTGAAAGGTCAGGGTGATCTCTCGATGACTTATACACGTATCTTCGAGCCAGGGCTTACCTCTTCCTTGCGGTACGAGAGTATATCATTAGATCTGGTGCACATACAATTAGTATCATAGAATGACATAGAAGAACAATCAAAGCAGCGTACAGAATAACGAAGTCAGCACCGAGGCGCTCTAGTGCTTGGATCATGGGGTGCTCGAAGACCTCATCTGGAAGCACAATCTCATGCGCGTACTCAACAAGATGGTAGAGTGGCGCGACGCCGACCGATAGCTGCCGTGTCGATAGCATCTCCTGTAGGGACGGGATGTGATCGGTGGTGAAATGTCCGACGTGGTGCGCTACACCTAATGTGTATTGCTGCATAGCACGAACAAATCGTCTCTGGGTACCGTAGGAAGAGCCGTTTTCGAACCGTTTGTAGATGTCGTCATGTGCCTTAACGATAGGAAGCTTGTATCCGATGAACGGATTGCCCGTCATGTTGGCCATGAGGCTATCGAGAACACGTTCGGATGTTGAAAGGTCGGTTCTCAGCTCGCCTGAGTCGAACACTGTGGTATTTTCCACCGTCAGTGAGGAAAGAGGTCATACTCGAAACACACCAACTTGTTATCGGTCTTGGAATGGAAGCTCACAGTCGTCGAACGGAAAGACCCAATTCCCCCAGTCGCATAAAGTCTTTAGCCTGTCTGGAGGTGCGTCTGGTGCCGCGATGGAGATGAAAAAGGAGAAATCGCAGGCGTTAACCTTTTTGCTCATACTAGGAGCGAAGTCGCATGTTCTGATCGGTGCGGTTAGAGCGCAATGTTGGATCCAGGTATCTGGCAACGGAAGTCACTGACTTTGCAAGCCATCGCTCCGACTCAAGTTAAGCAGCTTGGTACCCCTTATTTGACCTAGGTTCTTGTGTCAAGAAGCACTTGTATAGGTTAGGGATGGTAACAATGGTTCTCTCCTCCATAGCTGCGGTTATAACATGTACTGATGTATTGCGATGGCAATAAATGAAGATTTGTCATAAAGCTAGGATAACAAGCAAGTCGAGAGTGAAGCGAAAGGCATAAGTCAAGGTAAACTGACATGGAAAGAGACAAGTGTATAAAGCAGCTAGCTTGAGTCAACAGCTAGATCGATCTAACGGAGGAACAACTAACACGCTGAATTGTGGAAACATGATGGGACCAGTAGCGTGTTCCGCAAGAGAGTTAACGGGTCTAAGTTTACATTAGTGGTTCACTTCAGTGTAATCATTTATCCACTTTCGTGTATCGATAAGAAAGTGTAAGCACTTATGCATGGTGATTTTGAACTGTACGGCGAAGTAAGAAAGCTTACGTAATATCCAAGTCTACAGGTGTCAACCAGTATAATCGGTATGTGGATTTATATGAACGTAGTCTCAGATAGGGATGGCTTTTGGCCAAGAGGTGGTACCTAGTAAAACCAAGACAATGAACACGAGGTTTTAGGGGTGCTGAGGGGCCTTAATTCTTGGCGAAATTACTACAAAACCCCGATGCATACTAGTGTCTCGTATCTAGATAATTGAGGCCCTTGGTATCTTCAATCGGAGCCAGCGCAAAGTGCGAATCTCGCTGCCTAGTTTCTTATACAAGTCTTTCAAGTTCGCTTTCGATACCTGTTCCTTCCTCTTGAATACTAGTGTGCATTTTTGTGTAGCGCGGCCGAACGAGTAATAGTGGCATATACTAGAAACATACGAACATCAGCTTCAAACTTCGGATACAATTTTCCAACCGCACTCAGGAGAGATATGGCCAGTCACAAATATTCTAAATCTATGGCAGAGGACCTCCGAACTGTTGGAAATTATTCTTTTTACTGGACTAAAGAACACACTCCTAAAGAAAAGACTGATCCCCTTCGCTTCGAGCACGATGAGCTGGGTGCCGCTACTGTCAACATCATCCAAAAGATCCACCAGCGCAAGCAGGAAGCCCAAAAGCAACGGGGAGAACAGATAGAACGACTCGACATGTTCGCGACACTCAAAGCCAACCGGCATCATAATGAGACACTCGAGGAATTCTGGACACAGGTCAACACAGTGCCCGATTGGGTCAACTGGGAGCAACTTGAACGTGGGCAGCGCTTTTTCTATCGCTACGCATTGGGAAACATCATTGGCTTCGCGCTCCAGGGATTTGTTGGCGAGAACTCGGCTTCAACAAGTGTAGTCGAGGTGTTGCTGAGAACAGGCGGCTTCAGTACGCGATCGTTACGAAGGCGGCTGTTGGAGACGTTCCAGCTCGTGCTCGAGGTGACACATTCATTGGGTTTCATCAAACCTGGCGGCAAAGGTCACGAGACTACAATACGTGTGCGTTTGTTGCACTCGATGGTCCAACAGCGTATGCTACGTGTGGCTGAGGTCAAAGGCCCCTCTTACTATGACACCAGTATCCACGGCGTACCCATGAACACGCTTGACTCGATCCATGCCCTCGCCACTTTCAGTTGTAACCATGCTTGGCAGCAGTTGCCGCATATGGGCGTCCGCCCACCTCAACAAGAGGTCGACGACTACATTGCGCTTTGGAGATATGTCGGTCACGTCATCGGCACCCCCACCGACTTCTTTGCAACGACATCTCAGGCTAAGGCTATCATGGAGTCTCTGAGCTACAACGAGCTGCACATCACGCCATCATCACTCGTCGTCGGACACAACTTCGTCGAGGCCCTCAAAGACCTTCCACCCGTCAACATATCAGCTGGCTTTATTGAAGCTGGCAGCCGCCGCCTGAACGGGGATGACATCTGTGATCAGCTGGGCATGGGTCGCCCAGGTTGGTATCATTACGCTTGTTTCAATGGTCACTGCTGGCTTGTATTTGCCCTCGCAACTGTCCAGCACTGGATCCCATCATTTGAGGCTTGGTCTATCCAGTTCTGCCGCGAGGTCTTGCATAACTCCATTATTCACTCCAAGTATGGTCTCAAGGGCGGCTCTTTGCTCGATTTCAAGTACGTTCCAGATGGTCGAATTACAGGGTGTGAGAAGAACGATCGCCTTGACGGTGATCATATGTGGTTTTACGAGCGCCCCCTTGAGCTACTCTACTTTATCGTTTTCTGTGGTGGATGCCTCGCCATTATCGGCAGCGCAAGCATCGCGGCCTGTCTTTTGCTGGGGTTTGTGCCCTATAGTGTGGCTCTTCTAGGCATGAAATAAGATAAGTGAGCGAAGGTGAACCATGGATAAAGCCTATAATGTAAGCTTGATTCTATGGCTTCCACTATACTATGGATGCTACTATGGGCTTCCTTAACAGCAGCTTCTGCCTATGCATTATGTAATACCTGTTGGCTGTTACGAACTCAACTGAGTATAGCAGGCTAGTGCCTGGGTTGGGAGTCTTGGTTAGATAGCCTCGGAAGTTGGCAGGAAAGATGCCAGAGTTGGCCAAGATTCTCCTAACTAGTCAGTAGATTCGATGTGTCTGAAGTGTATGGCGAAAGTTTCAGCCACTTGTTTCCAATGAATAAAGAACAACTACAAAGAAGGCACTTCTACTGGAGAGATTAGGGAAAAGAACATGAACATTACGTGAACAAGATATTTGAGATATTGGTGGAGTGGTTACGACAGCCCAAGACCTTGACACTATATTCTTACTAAGCCTACATCCTCCCATGCAAGGCATAACGAGATACCTTCTATCAGCAAACAGATTTGATGAACCTAAACAGTGTATTTTCAGGAGTCCAAGGTGTCCAAGCTTCTGGAACGATAAATCAAGGTATGTTGAGCCAATGTCTACATTTATTGGGGCGATAGATGCGACTTAGAAAAGCGTTTGCTCACGTTGAGATTCTACGTAGCTTTCTTGTGATGACGACCTTGTAGTCCCTACACCACTGTGGTCCTGGGGGTCGGTATGAGATAGGCTGCGCTTCATTATGGGGAAAGTTGGCGGTCGTTGGTTGGTGGTGGGAGCTCGAAACGGACGAGAGTGGCGAAACCTCGGCCTGGGCTTGCGACACAGATCTTTCTCAATTAAGTAAGTGTACTGCTATAGACAATGGGGTTGGCGCGCGATGGAGAATCTCCCATACGTGGGATCTGGGAACTTCTATCTCCGGAGGCTATCCATCTTGGAACAGTTTCTTAGAAGCTTTTACTCTTTCTGAATATCTCATGGAGGTCTTCTCCCTACAAGCTGTCACTCGATGCTATTCTAAGGGCAGGCAATCTGCTCGTCGTGAGTGGGGCCGAGATGGTTCCGAACGGCCTATGACTCGCATGGCAACCATCGGTGCGCCGTGAAGCTCCTCGGTTTTACACAGTCATGCGGCAACAATTGTGTCTACGACATTCGCATTCACGCAGGTACACTAGTCCATGCGAAAACATTTAGCTGATCCCAGAAAGGCCTTCGTACTATACGAGACTGTACGACTCGTGAAAACAACCTTGGAACCGAGAATGACGGCTCTATTTCAAGGTTTCTTCAACGAGCATCTGCTTTCCGAGGTTATACCTCAGCAAAACGTACACAACATCGAAGACGGTGAGTTTCAGCACGGGCTCTGCATACATTGCAGCGAAAGACCGTGTGCCAAGCGACTTCATCCGTAGGTGTACTTGGCACAAATACCACGTCTGTTTTATCTTCACGATTCTCATCCGACATGCGGCTATAGTCAAATACTGCTACATACCAGTGTAGTGTGTTGACGTTGATGTCTAGTACTGGCTCAGCCACAGTAGAATGGAATGCTGAGGTGGCAATGTTACCCTGGAAAACGCTAGTGACAAGCATGAACCAGGTCGGGCAATAAGGGGCACTAAGCGGACGGTCGAGCGCGCCGCAGCCGGCACTAGCCATGGGTTCAATGCTAGGAAAGAAGTTATTTTCGGAAATTTACAACGTCATGCACGACATCTGGTGAGTGATGATGGACTACCTCGGCCTTGTTGTGCAATCTCGTATCGTACACACGGACTTGAAAGTGTTGATATATAAGACGACGTAAGGGCTGCCCGAAAAGCCTCATCACACCACTACAAACACATCACACTACAATCAGTATCTCAATACCAGATCCAACAACTCACTCAACCAAACACAACCACCCAACATGAAGTTCACCACCTCCGCCGTTATTGCCTCCACCTTGGCCATTGTCTCTGCTTCGCCCATCGCTACTGCCGACAACTCTACCAACACCGACCCCTTCGCTGCCACCAAACCTTCTGGCAATGATGTCTTCCGCCTGATGTCTCTCCGCACCGGTACCCCTATCCAATTCGGAAACGTCCAAGCCGTAAAGGGCGGTCTCAGCATCAACGCACCAAAGCAAAACTCCTCATGCACAGAGCCAGACGCCAACTACGCCAGCTTCTCGCTTACCGAGGAGGGCGATCTGTACCTCTACACACCCAACCCACCTCTGAGGGCTTACGTTGACCGTTCCGGCATGGGCCAGGGTGTCCTCCAATTCACAATGGGTGTTCAAGGCATCGGCAAGAACCAGGAGCGTGGTCCTTTCAAGATTGACGACGAGTCCAACTTGGTTTTCGCGGCAGCCAACGGCGTTGTTGGGTTCCAGGCTTGCCCGGGTGCGGAGGAGGACGGTTATAGCGTCTGGCTGTCGGGCGTCAACACTCCGGCTGGCATCGAGGGATGCATCCCATTTACTATGAAAGCGCTCAAGGAGGAGACTCCTGTCAAGTGCATCTACAACAACATGTGAACCTAATGGACTACCCACGATAGGAAACGGCCTTCTATAATCTAGTTTTTAATGACATGAATACCAACAAAACATGTGCTCTTTTGCTATCTGTGTTCTAGTATGATATGTCAACCTTGCTGCAACTTCTTTGTAGCTGTATCAAGAATTTGGCTTAAAAAGCCGATCCCATAAGAAATTAACTTCATCAGGTGGGTACCTAGGTAGGTTTGCTGGAACCAATGGTTGAGACGCGTAAGGATGCTTAAAGAGGGCCTTTCATGTTTCACGTAGAGAGCGCACAGACGGTGCAATCTAAGAGCGACGTCGAACGAAGATGTTTAGAGCCGCCCAATGACGTCGCTCTCCACTCCTAATCTCGTACATAGCTTCTAGACCAGTGCAAAGAGTCGATTAGATACGGTATGCACGAATATCTAGGGCACCTGACTCCCTGTCGTTATGCGAGAGTGACATCTTTGTTAAGGCGGGGTCAGCCGTGCCTGATGCACTTGACTACCAGGAAGCAAGATCCAGAGTAATCCAAAACTGTAATCAGACGGGCTAGACGGATTTTATTCACCTCAATTCTATCTACGAATGCAGAAAGACATCGATAAGATGGCGTCGCTGTGCGCGGGATACATCCCTATCTAGGTATGGTTCTGTCGTTAGGTAACACCTGCAGAGACATTAACACTGACTCGGTCAGGGTACCTACAGGCGGCTATCACACACCGTATTCGACTTATGAGAAGGCATCTCCGTTTTTGTATTCATGGTTACCGTCTTCATGCATAGAAGCTCAATCGTACCATTGTAAGGAGCTGCATGATGATTCTGGAGTTACACAAAGTAGATGTTAAAACGCCTTCCCACCACTCGCCTGCTTATGATACAAACTCAGCGCATTAGAATAACGTGAGCAAGTCTTTGAATGTCAATGTGTCTTGAACGGCCAGGTCGGAGCTTTACTGGACTCGAACGAAGGCAAATCTGTTGCTGCAAGCCGTTGGAACTGACCTCGTGCTTGCTCGATGCCCGGTCGTTCTGTCCCAAACGCATCATCTATTGTTGATGCGACCACAACTTCGTATGGTGCCGGTAGTCTTCCATTCAACGCGTCCTCTGGCTCCTCCAACCACGTATATGCGAATTCTGCTAGGAAGGGCACCCAGGTAGCGAGCGCCAAGATCTGTCCAAATGTCCATTCGCTATCTTTATTATAGGCTCCAGCTCGTGCTCGTATCCGGATGGTTACATAGACGAGCCAAATGTTGAAGAACAGCATGGCGAAGAACGAGACGAAAAGGATGGTCCATGACGTCCATGATGGGAACCGTACGAATACTGATGGCCGGTGGCGCAGAACGGAAAGAAGAGAGCCTACTACAAAGACAGTGAGACCGATTACCAAAAGAGCGGCGGTCGCCCAACAAAGATAAACCCAAGGCGCGAAGTCCATGTCCACACAAGCCTTCTGGCCTATTGGATCACCGCCAATTTGCGTACTATCTTCGGCTGTAGTCATCACAAGCACAAAGATGCCGCGAATCACCAGTACCAGGATAAGCACGTCGATTACTCCCCATAGCATAAGCCTTCCTTTCAGACGCCGAAACGTACCCGGTGTAGCCAACTGTAGTATAATGACAGGGAAAACTGAATTGAGAGGCACCACAGCACTTAGGACGAACGTTGCAAGAACCGATGTCGACTCTTGTTGCGCCATAGTGATATTGGATGCCAACAGCAAAGCTATCGAGAATACAGCAGACGCAGAAAGAAAGGCCGTAGTCGATAGTCGCATTGCAAGCAAAGTCCGTGAGATGAAGGACTTTCTATCTGTCCTGTTCGGCTTTATTCCAAGACGGGTCCTGACAATCGGGTACAGGTAAAGCGAGATGAGTAGCTGTTGCATCAGGTAGGTGACGAGCATCTTCGCGAGTTAGCTTGATCGACACGAAATCTCTTATGTTAGGTTAGGTCGTACCCCGATGCCAACCATGTCAGGATTGCCTTTCCAGCCGACCGCCCGGCACAGAGTTTGGACACATGTTTTGTAAGCGTATTCCGCAGCGGTTTGATCAAGCCTGCTATCTCTCTGAGTCCACACCCAGAATTCGTCCGTCATAGGGGGTTTTTGAACAGAGTTATGTTGCAGATATCCATCAAGGCTTTCGATGATATACGCATAGATTTTGTGCGGGTCTCTGTAATCATCGTTGGGCGCGATCATGTCGGTATCTACGACTGGCTGCAAGTACAGCCAGATCGAGACCGCCGACGAGCAATTTGTAAAATTGAAACTGGGCGATCCGAAGTCGAGTAGTGACGTGGCGTTCATTCTGGCCTATTGTATTAGGCATGAAACGCTCCTCAAAGGTGTCGGATGGGTAAATTCGATACTGTTTCACAAGACAACGCGTTACTTCTTTTCTGAGAAGGATGTGAAGCAGCATAGCAAGAGGTCATAGCTAAGCATTTGTACCAAGCAAAAAGACCTCGTGACTCAGCTGGCCTGCCTATACATATCGTGCATAACCTGTCCTTCAGCTGGGATGCAAGCCCCAAAACGATAGCCAACCAACGTTGAGCTACGTGAAGGCTGAGCCGCCACCGACGTAAAACCTAACAACTATGGCATCTAGATTTAGATGGAAGCCAAGCCACCGGTGCTGGCCATGTTCTTTTTACTCGGTCAAACAAGACATAGAGAAGGTCATGGTGCTGTGAGAAGTATTGCGATACGCTGAAACTCCATGTATTTGCCACCACAGTTGCTCCCATTCAATGAGAAAGAGCATGAAGAATACCAAATTCAGTGGCAATAACACCTCCTAAATTTAGATGCTAAGCAAGGCCATTTTGTACCATTTGCCTGATTTATCAAGTGCGTGGCTCGATAAGAAGCAAATTATTGGTCGCCAATCCGCCACGACTCGAGTCAATGGAACTTGCCTCTCCAACCGTTTCCGTCCTGTGGATGCACCTAAGCAGTTTCTTCCTCCTCCCAAAGTTCTTCTGGATGCGAAAACATCTCTCACTCTTGAGCTTTATCTGGCCCCTCCTGCAAGATGTATTTGAGATTAGTATATGACTTATATCAACTTAAGGGCGCGAGGCTGTCGCCAGAGCTCACAGAGCTAGACATAAACACACTTGTCGTTTCAGATTGCTGCAATATTTTCGTAATGGAGTTATTCGGCCAAGCGCAGTGCAAGCTGTAAGGTTAAGACGGCCATCCTTCCAGCACATCCACACCAAACAAACTATTTTGATGCCGAAGCAACCACGATTTTGCCTTCTTCCCTTTACCCGACAAGGGAGGTAGGTCGTCTCCTATGATTTGTTGATTATCGAGATACTGAACGGTACGCAACAAGTAGTGCGAGCAAACATCTCCGCGATAATGATCGAGATGCAACCCACAGTTGCACACTGCAAATCGATTAGCGACCCAAGATTCCAGCGGAAAAAAACTCCATTGATTGACCAGGAGCAAAGATGAAGGAATGGATGGTATATGCTGCAAGCCCGAGGGGCGGACCGGTAAGCGTAGACACTAGTGCTTGAGTTCAAACTACCCAATCGCTATCTAGCCACGACTGTTGTGTGGTCATACAAGAGTCCTTCAACACAGCAGCTTAGTCGCATTGTTGCTGCGGCTCCCCACACGAAGTCTCTGCATCATGAACACTCAGCCCAAACATCGCCATCGTAAGCTTTTAATTGATATTCGAGCGCCAGAACCTTGTATCTTTTCTTTCTGCTTCAGAGTCGAACGAACTGCCAATGTGATTTGCCAGCGGGTATTTTGCTTAGCAGCCCATGTGCCATTTCTGAAACATCCGAGCGGGTTTGTTGAACTTTCTCAGTCTGTTTCTGTTTCTTGTATAGTCGTAGCCAGACTGTGTCGGCGTTGCTGCACTCCAGCGCTTCGCGTACGTCGCTTCTCGCCAGTACGGGGTCTAGCATATCCAGTATCTCCTCGAAGCGCTCGTCGCGAACCGTCACATGTTTAGCGATGGCGCATAGCAGCAAGATCAGGCTGTTCCAAATCATGCGTGTAGGTGCATCGACATACAGCTCTGGTCGCGAAAGATCGACACTAGGTTGCGACTCCATGGACAGCCTCGTCATACCAGTTTCGATACCCGTAATCTTTAGTGACGTGAATTTGGAGCTGCTGCCCCTGCCGCGATCGTCATGCTCCTTAGTTCGCTTATAGACTTTTCTGAAGAGATCCCATGCGTCTTCGACCCGTGTCCTCATGAAGTCTCTCGCATGTTCGCACATCAAGGCTATGATGCCTAGCGCATTTGATACTACATATGCTTCCGGATCCTGTAATCGAGGTACCAACACAGGCCAGAGCGTATTAATAAGGGGGAGAAATGAGTTTTCGTGTTTTGCGAGGGCGGGTATGGTAGTGCGAAGAAGAGACAAGAGAGAGTTCCGGAGAGTCGGCGAGGTGGTAGTGAGATAATGTTGTGTGAGCTCGGAGATTTTCAGGAGGATGGCGAAGGTACGAGGCGCAGGAGGGGGAGGCTCTTCAGTCTGAGGTGGAGGTGGATGATCATCTTCCTCGTTTGGATCGTCTGGATTGGTATTTTCCGAGCTCTTGTCTTCCTTCCAGGGTTTTTCTGGGAATGGTATCTTCGCCGCTTGTTTCTTTTCTTCCTCCCGTCTTCGTGTGTCAGCATCTAACCTCTGAATCGCTTTGACTACGTCGTCCATGGTAGCCGTTCTCTTTGGGTGCTTTGTTTCGATATTCTCATCCCCAGCTGTCAACGCGAGTTGTGGCGCCTTGATACCTTCTTCTGCCATGCCTTGAAGTACAGAGAACAGAAGCTCTACGAGTTTGGGATACCCATGGTATCTCTCCAAGGCGTTGAAAATGCTATCCACAAGGTCATCCAAATATGGTAAGAGGGATGGACCGCAGAGTCTCATCATCATGAGTAGAACCTGCGGAGCCTGGGGAGAGACATCGCCATAGGCCAACTTTAAGCCAACAGCGTTGACGATGTAATCAACGTTTGCAATCACGAGCTCCCCTGCGTTGCTATATCCTGAAGCCTCCGCGACAGTATTGAGACAGACTAGAGCATGTTCACGTAGTGCGCTATTCGAGCTTCCAAGATGATGAAGCACTGGATAGAGTACTTCGCTCAACTCAGGGCGGAATTCAGTTCTGTACTGCTTCGCCTGTAGAGCTACAGTCTCCAATGCCAACGCATAAAACTGCCAAGGGTTGTCCGTATTCGAATCTCGCTGGTTGAGTAGTGATAGAGATTGTGAGTACAAGTCATCCAGGACTTCTTCCCTAGGGTTTGGTGTCCCCAAATCCATGAAATCATCGACGGATGGGTTGATCGTTGCTATGTCCCTTACTAAGTTGATTGACAGCCAGAAGCTTGCCAAGCGGACCTCAGTTGGTCCAAGATCAATGGAGCTAGTCAGTCCTTGAGCAACCGTTAGAGCCGAGTTCGATCGCGCGAGCTCCTGAACTAATACTTTAAACTCTGTCATCATGTCGTCCTGGCCTTTATACCGCAGGCTTATTGGAGGGAAAGAGGACGACTTCGTGGAACTCAACGCCAGTGTGCGATCGGTGATCGAGCTTTGGTCGTGTTCGTTTAGCTCTTCTAGGCCTTTTGCATCGGAAAATACAGCAGAAACACCATCTCGTAGACTATCAGTGAGTCGGTCATCCAAGATGGTCGGATCTTGCTCAAATAGTCGAAGCGACACCGAAATTTGGTGTATAATTCGACGGCGGCTACGGTCGTCTTTTGATCGCATTAGCCTAGGTAGCGCTACGATCCAACCGTGCAGGCTTTCCCGTAAAAGATCAGAAAGGGTCTGATCTGCGGACAAGAGTCCTTTTAGTTGACTCTCAATCGTGTCGTCAGAGCCTTCATGTCCCGCCAGATTTATGATGGTTTCGGTAGCCATACTTGTGCAAAGTGATAATGATATACGGCAGTCCTGCACGATGCAAAGACATAGCTTCAAGAGAGCTTGCCGAACCTCTGGCTTATCATGGTCCCTCAGCTTGAATACATTTGCAAGCGCGATCTTGACCTGTGAGGCAGTCGCTTGTAGCCACGAGGTCGATCGCGACGTTGTGGTGATACTCCCCGACTTATCTGATGGAGTTGTCTCGGGTAAGTCCTTGGTTTTCGCATCACTGAGCAGACGAACAAGAAGTGTCGCAAGTACTTCCAAGCTTTGCTCGACAACGCGAAAGCCGGGTCGGTTGCTGCTGCTCGGTGTCAATACCTTTGTCAAGGACGAGACCATCCTAGGTAGAAAGCTGGCGAGAGCATCATCATCATCGATCGCGCTGATGGTGCCCTTGAGCGCACATATAGCCTGGAACTTGACGTTATTCGAGTTGCTATCGGTAAGACTTTCGAGCATGACTAGTACAGCTTCGCCTAGGGCAGGTATATTGGTCGTCGCAGTTATAGCTTTTCGACCCTGCTTCGTGCGCGACGTCTCAGTCATCAGCTCGGACGCACATCTAAGCGCCAATGATTGCAGCTCCTCTGAAGTAGCGGAGATGCCGTTCTCTATGGATGAAGGCTTGGCCAGGAACGTAAAAAGGATGAGGAGTTGCCCTGATAGAGCAGGCTCAAGGCCGCCTCCCCAGCCAGCGGATAGCAAGGTTGAAATGCATTCCAAGCAAAGCTCCAGTGCTCTGACTGGAACCTGTCGAGAGATCCTGAGCACTTGAGATACTGGGACGAAAGCATATTCGGTAAGTTTTGCGTCCAGTAGACCAGGGCTACCAGTTATAGACCGGAGGGTAGTAAGTAGAGTGTTGAGCGCCTGTATCAGCTCCTTCCGAGCGCCTGGGTTTTGTGAGATACTTGCGGTGACTTGTAGCAGTTGTATGCAAGGCTGCTTTAGCTACAGGGGAGATCAGCGAAGGTTGGTAAGTTTAGAAACTCTGCCTACCCGCTGGAAAGTTTGTTGTCTCTCCATCCTGTCTTCGTCTCACGCAATATTTACAACTATGAGCTGATATGGATCGAGTAGGTCGGATACTCGTTTAGATCGTGTGTTCCGGATCTTTCCTGATATGGTTCAAGCGTGCGGGCGCGGTGAATGTATTGGCACTAGCATCGCTGACATGATCAGACCCAGCATCGATACCAATGCGACAAGGCAATCCGGACGTACTTTTTTTTTTCCGGAGTCCCAAGTAAAATTGAGGTGGCGGGTGAAAACAAGCCCAGTGGTGCGGGTGCGATGGTGATGCAGGTGGAGCACGATCCAGGCGGAAGTCAGTCGCGTATCACTGGCTAGCGCGTCACTGCTCAGAAAGTCGCTCCAACATCCCCTCAACACCGTCACGACATTCCCATCACCGCGTCGCTAATCGACTCGACACCCGCGTGCGCCTCCGATCGCTTTCCCACGCGCGCAATCGTAGCGGTAATACATAGCCGCCACACCATCTCCACACGTCACGGCCCACGCGCAGCCACGCGACATGGCACCGCGCAGTAGGCGGAGCGCGGCCGCGGCGACCGAGGTGGTCGAAGAAGAAGAGCAGGAGCTGGAACAGGAGGAAACAGTGCAAGGTGGGCTGAAGAAGCTCAAGTTCAAGCAAACGCTTGTTGGCCGGCCCGGCAAGCAGATTGGCGTGAGCGACCTCTTGACGCGACTCGAGGCGCTGCACGATGAACTGCGGACAATTGATCAGGAAGAGGCGCACAGGGACTCGCTCATGCCCGTCGCAGAGTCGCTGGCCCACCAGAGTCTCTTGCAGCACAAGGACAATGGCGTGCGTGCGCGGACCGTCTGCTGCATTGTCGACATGCTGAAGCTGTTTGCGCCGGATGCGCCCTACCCTGCATCCAAGCTCAAGGTATGATGCATAGCCCAGCACATCATCTACTGCTGCTGACAATGCCATAGGAAATCTTCTCCGTCATCATCCTTAAGCTGCTGCCGCTCCTCGCAGACCCCACCCACCCATACAACAGCCAGCACATGTACATCCTCCGATCGCTCGCCGAATGGAAGAGTATTCTGCTCATCAACGAGATTCCGGGCTCCGATCAGCTCACCGCGGCCCTCTTCACAACCTGCTTCGACGTTTTGTCTGGATCGTCCAAGGGAGAAGAACTGAGCAAGAACATCGAACACAACATGACCGAAATCCTCTCTACCATAATAGACGAAGCACCCGCAGTCACACATGACGTCGTGGATGTCGTTGTAGCGCAGTTCTTGTGGGCAGACCCAATCACACTGGGCTCTTCCACCAAAGGCAAGAAGAATGTGCAGATCGACGCGAAGCAATCTACGCTACGTCGCAAAGAGGCACCACCCGCCTACAATATGGCTAAGAACGTCTGCAATTCTTTTCCAGAGAAGATGGCTCGTCTCATTGGCAACTACTTCAGCTCAGTCATAGTAGACTTCACGAATGCTGGAACCACATACAAAGGCCATTCCAAGGATGACGACGACGACCTCCCTCGCGGCCCCTCCGAGGATGACATCAACGAGGCACACAAAGCACACAGGCTACTGCGTGAGCTGTGGAAGTGCTGTCCCGGTGTGCTCCAGGAGATCATCCCACATCTACAAGATGAGCTTGCTACGGAGAACGTGCAGCTTCGCCAGCTTGCCACTGAAACATTCGGCGACATGATTTCAGGCATTGGCGCAGCTGGTCCACCCCCTCCGCCCGATATGGACCCAGTGGCCTATCCTTCACAGAGTCTATCACGCTCTGACTCAGCCCGACCATTCGACTATCTTACCACACCAGTGTCCATCAACTCGTTTCCAACGCAATACCCTGTAGCATATCACTCGTTTCTTCAGCGCAAGAACGACAAATCCGCCATCATTCGCGCTGCTTGGACTACCGGCATCGGTCGCATACTGATGACATCAGCGGGTGGCATTGGCCTTGATCTTGAAGAAGAACAGAAGTTGCTCAAGTACTTTGGTGAATGCCTGATTGATAGCGACGAGAAGGTGCGTTTAGCGGCCGTCAAAGCAGTTGCACATTTCGAGTTCAACGACATCGTTCGTAAACTCGGCAGCAACGGCGGCATGGCAGAACCAGGGTCCATCCTCTCCAATCTCGCAGACCGCGTAAAGGACAAGAAAAATGTTATTCATTCCGAGTCTATGAGGCTTCTCGGCAAGATATGGGGTGTGGCCTCTGGTGCCATTGCGGAAGGCGATGACAGCATCAAGGCCCTGCTTGGCCCAATCCCGTCTCGCATTCTTGAAGCTTGCTACGTGAACGACCCTGAAATCAATGTGCAAGTCGATCTCGCACTTTACGACTCATTGCTTCCGCTTGCGTATCCTCCCATGAAAGCGAAAGCACAGCCAGCTGGAAACTCACAAGTCGTAAAAGACAGCCAAGCAAACGCCGAACAGGGCTATACCGAAGCAGATCTGGACAAGATCCGGACTGAAAGGCAGCTTGTACTTGTGAATGGCTTGGAAGAGAAGGCAAAGAAAGTCTTCTTCGCCAAACAAGGTAACCAGGGCCCTGGTGCCAGGTACATGGAGCACTTCCTGAAGCTGTGTGAAGACTACAACGGTGGTGTTACTGAAAAGGGTGAGAAGGACGTCAAGACAAATCTCGAAGGCCTCATCGCCTACTACGCAAAAACGTTGCCCGATCCGACTCGTGTTAGAGACGACCTGTGGAAATTCGCCAAAGCTCATGACCGCAGAGCGTACACCCTTATACGGTTCTGTATGGATCCAGCGAGTGACTACCGCAGAGTCTTCAGGTCCATTAAAGAGCTTCGGAAGAGGATCGAAGATGGGCCAGGTTCTTCACTGCTCGACACCTTGACCCCATTACTCTACCGCGTGAGCTTACTCTGCTACAACAAGAGTCACGTTCCAGCTGTCATCGAATACACCCGTACTGATGACAAAGGTCTCGGTGCCACTGCTCACGAGCTTCTGAAAGAGATCTCTACCAAGCATCCCAAGGTTTTCTCAACTCACGTGAAGGATCTCTGTAAGACTCTTGAAAGTGAAGCACCCACGGCAACGAGGCCCAACCCTCCTGGTGCGGTTGATGATCTCAAGGCCTGCGCTGCATTTGCAAAGAAATTCCCTACAGACATACCGATGAACAGCAAAGACAGTCGAAAGTTGGTACAGAGCTTCTTGAACTTTGCGTTCTACGGCAGCCCTCCACAGGCAGCAAAGCATGCGATCACTATTATCATGAACAGCGACGACAAGAAGGAAATGCATGCGAAGGAAATACTTACCAAGAGCATCAAAAGCTTCCAATACGATGGTGCTCACTGGCTCACAAAGCTGGCTGCACTCAGTCAACTAGTTCTATTGGCCCAGTCAGGTTGCGAGGATGATATGGATGCCATCGTTGAGATCGCCATCAAGGAAGTTCTGCAGAAACCGCATGCAGCGACGGCCGATGCAGATGCTGAATGGATGGAGGTCCCAGACGACGACATTCAAGGAAGGTCCTGGGCAGTCAAGATCCTCGTCAACCGCTTACGCTCCCTACCATCCGATGCCAACTTCAAGGATGCTGCGGAAGACACATATAAGCTGCTAAATCGCTATGTGAAGAACAATGGCGAGAGCGCAGCGGATGACAGCACTCCAGCAGGACACAAATCGCGTCAGCGTCTTCTTGCCGCTAACTCCCTACTCAAGCTTTCCTGCAACAAGCGCCTCGATCCTTTCTTGAGCCCCGCCGATTTTATACAGCTAGCCCTGGTCACACACGACCCCTGTACGCAAGTGCGCAAGGGCTTCGCTGATAAACTGATGAAGTACCTTGGTCAGGGTCGTTTGCCGCCCCGATTCTACACTATCCTGTTCTTCCTCGCACATGAGCCTGAGAAAACTATCAAAAACAGCACTATGACCTGGATCCGTGCACGTCGCGCCGCCTTTGCTGCACGAAAAGAGACCATACTGGAGACTGTGTTCGCTCGTTTATTGAGTCTACTTGCTCACCACCCAGACTTTGACACAGAAGACGAGACACTGAAACTCATGTCAGAGTATATCTTGTACTACCTGAAATGCGTGGCGACCGAGGAAAACCTGTCACTTATCTTCCACGTGGCTCAGCGCGTCAAGGGTGTTGCGGATGGTATTGCCCCTTCGCGCCAAGCTGACGAGAATCTATATATCTTGTCAGATCTAGCACAGGCTCTCATCCGATCGTGGGAAGAGCAAAACAACTGGACAATGCAATCATGGCCAGGGAAAATGAAGTTGCCCTCCGGTATCTTCCGACCTCTGGAGAGTCACGATCGCGCGCAGGAGATCGCTAAAAAGACATGGATTGGGGAAGATTTGGTTGACGAACTCGAACCCCTTGTGCGGAGAGCTATTCGAAGCAAGAAGCGCAAGGCATCAGATGGTGTAGAGAAGTCGCGCAAGAAGACCAAGGGCGACAGACCGATCAAGGAAAAAAAGGCTAGGACAGAGCGTCCCGTCAAAACACCAAAGAAAAAGAGGAGAGCTGGCGACGATGATGATGCGAGTGACGTTGATGGTGGCGTCGCTCCATCAAGTGGTCCACGGAGAAAGAGCGATCGACGAAGTACTGTGCATAAGAGCTATGTCGAGGTATCGAGTGATGAGGAAGACATCGGAGCCGGTGCTCAAGAGGTCCAGGAAGAGGAAGAGGAAGAGGAAGAGGAAGAAGAAGAGGCTAATACATCAGACGCAGCAGGAGCGGACAAGCCTACTCCTGTTGCTGAAGAAGATGTAGAGATGGATGATGCAGGAGTCGAGGCTGAGAAAGACCAAGAAACTGCTGCTGAACAGTCTGACCTTTCAGATCCAGAGCCATCCCCAGAACCTGAGCCCGAGCCTACACCAGCGAAGAGAGCTACGAGAGGGAGAGCCGCTACTAAGACGAATGGCGCCAAGTCATCACCGGTTGTCCAGAAACGCAAAGCTGCCGAGCCGATCAAGGAAGCCACACCGCCCAAGTCTGTAAAGAGTGCGACCAAAGCCAAGGCGACCAGGGCAAAGGTCAATGGTGCTACAGCGGTCTCCTCGCCTACTCCCGCTACCAACGGTACTCCCATTGTCCGACGCAGTGGTCGCGCTCGTGGCTGAGTCACGAAGTACTCGTCGCTCGCGGCTTTAGGTCTTCTGGATATATCTAGACATCGTGCGTGGAGTCACTACTACACACGATCGGTCAAACTCTCTACATGATACCACGGCCTCGGCCTTCCAAACTTTCTGGCATAAGTGTTAGTTTAGGATTTTGTTTAGCTCGGTGTTCTCGGAAACGGGTGGTTTTTTACCGGAGGTACGTCTATGCTCAGGCCACTCGCGGTGCTTTCCAATTGTTTAGCCTTGTTCCATTTCATTTATGCATTTATTTGCATTCAAAGTGTACACGGGAGAGCAGCATACTGTCTCGCTTTCGTCGTTGCACTCTCCACCCATATCAGAGGATTTTCTAGCATGTACGCTAGCGATGCGAAATGAGCGTTTAAGGGCCAGTACTTAGTGTAGGACAAGGAAATATATATGACTGTTAATTCAGCCCTGGTCCACTCGTGCTGATGTGACGGGCTATCGTTCGGTCCAGACCGACACTGACCATGGAAGCGACATTCAGGGTTCTCACCACGCGATCTCCTCCAAATCGCCAGAATGGTTGTACTCGCTGCAGGTACGCCTTAGCTCCATAGGGTCGGACCGCTGGAATCTACTTGTACCGAAACAATTCTAACATTTCGACATTCCATGGTTCCCTAGACCCTCTTCGCAACTGCAAACAGTCATGGATCGCATAGTCTTGTAAGGTCATCCTTCTCATAGGCCGGCATCGTCTCCGCGCTACCCACCAACAACGACGGATATGATGGCCATGTATGGAGTACTCATGATGACGAAGATGTCCCATATCGCGATTATGGCGGGTGACCCGACCGGATTCCATACACCATGTTTTCCATGATATTCGGCGTATTTGCACAGCAGCCCTTACACAACGAACACGCAGTGTCTTTTGCATCCTACAATCTGTATTGCCGGTCATCGCACTTTTCTCTTTAGAGACGGACAACAAGAACGTGGACGGCCTCACAGCATATTCCTGCACCACCACGCCTTTTCTACAACATCATCACACCACCTGCTACTACGCCATGGAGGCTCGCCAGATTGCAGCTGAAGCTGCTGTCTTCGATCAAACAAACCTCCTCCCCCGCAAGAAGCTCCTCGTCGTATTTTCCGCACTCGCATTATCGCATTTCATATGTTTTGTCGACCAGACTGGTATCGGGGTTGCCCTGCCCACAATTGGACGTGATCTAAATGCCGAAGACACGATCAGTTGGGCCGGCACGAGTGCGCTGATAGCGAACACTATATTCCAAGTGCTGTATGGGAGGATGAGTGACTTATTTGGTATGTCCTCTGGCTTTGGCGGGAATGTGAAGGAAGCAAAATAGCTAACAAACAAACTAGGCAGGAAATCTGTCCTCCTCTCAGCACTTGCCCTTCTAACAGTCTCCGACCTCCTTTGTGGTCTCTCGCGCGACGCAACGATGCTGTACGTTTTCCGCGGTCTATCAGGTGTGGCAAACGGCGGGATAGCCTCGCTTTCTGCCATGATCGTCTCCGACATCGTCACCTTGAAAGAGCGCGCGAAGTGGCAAGGCATGATAGGTGCATGTGTAGGACTAGGAAACATATCTGGGCCTTTTATCGCTGCAGCGTTTGTACAAAAGAGTACGTGGAGAGGCTTCTTTTGGCTCGTCAGCCCCGTGTCAGCAGCTTGCGGTATGCTCTGTCTTGTTGTTCTGCCTACACCCAAGGAACAACCAAGAGCGGATATGAAGCTAGTATTGAAGAGGATTGACTATGGAGGCATATTCTTCGGAAGTGCAGGGCTGATATTGCTGTTGATTCCTATTGCGGGAGGAGGTGACTACTTCGAGTGGGAATCACCAATGGTTGTTGCCATGTTAACGATTGGAGGATGTTGCATGATAACGTTCGTCTACATTGAGCACCGTGTAGCTATATTGCCTATGATGCCATGTAAGCTCTGGTCGCCCTATTACGAAACACATGCTCTTTGCGAATCATTGCTGATGCTAGACAGTGTCTCTCTTCAGATCCGGCCCCGTTTCCATCATGCTTCTCCAGAATTTCCTCTTTGGCGTGGTGGCCTACTCGCAAACATACTATCTGCCCCTCTTCTTCCAGAACGCACGCCGCCTCTCTCCCGTCATGTCGGCGTCCCTGATGCTGCCACTCACCGCCTCACAAATGATCTCCTCAATTTTATCCGGACAATATATCTCGCGCTTCGAGCGCTACGGCGAAGTGATCTGGCTGGGGTTCTTCCTCTGGACTTTAGGTGTAGGTTTGACATGCATGTTCAACCGCGACATACCTATTTGGGCTATAGTCGTCATGCTTTTTGTCCAAGGACTAGGAGTCGGTGCCGTCTTCCAGCCAGTACTTGTTGCACTGCAAGCACATTGCACGAAAGCCCAACGCGCAGTCGTCATCTCAAACCGCAACTTCATACGCAGTCTCGGCGGTGCAGTCGGTCTTGCAATTTCTGCTGCTGCACTGCAAAATTCCTTGCACCGAGCTATGCCGAAAGAATTACACTTCTTGGCACTTCCTTCATATGATACGCCGGACTTTGCATCACTAGATCCAAAACAAATAGTGCAGATATTGCAAGCGTATGCGACGGCGAGCCGCACAGTATTCATAGTGAATGTACCCTTCATGGGACTGTGCTTATTAGGCTGCTTTTTCATCAAGGATAGGGGATTGCAAAGACCAGATGAGGTTATGGAAAAGGTGGAGATGATAGGAAGGCAGGATAGTGGCAGCGAACTTGTTGAAACGAGTAATGATCAGCAACGGGTGGGTGAACAGGTCATCCCGCTTCCACGGTGATATGGCGACTTAGGGTCTAGATGATGGGTTCAGAGTCGGGGGAAACGTCATATATTTTGTGTCTTCTTCTGGTCGACCATATACAATAACGTATCACATACCTCTCCAGTCATTCTCCCTCTCCCACGCAAACGCCGCTTCAAAAACACCCACTTCATCCCACCACTTCCCAATGACCTGCATGCTAACCGGTAACTTGATCCCTTCCTCGACTCCGGGCCCTTCTAGTACCGGCAACATACCAATCGGCATGGCCAATACCGGATGCCCACTTTGGTTGAATGGCGCCGTGTTTGATGTCAATCCAATCTGTTTCGCAATCTGCTCGAGCGGTGTCGCATCGACACCTGCATGACTCGTCGCTACATAAGGCAGTGTAGGTGTAAGTAAGATATCGTATTGCTGGAGCGCCGTATCATAAGCGTCACGCAATTGTCGAGACAGATTAGTCGCCTTGGCGAGGAGATTGGGAAATTTTTGCGTAGCGTAGAGACCGTTTAAGTATATATTCTTCGTCGAGGCGTATGCTTCATTCCAGTTTTCTTGGCCCATGGGATGTAACAACGAGTTTAAATCGAGCATCTGGTGTCCGCGGCGTCCGAACGAACCTGTGGTTTTGGCGAGGAAGCCACCAACTTTTGATACTCCGGTCCATATCGCAGCGCCTTTGGAGTGAAGTGGTATCGAGATCTCTGTGACCGTGGCGCCGAGGTCTGTGTATTTGGAGACAGCGGTGCGGAATGTTTGGATCACTCGTGAGTCTAGAGCTGGTGTTGAAAGGGATTCGGTGATTATGGCGAAGCTTTTGCCCTGAAGTGGTTTGTGCTTAGGAAGATTGCTGATGGAGCTGTAGATGGGTATCTTGGATGGATGGGGCGCAGCGAAGGAACGGTCGTCAATGTTATCGGTGCCAGCGATGGCTTCCAGCAACACGGCATTCTCGAGCACTGTTCGTGTCATTGGGCCAACGTGGTCGTTTGTGGGCTCGTTACTTCCACATCCCGTGTATGGTACAAGACCAAAGGTAGGTTTCAATCCAATGATCCCGCAGTTGGCGGCTGGGACGCGGATGCTACCACCTTGGTCTGCACCGATCGCTCCGTCAACCTCTCCCAGTGCTACAAGTACACCCGAGCCGCTCGAACTTCCGCCAGCGCTATAACCCTTGGCGAACGGGTTTTCCACTACTCCAGTGCCTGATGAATGACTTGTCGCAGAATGACACATGTTTTCGCAAACAGCTTTACCGAGAATCTGACCACCAGCTTCTAGGATACGTGTAGTGACAGTTGCATCGACATCTGGAACATATCCTTTGATGAAATTCGTGCCTAGTAGCATTGGGACATCTTTCACTGCAACATTGTCTTTCAGAGCAAACGTTTTACCATGAAGTTTACCATTGCCTTTGGCTTTCTTGTCAACAATGTTGCATTTCCATGCCCATGCTCCATGAGCATTGTCAGATTTCTCCGGGAAGTAGATGTTTTCTCTAGAGAAGCGTTCTTTGTCAACTATTGGGACATAGTCTACAGATCAACGTCAGCTTCACTTCGATATGCAGAGAGAAGAGTCATGCCCTACCGTCCATGGCCATCAATTGTTCGCTTGCATCGTGGAATACAGCAAGCAAACGACGATAATCTTCCTTCTCTTTATCATCGATGTTGACCCCAAGCTGGGAGCACAGTGCTTCGAGTGTCTCTTTCGTGACCGGATTGCCGTGGCTTGCATCTAACGAAAAAACCGACATTTTGTGTAAGGAAACAGGGACTTGGAGTTCTCAGTGACGTTCACATGTACATGCCAGTATGGCATCAAATAGCTAACTGTCTCGCGGGCCCGTTTATCCATTCCAGTATCGGAGGCGCGCAAGCCCATTGCGGTCCATCTACCAGGTGCTGGAACACAAACAGTCGTGACACATGATTCAGCATCTCCATATACCGATAACGCATGCTTGCAATAATCTCGGCCGCGTTGAGGTTTGTTAGAGTGGGCTTCCGAAGTTGGAAGGAACGATAAGGGCAAAGCGGGGTTGGTGGGACGCCTATTTGATCGTCGTCGGAATGGCCACTTCCGATAAAGACCCAACTGACAGTGCTTTCTTTACCTAAAAATGTCTTGATTGTATTCTAATCGAAACCCCGTTGTTGATAGGTAATTGATAGGTGGAGGGAAACTCATCTAGGACGCATTCAGGATGGTGTGATATCAGTTCGGGGTCATGAGTGTGGAGTGGACCTTGAAACATTCCATACTTTGATACCACTCCCGAAGCTTGATATACTCTGAGCATATGTTCATTCTCGGGTATTAACATCAGGCTTTATCATTGTTTCGTGAATCTGTCCGCCATGGTCCACGTCGAGGAATCTCTACAACTCCCCAGAGATTTCGAAGGTGCGAGCCCATAGAGCGTGCGTTCTCGCGTATACTGAGCATTCTTCCAGGTTTTGGTGAAGATGGCCATGACGCACAGTGGCCAAACGGTGCCCGCATTGCAGTCTCCTTCGTGTTGAACTACGAGGAAGGCGGCGAGCGCAACCCACTGGATGGCGATGGCACCAGCGAACCCTACCTGTGGGAGAAAGGTCCTTCTGGCGGCGGTAGAGAACAGCGGCACTTGAACGGCGAGCAAGACTACGAGTATGGCAGTCGTTGCGGTGCTTGGCGGATACTTCGCCTCATGAAGGAATTCGGCTGGAACATGACTCTTTGGGCCATCGCTGTGGCCATGGAGAGAAACCCAACGTTCGCGAAGGCATGTGTAAGAGAAGGCCATGAGATTGGTGCCCACGGGTATAGATGGCTTGATATTTGGGATTATTCGCTTGAGGACGACAAAGCTTATATCAAGCAGACCTGTAAAGCTCTGGAGGCCGCAACTGGTATGTTTCGTCCAATACCAATCGTGCATGGAACTGATGCGACCACAGGCGAATTTCCAGTAGGAGCGTACTTTGGTAGAGGAACCCCAAATACCGCTAGCCTGCTTCCAATAATGTGGAAGGAGATGGGCCATAAGATGCTGTACACTTCGGAAGTGTACAACGAAGACTCGCCATACTGGATTGATCTGCCATGGGAGAAAGAACTGCCTGACATGGAGAAGGAAGGCCTATTGATGATGCCGTACAACTACGATTGTAAGCACACTCCACGTGTATGGTCATTCCAAATTAACAAGGTGGTATAGGTAACGATGGAAAGTTCCACATGCTTCCAGGCTTTGTAAGCTCAGCTGGTGCTGTCTATGAGCAGTATCTCAAAGATACGTTCGACTGCTTGTATAGAGAAGGCGGTAAAATGATGACGATTCCTCTGCACTCCCGAATAGCTGGTAAGCCAGGAAGATCGGAGAGTCTGAGAAACTTTATGAAGTATATCTCTGAGAAGGAAGGCGTTTGGGTCGCGACCCGCAGAGATATTGCAAATCACTATCGCCAGACTTTTCCGTACAAGCCCGGATCGAAGACAGGTGGTTCGTAGAACTTAGCACGAGCGCGTCAATGATATTGAATTTAATGGTACAATATCCACGTACTCTTCTGGGTCCAAAGAACAGGAGGTGCGATGATGTCATTGTTCTATGCTGGTTTCCCCAACACATACCGAGACTTCGAGCTAAGTGCAAGGAAAAGGAAGCGTGTTCTGCAAAACGCAATGACGTCCTAGACTCGCTCGCGACCACGCATCGATGGTGCACATAAATTATCGCGTCGCGTCGCGTCGCATCACGAAACACCAGCCTTCTTCTTGAAGATGCACATCGCGCTAACCTTTATCAGTGCTGGTTAGTGCACTAGCTGCCCTGCCCTGTCAATCGGCTTCTTTCATCCCGACGCGTTATCGCCTTATCAACCGAGTTCTATGCCGTCTCTCTAACACCCTGGATTCCAGTGGAAATAGGTGCCTGACTGATAGGATGGCTTGGCTATCATTGTGGCAAGATATGCAATCTGTATCAACAATGAACTGGCTTATATGCTCCAGAGCTTCGCACGAGATGCGCGTCTGGACTGATCTCGATCTGGGATAGTTCTCACTTGAGCACCATGTCGCGCTTTCTGCAGCGAAGCAAAGCAGCATTCAGTTCTCCAAAATCGTTCAAGGAGACATTGCAAACTACAAGCGATCATGGAGAAGTGCGGTACAACCAAGATCTCCTCCCCAGTCCACCGGGTAAGTTGGACAATACAATCCAACTCTGTGAGGCTTGCGACTGATAGGATGCAGCGGACAGGAAATGGAGATGGCAACATTATTTCGCCTACTACTTGACCATGACATTCAGCCCCTCCTCATACAACCTTGGTGCATCTCTAGTCTCGATTGGTCTTCTCTGGTGGCACGGCATGATTGCTGCGGTAGTCGGTTCAGCCATTCTCACCATTTTGGTCGTGCTCAACAGTCGTGGCGCTATCAAGTACTTCATCGGCTTCCCTGTCTACGTACGCGCGGCTGCTGGTGTGAGAGGAGCCAGTTTGTATATCTTAGTACGAGCAGTGGTAGCGATTATCTACTTCGCGACCCAGACGTACTATGGAGGGCGTATAACGTCGGTTTTCATGCGCGGCATCTTCGGGAACGGTTACAACAATATTCCGAATCATCTTCCAGAGAGTGCGGGAATTACAAGTAGAGATTTGCTGAGCTTCTTCTTGTTCTGGATGGTGAGTGTCCTCCAAACTCTCTATTTGAGTTCTGGCTCTAGGAAGCGTGCTGATTTCGACAGGTACAAATGCCGGTCATGTTCATTCATCCAACGGTACTTCGACATCTCTTCGTGGTGAAAGCTGTCTACACCACAATAGCACTCTTCGGTGTACTTGGGTGGGTGATCAGCGCCAACGGAGGCAAGATCGGAAGCTTCACCTATACAACTAAGCAGACACAGCTTTCGGGTTCGGATCTCATCTGGCCTATGATTCAAGCCATCAACTCTGTCATGGGTGCTCTGGCACCGGTGCTCATCAATCAACCTGATATAGCACGATACGGACATTCGTATAGCGATGTGACTTGGAGCCAGGGTGTAGGTATCCTTATCAGCAAAGTTCTGGTCATGTTCCTGAGTACAGCGACGACTGCAGCTGCAACACAAGTCCTTGGTAAAAGCTACTGGAACGTTTGGGATCTCTATGACGCCATCTTGGATCAATATTGGACTCCTGGAGCTCGAGCAGGAATGGTGTTCGCATCTTTCGGCATGATGCTCGCTGTACTTGTCACCAATGCCGGAAGCAACTCGCTCCCTGTTGGCGCCGATCTTACAGGAATATTCCCTCGCTGGCTGACCATCGTCCGAGGCCAAGTACTCTGTGCGGTCCTCGCGCCTCTACTTGTTCCATGGAAAATCATCGCCTCCGCTACATCGTTTCTCACTTTTCTCGGATCTTACACCGTGTTCTTGATGCCAATATGCGCTTGCATGATCGTCGATTACTGGCTCGTTCGAAGAGGCAACTTCCACGTCCCCTCATTATACACCTCTTCACCCGAAAGTCCGTACTTGTACTACAAAGGCTGGAATTTGCGCATGCTGGCTGCTTGGGTTGCTGGAGTTGCGTTCACTGTTCATGGTGTCGCAGGGTCTTTGGATCCCGATTCAGTAGCCGAGGCTAGCAAAAACATGTACAAACTTGGTTTTATATTATCATTTCTGATGGGAGGATCGGTGTACTACAGCTTGTGTCTTATTTGGCCAGTGCAGATACTTCCGATAGGCACGGAGAGGCAGTTGGCGTTTGAAGAATTGGCAGCCAATGAAGGATTCTTTGATCACGAGAACTTGGGTACAATTACGGGAGTCCTGGAGGGCGAGGAGATAGATGCAACACAGCATTACGTCGCTGACAGCAAAGAGAGCAAGGTCTGAAACGGAAGTCTACATCTTTAGGATTATCTAGGGGCCCATCTCGATTAATGAGCGTTTCACAATCTAGCCTTATTTGACATCAGATTCGACTGAAATCATGTATCGTAGCTTTGCTGTCTGACCATCTGCATGACCACGTGCGAAGGCAGGCAATCGCCGAAGCTTCACAGATAGGCGTTCTCCGTCTCTTAGAGTTACGACACATCGATCAGTAGGTTTCTTGGCCTTGTGAGACGTCCGCAATCTCTGTGTAACCCTCCTGCCCTTCTTTTTTGGTGCGAGGACCTCTCTTATTGACCAAATCTGATCTTCTTGCACCAACCGTATGATTAATGTCTCGTCTTTCATGACGACGAGTTTCCATTCTACCGTCGACCTACCTGGCTCCGCCTGAACTCTGAAATGTTTGTTGTTATCTATTTGTGGAAATCTTTCCTTTCTCCCGGTGCCGTCTTGGGCAGTTTGCTGTTCAATGCTTCCTCTTACTGCAAAAAATGCGTCTATGAGAAATGATCCACAATCAACTGAAAAAATGGTCTCCATATACCGAGTGTTTTCCCTTTCTGTAAGGCTTGACTCTGAACGGCAGATGAGGACCCTTGTCTTCTTTAGTTGCCGTGCAATATGGTCTTCTACACGAGGCAACAACGCTGGAAGAACTTGCACGCGCATCGTGGCATCATATCCTGGGTGCCGTCGTAGGAGAAGACAAAGAGCGCCGTCCTCGTATGCCGACAGCGTGTAGTTCAGCAATGCTACGTGGGTGGGGGGATTGTCGCAGAATGTGACTTTGTCGAAATAAGACAATTTGTCTTTGATCTCGGAGTAGTCCAGTAATGAAAGCACAGTCGATACCTCGTTCCGCCGCGTGGTAACAGTAGTCATGATCTTTTCGTGCGCTTGTGTGTGCCACCTCTCTGATTCGACCAGATCAGCATACGAGAAATACGGGGAATAATTCTCATCTTTCTGAACGGGACAGAGTTTACAGGTCTTCCTATTACAGAACTGACTCGGGGATTCCGCTAAGAGGGAATGGCGATGGCTATTGCGACTGTGGAGATACAAGAATCCCGTGTGATCCGATGTAGTGTCATATATGGCTTCCTGGAGTCGAAAAAAAGCTTTCAATCGGCCTTCTCCATAGAGTAGTGGCAAATTGACGTCGAAGAGGCCGAAAAGTGAATAGGCCTCATCTTCCTCCTTTGTCACTGCTCGATGAGCTGCCCAGGACAGTTTCTCTGCTGTGCTGAAAGACGAGATGTGCCAATCATTGCACAGAACACCGCGATCGATACCAGTGATGTCTGCAATCTCCTGGTATTTTTCAAGATTAGTGCCAATATGTTGCCACCTTGACGAGTAGAATTCCACGCTATGCGGGGCGATGAGCTCCTGTAGGGTCCAACCACGGGTGAACCACTCGCTCTTGCCAACAGGCTGATCAATGCCCCAGCCTGCTTCCGAATCCACGACGTCTTCCAAATATGCGAAACAGATGTTCGAATCCTTGTAGTATCTCCACATCGAATTAATAGTCTCCTGTAGTTCAGCTGAGCTTGATTTGTCAATGCAACAACTGTCGATCCATATCCACTCGTATACATTCTGAAGAGCTAGTGTACATGCTCCCTGTACTTTCAAGAAGCCAGATTTGTTGCGTGTCACACTTGTTGGCTCGGAGAGTGGAGCTTGTATAATATCGGCATATGTGACCTCCTCTGATCCCCAGCGATGGGATAAGATTACGTAGTCCGGTACTCTGTTAGGAACGTACACACAACTGAATTCGAGAGATCTGGTGTTCAGCAGTCTCATGGTGATGCGAACTCTGATGGAGAGAAGGAGGAGGCTGGAAAAACGCAAATGATGAGGAATGTGAGATTCAGCAGAAGGCTGAGAACCAGTAGCCCTGTTGTAGGCAGCGCATGTGCGCTAGGCTAAACCGAGAGATCAGACCTGGTCTCATATTCATAGTCACACACCACTAGGGATGCTTTCGTGCAGATGCTCTATCTGTGAGCTTTGAATCTTGCGTCAAAGTTGGCCGGAAAGACAAATGTAGCTTCTGGTTAAGAAAGCATGCTGACAGACTTGGAAAGGTATCCACGCACTTTAGCTACTAACAAAGTGATGTGTGAAATGATGTTGTTTGCGGTATAGACATAGCTGTTCATCATGTTCGCGGCGACTTGAAGGCCGTATCGCGGCGGTCGCGGACTGGAACAGCAGGTGTGGCTGACAGGGTGAGCTTGGACCAGGCGCAACGTCACTGCCGCTGCCGTGAGAGCCTGGAGCTTCAGCATGCCCAAGCCGCACAACACAAGATCCGCACTCACTGCAGCCTGAACCCGCTCGCTTTACCATAGGAGCCACCATTGTTTCCCCAGAGTGAGCGCGACGACTACAGCAACGACATGTGGGACGACGAGGACAACAATCCGTATGGATCCTTTGCCCGCCATGATTCCAACACATCAGACATTCCCGGTTTAGCTTCGCCCGCTGCCCGTAAGGCTTCTACACACCCTCTGAAGTAATCGCCAGCACTATCCGCTGACATGATCAAGTCCCCTACCGTCCCGCGACTCCGCCCTCTGAGGCTTCGTCCCCCGCACAAGAGTCGCCCGAGTATGTCTCGCAGCGGGACATGGATAGCGTCGACTATGACGAAGAGCAGCAGGACCATGCAGACCCCAAGGCGCCCAAGAAGGGTGGTTATGACGCGCGCGTGGAACAATGGCTGTACGAGCACCCAGACCAACTGGTACTGATCACGAGCGCGGGGAAGGACGGTGTCAACTACATACAGTACACCATCAATTGCGGCGTATGTTAGATCGGCAGACGGGGAATGCCTGAGATTAACACATGCAGGGCCTCGAAGTAAAGCGCAGATACTCCGAGTTCGCATCGTTACGCGCCGAGTTGGTCAGGCTGCACCCAACGCTCATCGTACCGCCGATACCCGAGAAGCATACCATGGCCGACTACGCCGCGAAACCGACAAAGGCAAAGGAAGACGCTGGCATCATAGAACTGCGGAAGCGCATGTTGGCCGTCTTCTTAAATAGGTGCAGGAAGATGAAAGATATTCTGGAAGACGGTGTATTCTGGAGGTTCCTCGACCCATACACAAGCTGGGTAGGCCTGTCCAGCACCCGACCGAGCATCCTATTGAACTAACATGTTTCGATAGAATGACGTACTTACTAGCCCGCCTGTCTCCAATATACCCAAACAGATCCTCAAGGCACCTCCGCTCGACCCTGCGAACCCTTCCCAAGCACACAGCTACCTTCCAGTTCCCTCGTCTTCCGCCAAGTTGAAGTCAGGCGGCGCTACATCCAGCTCTGGTACGCCAGTATCACCAGCCAACAATGCAGCCATGCCTTCAGCGGCCGCGCACACAACACCAGGTCCTGCTATCTTCGGTCGCTTCCCTCCCGAGACGCGGGACATGTCAGAGGAAGAGCTAGACCCATACTTTGTCAGCTTTGAGAACTCATCAAAAGACTTGGAGCACCTGCTACAGGGACCAATGGAGAAGGTCAACAGACGCCTGCTTATGCATCTTGGAAACTGGGGAGAGGACATGGCGGATCTGGGCGCCCGCTTTAATGCCTTTTCGCTTTCCGAACAAACCCAATCTCTTGCCGCGGCCATAGAAAAGACGGGCCAAGCCGTTGATTCCACGTATATTGCGACGACCGAACTCTCTTCTTCACTCAGCGCAGGCTTCTCTGAGCCCATGCGTGAGAGCGCACAGTTCGCCGGTGTTGTACGCTCGACACTAAGATATCGAGTGCTCAAGCGGATACAGGAGGATATGACCAAGGACGAACTAGAGAAGAAGCGCAATTTACTCGAATCGCTTGAACGTAGCGAAGCAGAATCGAAGCGACTGGAACAACACCTAAGTGGCGTTGGTCATCAGCCGCCGCGAAGTCGCGCTGCGTCGAACAGCTCACAGCGCAGTAGCGGCGATGCAGAGCAACATAGGAGATCGGAGGAAGACAGGGCGTCCATTGATTCTGACTTCCCACCCACACATGGTGACACACCATCTAGTGCACAGGGCGCTCCTGATAGCCATTCACCACCCACAAGTCCGCACAAGAAAACTGCGAGTGGTAACTTTGTCACTAACAAGCTCTTTGGATCCATTACACACGCCTTTAGGGGCATGGCAGATGTAGACCCTGAAAAGACACGGAGAGATCAGATCGGCAAGACAAGGGACAGTATGGTACAGGTATGCTTCAGATGATAGATACTAAGAGACTTTGAGACGCTAACGAACCGGCAGCTCGAACAAGCGCTGACTGTCGCTGAGAAAGACACCAAAGACGCAAGTTCAGGCGTGATGAAGGATCTGCGGAGATTCCAGAGCGAGAAGGAGGACGATTTACGACGTTACATGGTATGTCACAAGCCCAACCTTCTTCCTTGAACTCTTGCTAACAGCCACAGATGGAATTCGCTCAATGTCACATCGACTGGGCAAAACGGAACAAGGCCGCTTGGGAGGAAGCCAAGGCCGAAGTCGAAAACATTGCGCCACAGTCCTCAGAAGAATACCCCAGGCAACCTGAGGACTTTGAAGCACGGGAGCAGTAACGCCCGACGCCGTAAATTGTCGTTTGATAAGTGGAAAAGCATCACTTGGGCGACCACGCATCTGTATTGAATAAGAGTAGTAATTCAAACCATCACAGCAATCGTTACTTGACGGCGTGCTACTGAATGCAGTCACCATGCTGTCCTGGTGTGTATGAATATCAGTCCGTGATGAAAAGGTACCCAACAATGCGCTTGTTGGACATGCTGACTGAAAGGACCCAGATCCTCACACTACCCTACGGCAAGAATAGTGATGTTTGAGCGTGAGAATCATGTGTATGCACCGTGGCAGTTCGCTGGACGATACAATGCATTGAAGGTTAGCGAAGCTCTATATACAACAGCCTCAGCATCTTCGTGTTCTGCCCTCTGTTGCTCTATCCATTTACCTTGAGAAGCTTCGGCTCTACAACGCGGTTCAAGTACGCTTGATACCACACAGCGACTTGGAAACATTACGCTTACTACTATCAGAGCATCTCCAACAAGAATCTATCGTCTCTGAGCAACTCTCGTTCCAAAATGGGATTATCCTCCGGCGCAACGATCGGCCTAACTGTCGGTCTCCTTGTCCCCATCGGCTTCATAGTCTTCTACGTGTTCTGATATTGCCTGATGTCTCCGAACCACGCCTTCATGCTACGTTCACGCACTCCTTCTTGCTCTACAAGTCGACTTGAACAACTGCGCACACGGCAACGGGATCTAGAGGCACAGGTTGCCGCGGATGTTGGAATGGATGGTGCTCATGGGTTTGAAGGGTTGGGAAGCGAGAGGGACGAAGGATTGGAGAGAAATGCAAGGGCTATTTTAAGTACCAAAGAAGTTAGAGACAGGGAGTGGAGGGCTGCGAGGGAGAAGAACGGACGGCCCGTGGGGGTTGGGTCACCAGGGGTGGGTACTGTAGAGGCGAAGAAGGCGACGGTTTGACTGATGACTACGCAGAACAGAATGGAAAACCATACCGACATTATCATGAAAAGTTGCATCAAATATGAAAGTAAGAGATCTGACCTTCAGGGCTCTTCCCTCCCTGTGGTGTGCACGAGACAGGATAACAGTGTGACCGGAGGGAAACATCCGAAATCTTGGAGTGAGTGGCAAAATAATTGGAGGATCGTAAAGTCCATGATATGCATTGATGGTTAGCAGACAATTGATCTCAAACGCCATCCGTCTTGTCGTTCCCATCCGCAAGAGTTTTTCAGGCGCTCGTAGATATACATGCCGATGCCCGCAGAAGCAACTCCGTATCCACCATGATGAAGAACCAGGCGAACCAGTAGTTGTAGAGAAACCGCCAATCGACTCCAGCCATGACCTTCGTAGTCATCATCAGTGTGCACCCGCTTATTTCTTGTCCTTCTTCGCACCACCCTTGGTCTTGGCTGTGCCCCGGAACTCCTTCATCCTGTTCTTGCGCTGCTTGCCTGTTGTCCAGTCAGTATATGTTGTGTACCATAGCCCATATCCATCGCCATAGTTGCGGCAGTGTTTGTAGACGCAGGGGAGACGTACGCTGCTGCCTGCTGGCCTTCTCGACCTTGGTGGCCATGCCGTAGCGTACTAGCCTGTAGCGGGGCTCGAACTTCTTCATGGCCTCGGCGCTGTCGTAGATGAGAGCGAAGCCGGTGCTCTTGCCGCCACCGAAGTGTGTCTTGAAACCGAAGACGGAGACATCGTCCTTCTTGGCCTTGTACAGCTCACCGAGCTTGCCACGGAGCTCGTCCTTGGAAACGTTCGCGCGGTTGGGGTGGAGGACATCGCTGTATTAATCCCGTCAGACTCAATCCTCCGCAATTGCGTGCCCGGCAGTTCCTGCACTTACACGACCATCTGACGACGTCCGAGGAGGGGGTTGCGGATGAACTTGCGCGTGCGCAGAGTAACTTGAGAGTCGGCCATGTTGGGAAGATTCGACCTGCAACGCGGCAATTAGACGGAATTCACAAGAGCGACACGGCGAGTTGGGTCGGTAGTGAACGTACTGGACAGAGATCGATCTTGCTGTTGTCGATTACCTGTGGTTAGCTGGCGGCAAGATGGAGATGTCGAATTTGCGTTCAACGTGTCGGCGGTCGGCGGTGCGTCTGCTCGCTTAGACTGCCAAGCCGCCCCGCTGCAAAATTAGGTAAGCACGTACATGGAAATCCTCCCCCTCATCAAGTGGGAGCGCTGAACTCGAACATTGTCACATTCGCCAAAAGTCAAGCTGGCTCACTAGAGATATTGGAGCGCTTTGCAAATATTAGAGATACGGTCTCGATCTAAACAGCTTCCATCACCATGGACGACCCTCGCAATCTGCCGCAACTGCGCATACTGCAACGCCAGTATTTCCAGCTGGTAGAGCCTCAGAATCTCAAGTGGCCAGATGATGCTACGTTGAAAGCGCCGGAGGTGCAGTCGTGGTTGTTCAAGAATCTGTTTGATACAGCCAACGTCACTTCACCACCTCCGGAGCGCTACCAGCTCAGGACACTAAAACAACTCGTCGCAAAACTCGAGAGGTCGATCACTGACCCGGAGGAGGATGTATGGTCTCCTATCTCTTCATCGTTGCTTCATTTCTACTGTAGCTCAGCCACACATCAAGTCGCAATAGCCTTCTTTCAACGGCGAAGATACGTTCCAGCATGTGCTGACCTTTCATTTCGTTCTGTTTGTAGGAAATCTCAGATGATATTATGGAAGCGATGACTACTCTGCTTATTGCTGATCTGCCCTCCGAGGCCGACGCGGCTCAGCAAAAAGCATTTGTGACGTACTCTTACCCTGAGCGATTAAATGACGACAGCACATCGCACGAGCGGGCAGTAACGCTGCTTGAAGCGCGATCCGTCATCTCATCGTCTGGAACTACTGGTCTTAGGACGTGGGAAGCCGCGTTGCTTCTCGGATCGCATCTTGCATCCGAGACTGGCCGATCATCCGTTTACGGGAAGAGATTGTTTGAACTTGGCGCGGGAACTGGCATGTTGTCAATCCTTTGCGCAAAGCACCTGGGAGCTGCTGGTGTCGTTGCTACAGACGGCGACGAGGCCGTTGTCGATGCCATCAAAACCAATCTCTTTCTCAATGGACTCGATGTCGATGACAAGTCTCAGGTCCAGGTACGGACAGCGGCGTTAAAGTGGGGCTATCCGGTTGATGCGACGACATTTTCCGAAGACTATGGCATGGAAGTGCCAGATATTGTGATGGGAGCAGACGTCGTAAGCCATTGCTATTGCATCGTCGTGGAGAAGTGGGTTTAACAACGTCGCAGACATACGACAAGTCCGTCATACCGCGTCTGGTCTCGACCCTAGGAGAATTCTTTGACATCAACCCGGCACTCGAAGTCTTAATATCTGCGACGATTCGCAACGAGCAGACGTTCGAGACTTTTTTGAACGCGTGTAGTGGGTCTCTCCGCGTCTTGTTTTCCTGGCCATGTTACGACATCGGGTGAGTTGTTGCTGACTTTTGTGGGGTAGAGCGGAACCGTTTCAGATTCGAGCAGGTCAATTGCCCACCGGTACCTGAACATCAACAGGAAGGGCCGTTTTATCCAACTTCGACCCCGATCCAACTGTGGCGTGTCACGAAAGGACAATCCATGGACGACCCGTTTTCTGTTTGAGGTTTGTGATGTTGAGAGAGAAAACTCTTGACCGACATATGAAGGCTAGACTTCTACTGCGGGTACACACACACACCCTGACGATCGTGGACTGCTGCACATAGTAAGGTGTCTGGTTTCAGGCCTAAGAGATTTTCTGATGATTCACGATCGTCGACGAGACGGTGAGGGCACTTTAGAAGATCCGGTTGGCTCTTTCATTGCGCGGCCGCTAGGATAGAGTTACGCGAGTAGACAATGGACCCGCATTTTGCTTATGCACAGTCAAAAGTCACTCAGGCGGAGGGTGCTTCAGACATGCGAATTATGGACAAGGAACAAACACGATGTAGGGCGGCTCGTAAGCCGACTGGTGAGATTTGTGAGCTTGCAAAACGCTGTTCAAAGTCCGACAGCGGAGTGGTGAGTTGATTGCAGGAGGGGCCGCGCCGGATTACCGGATGAAGAAGTGTGTGAGACACACGCAATATGGCTTCATTGTGTTGAGAGAGCTCGCAACACAAAGAAGATGGGACAATGTCGCATCAGCGATACGCACCCGAATGGACAGTGGTGTGTAGTATGGTACCCGCTGCGAGTTGTACCGAAGTGCACAAGAACGTGGACCTTGTGGTATTTCCGTGTGCATGCTTCGGCCCGCCATTCGCTGCAACACGATGCCCACGACGTCTGTATGCACAACGCTGCGATGCCTAATGATGCAGTATGGCCAGGCTTCCCCGCTGTGGCTGCAACGGGAAAAATTAAATTGTAGCAAGGCACCGTGGTGGATGCGAGTGGGGGTTGGTGGTGAGGAGTCAGCGCGCAGCGGGTGCCGGTATGGCGTGCTGGATGATATCAATGGCTCTATCTTGATGGCTATCACGAATCATCCCCACACGCGCAACCATATCCCGACCGCATATTTAGATCCGTCGTCGTCAACCGCGTTCTAGAACTGCACATCGGAAATCGCAGGCACCGGTCTCGTAATTACTTATTGACCACAGTCCCTCGCTCGTCTTCTTATCGATCCCCGATACATTACTTATTCCCCTGCCGCTGAAAGCCGCCTGCCTCGTGGAAATACTCGGCTTTGCTCTCTCTCACGAACTGCTGCTTATCGCCCCCAGCCCAGCCCGCGCATCGTCATTCCCCGGGAATACACTGCACCGCCTATCAGAAAGTACTGGGACCTGTTTTCATCCTCCCTCCCGACGTCGCACGTCCCTCATCTTGTCCTGGTAAGTTACTTGTCTACATGTTCCCGGTGTCGCATTGTTGTTACTCTCCACCAAAGGGCGCCTGATCCATCCATCCGTCTCCGTCCTTGTACATCGTCGCGATCTAGACATCCATTATAGTGTTCCTGGCTAAAACGTTGGCGCAGAACCCAAGCGATAAGGATTCTAAACAAAGCCACGCACGAACCTTCCGTCATATCAGCAGCAAGTAACTCGGCGGCCTGTGTCACCGCTTCTTCGCTGCCCGACTTCCAGCCCTGTAACAAGATCGTGCACCGTGCGCGATTATCAGAGTGAGGCTTTTAAAGTTCATCCACATCCATAATGGCCACGCATCACGTTCGTCACCCGTCCCATCAATCCAAAAAGTCGCAACCTGCGCACGCACGGCCTTCCAGGCCTCTGTCAAAGCGGACTCATTCCCACGGAAGCAAATCCGCTTCCAAAGTCGTTCATTACAAGGAAGTCGAATCCGACGAAGACGAGGACTCAATGGCGGTTAGCTTTTTGAACTACTGGTATGTTGTCGTCATCGACTCCTCACTACTGTGTGCTAATGTTTTGTTGTAGCACTGTCTGCGAGAAGCAAATTATTGTTCCTAGTAACTCTGTGCTCTACTGCTCGGAAAGGTATGGCACACACCCACTCAGCTATGCACAGACCATCCACTAACATGCACATGTAGCTGCAAGAAGAAGGACACCGAGAAGAGCCTTACCTATTCATACGATCATTACTCACCGCCAACTACGCCGTTTGCCAACTTCACCTTCGACGACTTTGCCTTCCGCGACATTGTACCTCAGCGCTCCCCCACTCAGCCTGAGTCAAAACGCTCGTCATGTGCCTTCTCCGACATCTCATCAGACGACAACAGCGCCGACCGGTATCAGCGCTTTGATTCGGACGCGTCAAAATACCTTCGCAAATTCCAATCACCTGCATACTTCCCTGATACCGTTCGACCCCGCTACAACCGTAACTCCACTTCGCAAATCAGCTTTAGTGCCGCTCCTTCGCTCTCACATACCCCGGCCTCGTCGGTGAGCTACTCGCTTCCATACACACCCGCCACTACAAGGCCTCTCCCACCTAGGACAAAGCCGTCGCATAGTGGATCCTATGGAGCCAAGTCGATCGACCTGGTTACCCCATTAACGGCTCCGTCGAGTCCAAAGTCATACTCGCACAAGTCAGCGGCATCCATATCAAAAACGTCTACTAGTACAATCGAAGGCGAGATTGTCTATGCCAAGTCACCGGTCCCTGAGCCATCGTTCGCCAGTGGAAGTCTTGGTCGATTGCTTGCTTCAACACCTCGTTAAACAAGTGCTGTTTCGAGGTGCTTGATCACCATCACCACTCAAGTTTTCTTGCAAATCCTATCTAATATCATGTCACGGGCGCATGGCTATGCGGGCGTAGCTTCGGTACTCTTGGGACATGCATATTTCGTTTCCACAATAAAAGTCCTTTGGTCATCTTTGAGACGACCCTCCTTTTCGAACAGCGATATACCACCAAGTGTTTAGATCTCATAGAGATATGACGATTAACGTCAGTAGATAGAAATCATGAATGAATGCTCATGTCACACACTCAAAATCTGCAACTGTCTGCACGACGTAAATCGGCATTGACCTCTACCATGACTGTAGCCTCATCGAAGCCTTCTCAGTCATCTCGATTACCAGTTGTGTCCCTTCAACCAACTTCTTGACGACTCAAGTACAAGCAGTACCAATGTTCTCCGCAATATTATGGTATTGGTCGAGTGTGTAAAGCTAACTGCTTTCCTTTGTACACGACTATTCCAAGCCACATTTTCGAAGGGAACAATCATTGTAATGTGAGTGTTTCAGTATATGCGGCAACAACAACAATTTCTGGATAACTAGCAGCAGTCGGAAGCCCCAATAATCTAATCCTTCTGTCGCAGTTGTACATCTGGAAAAATCAAGAAATAGCTCTAGTGATGAGAAATTTGAGACATTAACTATACTTCTCGGTATGGACCACAATGCTAACACAATTGAGCTGATGCTCATCCTGCCCTGCCACAGCACCACTACGACATTTACGATAGAAGAGGAAAAGAAAGCTATGAAGGTTGTGGGTCGCTGTTTATGGCCTCCGTGGATCTCACAAGATCGGGAACCACACAGATATAGCATCACATAGGTAGGAATTCTCATGATAGTAGGCAGGTCTGCCTTGGACATCGACCATTACTTGATTAAGGAGTGTATATAAACGCCGCCGCATGCAAATAAGGAACGCTATGCTATGCAATACCCATCATGAAACCCATAAATAAACATTATTCGATGCTTGTCATCGTCCTTTTGATGGAAGCTCAGTGCTTACAATCCGCAGTTGCTGGTAGCAACCTGGGCGTATTGCGCATCAATACGTCCAAGAGCCGCAGCTTGGCCGTTGGTAAGCTCATCCATGGCTGCCTTAGCAAGGTTGAAACCTTGGGCAGCATGGTCGACAGCGAGAACGTAGACGGTCTTTCCGTTGTAGGTGACGCCGTAGCATGTTCCGCACTGGTATAGATTGTTAGACGGTGAAGATAAAGTGGAGTAGATACTGCACATACCTGAGGGCTGTTCCATCCAGCAACACCCATGTATCCACCGATGCGAGGGAAACCAGCAACGTTGGCTTGAGTTTGCCAGTTGTACTTGGTAATGAGACCGTTGGCACCATCTGAGCAGGCGAGCGCGGTCAAGGAGCGGCTGCCATCATCGTAGCCGGTGTCGTAGCTGACAGTGATGGCTGAAGCAAGGCTGGCGAAGCCAAGGATGGCAGCTGAGATGGCGCTGGAGAACTGCATAATGTTGATGGTAGACGGGTAGAGGCTTGGAGAATGGAGATGTGTGGCGAAACGGTGGTTGCTGTAGGAGATTGGAGAGTAGAAGCTGGAAAGTTGGTAGCTGATGATGCCCTATTACAGCTGCGAGCGTATCATCCTTTATACCGCTCACCATCACGAAGCCTCCACTCTACAATCCGAGGCTACCACCTCGTCTTTCGTCACAATGGCAGTTGGACAGGGTAACGAAGTGCGAGTGCGAGCAACATCCCGGAATCACTTACCATTTCCACAACACTAGCTTCAACGGTCAAAGCAGATGACCATGAAATAGCGGTTTTCACAGTAGATTAGCACAGATGAGCTCATAGCGTCAAAAGACACGAGAGTCGATGCGGAGAGTTGCGATATTTTTGGAAGACTAGCAGCGGGAGAGGCTTGCACTAGCTGTAAAGGGTCCAGCAGGCGAGGAAAAAGGTCCGGGCATTGACGGATGGTTACATTCGATGTGCCATAACAGGTAGCCATGGGCAGCGATCAATAAAACAATACTGCACCCCGCCGGAACTTGCGCACGATAAAGACATCTCACGAGAGTTAGGCCTGGTGTTGTAACCAAAAGAAGAGGGAGCACTGGGTATGGCCTCGGAAGGGGCGGTAACAACGCCACGGCGACGAACACGAGATCTGACTATAACCCGCTACAGCGCTGTACGATGGAGCTATAGCTGTTGCCCAGGGAAGTGCGCAGTCGAATTAGCTGGCCGTTGTGGTAGCGCTCACACCAGCAACGATAACCTCGGTCAGCACATGGGCTGCCTGCTCACCATTGAAGCAACACTCGAATGTCACCACGTGACATCTAATTGTAGCTTTTCCTTCGCACAGCCCGATTATAATGTAGGTTCTGTCCATGGACCGCGACCTCGTAAGAGTGGAGATTCAACATAGCCACTGGGTAAAGCGTCGGAGTGCTGGGACACCGTCTCCGCCAGCGCTTTGACGTCTTCCGAAGGCATGAAGTAATTAGACCCAAGTAAAGTTGTCGCCACGCTTTGCGCAAGCGGGAAGATGCCGGATGGTGAGCTGATGCAATATCATGAGATCTATTCGACCGGAAGACGTGGAGTAGCACCATTCCGAGGCCCCGAGGTCAGCACCGGAAGCTGTAGGCGCTGTCGCACGTTTCGCGAAGCGTATGAGTTCGCACGGAGGTCCTCCTCTCAGCGGATACAACGGCCTGTCAACTGTCTGCGCCCCAGACGTCGCGACGATACGCGTCCGCTGTCACGGCAGTCGATATGGAGGCAACGGGTGAGGGAGCGAGGCTAGAATAGTGTTCGGGTTCCGTGCACGCTCTTTAAAACACGCCGTGTTCCATCAACGCTCAACACGGAGTTTCATCCCTTCGCCAGAAACACGTTTGCCGTAGAAATCAGGGTCTAGTCTTGGCTCTCATACAGCCACAGCAACGGCCTAAGGCAAGAAACGGTCGTACGCGAGCGGCAAGTGGCTGAATAGAGGCGCCCACGGCAAACATGGCCAGTAACAACGCACTGCATTGACCGCCCTGTTTCCCCAGATCTCGCTTGGAAAGTTCAGGCGTCAAGAAAGCATGCCTTCGCGACGCCTGAAGTCTCGAAGCTGTTATGCCATGGGATGGGTATACCGACTCATCCGCTCGACGGGCGGCAACTGTTTCTCTCTTTGTACTATAAAATGCTCGCAAATGTGCTCACCTTTGTTCGGCAGGCAGGTCCACGTTCTTCACTTCTCACTACCAATTACACACCAAGACATCCCTTTGTTTCTTCCCGCATTATCTTAATTACCAAAACGAGCTAGTCTCTTTTCCGAACAAACCGATCATAATGCATTTCTCCACCATCTTCGCTGCTTCGGCCATGGCCAGCGCTGCCTTTGCAGCGGACCACAAGGTCCTTGTCGGTACCAAGGCCGGTGATCTTGTCTTTAAGCCAGACAGCCTCAAGGCCGCTGAGGGCGACACTGTCACCTTCTCGTTCTGGCCCAAGAACCACTCCGTCGCCCAAGCTACCTTTGCCAACCCTTGCCAGCCCATGCAGAATGGCTTCTGGAGTGGCTTCGTCCCAACGACCGACATGGAGGCTGTTGCGCCTACAACCTTTACATACGAGGTCAAGAACGCCTCGGCACCTATCTGGTTCTACTGCACACAGGGCAAGCACTGCCAAAATGGCATGGTCGGTGTTATCAACCCACCGTAAGTCCTCACGAGTTCTAAGAACGCCTGCTTTGACTGACATTGTTTAGGGCTTCCGGTCCCAACACTATCGAGGCTTTCAAGAACGCCTCTGAGAAGGCCACCGAGAATGTGTCTCCTACATCGACCGCCGGCTCTGGCGGCAACCTGTCCGAGAACGGCACCTCCACATCTGGGTCATCATCATCTTCTTCTCCAGCAGCGACAGGCGCTGCATCTCATCTCGCCGGCAGCGCCATGTTCGCTGGTATGACCGGTCTCTTCACCTTCTTTATGCTTTAAACGATCGACACTGGAGTGCGAAGCAGATGTTATACCCGTGCAAAGATAGAACCAGAGATGACAAGAAAAACGAGGCGCAGTAGCATGATGGACAATGTTGAATTGGAAAGGCAGAGCAGAGGTATTCTTGGTGTTAATTGTATATGAGTATTGAATGAACTAGTCAAAACTCCGACTTCAACTACGTCTTTGCCAATGTCTAGTGACCGGAACCTGGTGGCCAACATACTGAGTTGCCTAGGTCCTTGTCCGTAGCAGCATACAAGTGGGCTATGTTCAGGAACTAAAATATCTTTTGGAAGTCAGCGAAAGCTCGTGAAAAGGCATCGTAACTGTAATGTAGAGATGGAAAGCAAATCAGACATCCAAGGAAGGTATTCGCGCTCATTGACCATCTAAAGTAGGTTCGATTGATGGCTAGCGTGGAAACTGCGAATGTGGAACGTTTTTCATCATAGTGCGGGGGAGGGTAAGGGTGTGAAGATGTGTGGTAGTACTTACAGGAACGAGTGGGTAACACGAGGATACTGTAGTCAGTAAAGAGGCGACGGATCGGCCAGCACTTTATATGCTGGCAACTGGAGAAGAGGAAGAATGCGAACTGGAGAAGAGGTGCAGGAAGCTAAAAACTTTAAAGTGGGCCCGTTCGGCAGTACCTTTCGCCGAGACTGCGAACAGCTCCCCTGATGGTCAAGTACCAAGGTATGTGCTCGTAATAATTGGCGAAGTTTCCAGAAGATTCATTCGAGTGATATCACATGGGACTGCGCTTATGATCATGTTCGACCTGAGTTCATACCATGTTCGTTCTTTAGGCTAGCGGGTTGTCCTGTCCGCGAGGCTTACAATTCGATGACGACTTTGCGGAAGCTGACACCCTCCTTCTGCTTCTTGTAGCCCTCCGCTACCGCATCCAGTCCCTTTCCAACCACCAGTGGTTCTGGAACAGCCTTCAGCGTGCCCTTCTCTAGCGCTTCTGGTACCCACTGCGCCCAGACAACATCGCCAATGTACTTGTCAGCTAGCGCTACAGTTGGAGCGAAGACACTGGCGCCCTCGATGCCCTTGGGGAGACCCTCCGCAGCGGGCAAGACGGAGCCGTAGCGTCCACCGAGCTTCTCGTACACTGGTGTCCAGGCAGCCGCGGCATCTGGCGTACCGATGGCGTCGCAAATACCCGCGAATTCTGTGCCTTCGAGAGCGACCATGATGTCGTGGGCAACCTTGGGGTCCTTGTAGTCAAAGGCCGCTGTTGCGCCAAGGCCCTTGAGTTTCTCCAGGTTGTGCTTGCTTGCCACACTGACAACCTTCACGCCAGATGCAGCCGCCAACTGAATCGCCGTCGCACCCACGCTGCTCGAGCCGCCCCATACCAATACTGATTTGCCTGTAGACGAGGGATTGGAGGATGGCAGCGGTAGCCCGAGCGTCTCCTTCTTATAGAGACAGGCGGCTGCAGTTGAAATGGCAAGAGGCAGGACTGAGCCTGACGCGAAGCTCATGTCGGATGGAATCTTGGATACGACGAGTGCGTTGCAGGCGGTGTAGAGCTGGAATCCGCCGTGCGCAGGGTCGTTGGTAACGAGGGAAAATGCATGTCTGCACCATGCTGTCAGTATACTCTCTCGCTGGAGCTCATGAAACTGAAGACAAACCCTAGTACGCGGTCGCCTTTCTTGACATGTGTAACACCCTCACCGACTTCGTGAACCTCGCCAGCGACGTCAGTACCACAGATGTTGGGGTACTTTTGCAGGAAGATTCCATAGTCCTGGATTTTCCCTGCTCAAATCAGCACAATTGAATGAACCGCACATGTGCAGATACTCACAATCCACGGGGTTGACAGCAACTGCGTGGTTCTTGATCACAACCTCGCCCTTGCCCGCCTTTGGCATGGGAGCTTCCTTGACCTGAAGCTGGCCCTTCGCTTCTGGGATCCACGCTGCTTGATTTGACATGATGATGGTGATTATTGATGTGGTTTCTTTTGGTGTGTAATGTACAAACAAGATGAGTTATAATTGGCGTCTTGTAGCCCAATTGACGAGAAGAGAGTTTACAATATAGTTGTCCGCCGGCGCAACATGTTCGCCGATACTGCCCACCCACAGTCGATTACTGAGCCTCGGTAGATCTCCAGCCAACGTACAGAGATCGGCCCCCACATTATGCTTTTTCGATGGCAGCTACAGAATCTGTTTGGTGTGTTTATGGGGAACTGGTTGTACGGTGACGTTATCTGAGCAATGATGATGTCTAGCGCATGCTATGTCATCGTCAATGGAGTTAAGCGGAATTTGGCTGGCTTGCATGTATGGTTCGGGCCGGTCAACAACTAATAGAGACCAGAATGAGAGAGAGAGAGAAGATATTGAAATGAATACTCAATAGACAATTCTGAAGGACTGTAGTTGCCAAGGAAACAGACAGCGCCCAGAGGTTTGGGCGATGAAGATATCCAAAAGAACAGTTTGATGGACAAGATCCCACGTGTCTGTTTTTATCCACACGTTGTTTTAGGGCCTTTGTCTTGCGTTAAACATGATGGAGGCTGCAACTCGATTGCAATCGGATCGATTTTCCAAAACGTCAGAATGAAGTTGAGCAGGACGCTAACCCTGGATCTGGGATTACCACGAGCCAACGTCTGTCTATTGGGAATTTGGACTAACATTACGATATGCGCCTTCCTGCTTAGAAAGAGGCCTACGACTTGTATGTATCTTGTTCTGTTTTGTTCGAGGATGACTGCGAACTCCTTGCTCTTCCGATAGGTTAAACGTCAGTATGAGTATTGGACGTTCATGGTTTCTTTGTTTCCGAGGTTGTTTAGATTGCGGTCCGCCGCGGGCTCGACGAACAGCTACAACAGCTCCGCAGCACACGCACAGTCTCATACCAATGGAACTGCATCCCGGTACCTGCCTAGCAGGATAGTGAAGAGCCTGGTGAGTAGTGGAAGGTCAAGAGTGAGTTTTGGTACCTATGGGAGAACGGAAAACTGCCGAGTCAGTTGCGCCACCCCTCAAGCCACCATCTGATTCGGGCTCAGATGCACCGAACGGACGCGCAATAGCAACACCAACAAATGTGGAGTCGCATTTCAACGGCGCAGCGATAGCAGATTGCAATGCCGCGTCCTGATTTGCTTTTCTCCTCTTCCACCTCAACGACCATCGCTCTACGCCGACCTGCCTGAGCGCCGCTCCTCGTCGAAACACGCGCGTAATCCGATGCTTACTTGGCCTCGCTGATCCGCATCTCACAATCGGTCCTGCAACCAATCCTCAACGTTCTCACCATCCCGCCGATTCTCTCCCACCTTCCTCGCAATCATGAAGCTACCCCCGATCGCTGTAGCTTGTCTCTCCGCCCTCGCCATAGACTCGTGCAGCAACATTATTGCGCAACGCCTAAAAGCATGGAACGAATCAAAGCCCTTCGTCTTCGACCGTGTTCTCTTCACCCAGTTCGCCATCATGGTTGTACTCACCGCACCCATCAACTACCATTGGCAGAATTGGCTCGAGCGCGCATTTCCGGGCTGGAAGACGGTTAGGCAGACGAGGGCTGTAGGGGAAGGTGAAGAGGAGAAGGGCATAATGCTGAGAGAGGATGGGGATGGAAAAAGCATAGTGGAAGAAGAGGTCAGAGTAAGGAATTGGTGGAATATCTTTAGGAAATGGTTCACAGACGTGCGTGGCTCACTCTTCACTTTCCGTCGTGGGCAAGGGCTGACAATAAGCAGTGTATTACCATGGGCGCCCTGCTGAATCAGTCCATGTTCTTGATCTTGATCGGTCTCATGAAGGGCAAGACTGTGGCATTGATTGTACAAGACTTCAGAAACGTAAGTACGCCCCTCCAATGAAGCGTCTCCATGTACATGGCTAATACATGAGATAGGAGCTTTTTGGTCTCATCTTCGATTCATACAAAGTCTGGCCGATTGCCAACTTCTTCAGCACGACCTTTGTCCCCGTCGAGCGCCGCATTGTCTTCCTCAGTTTCTGTGGTCTGTTATGGAACATTTACCTCTCGCTGGTGGCAGCTAGATTATAGATATACGGACATGCAATGCATTTGTTCACGCTCGAGATACTGCCATCTCAGCATGAACATTACATTACACTGGCATCCCTACTAGCCAGTGGCTCTACTTGTCCCTTGGCCCCTTCGTCCAAGCTACAACAACCGCCGTCCAATATTTTCTTTGGTCCTCTCTTATGTGCCCACAATGCGGACTCTTCTCAAACTGAACCTTGGTCACATCCCACCCCTTTGCCTTGGCGATATCAGCATGTTCATCTGCCTCCTCGAAACCCACCATCTGATCCGCCTTGCTATATAGATACACACGTGGCACTTTCGTATCAAATACCGACTCGTCATTCAGCTGCCGACATAAAACCACCATCATATGCTCCCTTCCCATCAACTTATCGGCAATGAATGTACAAACAAGCAAGAGATGTACCAGTGCCCCACCAAACCAAACCCAAAACATACTTTTGGGAAGAGACGCAGATATCGCTGCGTGGCTCTTCATCCATGGACCTTTTGTCGGACTAGAATCGAGAATCTGTGCTCGCATCGGCAGTACTGTGCCATACTTCTTCTTCCAAGCCTTCGCAAACTCATTGACTTGATTTCCGCCGCCGTTTGAAAAGCTGTGGACGAGGACTTCGCCTCCTGCAGTGGTGTGTTCGGCTACAAGCTCTATTGCTGGCTGGAGTAAAGAGCTATAGGAAGAGGCGCTGCGGAACATGTCTTGAGTGAAGCATCGTACTAGTAAGATGCGGGATGTGGGGAAAAACTCTTTGTAGGTGAGTGTATATTTGGCAATGTGCTTTGCAGCCGCGGCGTTCCAGGCGAAGAGGAGGATGAGTGGTGTTTGATCTCCGGGCTGAGACAAGTATGGCGGCGAGGTCCAGAGGTATGTGTTGTGGCCTATCTTTTGGAAATCGGATAGTGGTTTTGCGATATCTGCTGCTGGTGGGGAGGTTGCTGGCTGCATTTCTGTATGTTGACTTTAAGTACAGCTTGCTGTCAACGATGCGGTAGTGAGATCAGCAGGCCAACACCTCTTCCGCATCAGAGTTCATATAGTACAGGCAAGGCAAAGGACGGTGTAAGGCGTTCTATATGATAGGCATGTTTGATCATACAAGTCGAGTCTACGACCTTGGCGTGAAGGAGCAACCGAGCCGAGGTAACACGTCATTGGCCATCTACTTCCTCTTCTCGCAACGCATACCATATCCGCTCCACGTCGTGCTACCCTAACGCTGGATCGTCCATTCTGATATATGGATGCCTAGACCCCAGTGCCGTTGCGTCCGAACAGCCATGCAGCTCCAGAGCTCATCATCGCACCTGCCTGTGCTGCTCCGGCGGCAATACTCGCGCCATATCCGCCCATCGCTGCACTTTGAGCTGTCGCGTAGATGCCACCTGCGGGTACATAGCCGAAGAAGCTCATGATGGAAGTTGCTGCTGAGCCTGCGATATCATCAGTATCGAATACAGTGTGAGCCTCTGGGTACCTAGTAGGCAGCGACTTACCCGCGACGGGCCCTCCCGCACTTAATCCAAGTGCGTTGAAGAAAGGTACAGTAGCGGCTGCAGGCGTGAGAAGTACGACGCCGTTGACGACGTGGAACATTGTTTGATAGGGATGTGCTGCGATCCAATCGAGAAGCGGTTGTGTAGCTGCCATCGTTGCGTTCATGTTTGATACTAGTAGTCGCAAGTGGCTGGGATCAAATGATGTGTGTGTGCGTGAGCCTTCACTAATGATTGCAACGCTGTCCGACTAGTTGCGAGATAATGAGAGATATTCAAGGCTGACTAGAGAAGATTTCAGCCTGGTGAGTGGTGAGGGGATCATGCGGCTGAGCTGGCGGAGCTGCTGCTTCTGGTTGGCTGGGAACGTTATATACAAAGACCTCATTCTTGTACAAGAAGCTTTGACTGTCATTTGTAGATTTGAACATATTACAGCTGTGTGACCAAACCGATCATCGCAAAAATTTACGAATCGGTCACACTCGTCGCTAATCTGTTCTATTCTGTACCGCGAGACTTAAATTCATGACCGCATGTTCACGCTTATCATTTATGTCTTCGCCCCGGCCTCCTCCAGGTCAACGAAATCTCCCCTAAAATTCTCTCTGGCCTTGGTTGCTTCAAGGATTCAGAAGGACGATTCAATCACTTTTTTTTTTATTATCTCTGCATCCTCATGCGTACTCACCGTATTTGAGAGCTGAATGAAAGTCACGGCACAGATAGTGTTTGATAGATTTTCCAAGAACAAAAAAGCTTGTAGCGGCTGAAGCTACGAGAACGTCAAAGAGGAAACGTTGATGAAAGATTCATCCCTATAACTCGTTATCATCTCCATCGGCCTTCTTCACCTTCTTTTTGGGTGGCGTCTTGACCGACTTCTGGGTCGGCTTCTTTTTCGTAATCTCCTCTATTTCTTCCTCTTCCTCATCAGCAGCTCTCTTTCTCCCCTTAGCCAGCGTTACTGCCTTGCTACCCATCGCTCTCTCCCGTGCTGCCTTTGCAACCTTCGTCGGAGTCCTCTTCTTCGTACTACTAGGTGGCTTATAGTCATCTACATCCTTCTTCCCCTTCTTGCTTTTCTTTCTCTTACCATCGTCCTCAATATCATGTTCACTGTTCTCAGTGACACTAACATCTGATGGGAACTCAAGTTGCGGTGTAGGTGTTTTCGTTGGTGTCTGTGTGCGAAGACGCGCGCTACGTCTAACAGGTGTGGACGTCGTTGATGCTCCTTTGTTAGGACGAGGTTTCTTAACAGGTTCTCTTTCATCGACAGCGTCATCTTCAAATGGATCAGGAGAAGGCTGTTTACGTTTTGTGCCTTTCAGGATCTTTGATGATTTTTCCTTGGAAGTCTTAGGCGACTTGGTCGGTTTCTCAGTCGGCTTGCCTGGAAGAATTCCTTCGATCGTTGGAACGATATCAAGAGTTCCTTCGTTGTTGACGGCCTTGATAGTTGCTGCAGCTTCTTTTGCTTTGACAGCTGCTATCTCGGTAGCTTCTGCGGTTTCATCGGCAGCTTTTTGTTCAGCTTCCTTTCTCGCGGCCTCATTGTCAGCGGTTCTCTTCTTCTCGGCAGCTATGGCATCTTTTACCTTCTTCCTCTCTGCGTCCGCCTGCTTCATTAGTTCTTTCTTTTCCGCGGCAGCCTTTTTCTTCACATGTTCTGTCTTCTGTTTAGCTTCTTCTTTCGCGGCCTTCTTGTCAGCGGCTAATTTCTTAGCAGCCGCTCCAACCTCTTCTACCTGCCTCCTGATCTCAGCATTCTGACTCTTTGCGTCATCTCTCTTCTTCTTTTCTTGGACAACCTTGTTCTCAGCAGCAATCCTGGCCTCCTTCTCCGCCTCTGCTGTTGCGATGGCAGCTTTCTTCTCTTCAATGAGCCTCTTCTTTTCAACAGCTTGCTCTTCGAACCTTCCTTTTTCTTCTGTACCCCTTCCTTTTACTGTGCTCTGTGTGAATCCAACGTCTTCAGATGTCTGGTGTGCGGCTCGATCGCTCTCATTCGATTCCTTGTTGGGTTTCCTTTCAAACTTAGGAATTCTTTCATTTTGTCCAGTAGCAATATCACTGGCTGACTGCTGAGCTAGCTCAAGCTTTCGCGTTGTATAGATAGCTTCGGAGCCCTGCTGAGCTGTGGTAGTCTGAGTTGCTGTGATCCGTTTGATTTGCATTGCAGGAGTGAATCTCGTCAGCCAAGGATCGTCCTCATCTGAGCTTGTGGATTCCGAACTAGATTTTCCTGAGCTGTTCTCAATAGGACTTGTCCGCGAATGCTGTGGACCGCGTGGAAGGGCACCAGGTCTCGTGTTTGTAGACGGAAATCTCGAAGTCGGCTTCTCTGTTCGATGTGCGTCCTCTTGCACTGGCTCTCCTCGCCGTTTACGCTCTTCGGCAGCATAGTCAGTCATGTGATTCACAAGCTCCAAGCCGTTCGTATGTTCTGTGCAATCACATGGCACAAAGATGTCTTCTGGACGGAAGTCATGCATGCGTTTTAGCAGAAGTTCTCGAGTATCCCGCAGTATGTTTCGTGCAATCGTAGCGTCTTCGACTTGTGATACGGCGCCCACTCGACGAAGACTATGAACAGTTTCGTCTCTTCCGTGCACATCCTCATTCAGCTGTTCGATGTGACCTCGCATTTCAGCGCGCCAGGTTCTCTGGGCAATACCACGAACGTGGCGACCGTAGATTCCTGTCAGCCTTCTTTCAATGTCTTCTGACCTTGGTATCACTGCTGGAGGATCTCTTACAAGATCTTCTGATGAGGAGAGTAGAAGTGAAGCCTCAAGTTCTTCTTCTTTTCGTGCTGTCTCTCGTGCTTGCTTGATGGCCTTTTGAAGCTGTTCTTTTTCGCGCCTATCTCCTGCCAGCTTGTGTGTTTTGTATAGGTCAGTAGTTTTGTTGCTCGAAGATGGATGCGATGTTGGGCATCTCGCCTCATTTGTACCTCTATGCAAAGCAAGTTCAGCAGTGCCTGTAGGCTCAGGGGTCCACAGGATCCAACTGCGTCGTACAAAACGGCCACCAGGCCATATATTTTCTTGTGCTGCATGCATATGCAGCCTGAAGTCGTTCGCGACGTGATGCAGGAGATCTTCTTGGGTCTGCATATGGCCACGCTCGTCCGCATAACCAAACATTACCCAGGTCTCTTTTGGGTTCAGAAGTTGGCGGAGACTCCAACTACCCACACTATCGAAGTTCTGAGACATTCGCAACCGTAGTTCCTTCAAGTTCGTCATTTGAGGTGCATATTCGGTCCAGAATCGGTGCCAACCAACGGCTTCTCGCTCAAATGCAGCACGACGGGCGACCTGGTGCAAGGTCTCTGGTATGGATCTGTCCGTCTCGGGATCATCGTATAAGTGTTCATCGGCGTACTCCCCGGCCGGAGGACATGAGTCGAGGTTGTTGGCCAGTGGGATGCGAGTTTTCTTTCCGATAATCTTCTTGTTCGCCGTCTTCTGGGTATTGCGCTTCGATATTCGTGATGGTCGATCCTGCCATTGCTTCTTGAATGGGCTATTCTTAGCAAGGTGCCAAGGGCCGTTTGGGCGAGGACAATATGCTTCGGGTCGTCGATACGGTTGCCTTTTATCAATCTCTTCCAAACGCTGCTCGTCCAGAGGATTGCGTAGGTCGTAGAAAATACTCAAGGTATCGATGTGAGCTGCTATTGTTCCCAAACCAGCATCAAGCGGCGCTTTAAGCGATTTCTCCCACGCGTCTGAGTTGTAAGGCCAGCCCCAGTACAGGCTGGACCCATCAGGGTTGCGACGGCCCATGAGAAGATGGATTGGTATGCCGGCGTCTCGCATGATCTGAAATTGCCTAGAAACTTCACCTAAGAGTACCTCATTCGTACTCCTAGTTGTGTTGCCAAGTTTGTATTGTTGTTCCAAGCTGGAGAATGCAACGTCCAGGTTTTCCTTCGGACTTTCCATACCGCAACTTACAAAGTAGTCCCAGTCGAAGATTGGCCGCCATGCAAAAGTCGCTTTCAACCAAGTGTATGCCTCTTTGAGTCGATCTGCTGTCAGCTGTTTGTAGTCCCGACCCTGGTCCATAGATAGTGTAGGAACAGGTTGGTACTTCTGGATCATGGTGAAGGGATGTAGGGGAATCGTGCTATTGACCTGCCATTCAGGATTCAGTGAATATAGACTGTAGTCCTGAGATGCAGCAATTCGACCCGCGTCATGCAGCTTCACCAACATGGATGGCAAAGAATTTACATGTGTCCTTTCAAGGCTACCGAGTAGTTCTTTGTGGTGGTTCTCGTCTTTGTTTCCACATTTCTTCCGGCTTTCGAGCTTGCTCCGATCACACGTGTAATTGCGAATATCTGACCCTCCCTTCGCTTTATATGGCTCGTTCTGGAATGTAGGCCTTGCGTCGAGCCTCTCGAATGCGGGACTTCCAGAAGAACTCGAAACATCTGACATGTTGGGAGTGTCTTCTGGCGCTGGCAAAAGCCATCTCGATGATGCAGATAGGAGCTTGTTGTGTTGTTGTTCGTAGATATCAAAACGGGCCTTCGAAGCTGCCTTCGAAGCTGCTGATATGACATCACTGTCTGATATTTCCGTAGAAGTATTCCTGAGAGGGTATATCTGAGTCCAGGCTCCAAGATCAAGACCTATCTGATCTATGTTCAGCCTGTCCTCGGCATGTAGAGCGACTAGTAGCTGATGTAAGAAAGGAATCGAAAGCCGGAGTTCAAGAGCCGTGACGCTGGACGGGGTACGTGTCTTGATGCCCCTGATGAAATCACAAACGTATTCGTGTCCACTAAGGCTCGGTGGTGGGATTTCTTCCCTATATTTCCCGCGGATAGAGAGAGTTTGAAGATTCGTACAAAGCGGTAGGAAATTATCGAGCAGGATCCGCGGAGCGACAAGTGAAACATCTCGGAAATCTGGAATACCAAGCCATTTCAGTTTAGGCGCCGTCTCTCTTACAGGACACATGCTGGGTATACGAAGAAAAAGGTATGCCCATGTGTCAGTCATGGTTACCGGGGGCTCATTTGCATAGCCCTTGTATGGCTGGACTGTGAAAAGTGCAATGTCGCTCAAGTCCAGAGCTTCAAGCGACGGCAGATTTCGGAATATCCTGGCCAAATGTCAGCAATTGGCTTCAGAGTCGCACGAATTCGACTAAGATTGCGGAAAGCCGAATGTCTTTTTGTTGTTTGTCATGTAGACGAACTAGAGTAGACTCACCACGTCAGATCCTCTATATTCATCCAATGCGCCACTGCGATCTTCGCAACCCAATGGCGTCTCTCTGCATGGTTATCGATTAGGTTTCGGAACTGTTGCCATGCTTCTTGAGGATACGGGTATCCACCCTTTTCACCTTTGGCAGCTGTGAAGCCTCGTTGACGCTCCCAAACAAGCTGTTTCTTGTGTTTGGAAGCGCTTTCATCTTCAGCATCCACCCCATGCCAGTCCCAGTACGTGAATGGTTCGTAATACACAGCTCGCAGGGCTGCGTTTGCATCTTTGCCGCCTACTCTGTTCTTGTATAGAGCAATATAGAGCATAGCACTGGCCTGTCTGCCTGCATACCGACAAATCCGTGTGGTAACATCCTCGCTCAAGGGCCAATGTCCTGGGTGCCTGGGCTTGATGTGAAATGGGGGCCAGAATTTGCTTCTCTTCAGGTTCATGATGAGGAGTAAACTGCTCCGGTGTCCTAGAAGAACCCAAAATACTATGAAGGTTGTCAGAAGCTCCAGCAGCACACGCAAAGCAGCATGAGATGTATAGACAGCCTCTCCAAACAAACTTTGGACTGCCAAAACATGGAGTCTTTGTTCAGCAAGACTGCAATAGTGTTCCTACCTTGCACCTTCCGCATGCGGGCTACAAAGGCAGTCGTGGTTTTTGTCGAGGCACATGGCGATGGCCGTCTTTGTTCAACAGCCACGCGCCACTGACTCTAGACTAAGCATAATGAAGTTTGAGCTTGCTGAACGGATCCGGCGATCGCAACCTTTGGGCATCCACTGAAGAAGCGAAACTGTTCGACGAGTCTGAGCACGGTACTTGGAACGTGGACACATGCGTAGAACCGCCTGTTTGATAGAGAGTCATCGAAGGTTAGTAGGTACACGGTGAGACTGGACGGTACGAGGCAGCAATCATGATTTATCCATTTCTAAAAGAACGGCCCTCAGAGCGTCAAAGGGTGGTCTTCGATCCCCTGCCATAACCGCCGTTTTCTTCGGTGCCATACGCGACTCGTGCGCATGCTGGTTGATTGCCGTCTGGTTCTTATCGCTGCCGCCGGCGGGACGTCTGGCACTTGTGGAGCGGCCGGCGCATCGTTTCCGCCTCTTCTGCTCAGCTTGAGCGATAACAGTATGAAGACACCCGCGATCAAGATAGCCAACAGTAACATAATCTTCCTCTTGATGGTTCGCTTTTGATATCCCGACGCCACTTTGAGTTCCTTGTCCGCTTCTTTGACGTCTCGCGACATGTTCTCTACATTGTAATCTATGCGGTCCAGCATGCTGCCTTGATCGATGACCATGGTCTGTAGCTCCTGAAAGATGTTTGCTAGCTCAATGATACCTTGGGCGATGTCTTCAATTTCGCGCTCGCGTTGGGCTATGATTGCTTCGTTGGGGTCATGTCGCATGCGCTGTTGCTTTGTCTGCAGGAGCGTGGATTGCGAGAAGGAGCGATCGGCATCGGACTCTTGCAGGGCAGGGTCGTTGTAGGGGTTCTGCACGGGTGTCGCGGAGCGGAAGGGCGAGGTAAAACCACCGAGGTCGCGTAGTTCTGGACAAATAATCAGCATTGCCCAAGTTTTGTACTGGGGATGTCTCACTCTTCAGGTAGGCCGACTGCTTCTTGCGGAACATGGCGCTCACTTCGCCGACACGGGTAGCCAAGGAGATCTTGAGATTCTGTGCCATGACCTCTTCGCCCTGATTGATATTGCCCTGCTGCTTGGCTTCGCGCACCATGGTCTCTATGCGCTTGATGGCTAGCTGGCACTTTTGGAAGAGGCGTGTGATGCCCTGGGTGAGCTGTTCAATCTCCCGCTCTTCCCGCTTCTTGACGTCTTCATCGTCGAAGCCCGGCAGCACGTGCTTCTGGTGTAGCTGGTCGAGCTTGCGTGTTTGCTTGGCTATCTCGGCTAGGTGTTCGGTGATCTCGTCCTGGATATCCAGCCATCGTGGAGGCAGCAGGTCCATTTCAATCACAGCATCGCCGTCGTCTTCGTATGCGCCGCTGGCCATGAGCCCCTGCCGCTCGTCGGACATGCGCCTGCTGTCGCCGAAGCCATTGGAGCCTGGGCCGCCATAGCGCGTCTTCTTCTGGGGGTGGTGGGAGTAGGACTGGCGGTAGGATATAAAGCTACGCAGCTACGTCAGCGAGGGAAGGGCAGGGTGGTCGGAAGCGGTAGCAGCAGCATACAGGTTGGTTCGGTCCCGCCACATGCTGGGCTGGCGAGGGTCAACAAGGCTAGGTCATGGCAGGGCACGAGGAGTAGATGGAGGGCTATGACGACGCGAGCTGTGGATTGTCGACTTTTGGAGTGAGGCGCATTCGCAGCGTGGTAGACGTGTCTGGGCGGTGCAGCTGAAGCCGCCTTCCCGCTCTGGGCAGCGCTAGCGCCAGCTTCCCAACAGCAGGGCCGCACTAGATAGGGCCGTCTGACAGCCTGCTCCACTCCAGCCCATCTTCTCCAGCCGCAAACACTACTGGCATCTCCTTCACACCGCACCTGCGCCTCTGCTATATCTCAAACCCGGCCCAGCCCAACACCCGTACTCGACCAACAACCTCCCTCCCCCTTCCTGCCAGACACCACCCAAAGAAATCATGGTGTGTAGCCCCGCGCCGTCCTCGCACATTCCCAAACATACCCCGCCCTGCAAAACACCACGATAGCCTGCCCGCCAGCACCCTCGCGCATCGCTAACAGGTCCATGTAGGCCGATTCTCTCACCGAGGAGCAAGTCTCCGAGTTCAAGGAGGCCTTCTCTCTGTTCGTAAGTGCCCTCCCCATCCTCTGCCATGCCGCGCGGCTGCCTGGTAGCCCTGGGGGCCTGCGCAATCACGAACATGCAGCTGACGACGTCGTGTTGTAGGACAAGGATGGCGATGGTCAGTACTCTCCCTCCAAATTCCCTTCCACACACACACTCTCTCTCCCTCTCTGCCTTCAAAGCAGTGCCGCATCTCCAGCCTACGCAATCGGCAGAGGGGCCCGGGCGAGGCTTGCTGGCTAGGGGTCCAAACCACCGCCCACAGCTACAACACCACGACATCCACCCTACTCCATAGCAAGCACAACTGACGACGATGCGCCACAGGTCAAATCACCACCAAGGAGCTAGGTACCGTCATGCGCTCGCTCGGCCAAAATCCCAGCGAGTCTGAGCTCCAGGACATGATCAACGAGGTCGATGCCGACAACAACGGCACCATTGACTTCCCAGGTGCGCCCCTTCATACCAGTCCAAAGTACCACAGCTAACTTTTCCAGAATTCCTTACCATGATGGCCCGCAAGATGAAGGACACCGACTCCGAGGAGGAGATCCGGGAAGCCTTCAAGGTCTTCGACCGCGATAACAACGGTTTCATCTCCGCCGCCGAACTGCGTCACGTCATGACTTCTATTGGCGAGAAATTGACCGATGACGAGGTCGACGAGATGATCCGGGAGGCTGACCAGGACGGTGACGGCCGCATCGACTGTAGGTTACAGCTGCCTATATCACAAGTGCGATGCTAACACACATCAGACAACGAGTTCGTCCAGTTGATGATGCAGAAGTAAGCGTTTGAAGTTGCGGGTGCTGAATGAATACACGTATCATGACGGTGACACGGCCGAGGGTTAACGGCGACGAGTGACGGGACAATTTGAGCTTCTTGGCGTGTCTTTGTACGACGGATCCGAATGCTTGCAACCTGAGTCGGTTGGCTCATTTGTCAGCATCTCCGGAGGAATGACTCCAATACCTTATCCTCAATCCACATTCTCACGTGTTTTTGCTCTGCTCCTTGAGTATGATGAAAAGCTTCCCCTGAAAAGTGTTGAGCCACATTCAAAACTCCAGGGTTCGCAAGACATGCAGGGCACCAGGGCCATGAGGCGGTGCACATACAAGCTTTGGCCGCTTAGCATGTGGGTCCATTGCTGATCAGTCCCCTCATCAACACGAGCGCGCGCCCTGCGCTCGAGAAAAGACTTCACCGTGCCCTTTAAGGGTGAGCCTTTTCCCTTTGCCCAACAGGTCTTGTGGATTGCGATCTTCAGATATCTGATTGTGATGGCCTGCTGCCTCGAGCTCAACTAATGTCTCTGTGACCGAACACTGAGGCCAACGGCGGCTTTGCACAAGAGGACATGGTACCTACAGCACGTGTGGCTGTGCAATCGCTCTCCACTTCAGCTTACTGTAGGGGAGGGATTCGTATACTCTGTATAGTCGTAGTGGTACGTATGGCGCGTAAGCGTGTAACACCACAAGTAGGCACCATACCTGGCCCCTTCCTCCAGCCTGACAGGCAATATTCGCCTATACCTGTATTGCGTGCTCTTCAACGTAGATATCCAACTAGCATCATCCCTAGGGCGATCTCTAGCATGCCTCTGGAGTTGGTTAGAACAGGAGGAAATGAGTATTGTATGACTACCGCTTTGACTTGTGGGTTCTGCTCAGGCATCCACTCTAGTCTTTGAACTCGAACAACCACCGCTTATTTGCGTCCCAGCACCACGGGCAAAGTTTTCCTACAACTTTATCAGAAGGATCAACAGTTTGGTGATATCACCGGGCAGAAGGTATAGACGAAAGATCACCTAAGACGGTAATGAGGATCTTCGTTACAACAAGTCATGTAAAAGGACCTCGGAACGTCACCTAGGTACCGCGATGGCAACTCCCGTTCGACCATATCCACCCACGAAACCCACTTACAATACCTGACTTGACAATCCTTGCTCGGGGAAAACCAGCCTGGTTATCTCACGTTGCTGATCTTGGCAAGAGTCGTCGTCATGTCGGACGGTCGCTTTACAACGGCTGCGGATGCGGCTCACTTGGTCTTGGCCGAGAGGGAGCCGCAAACGCTGCGCAACGGCTTTTCTAGGTTCTTGACTAAGGTTATTTCTCCGACGGACGGGGCGACGTTTCGGCGCGCCTTGGGTTGTGGGGACACGACTGACTCTCTTCTCTTTTGTTCAAGGAAGAGACGAAAGAGGCCGGATTTGGATTTGGAGACAGAGGTGGAGAGGTTGCGTGGTTTACTGAGTCATAATATCGCTGGGCTCGCTGGGGTAGGACAGAAATCGTCCATGTGTTGGAGTAGCCATTACACTGGAACCATGTGTAAATCTCTGTAATAGAAACTGTCCTTGATATCGAAAGTTCGAGAATGTGTAGCAATTTTCGAGTTTCGCAGGTCACTTCTGACAGCTGACAATTAAAAAACGGTCCAGCATGAGCTGAGATGACAAGAGACTTGTGAAACCCATACTGTACCAGTTACACCTACCATTATCTGGAGAAGACCCACGGCGGTAGTATGACGCCGAATGCGGGGAGATTTGGGGCAAGTTCAACCATACGTTCGACAGTGTTTCAAGATTACTAATCCGCAGTTCGCGAGGCTGTCAAGTGTCTTCAGTAGTGCCTAACACCTGTTGTTACTCTGTGCTATGGCTCACGAAGCAGCTGTTGCGAGCTGTGCATGCCGAAGATATGAAACTTGAGACCCTGGACAACGCCTAACGGGAAGTGGAGGTACTGGGTGAAGGTACTGGGTAGTATCGACTCTGGTGGGTGTCGGAGGCGTATGGTCCATAGTATTCAGATGTGATCGAGAATAGCATGTATATCATTCCCTTCATGTTAGTTTACTCTAGCGACCAATTGTGGTGAACGTAACACTTTCTGTTAACTTCGATGCCACCAGGTTCTGGTTGATCAGCCAGATGTACGCATAAGCCATCGTCTTTCATGTCGCAAGACTGCCCAAACAGTATGTCACCAACTCGATAGTCCCTCACCAGCTTATCTGATCTTCGTTCTAATGCTCAGCCGAGAACAGTCCATGCAAAGTCGTCACTCGTTTTGTCTAGACAGCGACTGTGCCAGACCCTGCATGCAGCCGCGATATTCTCCGGAGTGACACCAGTAGCGCTTTATTGGCTCTTCCCGGCTACTCGATACGAGAATAGGTTCGGAACCAAAGGCAAGCACCCGAGTGGTTCGGGTTTTTGGTGCGCGTGGAAGCTTAACTTGCTTCACTTGATGCTCTAATCGTAAAAAGGTTCTGTGTTTCTGTGATGATGACGCTGTATTTTGGGTATCTACAAATGATTCAAAGTGTGTTAGGTCGATGGGACGACTAGCGCAAACACTTCTGACCGTCGATCTTGGGTATATATGCGTCCCTGGTACCATCTCGATGAATTCAATTTGTAAGCACATCTGGACTGTGTGAGGCAGACTTTCACAAAGGTTGTGCTCGAATAGTCTGCTCAACGCGAATTCGAGAGCGATCGGGTTCATGAGTCGCCCACTCTGAGATGCATCTAAAAGCATGGGCCTTTAACGTACGTTCATCTGCAGCTACCATTCCTTACTTGTGCGCATCGAAATCCCGTAGACAAGCAGGGGTTTTACATGATAGAGAAGTACCGAGGCTAGCGAGTTTTTAATATACAGCGCCGCCCAGGGACGGCTTCAATGCCATATACGATGTGTCTCCCGTGTGTACAGCAAAATGTAACGGAGAAAAGACCAGACCAAGGTTTAGCGAAAAGGTCGGTCTGACCGTCGTGCTATGTGTGTAAATTGGATATCAATTGTCTTCTCGTATAGCGGGAACGTCATCAACTGAGGACACTGTCCTTTTACTAGTCACACAACGCGTCAAGTATGAGGTGGCACTAGACCAAAGGCTTCGTGGACGCAAGGACGTCGAGTGTGATGATGATGTACGGCGCATGTTCTGTGAATAGCGTTGTCGTGTAGCAGTAGGTTGAACCCTACTCGATTGCGCACACAACGTGGCTGCCAATCGTGGAGCTCGGACCTTATTCCAGGGTTGGGTTCCCAGGAATCTGAAGCAAACAAACTGTACAGTCAACTCCTGACGCTGTTCAGCTGAGGCTGAAACGTAGACACGAACTCAGAGGCCGTGTCAGGATACGTCACCTTATGCCTAGTGTGTAGCTCGAGCTTTTTGAGCGAACGTGTGGTATTCTTGTACCCGAAATGACCATTCATGGGCGAATAAGGCGGAGTGTGTTCCGCTAGCATATATCGAGCTAAACGTTCCGCTTGGTAACATGGGAGACCCTTAAGTAGGTATACCCAATAGATACCTGACGGTGCAGGGTACGCCAGACGATGCATTAGTCGAACTATAGGCGTTCTTTGCTGAATTGGTCAGTATCGTATAGTCGTAGCTGACATATGCTGTAGAGGTATAGATCTAGCTACAGGCGCAAAGAAATTGATGAGGGAGCATCGCGTTTGAGGTAGAGCCGTGGTTTGTCACGAGTGGGTGATAGTGTCGTTGTTGCGGACAATAATAGCTTGGGTGGTGGAGGGTCTGGGGAAGGGTATCCAGGCGTATCAGTGGCGCTGCGCCGAGGCAATGCAAGTCACAGCCTGCACGTCGCTGACCGGAGTTCTTCCGGTATTGCATACAGAAAACGTGTGGTACATACTTCAGCAAGGTTTCTTGCCGTCTTAACAGTGCGTTACGCCACTCACTTGAACCCCTTGAGCACCAAATAGAGCCTCGCGTCGGACATATATGTGCTAGGTGCTGAGGCTCAGTATGACGACATATGTACGCCCAAATGAATGTAAGCAACCAGCAAAAATGCGCATCTCTGTCGCTAAATTTCGACGGCCGTTATCCGCGCCAGGTTAATGATTCGGTGCTGTGACAAATTAGTTGCAAGAATATGCTGAATGAATGGCTGGGAAGTCTTCCGCAAAAAAGGGGACCTTCTAGAAGGAGTGGGGAAAGATATCAGCACAAGAGGCGGGAAGGAGCGCACATGATCGTCATGGATCCATTGATAGGTCTTGTGGCTTGAATTGGGCGTAAAAAAGGCCATGAAACTTGAGTTTGACGAGGTGGCTTCCGTAGTGGTGTGGTGGTTTTGCTGGCGCACACTAGATGGGAGGCTATTCGAGATCGCCAAAAACTAGCGCACTGCATTAGTCGCATTACCACACGTTGACTGTAGGCAGAATAGCTCCGATGGTCAACGGAAGATGAGAACCAAAACCTCGAAGGAGATCGTCGTGCTACCGTATCTCGTAGCAGGATATCCTTGGCACAGTCAGGTATCCATGGACTACGACGGCTACGAGAAGTAGGGATCAGAGCAACAGTAAGGTCACCCAAGAGTCATTCATACTCAGAGCAAGCGAAGCTAATGCTACTTCCAGAAGGTCGACTTTTTAATGTAGTGGAGGTAGTGACCAGATCACCTACATGGAGCTCGCGATTGCATTGAAAACCTTGGATATGCGGTGAGTACGACCAAAGGCCGCATCAGTAGCTTCGGAAAGGCGCTTAGCCACATGGAAACCAAGGTATCAGGCAACCAGCACCAGTCGGAGAGTGGAAAGGCAAGACAACCGAATGGTTCGAATAGTGAGGCGCCTGTCACAATGGTGACAGCACCTGTTCGCGTCTTCCGCACCTACTGATAACCATCGTACAGTACGACTGTACCACAGCCGTCAAAGGGAAAGGCTATAGAAGGTAGCCATGTATGACTTATAAGACTGATATACCAAGGCTTTTCTCTTTTCTTTGTCTGTGTCTGCGCTTGCTCGGTTACACTATGGGCTGTACGAACGGCGCTCAGCCGTGGCGGGATCTGAGCGAATCCGCACATCTGCCGGCTAAAAATGCAGGGTAATGCAGACTCTGTTACTGACAGCGACAGGAAACACGAGTGATGAAAAGCTATTGTGCATAGCTCGTACAGTGCCTGCAGTCAAAGCACACGTAATGGCAATCTGCCGCGGAAAATTTGTGCATCCAATCCGATCACAAGATGCGCGTATCTTGCGGGTGCAGGAGACTGCAGGAAAGGATAGCCTGGATAATCTGGTGCAACAATTTCGTGCTGCATATCTGCACACACGAGATGCGATTCGTCCTACTGTAGATCCGGAGATCAAAATATTGCGATGGACGTTGCTGATTGAGTAGTTGGAGATCCCGCATCTCGAAAGTTCATCATGACGTTGATGCATCCACGTGCGTGCCATGTGCTGATTGCGCAAATACCCGCCTGGGGCCGGAAGATCCAAGGGACCACTATACCTACAGCGTCGTACGTCCGACACGAGTGTCTTTGAGCAACGTATCAAGTTCGGTGAAGCTCCAAAGATACGTTGAATAATAAGCAAGGTTCCGATGGCAGAAATAAGATGCACCCAAGTTCGCGATGGTGGTGCATTTTCGTTACCAAGAAAACCTCAAAGATTATTGTGCGAAGGTAGTGTGACGCTCGCTTGCGCAACTGGAGTCCACTAGCCACGCATTACACGTGGAGAGAAATTGTTTCCCTCAAGTCACTCCTTCGTGAAATGCTCCTGGCAGGATTCGTGGGAGTCTTCTAGAAGTGGTGTGTTTCCGAGGCATCCCAGTTGCAGCCAAACTTTAACGGAAGAGACTGACTCAATGTTGAATCCGTGACGCTGGACAGTGGACCGTGGTTTAGGAGGGCCAGTGGAAAGCGCGCTCTTCAATGGATCCAAACAGAGCTTCTAGCGCGTTCCCTATCTGGAAGAGGCAGCATGCAGGTTTTACGAGGAGTAAGTATTGCGGAGGAGGTGCAATGTCGTCACATTTGGGAAGAGGAGCCTCTTTTGTCATAAGTGTTTCCCCTGACGTGGAGTGTCTGGATCTCTCCTGATTCGACTCAGCTCGCGAGCACTCAAGCGGGTATGTGGGCTGCCTCCCTACTCGGTTCGACGTGCTCACGGACGCAAAAGTTGAGGATTTGCAATGCGAACGGTCTCTGGCCCGCCATCATGGACCACTTTGCGGACTGAATCGCGGTGTAAAGTATTGACGAATGATAGGCGAGGTGGCGCATGGCAGTCATTCCCAAGCCTCCCTATTTTCGCATGCCCTTCCGGTCGGTCGTTGCAGGGGACCAAGTGCGTCCGTCACGCCCCCGTGCAGGGGGTCGCGCGACATGCCTGCAGCCATGCATCGGTGCTGCTTGGTCTTCCCTGTAAACGGGATGCCTGCAGTCTTCCGGTCTTGTAGTGCAAGCCCGGGTGTGACAAAAGCCAGGGCATGTCCTGCAGCTCCTTTTGAGTCCCTAAAGAAGCGTTACTTTATTTCAAGGACACATCCTAACGGGCCGGCGCATCGCATTCTCCAATTCTGCACAGTTCATCCCAGACAGGTCCGTGTTGCACGGCTCGAATCGCGTCGGGCACAATACCCCGGCTAACGCACTTTGCCGGTACCTGGTGCCTCTAACCTAAAGGTCCACCCAGCCCGCGGGCTCTTCAACGATCCTCCGTGTGCTCTCTCGATGCTGAAACGTGCTTGAGGCGATCCAAAAGTGAGCCCTGCTCCAGCCCCGGCCCTTCCATGTCGAACGGTTTTGAACTTTCTTTGTCTGGACGCCGCCGTCTTCACACACCCCACAGTCAACCCAAGGACACCCTACACACGAACCTATACCAGCTCGGACTGTTGGGCGACAAATACCACAAACAAGACAAGAAAGCAAAGAAAAGTGTCGAGTTCAGTCCGGTCGTGGGCTCCAGCGATAGTACTGCTCTCCCTACTACCATTGTGACCTGTCTTGGAGCTCAGGCCGCTCATGTCTTTCCTAGGACTCCGTCCCCATTCGCGCAGTAGTCATACGACGAAGCCCTTCACCTCGCATAATCAACGATCCGACGCGACTCTTAGTTCACAGCCCCCTCCTCGCTCCGGCAGAGGCATGGCAGGAGTAATGGATATCGAGCGAACCCGGACGAGACGAGAGCGGACCTTCATTGGGAGCGAATGCTGTGTCTGTGAGGAGAACCTGGAGTACACATTGCGGGGCGAACGGATACTGCAACTCTCATGTGGTCATGTTTCCCACGAAGCGTGCTTCTATGAGTACATTCGCGAGTTCGAGTCGCAGCATTGCCCCACGTGCGATGCCACACTAGGCCTGGACACAAGCAGAGGTGGAAACGTTCTCGATCTTGGTAGGCAGCCCTCCGAGACAGCGCTGGCTAGCCATGCTGATGTGCGCGCAGAGAAACTGTCGACCATTGTGCGGTCAGTCCAAAACGAGCCGTCGCCATCGCAAGCAGCTGAGAGTCACCGGAGCGCGGCCAACACGCCAACACCATGGGACAACCAAACCGTGGCGTCAGAGCGACAGCACGACGACCACATGACCACTGGTCGTTCTCGCAATGGAAGCAACGCGTCGTCGGCGCGCTATCCACCCACCACCCACACACGCCAACGAGACAGCAGCCACAGCCGTGATCGTGGTTCCGATAGGGGCGCGTCGCTATCCAGGGCGCATGGACGTAGTGATTCTGGAGCGACGGGACTCGCTTCTTCCAACGACTATGCCCCGACCCACGATGGTCGGCGGCACGACTATGACGTGCAATCCATGGAGACCAGCCTCAGCAGCCCACGTGGCCTACTCAAGAGCCCAATTCCTGCGCCAATAGTAACTGTCCGGAGTGAGTTTCCAACTCTTAGCAGATCGCGGCAGCAACAAAGCCTGACGTGCCTGATCACCGTCGAGGTGGTCGAGGGGAAATGGCGTCCGAACCTGGATGACATGCCTCGTGCATCGCCGCTACCTCCACTTGCAAGCGTTGCAGAGAGCGATTACGAACGCAGCAAATCGCCCGCCACGAGCAGGCCTACTGAACCTCAATATGAGCCGACTGAGGTGCTGGATGAGATAACTGAAGACCTCCATGCCCGTGTCGACAATTGGCACGGTCTTGACTTTTCGCGCTTCGGGAAGCTGCGACTACACGGTCACATCCGCGTCGGCAAGGACCGACAGTCATGGCAAGAGCTCGAGTGCTACCTCTTCTCCGAGATGTTGATCTGCGTAAAAGAGAAGAAGATCGCGCCGCAACCACAATGGGATGGTGCAGCCCCGATCAAGAAGACAAAGTGCACCCTCAAGGGTTCTATCCTCATCAAGAAGCACCTCAACCAGGTCGAGCACTCACCGGACAACTTCATCCTAACCCTTAGCCTCTCTGTGGCGGAGCTGCCCGCTTTCCATCTGCAGTTCCAGGATCGTAGCCAATTGGAGTTGTGGCGGCGCGCACTTATGGACATCCGCTTGGATTTCCCCACCAGCAACCGCATGGCAGAGTACGACCAGGACAACTCTGGAGCTGAGGAGGACGACTACCGTAGGCCTAAGCGGGTCTCATCAATCAACTCTTCCTACGGCGCCGCCAGGTCGACCATGACAGCACCCACCGAATACAGCGCCTCGCGTGGCGGTATGACAGAGCCCCGTATGTCTGCTTCAATACACGTACCTGTTGACATTGTCGTTGTCATTCCAGTTTCGTCATCGATGCAGGGCTTGAAGATCAACTTGCTCCGCGACACATTACGTTTCTTAGTTTACAACCTGGGTGAGCGCGATCGCATGGGCCTTGTTACTTTCGGCTCCAGCGGTGGTGGTGTCCCCATTGTTGGCATGACTGGCAAGGCTTGGAGGGACTGGCCCAAAGTGCTTGACTCCATACGTCCTGTAGGACAGAAGAGCCTGCGTGCCGACGTGGTCGATGGAGCAAACGTAGCCATGGACTTGCTCATGCAGCGCAAGTCCAGTAACCCCCTCTCTAGCATCTTGCTTATCAGCGATTCTTCCACTTCCGATGCCGAGAGCGTTGATTTTGTCATCTCTCGCGCAGAGGCTGCCAAGTAAGCACTTCGATAACATCAGACACATGATCACCACTAACGCTCATCTAGGGTTTCTATTCATTCGTTTGGTCTTGGGCTTACACATAAACCGGACACCATGATTGAACTTTCTACGCGAACCAAGGCTTCGTATACATACGTGAAAGACTGGATGATGCTTCGCGAGTGTGCCGCGGGGTGCCTTGGTTCACTCCAAACTACCTCGCATCAAAACGTAAAACTAAAATTGCGACTACCAGAAGGCTCTCCTGCCAAGTTTGTTAAGATTAGTGGTGCGCTACAGATCACCAAACGAGCTACTGGACGTGACGCTGAAGCAGCACTGGGCGACTTGCGTTTTGGCGACAAGCGAGACATCTTAGTCCAACTAGCCATTGCACCGGATACTGGCTCCCCAGAACAGCTTCCTCAGGACCCTTGGGAGTCGATCGTGTCTGGTCTGGAGGCTCTCGGTGGGCCACTCGATCAGGACGAGTCACGCACGCTCAGCGTCGAGGAAGTACCTCTGATCCAGGCAGACCTCACGTACGGCGATATCCTAAGAGAAGGATCTCTTTCACACCTGCCACGGCCATCATTACTGGCCATTACTCTGCTACCTTCCGGGCCAAAGAAGAGCCCAACAGGAAGACCACCAACACCTCCTATCCCACCACACCCTCATGTTGTACAGCGACGCATGGAGTTGCTCACATCAGACATGCTTACACGCGCATTGACGCTTGTTTCGCGCGGCCAACACGAACGCGCACACCACCTCCTTAAGGAAACACGCAGTATCCTGAAAGGACTTGGCAAGGGAGGTCTTCCACCACTACCTCCTCCTGGCCACCGACGTAACGAACCATCAAGTGCAGCAGGCAGCACTGGGTCCGCGTCACCAACAACTCATAGCGCTAGTGGTGATTTACGTGCACGAACGCCCTCTCCCCACGCAGATAGCCCGTTCACTCCTGCGGCAGGCATTGACGTCAGGACTATGTATGCTCTTGACGCAGAACTTGAGTCCAGCCTCGAATGGATCAACCATCCTGCGGTCTTCGGCAGAGATTCGCGCAAAGCAGTACTACAAGCAATAGGTGTCATCTCATCACAGCGCGCATACACATTCAGATCGCCATCCGAATCGCTTTGGGCAGAGCGCATTGCAGGCGTCAAGCGCCTGTCTGAGCGTGCGCGCGACTGGCGCGAAACCGGCGACCAGGAAGCATTGATGGAGGAGAACTAATTTCGCACACGACCCTTCGAAGTCTTCGCATTTGCTTGCATATACCCTGTATCATACCGCATCCTTCTTTGGTATTATCTTTCCTTGCTTCTCTTCACGGCCACACTGTTCTTCGGCGATTTCATCACTAGGGCTACTTCTGGACTCTTCCCACTTTGGGCGGCTTCTTTCACTTTACATATCTTCTTGGGTTTATGATACCAAAACGGTCTACACTTTCTTGTGTTACGCGGATTCCCCTTGGCTTGCAAAAGTAGGAACTGGGGCGTCGCCATCATCACATCTATGCTTTAGAGGATACCACAGCTGCTTAGCGATTGATTAGCTACACCCACTTAGATGCACGAATATCACATCCTTGCCATACTTAGTACTGCATCTTTACGCTACTCGAACAGACCAGCACGTTTACGCATGTTCAATAGCTCCACTCGGATACAAGCATCCGCATTTATGCTTGCCCTGAACCTGATAACCGTCATGTGCATCTTTCAACAAGCGGACTATTGTACATCTCCACTTGCACTTAGTTAAGGCTGTCTTGGAACTCCACTACGGTGAATTCCGCTAGAGGACGCCATCGGTACGAGCCAAAGCCGGCAGAGCTACTACTTCGGTGTGTTCGGCGCATTACCCCTCACCTTAACGCTGCACCATTATACGTCTATAAGGCTACCACTATACATTCATACACGCATAGTTCATCTCAGCATGCAAGGGGTTTTATCGTCGATTTGTGCACATGTGTATATGTAACTGCAAGAGCACTTTTCCTTCACACAACCTTGAGTACTCGGACCGAGGAGTGATTGGCAGTGCTAGCTGCCTCTGTTTCAGACGACCAACAATACATGAAACCCCCCCACCAACTGTTCACCTATGCATCGGGTGCAACTGGTTTTGTGTCACTCGGAGTGAGAGTAGTACTACCACATAATCAAAAGTAATATCGAGACCTGCATCTCCGGGATGAGCGCAGTTCGCCCAGCACTCAGAGCCGGCGATTACTGCCTGCGGCAACGCACCTTGAACACGCACGTTTCGTGCTTTGCGCCATGAGCTGAATGGTCTGCAAACATGTACATACAGATTCCCGAGACGCTTTGCAGAGTGCAGGCTTCCAGCATTGTGGGCTGTACCTGACATGTAACGGCTTCCGCCAACATACGCTTGCCGCACCTGCCATCCGTTACAGAGGCCTGTTGACGTCAAGTGTAGAAACAAGTTCTGCACCAACAAGTAACCCACTGTCTAGATGTCCCACTTATCCCTTTCAAAAGATGACCCATCGCATACTCCTCCCCACACGGCACATGTTGAGTGAAGCAAACAGCAAGGCGGTACTGCCGAGATGACCAGGATGCGAAACGTCTCCATCCCGTCTCCTGCCCAACAGCAGAATGAGTCCCTTAGGCGTGAGCACAATGCAGTGCGACACGAAGACAACCGCGCATACTTCAATATATTGAGTCTTATTCTAGCACTGGATCGCCAAACGTATGTCCAAGCGGCGACCCATGGGTCACGGAAATACGCAGGAACGGGTCGCAGCTGGAGGGGGCGGCATAGACGAATGCAGTGGAGACGTCTGGCTACATACCGCATGTCGCTGCAGATACAGATACAGATCAGATGTAGATGCAGATGCAGATGCACTTGAAGAAGGATAGGCCCGGCCTACGCCTTGCTTTTCACATCTTGTTCCGCTGCCAGGACTCGTTGACTACATGGAGTACCCACGGCGCACATCAGGTCGAGAAGCAAGAAAAGCAAATATCAGTACCAAGTCCATGGATCCAGATCTGGACCCAACAAGCCAATGAACCCTCATCCCCGATGATAATACGTATCAATGTCAAACGGGAATCACCCCGACGTCGTTCCTCAACCCATGTTTGATCGCTCGTCACGTTGCACACGGGAATCACTGTCTCAACTTTGTCGCGATCGCGGCGCCGGCCGTTGGTGACTCGTCAAACTTTCCCCCCTGTTCACGAATGCCCAACTTTTGCAAGCCCTTCGCATCTCGACGCACGTGCGTTAGTCGAGACCCTAGTATGGTGTCGGTGGACGGTGGACCAGAGGCATTTCCTTTGCGAGGCGAGCGGGCGGGATTTCGGTTCGATCCCTCAGCCACCTGACATCTACAGGGGTTTATCATACCTTACCCAACGGCTATTCCAGTGTAATTGCGCCAACCACCTTCTTCACTGGAAAGTACCATCTCTTGACATGGATGTTAGGCGAGTTTCAAGTTCCAAGGTGCGTCGACGGTTGGGCTTTTCATTTTCCGGCGCCAGCCATGCAGGGAAAAGAAAACGTTGGTTACGTAGAAGTATCGTAACGGGCTCATCGACACCGTTCCTTGTTTGACTGTAACTGTTCATAGCTGATCATGCAGATTTGCCCTGCCATTGCCGAGATGATTGCTTTTCCTCTCCACTTCCCTCCGAGGATCACCAGTTTTTGCACTTTCCTTCTTCATGGTCATACACCGAAGCGCATCACCGCTGCCGATCAGGCTTGCCACGCTATTGTGGGTTGCATGCAGCGGGCGTCAAACTAGATCCATGGTTCTCCCGCGGGTCTTGCGTCGTGACAATGCCGTCCAAAAGCAATCTTTCGAACCTGCGGACCAATTTTACGAGTGTGGTATGACAGCCGTTTTGCCGTGGGCTAAGTCCAAGTGCCAGATGTGGAGAGGGGTATCATTCCGTGACCCGCGCAAAAAGCAAACACCAAGAGCCGAAATAAGCGGGGTACAGCTGGAATCTGTGTTGGGATGCGTCATAGCCGAAGATAAAAAGCATCGCATCGCGTGTGTGTAAGAACTCAACATCCCCGCTCCCTACCACACTGATATGCACAAACATACACGTTCGGTGATGGGTGCGTAGAAAAGAAAACAATTCAACATCTGCGCATCATGCTTCGTCCGTATCCAGAATAGACTCACACGCCAGCTTTGCGTCGCCGGAGATGTTCGTTCGTGGTGGGTATGATACAATCTTGCCGCTCGCCTTGCCATCAGATGTGACTATCTTCATGCGTCTCCTCTTTGTTTATTCTTACATCACCTCTGCCTCTGAAAGCGGATATGTTGAGATGCTACAGTCCGATATGCGAAGCGAAACGAAACTCATTAGGTATCATAGACATCCCTTTTGGAGTTACTACGCTGTCACAGGCTTCCATGCTCGTGTTTCTTATGCCGTACCGTGGTATTGCTTATGCTATGTAAATATAGTATAATCTCAAAGTTGCAATACGTTTCTTTAGTATGGTAGATCTTGCGAGTAGGCTTCGTAGATTCCTTTAAACGGTATCACATTACCACAAAGAATACCGTGGTTCCGTTGGCATTTCAACATGACAATCGAGAGTACATCTAGGAAAACTGATGCCATGTGGTTGAATTGCGCCCCAATTTAGAATAGTAGAGACCATCAACTAGCTTCCACAACTATCTTTACTTGCCATACTTCTTCACGAACGCAATAACATGCTCATTGACTTCCTTCGGATTCGACGCACTCAAGAAGTGCTGTCCACCCTCAATAACCTCCAACTTGGCATCAGGCGAGTTGGTAAAGAGTTTAATCTCTTCTTTGGCATTTGCGACCGAGTAAACAGCATCGCTAGTTCCCTATGTTGATCGTCAGTTCAACCTTTGCCATAAGAGGCCACTGTTATAATGCACTTACATGCAACCACAACACCGGACAAACCACATCACTCAACCTCAAATGCAAACCGTCCCGATCTCTCAGATTAATCGCACACATCCTAATCCTCCGCCGACCTTCATCCCCCTGGTAGTTCTTCTTAATCTCATCATTCCAAAACTTTCGAACATCTTCTGGGCATTCCTCTTTTCCAAAGCCCACATCGATGAGGAAGTTGCAGAAATCGGTACTAGGAGTGAAGTCGGGTGTGGGCTTGTTGGATGTGGTGCCGAACTCGCCAGTGATGCGCTCGGCGAGGGGCTCGACGGAGTGCCAGCAGCCTAGGTCGCGAGAGCGGGGTGACTCATAGTCTAGGGATGTTCCTAGGGGGACAATGCCGAGGATCTTCGACTCCGTGTTAGTTATTCTAGTGCAAGAAACTGGAGCACTGTACTGGCAAGGCACACGGGCTTATTCTCCCAAGATGCTGCTACAAAACAAAAGACGACGTACCTTCTCAGGCGCCAAAAGCGCCATCCTCACGGTCACCCATCCTCCCTGGCTCGTACCAAGTACAAAAGCTTTCTTAATTCCCAACTTCTCCATGACCTGTAGATTCATAATCGCAGTATCCCAGTACGTCCAATTCTCACTCTTGGCGCGTGTTTGTCCATGACCTAATAGCTCGATAGAGACCAAATTCATCACAGAAGTGAGTGCTTCATTCTTGTACGCATCGCGGTATAGCTCCGACGATGTGGTGAAGGAGTTTATCAGAATCAGAGTAGGCTTGGACGAATCCACGGGACCGGATGTTTGGTAAGCGGCTTTTATGCCACCAAGATGGGGGACGTCGACTGTCTGGGTATTTGGCATGATTTCTGAAGGCTCAATTTGCTGCTCTTAGAGATGGGAAGGCTGGTAAAAGAACTTGGACACGTTGGACACGTTAGACACCCGAGGTTTATGTGTTGTCTTTCTGCAACGACGTCAGATGTCGATCGTATTTGCGGGGAAGAGTGGGCCTAGGTCAGGCTTTAAGGGTGAGGCGCTTATAACCGGGAACCTCAGTGTCGTCGTGGTATGGTAGGCGTGCAAAGAAGACGAGAACGTCATAAGATACAATCGCTTGTTCGGCGCGGAACCGCAAAGCCAACGTCACCAAAAATCAGAACTACCTCACGCAATGTGAATGGCGAAAATCTTACACACTCATGGCTGAATTCGCAAAAGACACTTCGAATGGCTTGTATTCAGTGAAGAAGTTATGTTGCTAGGTGTCTTTCCTCTAGTTCTCGAGGACATACCTGTACCTAGCCTTTCCAGCCTCCATATCCACAATCGCAGAGTTAGCGTCCTTCATCGGCCTCTTCTGGATCCATGGCTTAATCTTCTTCTCAGCCGCCAGCTCCAACATCTCCTTAATCTCCCAGGGAGCACCAATTCCAGAGCCTCCAACCTTGAGTCCACTCATCAGGAGGGTAAAGGCGTTGATAGGAGGAAGCTCGCCACCGTCAGGAGCACCAACCTGGATGAAGGTGCCGTGGGTCTTGAGCAGGCTAAGATATCCGTCTAGTGGCATCTTAGCGCTGGAAACTGTGCAGATGATGAGGTCGAGTGTTTGTGCGTTGTGCTTTTGCCAGTCCTTGTCTTCGTCGGTTGAGACGTAGAGGTCAGCGCCTAACTTGAGGACATCGTCGCGCTTCTCGGCCTTGCGGCTAATACCAACGACCTTGTCTGCTCCGAGAGCTTTGGCGAAAAGGACACCAAAGTGACCCAGGCCACCTACACCGACGATTCCGACGGTCTTGCCAGGGCCACAGCCGTATCGCTTCAAGGGAGAGTAGACTGTAATTCCACCACAGAGCATAGGCGCGGCATCAGCACTGTCCAGGCCGTCGGGAATGTTCATGACGAAATGGCCATTTGTGCGGTTGTGTGTGGCGTATCCACCGTAGCTCTTACCCTCGTCGCGTGGGTAGACGGAACCGTATGTGTTTATTGACTCACGATGGCAGTGGTTCTCGATGCCATTTGAGCAGTCGGGACAGTCGGGCTGAAGGCATGAGCGTGCTTGCGCGCCAACACCGACACGATCGCCCTCTTTGACGTGCTTGACGTTCTTGCCGACCTTTACAGCCTTGCCGATAATCTCGTGGCCGACAACGCAGGCTGGCAGCAGTTAGCACGACAAAGCTGTGACAGGAAAAAGAAGAAGAAAAAACGTACGGTATGGTGTTGGTCCCCAGCCACTGCTCAGCATGTGCAAGTCTGATCCACAGATACCGCAATGAGAGATCTCAATGTCGACATCATCCTCAGTCCACTTCTTGGGCTCGAATTGACCCCACTCCATCGTTCCCTTGACGCTCTCCTTGTCCTTGCCGAGCCATCCTTCGAACTTGGTGTCTGTAGCCATTGTGTTGTTTGTTGTAATTTTTCGTTGTTGTTGTTGTTGTGGTGGTGGTGGTGGTGGTGGTGGTGTGTTGGGTATTTGTGTAGGTGTTGATGTTGACCGGAAGTGGCAGGATGGATAGTTGGACCTGCTGTGTTAGTGAACAAACACTTATATATCAGCAAAGGCCGTTAACTCCGTCGATCTCCCAATATGACGTTCATTACAAGCTTCGACCGTCTAGAAGAGCCTCAACGCCATCTGTGCAAATGAATTACGGAACTGAGCTACTTTGGTAGGGCCCGTCGCCACTCCTGTCACTCCCATTGGCTACCATACTCGGGTGGACCATCATAGATGTCTACACGTAGCTTGTACCGTGGCGGGAGTGCCGGTTTTGTCTGTTGGTGCTGTACGTCATTAGCAGAAAAATTATCTACCACGTAGATAGCGGGAGTGAGCTATTCTCCCATTGGTTGCGTGCCTTGCGCTAGTGCAGCGGCCGATGGATATCGGTCACCGCCATAGATTATCGGAAGGACCGACTGATGCAAGTAGCTGACATTGCTGTGGGGGTTGGTCTGGTGATATCGGGGTTAAACGTGGAGAATTGCAACTCATCCGCAATGTCGTGTCCTGTGGGTACGGACGAACGCGGAATGCATGTGGGGTCACCGCAGAGTGCAATTTTGCGGAAGCTGTGCAACAACATGATGAGTGTAGTGAGTATTTTGTTTTCGTGTATCGTACGTTACCTGAAGCGTTGGAACTTCTCTTCCTCTGCCATTCTCTCGTTTACACGCTTAATCGTTTCAGCGTCATAGACTTCGTCCAGGCTCTTTTCACCTTTCAACACTTCCTTTTCATGCTTTGTCACCTCTTCCTTGGTCATAAGTACCAGGTCCTTCATTTGGAGGTTACTGCTCTTTTGACCTGGTGTGCTCTGATCCATAAAGCTCTGGGTAGGCTTGTTCCATCGTGTCAAGGCTAGGCGTGTGGACAATCCACTGATGATGCTTCGGCCATTGAACACTTCTTCTACCAGATAGCCCACGTCGTCCTGTGTGATGGGGATCTTGAGGCCCAGTGGATCCTCGCTGAAGACTGCTCGGGCTAGCCGTTCTTCGGCACCTTGCAGAGCACCCAAGATTCCGTCGTACATCTTGTCGCGAGACTTTGACAGCAGGTATTCATGAGGATAACCGGCGATGGAAAGAATGACGTGATTCGCGACAGCGAGGCCGAAGATGGCTGGCATGGTACCTAGAACGGGCAAGATTCGTACGCGGAAGTCTGCGAGAACACCCAGCTCCCCAACGTTGCCTTTGGCAAACTCCTCCTCTGAGAGAGGCTGAAGCTCAGCCTTTCCAGGACCGGGCCTCTCAGTAGAGTAGACGACTGGTATGCCATCCTTGACGCCCTTCAAGCGCAACTTCCTTCTTGTGGACTTTGACAACGGGTCGTCTGTGCTTCCGGAGATGTCGCCGATGAAGATCCTTGTAGGATCAGACTTGCAACCTGCACCCATGGAAGATATGACCTTGATGTTGTTCATGTAGCAGTATGCCAGAAGTGCAACCTTACTGTCAATGTTGTCGATGGCATCGATGACGAAATCCGGCTGCTGGCCATTTAAGGGTGCTAGTTGTGCTGCCGCTGTTTGCTCCCCAAATAGTTCATTGCGACATTCGAAGTGCGTCCAGGGAGTAACCTGCTCAAGTCGTTTTCGGAGACAGTGTACCTTGGGCGTTCCAACGTCTGCCAAAGTAGCAACTGCGTGGCGGTTGAGGGAAGACAAAGTAACCTGGTCAAAATCGATAAGCCTTAGTTTTGAGCATCCCGAGCGAGCGAGTGCAGCTGTTGCGTGTGAGCCGACGCCTCCGCACCCGACTACAATTACAAAAGCGCCCCTTAACTTTGCGAGTCCAGGGTCTGTGAGAAACACTCTATTTCTAGCCAGTTGTTCAAGTATAAGATCTAGCACACTAGTCAGGCTTGGCTATCAGGGTTATGGAAGGGAAACAATACCATCGTCATAGTCGCCTTTTCTTGCTCTTGCGGCTAATGCCATACTCCGTTCGTCCTCCTTACTTGGAGCAAAGACATTCGAAGCAGCGCCATATTCGGTCAGCTGGAGTCTGTCAGCAAATACTCAGGCGGCATTTCAGTGACTAAATATGTAGTCGATCAGAAATCTAGGTACTCACTCTGGACGCGCGATGATCGTCACTGAGATCTGGGATCGATGCTTTCAGATCCGCGACCCTCGTCATGCGTCGAGCTTTCTGGAATCCAAGAATGGCGCTTCCAACGACGAAGCCTGAAACGGCAGCAGTCGTGATAAGCTGAGCATTGTGGGACTCGGTGGCTCGCGATATCCAGGAAGGCATGGTGGCGGTGTGGTGGCACGCTTTATGGGACAATGCTCCCAATCTAAACCCACGTAATCATCTATGCACTGCAGAAGAGGAAAGATGAAGAGGAAGGGCCAAAATTTAGGAATTCGCAAAACTGCTAGACTTGATGACTTGTCAGTGATGTCGAATATCCATGCAGGTGCGGCTGTCAGGACTAGCGTGCATCTGGTAAGCGCCAAACCGTCGTGGTGGAAAATGCAGATGACCACGAGCGAGAAGGCGCCAGCGAACCATACGAAGACGTGTAGACGCGTCCGAGACATTCCTCACGCGCCGTAAAGGACGCTGGACCCGTGAGAGTCGTCCGTAGCTCATAAGAGGCCCCGACCCACGTCCCTGAAGCCCCAACTACATCGCCCATGTCTAAACTCACCTTGGGCTTGATTGCTGCTGGTGGCGCAGCCGCAGGAGCAGCAGCGACTGCCGCGCTCTACTCGACCAAGAAGGACAGCCTTCCGCCCACACCGTCCATCACCACCACTACCACGACTGTCACTGGGCCTGGCCGGCCAGCACCTGTGCCCTCGGTCCCTGCCATCCCCTCGCCCGCTGCTGCTGCTGCCGCCCGGAGAGCGATAGTAGACCCAAACGGTCTCTTCCAATATGGCTTCCCCGGCCCCGTCAACGATCTCCGTCCTGCTGCCTCTCTCACATCGTCGTACGACCGAAGAACACGGAACCCAGCATGGGTCGCCGAGCACATCACGCCCGAGTCGCTAGCCAACAGCAATGCCGACCGCAAGCACAGCGTCTTCGTCGAAGACATTACAATCCCAGAAATGTTCCGCGCAAAGCTCAAGGACTACTTCCGCTCCGGCTATGACAGAGGGCACCAAGTCCCTGCTGCCGATGCCAAGTGGAGTCAAGAAGCCATGGATGACACGTTTGCGCTGAGCAACATGTGCCCACAAGTCGGCGACGGCTTCAACCGCGACTACTGGGCGCATTTCGAAGACTTTTGCCGCAGGCTCACACACTCGTACCCCTCGGTCCGCATCGTGACCGGTCCTCTATACCTGCCCAAGCGCGAAGCCGACGGCAAATGGCGTGTGTCATACGAAGTCATTGGCAACCCGCCCAATGTCGCTGTACCCACACATTTCTACAAAGTCATCTTCGCCGAAGACGGAAAGCTGGGCGGCAAAGTTGCGCTAGGCGCTTTTGTGCTGCCCAATGCCAGGATTGAGAACCACAAGCCATTGACCGACTTTGAGGTGCCTGTTGAGGCGGTGGAGAGGGCGAGCGGACTCGAGTTTGCGACTAAGCTCACACCAGAGAGGAGGAAGAGGCTGTGCCAGGAGGTCAACTGCAGCGTCATTGTGAAGGAGTATGCGCAGCGGCAGAAGACATTCGCTAAGAAATAAGCGTTGCAACCAAGGACTTTACCATATGGCAATATACCAATTTCATCTTGATAAAATCTTTTCTTGCTGGTGGTACAGTGTATAGTACATGCTCATCATATTCGTACATGACTCTTTATATCATGGATATCTTGCAAAGGCGCCGCCTCGAATCCTTCCCCTCTGACGTCAAGCAAGCATTTACACGTTTTGCACCGCACCGCCTTGTTCCCGCTGTATCCTGCCGACGTATTGCTTGCTGACTGTGTTCCATGCGCTCATGTACTTTTCCATGCATGCGCTCATGCAGCTCTCCTCGCCTCTCGAGAGGGAGGCACCAGGCTTGGGGATGCAGCGCTCGAAGCAGTGCTCATTGAGTTTCTGTGGGTGCATTAGCATGTCTGCTACTATAATTCAGATGCAGTAGGTAGCAAAGACGTACCTCGACCAGCATGCGCGCGTTCTGCATAGCAGCTTCCTGCTGTACTTGACGCATGACCGCTGTCTTGGGGTCGCTGGGGGAAGAAGACATGCCGCCGAAAGAGTCCATGTTTTCAACCCTGTGTGTTTGTTGTTATGGAGGTGGGTGGGGGTGTGTTATGGCGAGTTCGGCGGTCGTGGGTGGCTGCGTCTTGAAAAGTTGTCGACGTCAAGAGCGGCTCTCTCGCTAGCGTAGTCGCTGCAACCCAAGACCCCTGCATTACACGCGGAGGTGATAGAGTGGCCTTTCCGATCCCCAAGATTCACTCGCAGCACTCCAGCACGTTCAAGTCGCCCGACCCGCGTCACTCTCCTCTTCGACTAGCCCTCACCCCCACGAGGCTTTTATTCTTCTCCCACAGATTACCGAAGCCCAGTCTTCCTACCATTCTTTCTAGCGCACGAGTACTCAATTGGTAGCTTGGGGATAGCTGCTCTTAGACTGCCGAGGATCAAGTGCGACCATGTTGTTCGCAAGGCCATGGACGAGCCTGTGCTTGCTCGCGGGGACTTGGACGGGTGCTTGGGCGCGGCAAGGGGGGCTGAGCGAGGATCCTGACATCAAGGCCATCTCGGTGGGTTGCTGCCCTCGGAGACCATGGGGGTTTAATGCTAACGAGCGCATAGCTACGCACACATAGCCTCGAGCCTGTAAGTCGCATATTCTGCGCGAACACACCTGACCACAGAAACAATGTCTGACCCACATACAGCCATACCTTGATTCGGACATGCAAAGCCGTTGGTGGGATTTTGGCGGAGACACTATTATTCGAACTGATAAGTACATTCGACTGGCTTCGGACAAGCCCTCGCGCGATGGCTGGCTGTTTTCGAGAGTGCCTCTTACGGCTACGAACTGGGAGGTGCGTTACACTCTACAATGTCTAACCTCCAGAGGCTCACGCGCGAGTAGATCACTTTCGAGTTCAAGATCCATGGTCAAGGCAACCTCTACGGCGACGGCTTTGCCATGTGGCTCACCAAGCAGCGCGCGCAGCCAGGAAACGTCTTTGGCCATACAGACAAGTTCGAAGGGCTCGGCCTCTTCTTCGATACCTACAAGAACAACCGCCCCGGTACCGTGTTCCCATACATCATGGCCATGAACGGTGATGGAAACACGCCATACGACAAGGACAACGACGGCAAGGCCAACGAGGTCGCTGGCTGCTCGGTATGTATCAGTCGCATCATCGTGCTTGCTAAATACTGACATAACTAGGCCCGTGGAATTCGCAATGCCCAGATCGCGACCAAAGCCCGTCTCACATACTTCCAAGAACAATTCCTCCGTCTCGAGCTCCAATACAAGTCAGAAGGCGAATGGACTCAATGCTTCGAGATCCCCAACTTCAAGGTCCCACCCGTTGCCTACCTAGGCTTCTCTGCTGAAACTGGTGAACTTTCCGACAACCACGACATCGTCTCCGTCAAATCACAAAACCTCTACAAGAAGAACCCAAGCGCCGGTTCGTCCTCAGGAAGCTCAGGCGCCAAGACTGCTTCGTCCATGACCCGGGAAAAGAGCAGCAGCGGTGGAAGCTGGACCTGGTTCCTTGTCAAGTTTGTGCTGTTCGGCCTGGCCCTGACTGGTGCCTACGTTGGCTTCACCATTTACAGGACGAAGCAAAGGGATCGTTTCTAGGTGAATAGCTCGTACCTGCGGTTCAAGGGCAAGAAGAAGCTTGTTTGGAGAGGTCCATCGATGTTCCAAATGGATGGGTGTGTCGAAGTTGGCGACGAGAACGACTGGACGACATTGTATAGGGTCGAATGATGGAGTTCAGCTGGGGAAAAGATGGCCTAGGAAGGCCACGCGCATTGTTTTTAGTTCACCTAGCGCTTTCGCTGCTCTACACCTAACATATATCAAACCGAAAACACTTCAGCATGATTTGATCAAGATCAGAATATGTCTCCGCAAACGTTAACAGATCATTGCATAGGATTTTGCAAAGGCTGCCGATAACGCGGAGTTGGGTTGAGGGTTGTTCTGGCATCCGATTTAGGGGCTTGGCTACATGGAGTATGAAAGCGGCCTTGATGTCGAATGCTCTGTTTATCAAAGAAAGAAGAAAACAAGCTACAAAGACATTGCTCCATAATTGGAAGCATCGTCGACTCTATGCACATCTCAGTGATGAAGATTCCCGTGCCCATGTTGGCGTATGAACATGTATATCGGGATGTGCATCTTCCTCAAGATCACAAAAGGCAAGGTGAGAAGCTTCAACAGCGACGCATGACGGTATATAAACGATTCGGATGTGCAGACCGCTTTTATGGGGCTATGGGGACGCCAAGACTTAGCTTCCCAATCAAGTAGGTTCGGGTTTGGGTGTAGATAACTAGAAAGTGCCGGCCCAGCTTACGTTATTAGCTTACCACTAGCGTGGCCCGTGATTGCGCGCTGCATCTTCGAGACTGCGCGTCGGCAACTTTCTCTCGTCACCCACAACCCGGGCAGCGAGTAAGTACACCCCGATCGCTGTCAGCTAGCCTGAATCGCTCAGGCTACCCTCGCGCAAGAAGCAAAACGATCAGGCAATAGCTAACGTCCTATAGATCCCAGTGAACGACAAACCTTCGTCACAAGGCGATGCTAGGGGACTAATCATCCCCAGCGTCTCACTGCATGACAGACAAGAACGGAAAGCAGAGGGAGTGCGCCATCATACTAGATGCAGCCACAACGCTCAGTCTATCATTGCACAGCGATAGCCACGGGCGATTTCGCAAAGCTACTGGGTTCACCTTCACGAGACTACAGCCCCAACCTTTCCCACCGCGCACTGAGGAAGAAGTAAAAGAGTTGAAGCGCCGTGCTGCCTCGCCTAACAAGCTTGGAGGACGATGTTCGCTTGTGACGTCTAACTATGTAGTTTTCAATCCGAGCGCCTTTGCCCTTTGTGGCATCGCTGGTTGTGGGGATGCGTGGTCTTTGTTGTTGGGTGTCTGTGGGTCTGAGTGCTGGTGCTTGTGTTAGGTGGGTCGTTTTCTTTACAAAGTCCTGTTTTACAGACGGGCGCGAAAGAGGTCCAGTGATGATGTCCCTGTGGGGGCATTAAAGCCAAAGTCGAGTTGAGGAGCCCGACCGTTGCCTGTTGAGAGGTCGAGAGACAGATTAACGGGGAATGGACGAGGTTCCTTCTGAGGACAGCAGGAGAGCTAATCTGAGGACCATTAATATACTGCATATTGCTTTCGAAATATCCACACTTCTTCTGTGCACAAGCTGACCTACGTCAAGATCTCGCATGCAACTTTGTATATTGTAAGCCATCCATGGACGTATCTCGAAGATTATGGTACTTGTCTCATGACAACCTCTCCCACATCGATGCCTAAACCAACACATATTACTCATAGACGTAGCAGAACGGTCCTGCAACCGTACTGACCAAGTCCTTGATCTTGTACACCTTGCCATCGACATTCAACACCTCCAAATCCACGTTATCCTCCAGACTCTGTGCCCTCCCACCACCCATCATCGAAGTACCACCCGCTATGACCTGTTGCCTGTTTGCAAAGTCTTGACTCTGCCAAATAGACCATACACGGTCTACCATGGAGTGGTGGAGGTAAAAGTATGGGTCTACCACAGAGCATCAATTAGCAATGACACGCAAAGAGTAAAGGACTATACGCACCACCAGGTGATGTATAAAAGTCACTACCAGGATCACCAGCAACAGTGAAGTGTCCCGCACCGTGAGGGCCATTCGCAGCTTGCATGGTATCCTGGAACGATGCAATGGTTTTGCTGTTGTTGATCAAACCAACGATCTTGTCCGTTGTCGCGTAAAGCTGCGTAAGGTAATTGCTGATATCGCGCTTGATACAGCGGGGGTTGTATCCATATCCGTCTGATCGTGGATTCCGTGGAGGCGCCGGACTATCAATTGCTGCGACCGGTCTAGTCAAAGTTAGCCCAAGCACGCAAACAATACTGACAAAACTAGTGCAGTATGTGCGACCACGCCAAATAGGAAGATGAAGAAGATGAATCATACCCAAGATTAACCATCATTCCCTTGAATGGCCCACTGGCAATACACCCACCCCCATTTCCCGCTGGCTTCAATCCACTACTACTATGCTGTACCTTCTCTCCTTGACCGCTCATACTCGTCTCACTCCCATCGAAGATTGGACTCGTCTCTGGACTGGCTGCCCAGCGTCCCCAGTCCCAGTACGGCTGCGTGCCATTGTATCCACACTCGACTCTCAACGCGTTCTCATATGCGAATGTATAGTATCTATGCCAGGATAAGAAGTTGCCCGTGCCGTGGATAGACAGTGTATTTTTCATGTGGATAGCTACAAAGTCATCGAAACGCGTTTTGGCGCCGGGATATTGAGTGGGCGAGAGTTTGGAAGGCGCTTTGGTTATGCATTGGACAGCAGCGATGTAGGCGCGTTTTTCTGAAGCTGTGATGTCGCCCCTGGTATATAGGTATCAAATCACTATGTATGGCAGGGGTGAGATCGTTGTGAGACATACCATTCTCGGCGTACTCGGAGTTTATCTTTGGTACATGAGGTTGATTTGGCAATGGCGGCGTCGATGGCTGCGCGGCCTTTGGTCTGGAGATCATTCTGTAAAGGTAAAGACACGAAGTCAGTGTATGTCTCACATGCATTTCGTACAATCATGACTTACCACTGCGTTCGCAGCGCAGAGTACGTGGAGTAGCGAGAGGGAGGCGAAGAGCGCATATAGCGCCCTAAGGTTGAAGCCTGCCATCTACGACAGGACAGCAGCGATCACTGACTTGTGTTTTGAGCACTGAAGAGGAGGCTCAACTTATAGACAAAATCCTAGGCTATAAACGCCAAGGTGCAGACGACATGCTACTCGGGTCTTTCCAGCCGTGATTTACAAGGTAGGATGCATGCCAGAAGCGAATGGATTACTGTTAGATGAGGCTTTAATTAAGTTGCTGAGAGCTTCGAGGTGTGGAACTCTTGCATGCTGGGAGATGAAGGAATGCGTGGTCGGAGTCGGCAGATGCATGTCAGACGCAGAAGCTCATGTGTCAAGACCTGTAACGGGTGTGGATTCTAGGGTAAGAGATATTGCGTCGCTGTGTTCGGCCATAGTATCAGCATCTTGAACATAAGCAAGGCGTCTTGCATAAAGGTCATTTGAGTTTGACTACGGATATATCAAGCAAACGTAATTGAGATTGGAGCATATCTCAAAAAAGATGTCATTCTTTTCAAGGCTGGAGTGAAAACCTGAAGAGAGTAAACTAACTCAGTTACGTGAGCAGATCGACAAATTTGACATGGTAGTTGATCCACCGACCGTGCCGCTCTATTGCCAAGACGGCGTGGACGAAGGATGCCGTCTAGACGAGACATCTGTTACGAGCCAAGAATGAGGCTAATATGGACGACCATAAAGTTTGGTGGTAGTTTTGCACATCCTACGCATTGTTCAAGCACTTACAGGGTCTGAAGATGTCTATCTTCTTTGCAATGAATGGCGGACGGCTTTCATCGATCTGCGTGCAGTTACTGTGTGCCATTTCCTGCTGTGTTGGCTGTTTTCGCTCCTCAATGTACTAAGCAATGTTTTGGTGACACCCAAAGGACTCAAAAGTAGAGCGGAGATGCCCGTTAAGCGATGTCGTAGGATCATCTCAGAATGCCCTTGCACAGCATGCCCTATGGATCTGCAAGTACATGCAAGAAAGATGCAAGGCGCCGGTGGTTTGTTGAGATGAAAGCGTAGTCATTTAGCCGGAAACAAGTCCCTCTTGTCGGAGCTTTCCAACCGATTGGACAGAACACTATAAGATGCAGTGAACACGAGGTCCATATTTGACGGGGTCTGACTTTGAGGATCTCCTCAATCTCGGTCATCGGAATCGGAGGTACTTTGTTTGGTTGCCTCGACGTGGGTATGATTTGTTCACCGTATGGAAACTCCCCCTTGCAAGACACCCTTGTCGCCTTCCCGCTGATACCTTTCCAAAAACAGTTGTCTAGACGACTTCTAGATCGCAAGGTGTATGGACGTCTGAACTGCCTTGTAGCAAGGTCCTTTAGAGCCAAGACCCAAAGCACCTGCTGATGCGGCGCTTCCTTTGTCAATCAAGCATCCTCCAAGACTTATTGGTCACTTGGAGACTACAAAGCTTCCCGCGTGGTCGTCGGCGATGGATGTCGGTAGTAAGTGCCACACCTTCGATAAGGCGTACCAAGGATATGGTTCGGCGCATAAGCTCCGATGGTTACTGATAAATATCGCTTTCCTATACTATTTGAAGTAGCTTACAGTCCTTCCTTTATGTCTGGTCCTCTGCTCTTTCTCTAGGTGTCTTCATCTCTGCACCGTGTGACCAGGTAGCTCGGCTGGGCGCTCATTCATCGGCGCTTCTGACACAACATTGTTGTATGGCATCTCGTACGTTGTTGTGGTATCGTGATTCAGCTCGTACTTGTTTAGTGGTGGAGACTGAACATGTGCCATGCTCTCGTGGGGCAGCTCTTGCGGCGGGCTTGTGTACTGTCCTCTCTTTCGTTTCCGCCAAAGGAAAAGGCCGAGTACGATGAGTGCTATGAGTGCAGCACCGCCAACTCCCACTCCAATACCTGCTTTTGCGCCAGTAGAAAGGCCTGAAGAGGTATTCTCGTTCGCTTTGGCCGTGGCCGAAGATGAGGAAGGTCCTGAGGTAGCAGTTTGAGTACCGGTCACATCACCTACTAACTGGTGATATGTTAGATTGTACAAGGTATACCATCAGCCCAGATATATCTTACGTTAACGCTTGAATACCGCTCATCATCGATGGCTGCTATTTCCGAAAAATTCCATTTTTGCCCTTTCTGTGGCGCTGTAATGTTCGAGCTCATTACGATATGACCCAAATTTGGTGTAAGGGTAAGATGATAATCGGTCTTGTTTGCCAGGTTGGTCAGATACCGCGTCCCGTCGCCCCATGAGGCGATAGTCCAGTACGCACTCGCGTCGGCAATATCACCTCGAGCCATGTATACGAACGATTTGCCCTTCTGTTGCTCGTCATCGGAGTATTTTGCGGACAGGTAACTGTTTGGACCAGATCCTTGTGAACGCAGCGTCCAAACGGTTGAGTTGAATTTGCGCAGCTGCCATCGCTGCTCAGTGTCTGTGTCGTTTCTTGTCTTGATGAATACTGCGCCCCTCGATCCATCCCCGTTATAGAGTGCTGTGCCTACCATCGACTGTGTGTGGCTCGGGTCTATGAACATTGAATACCACAGGTTTGGACCAATATCTGGTTCTTGAGCCATCGCGAGAGTATTGTGAGTCTATAATCGTAACGGGGGTAGTCGCGAGTCTTGTAAACAGAAGGCAGGTGTGCACACAACAGTGTCTTGTGCGATCAGGGGCACATCAGAACTACGGGCGAGATGGCTACTTGAGTAGATGTCATTCAGCCTTTAATCGCCCCCCACCACAGGCGCAGTGTCTGGAAAAGCATGTTGCAGTAGCTTGCTTTGTAAAGTCTGGCGTGTAGCTTTGGTAAAGTCGATAATGACAATGCTGCATTGGTCAATCGTGGTGCGCTAGTACAGATGGCCTGGTCTTGCTGTCATGCTGACAACGTTTGTACAATGTTGGTTGGATATAACCAGGCATCCAACGTATCCAGGATCATCCAAGCTAGGAGGCCGCCTCTTTACGCCACGATCGACAGAATAAGCCTCAAGCTGCGAATGAGGCGCACGCTGTGATGTTTCAATCGTTGTCACAAATTTCTCTACGATCAGGAGCAAAAACGCATTTTGATGTAACGATTGTCAAAGTGGTAGAGATGCCAAAGCTATACAAGGCGCGTAGAGAAGGGGGCGCGGACAAAAGGTTAAAAGATCAAAAGGCGGAAAGCAAGTCGTAGCCGAACGATCGAATTTGCTATTCACACATCCAACACAAACAATCCATTTATCTACTAGCCTCCAGAACATTCCTCTCCACACCACTGACCGCCTCCCTTACACTTGGCGCGAAATGCTTCCTCAGAATCTCTCCTTCCCAAATAGTCCCCGCGAAAGGATTGCTGCCCTCAATCTCAGGTTTCAGCGCGTCAAACACTCCGTCGCCTCGCCTCTCTTCTGTATTCCACAGAGGTGCTACCTTCTTGCCGTGCGTCTTGGTCACGCGGTTCAATAGACCAAGCATAGCGGTACAAGATTTCTCAGGGAGATGCATGGAAATGGACATGAGTTGTTTTGCAAAAGCCGCTACGCGGAGGGGCGGGACGGCGCGAATTGATGTAGCGGGTAGGAGGACAGAGGATAGAGAGCGGATGAGTAGGACGATGGTGGTTTGCACGTTGATTTTTGCGGTGTCAGCATGAGATTCTGCGGCGTTGGGTTCGGGTAGGTGGAGGGACTTGGAACTGAGCTCGATATCTGGGTTCAACGCAACGGGGTGTAGTGTGCGGTAGAGATGGGTGATGAAGTAGCTGAGGTCCAATTTTAGGGCTGATGCTGTTTTTGCTCCATCTTGGCCTTCAAGGAGTGCAAAGGCAGTGATGACGCAGAGGAGGGATTCGCGGGTGAGGTTGCGCTCGGGTGCTTCGTTGTCGTCTTCTTCACCTGATGCGTCTTCATCTTCTTCGACTGCGGCAGCAGCTGTAAGTTCGGCCGTCGCAATGATGTCTCGCAAAGCTTCCAGGATATCTCCGAAGAAATCTTGGTTAATCAGATGGGCGTATCGTGCCAGACCTTCCAACACAGCACCCATCAGTTTCGGCGAGCGAGCTTTCAGGATTCGGAAGTATGCCACAAACACCATCTTCAGCGTCTCGGCCTGCATCCTGTCACGCTCCTCGTGACTGACAGCTGCGTCAGCCTCCTTGAACTCTTTCTCGATGGCCTTTTTCTCTTTCAGCTCCTTTCGTAACCTCTTCGTCCTGAATTCGCGCTTCTGCTTCTGCTTCTTGCCGTTGACAGTGGGGTCCTCCGCCTTGTCAACGGAATGATATGAAGCCTTCTGCGCAAACTCGGACAGCAGTCGCAGATGCAAGAACGTGTTCAGCACACTTTCGTCGAAGTGGTAATTCCGACTCTTCATCATCTTGGTCAACATTGTAACAGCTTCCAGCGCAGCATTGCCGTCTTCGTCGTTCTCAAAGAGTGTTTCCATGGCCTCTCTGCATCGCACAAAGTCCGCATCTACCCTCCTCGTGCTAAGCTTGCCAACAAGAATCTTTATAAGCTCGCTGCGGAAGTTGAAGTGTGGTACGGAATTCAAGAGATTGCATGCGCAGCTAACAGCAACCGATGCAAGACTCGCCATGTGCTGCTTGTCCGACCCACTATTCTTTGCCAGTCTCGCCAAGTACTTGACATGTGCTTCGTAGCTCGATACCAGCTTCTGTTCGAATTGCCGTAGCTTCTTGACTTCCTTGGAGATCTTCTCCTGCATTTTTTCTTCCGATAGCGGCCGTATTCTGTACCCAGGGATGACATCCTTGAAGATGGAGACCTGTGTTGCCAATGCCAACTTCCTAACGTTGAAGTTCTCTGATTCGGCCAGTGCTTGTAGTGTCTTCAGCGCTCCGATATGCTCTTCGGGATCTTCGTTGATCAGACTCGCTATGCGCGCTAGTTCTTCCTTGGCCTCGAGTATCATTTGTCGCGCTGATATCTTGGGCTTCTGTTCCTCTACCTCTTCTACATCCGAGGCCTCGGCCGCTTCATCCTCGCTCCCAGACCCGAGAAAGCTGTCCGACTCTTCCTCTTTGATATCCTGCGCATTGGGCGGCGCTGCTACCCATCCTTCTGTCGTCCTGACGGGCAGTTTCTTGTTCTCTTTCTGCTTCTTCAGTTTGCGCGGTCGCGTTTCGTAGTCTTGTTCGAGATCCCATTTCGCAGCATTCTTCAGAAACTTGGCCTTGTGATCTTCGCTCGCACCATTCGCACGCTCGCCGTCTTCGGGTGGTGAAAGCCTTCTTCGCTTCGCGACCGGTACGCTTCTCGACATATTGGAAAATACTCGTGGGACGATATGGGCGACAAGGATCGGTGTTGGTTGAATGCTTGACAGGATTTCTGAAATTTTGGCGGAGGCCGCGGCGGAGACTAGCCGCATCCGCTCCACATTTTTTTGGCAGCAGATCTCGACTTTGCGAACTTGCGCCCAGCTTCCACCCCAACTCTGAACTTCTTCACACGCATACACAATGAGGCCCCTCACAGAACCAGAGACCAAGACTCTCTTCGAGAAGCTTGCGACGTACTGTGGAAAAGGCATATCCAACCTCATCGCCGACCCCACGGGCGGTAACGATCGCAATGTCTTCCGCGTCCAGGTACGAACTGCTTCCAATTCGTCAAGCCTCTCCCATCACCATGCACATGCTAACCGTTAAATCAAGGGCTCACGTGTCTACTATGTCCGCGAATCTCTCGCCAACTTTGCCACATCTGTCGCACGCGACAACCTACTCTCCCTCGGAATCTGCCTGGGTAAATTCACCAAGACGGGCAAATTCCGTCTGCACATCACAGCGCTGAGCGTAATCGCCCCGCACGCGCGATACAAGGTGTGGGTTAAGCAGAACGGTGAGATGCCGTTCTTGTACGGCGGCAACGTGCTCAAGGCGCATGTGGGACGGTGGAGTGAGGACTGCCCTGAGCACCAAGGTGTTGTTGTGCTGAGTATGAATGACACGCCACTGGTAAGTTGCAGCCATGGGGACGGGGGTGGAGAGCTAGGCTAACATATGTTTTGTAGGGTTTCGGTGTGAGTGCACGATCGACGGCCGAGGCGAGGAAGCTGGACCCTACAGGTATTGTCACGTTCAGGCAAGCGGATATTGGGGAGTACCTGAGAGAGGAAGATACATTGTTCACGACTTGAGCGATGGGAGGCTTGTGCGACAACAATCCTGCTCTTCAAAAAGAGCTTGTTCCTTCTAACGAAGAGAATCAAAGAGCAAAGTCAGCGTGGATCGCCTACGCATTTGCTTCAGTATCGCGCGCTTCCAGTGAGCAAAAAGAAGAGAGGCGTAACGGGGCTGCATACTGTAAAGAAGACTCTAGACGAACGAACGAATGAGATACCCAACTACCTTCACTGTCATGTCGCGTTTGGTGTTAGAGCTTGCAAGATGAAGTAGTCATTCCAATAGCATAAAAGCATGGTACGACTAAAGTGTTATTATGAATTGCTTCTATTGTCTTCCCGACTCGGACGTGCTCTTGCTTGTCCTGTTGATTCTGATGTACATTTAATCTTTTTGTAGCCGGTTGCTCGGCAAGGGTATCAATCTTTGATCCTGAAGTCGCAGTCTGTTGATGAACAGTTTACCGCCAAACTCCGCAAGGCAAACCTATCAAGCGCCATCACGCACTCAACCGAGCTTCTCAAGGAGCTTCCTCCTTCTGCGCTCTACCAGCTCGTTGTTCACCTCCTCGAGTGTTGGGACGCGCCATCGTATGCCGTCACCCGCATCTCCAGGCAATTCCATCCACTCCTTGTGCGTCTTGCTTGGCTTATCGTCCATGTCATCGCCGAGCACCATGAAATTGTCCCAAGCCTCTCTCTCTTTGGCTTTTTCGTATGCTAGCAACGTCCCATCCTCTTCGTCTAGGTTGTAGCCGTAGTAGCCCGCATCCACCTTCTGCCTCAGCTCGCTCCTCTTTTCGCGCCCCTTATCCATGTCGTCTTCCGGCCTGCTCTGCCTCTCGAATAGCTCTTTGACTCCCGGCAGATCCTTCGCTCGTCCAAAGTATCTATACCCCTTTCCGCCTCCTGGCACCTCCCGCCCTTCCTCATCCAGCACTCGTCCGCCTCGCATATAATTTGGCCCACCCAAGCCTCTTATCTGACTCTCCCACATGTGCTTCTCTCTCATGAGTTTGTTGATCTCATCGTTGAGGTCGCGGATCTGGTAGTCTGAAAGCGCTTCGTCCTGAATCTTTGTAACTTTGCGGGAAATCTCCTTTAGCACTTGGCCGCGCCATTTCTCACACACGGGAATCGAGTTGACCGAGGTTATGAGCTTGGGGCGGCGAGTGCGCGAGATGTCGATGATTCCAGCTTCGGCGGCCTGCGCAGCGCGAAAGCGGAAGAGCATCGAGTGCGCCTTTTCGGAATTACGCGCCATGACTGCGGTTCTGACTCAATACTACGTTCCGAATGTTCAAGGGTCGCAGCGGCGACGATTTTGCTTCGGAGCGGCGCTGATCTTGGGTCGGGAGCTATATGGCGTGCTTCGTCGCGCTCTGGCCTTGCGGTGGTGATTTGTATTATGCGCTGGTTGCGAAAGTCTATTAAAGGTATACAGAAAGCTGCCCGCAGTTGCAGAAGTGAAGGTTCGACGGGAAACGGGATGCGCGATGGGTGGTTGATGTTGTTGTCGAGGAAAGATTCAAAATGACAGGCGCGTTGGCTGGAGCGAAAGTTTGGTGTTTCGACGCACGCGGCAGATCTTGGCATTATTGGGCCAGCAAGGAACGCCTTTCTGTGTGCATGAACTTCATGCGAGCATATCCACTTCGATCCGCCATGCTATTTGACAGACACATCACTGCCATCATACCTTCATCTCGCTTTGGTAGGTCTGTTGTAAAAGTCGTAATATCTCCATAGAACGATAAGCAAGTGCAGCATCTATGAATAGAATACTCACTCTGACTTGCTTCTTCCTTCGTGCTCGCCTGTTTTACATACAGGCTGTCTTTCTTTGCACGAGAAAATTATATGCATGGTCAGGGAAACGCTATTTGCAATTTCGATCTTTCTTGATTCATCTTCTATCAATCTGACTACAGGCCGTCAACACTATCTTCTAAACCCAAGTAAAAACATTATGTGACGCCACCATGCTAGGGATACGACTGAAACAATAATGCATGGTCCAAGTGAAAGAAGAAAGGACAAACGAGTTACAGACGGTAGAAAAAATACTTCTAGTAGAATGGAGAGAAGCCGGGAACTAGTCCGTAAAGGAAGCGTCAGGTCGTCTCAGTGTACAGCTCCAACGTACTGTGCAAATTGTACAGAAAATGCATCACCGTCGAACGCCATGCACAAAGCCCCTTGAACCTGAAATCGAGTTTGAGTTTCTGCTTCATCTGGATCCAAACCGAGATGTAACGTCCAAAAGCCGAGAGATGGATTGATAGATACATAGGAAAATGGGAACGGTTCCCATACGAAACAACTAATGCTAAAGGAAAAGAGACTGTCAGTCAGATCAAGTGACTAGTGAGGTGCCGCTTAGAACGAACACAAGTGATAATATAGGAAAGAGTGTAGGCGTGAGGCGGAGATTATGCACCAGCTCCATAGTTTGCTGCTTCCATCTCAGTCTGGTGGCGCATCTGCTCATTGCGCATCTCAGTTCGCGACTCAGTGCGTGATTCTGTGCGTGACTCAGTGCGTGATTCTGTGCGTGACTCAGTGCGTGATTCTGTGCGAGACTCTGTTCGGGATTGTGCGCGCGAACTTATGGAACCAAAGAGCGAAGGCCTGGAAGCTTGAGAATTGACTTGTCGACCTTTGACTGAATGTTGGTGAAGGTGTCCAACGTCGTGTTTGCCTTAGACATGTTAGCTCTTGTACATTGTTGGGATCAAAGAATCTTACCATCGCAGCATGCTCGGACATTAGGCATGAAATCCTGGTCGCGCTCTACGTGTTCATGGATGTCCCGACTAAGCTCCATATTCGAGACGCTAGGCTCTTCGTACATGGCAGACTCTGTAGCGCTGGTCCTGCTGTTTCGCCGGCTCGTAAACGATCCTCGCAGAGCAGAGACGCTGGGTCGGAGCATGCTGTTGATACGGCTCGAGACAGATCCATGCACCAGTGGCTCGGTTGATGTTGCACGATGTGGTGTAACATGCGACTGTCGAATCGTAGGTACTTGGCCATAATCGCGAGACGACGTCCTCCTGGTTGCATATGACGCCATGGAGCCTCGTGAGCGCCCTGTTTGCCGAGAGGAGCTGCGGTATCCACCATTGAATTCGTCCTGGATCTCATCTTCGGTGGCTGCCTTGTGCTCCTGATCAGACTTTGCAGGCGACTTCTGCTGTTCACTCTCGTCGACCCGTTGGCATAGATAGTTCAACGCGTTGTACCATGTCTCGTGCCTTTGACCTGTTGTAGCAGTAAACTTCATGGATCGACCAGGCGTGATGACGAGTAAGCTCTTCTGGTGAAGTCCGGGAGGTAGAGGGTTAGGGTCATCAACTTCTTGAACAGATTCGATAGCAACGCTTTTAGCCTTTAACGTCGTTTTGTCAGCACTCTGAGGATCTCGGTCGCTCCAGTACAGCGTCCTGGTATAAGGATGGATCCAGAAGAAGCGGCGATGGCGGTTCTCAGACATGCCTTCACGCCCGGTCTTGCGGGTGTACTTCCACAAGTACTCGCCGATCATGGTCTGAGTGATGGCCTGTATCATGCGCGGATCTGTCGCGCCAGGCGGCAGTCCATTTGCAGCAAAAGACGGGCCGCCTGGGATGTTGAAGCGCTGGTCAATCTCCGAGGTGAACGACGACAGTGAGGACCTCCGGCTAAGAGGCGAAGAAGCTCCGCTGCGCTGCGATTGTCGGCGTACGCGTGGTGTGGTTCCGCCTGTCCTGGGGGTGAGAGTGTTGCTGTTCGTCTTGATAGTAGGCGTATGCGGTCGCTTTTTGTAGGCAGATGCTGGCATTGTAGGCGGTCCCATTGCGCCCGGAGAGATTGGTTTGAGAGTCGCTGCGGCGATGACTTCCTTATGATCCGAAGGCAGTGGTGGCGGTGTTGCAGCGCGAGAGCGCATACTTCCAGAGCTACCAGGACGCTTGGGTGTTCGGCTTGGCTCATTTGCGTACTTTTTACCAGGCGACTCAGGTGGAGACAGTGACTTTTCTAGCCCGGACGTGGTGATCAAACTACTCCATCGCTGACTCCGGGCGAGCAGTAGCTTGTCGATTTGCTGGGCAGACACCATTGTCTGAGTGCCTCCGTCTGTCATTGGTGTTCGGGGCGTTTCCCCAACAACATTGGCATTCACAGGCGTAAGAGGCATACGACCATCCGTGCTGTCAACTCGTGGGGTGCTCATCTCTGATGTGACATCCTTATCCGAGGGTAGTGTAGCGTCAAAATAACCAACCTTTGGCGTAGATACTTGCTTGTTCTCCATTGCTTCTGTCTGGGAAGAAGCACTGGTAGTTACAGCAGGCGCGACGGCCCGATGAGCAGTAACAGGTCTTGACGGTGTCAATGGTTCAGTGCCCTGTGTAGCAACAGGAGACAATGTCATGGTGGGAGCTGAAACACGATTCGCTGTGGATGGACGACTTGTCGGAGTTGGCAGAAATGCCGGAAGCGTCGGCGACTCAGGCTGAGTATCCTGGACAGTTCGCACATCGGAAATGTTGTGTACAGAAGCCGAAGGAGCAGGGGGTGTGACCGGTTCGGTCTGAAGTCCGCTAAGGACAGACAATTGCAGAGGTGCCTGCTTTGGCTGTACGGGTTCAGTAGCTTGAGACGAGACCCCCGAAAAGTTGGCAGGAGACGACTTCTCTGGTACGACTGGCTCAGTTGACCGTGAAGACAGCCCGGAGAACGAGAACGGTGCTCCTCTCATAGGCTCCACAGGATGGGATGTCTGGAAGGACAGCGACGAGAGCTGTGGCGGGTCTGCTTTAGGGATTTCCACTGGGTCAGTAGAACGAGCAGAGAAACTTGACAGTTCCAACTGTGGTTGCCGCAGTGCAGCAGGCTCGGTAGCCTGTGCGGAAAGTTGAGAAAACTGCTGCTTGCTGGGTCTCGGCGCCAGCGGTTCTGTTGATTGAACGGACGTTACAGAGAACGCGGATGGGACCGCACGAGGTAGATCCTTAGGCTCAGTCGTGTGAGACGACAAAGAAGACATCTGCAGCAATGTCGGTTTGTAGGGTACGTCCCTAGGCTCAGTCGCGTGAGCAGACAAGCTTGACATCTGGAGTGGTGCAGGCTGTTTGCTGTGATGAGAGTCTTGTGCAGTAGATGCTGGAACGATATCGGAGATTGACCTCGACTCCGACGCCGAGGTAGATTCGTCGTGCTGTGTAGGCTCTGTCGCCTGCGCATAGATAGCAGACGTGAAAAGGCCTGCTGGAGCCAGTAGCTTGGGGGCCGGAGCTTCCCGGGGTTCCGTAGTCTGCTGAGAGATAGACGACACGTCCAGAGAAGGAGCAATGACCTTCTCCACCGCTGGTACAATAGGGTCAGTACCTTGGGATGACACGGTGGATACCCCCAGAGAAGGAGGAGCAACATGTCGAGGCTCGGTGGTATTGGCAGACACCGACGACATCTTTAGAGGAGCGATAGGTACAGCACGTGGCGTTGTATCTTGTGCGTTCAGCGAAGAAATTGCGAACAACGGAGCTGAAGGAACTCTTGGCTCGGTTCCTTGACTTGAGAAAGATGATACAGCCAGTTGGGGTATCTTAGGGGTTTGAGGGCTGGTAGCATGGCCAGAAAGGGTAGAGAGCCCAAGAGTTGGCGGAAGCACATGCTTAGGTTCGGTGTCTTGCGAGGAGACCAAGGAGACTTTGAGATCTTGACGGGGTAGAGCTTGCGGGCTCGTATCTTGCGAATGCAGGGCAGAGACTCGCAATGTAGGCAAGGGAACGGCTTGCGGTTGAGTGTTCTGGCTTGAAATGGAAGATATGGAGATGGGTTCAGGAACATCTGCTTCTGTCATCGTGCCCGAATCCACCATAGTCGGCTTGGGTGCATCCGACTGAAGAAGGGACCTTCCAAGAACGGCCTTCCTTAGGGGATCTGGCGTGGCATGGCTGGAATACACGACACTGGATCGACTTGGCGAACCCTCCACAGAACTGGCATCATCGTCGTCTCCACTCAGATCGTTCAACTCTGCTAACAGACTCTTGCCTTGGGCTGGAGTGTTCTCGTTGCTGCTGCTAACATAGCCGGCAGGAGAGTCTCTTGACGCGGGTGGCGTACCTGCGAAGAAATCCAAACCTCTTGGCGTCGATCTCCGCGAACTGCTGTCCCGAGCCTTCAACCTGAAGCGAGAACTCTGGTGGTGAAGAGGAGTCCTGAAGTCTGAATCATATTCGTCGCCAGAGGCGGAGGCTGTACTTCGGTAGGAATTGATGCGACCACCTTGTGAGATGGATGGTCGACTCCGTCGCGCACTAGACTTGGCAGGTCCTGCTTCAGTCTCAGTCAGCTGATCGCTGCTATCTCCGTCAAGGGTCTCAGCTCCGGTTTGGAACGCGTCAGATTCAGTCGCCATGCCATCACGTTCGTTGGCAGTCTCGAAAGCAGCATCCGATGTTTCGTTAGCAGTGTCAGCGCTTTCGTATGCACTCGTCTCTGCGGCGGAACTGAAGCCGCTTGGGAAGGACCCTGGTACAGAGTTCAAGTGTTGTGGTGGCCTACTTGGGGTCTCAGGTACAATGTCTTGTTCTTCCCATTCGTCGTCTTCCACAATCTCTTGTGAGACGTTACGCAATGCTCCAAGACGATCAGCTCGCGGAGGTGGTTTCATGGAGGCAGCCTTGTCACTCTTCCGTCGCCTGCTTGCACTACCAGGTCCAGCCAGAGCGCGCTGAGCGTCAACCTCATCACGGGCATCCTGAAGCATACGTTTCAGCTCGATCTTTTCGGTCTTTTCACGGTGGATGTTGTTCTTGAGTTGCTGGATCATACGGTGGGCGTGCTGGAGCGAGTGTTTGAGTGTTTCCGATTCGAGCATACCATGGCGTGGTGTGGCCTTGCTTGGAGAAGGTTCAGGTGAATGTTCTGGGGTACGAGATTGGAATCTCACACCACGATCATCGTCAGACGATCCCTCAGATCGGCCACGATGTTCTGATCTTGCGCGGTAAGCAATAGCTTGAGCTAGCTCCTGGTTCTTGGACGTGAGCTCTTCGACCTTGCGTTGCATTGCACCTTTCTCCGTCTCTGTCATGGCTGCAACTCGCCGCAAACTAGAAAGCTCAGTCTCATGCTGCTTGGTTTTGTTGATGTGATCGTCATTGAGTTTCGTGTACATCTGCTTCAGATCTTCCAACTCCTTCTCCAAGGTTGATCTCTCAGTACGTGCTAGGTCCAGAGCATGGTTGAGACTTCGCTCCTTGTCTGCCGCTGACTTGAATTGTGTCTCCGACTCGCGGACCTGTGTCTCAAGGTTCCAGTTGACGTCTTTGAGCCGCGATTCGCTTTCGTCGAGTGTCCGTAAACGTTGCGACAAGCCTTCGACCTCAATTTCGAGCTGCGATCGATCCAGATCAGCCGCCTTGAGGGCTTCATCCTTCTCAAGGAGAACGGCCTGGAGGTCCTTCAACTGAGAAAGCAAAGACGTAGAGATTTCTGTAGCCAGCGCGATGTCATTGATGCGACTAGGCTGCTGGTTCCTCTGCTTTCGCGAAGGAACGCTCACTTTGGTCGGTGACTGGATCGCTTCGCTAGAGTAGATGGAGCCGCCAGTGGGATCAGTCTCGCCACTGGGGACGCGAGACTTGGGGAGAAAGGCGCGAGCCGTTTCCCGACCAACCTCGTTGAACTCCTTCTCTAGCTCAGCCAGCCTCTGGCGCAGCTCTGGGCCGATATCACTGTCTTGTTGTTGCTGATCAACCTCCTTCAGTTTGTCCTCTAGCTCCTTCCTCTGCTGGACAAGCGCGCTGCCCAGATGCGACGTCTCCTGTAGTCTGCGCGTTGTCTCTGCCAAGTGTGCCTCGAGGGCGCGCTTGGCCTGCTGGGGCGATCCATTAAGATAGAGAGAGAACTGCGAGTTGTCGAAGGCAGAGTATCGCTGCCGGTGGGCGTCGTGCGGCGCCGCGAGGAAGGGGTCGGAGCCATTGTGGTGCTCCACCGAGAGCGCGCCCGGTGGAGGATTTGCTGTAGCCATTAGTAGTCCCTAGGGTTGTTTCTTATTGTGTCATCTCCTGGACAAGATTCCCCACTTGCACGTCGCTGTGCCTCGGAAATGGCGGTAGGAGATGGGCGGAGTTGGCGAAAGGCAGGATTAAGGAGCGGGAAACGTGCGCGGATTAGAGCGGCAGGTGGTGGCGGCGTGTCGGGGGAGTATTAGAGACAGGAGCGAGTAAAGGGTACACTCCGTCGGGCGGTGGGCGGAATGGAATAAGGGTTTGGATGAGAAGGACGCGTGGGAAAGCGACTGGGGACACGGCAGCGGCTGCTGGCACTCGGTCGCGTTTCCGTCACACTAGGGAAAAGAAGCAAAGGCGCATCACCAGGCTGAGCCTCGGGATGGCGAAGAAGGAAAAAGAAGGGAATGCCGAACGGGCTGGAGGGGCTACAGAGGCGACAGAGGAGGGATGACAGCAGCGCGGATGATGTTGTGCAGAAGAGCGAAATGAAGCGCACCGTGCGCGGCTTTTGACGCTTTCACGCTTTCGCCATCGACCCAGCGCGCACACCCATCACGCATCCACAACATCAACAAAGCTACAGATGCCCCTCGCTCCCCTCCATTGGTTCGCGCCGGCACTTGCTGCACGTCTAATCGCTAGACTATGCAGACGACGTGGTAGTGCAGCGGGCCCCCTCACTACTGCAGCTCTGCTAGGCCGAGGGGGGCTGTTTGTATGCGCGATTGGATCACCGCAACAAAGACGCGCATTGCATTACCCCACGACCACCATGTGCCATGTCAACATGGCTGCGTGGAAAGGGGTGACGCCATGTTCCTGGTAGACACAGTGAGACGTAACATCCATAGCAAACACCGCGAAACGCATGAAAAGAACATTTCGTTGGAAGAACGTGCTTAGTGTGTTTGCAAGGTTATCTGCTATTAGGTAGGGTCACACCATGTACAACAACACATAGAAGCCAACTATGCTCCCACCTGTAAATATCACTGTTTCTATCGCATGTTTGCAGGCGTCTTTCTGCATGCATCGTTATGCTCGCTAGTCCAGGATCTACAGGTGCAGGAATGCCGCAGCCTGCATATGAACTGGTATAAGACCGTACCTAAAGGATCTACCATCAAGTCCCGAACACAACCTCCACAAAAAGCTCAAGTACCGGTCACAGACGTTTTACGTCTACGTAGGTTTGATTGCAGGGTTTAGCTTGCCAGTCCGTCCCTATCCGCTATCTACCTACTGTAGACAGTCCGGGACCTCCGAAGCCCTGCGCCACTACCCCGGATTGCATCACGTGAAACTGGATTTCTCAGCCACAGCTTGGCTCGAACTTTCTGCGGCTCACTCCTACAACACTACCTGATCTGCACCTCACCTCACACTCATTCACGCATATCCGACCATGGACGCGCCCGTCGTCAAGTTCAAGAAGCGAGGTGCCAAAGCTGCGCCCCGAAAAGTCGCTCCGCCACCGCCTCAATCCGATTCGGATTTCTCGTCAGGGTCAGACGCAGAGGGCGAAGATGGTCACGTAGTCAAGCGACGGAAGACTAACGGTAATGCGCTCAAGGCTTCCACCGCAGACCAAAAGGCGACCACAGCCGTCGAGGGCACAACACAGTACGCAGCGAATCGCTCGGCCGTAATAGAAGCAAGCAACGATGCGACCAAGCAATCAAACTGGTACGACGAGAACGCCGACGACGCTCTCAGCTCCAAAAACCTGCTCGGCAGCACGCGAACGAAGCCTCAAACCTTCATTGAAAAGAACCCCGACGCGCCCAGTCGCCAAGTAGGGCCTATGAAAGCATCGACAAACATACGAACAATTACCGTCACAGATTACACGCCGGATGTGTGCAAGGACTACAAGCAGACAGGGTTCTGTGGTTTTGGCGACAACTGCAAGTTCTTGCACGCGCGTGAAGATTATGCGGCAGGCTGGAAGCTGGACCGCGAATGGGAGATGTCGACCAAGGGCAAGAAGCCAGGGGGTACGGTTGTCGCTTCTGCGAACAGGGACGAGAAGGAAAAGGATGAGGATGGGGTTGATCTCGCGCTGTTGGAGAAGATACCGTTCGCCTGTATCATCTGCAAGAAGCCATACAAGAATCCCATTATCACAAAATGCGGACACTACTTCTGCGAGGCTTGCGCCCTAAAAAGGTATCGGAAGGATCCTACATGTGCGGCGTGTAGTGCAAAGACATATGGTGTGTTTAATGGCGCGAAGAACCTCCAGAAGTTGTTGGAGAAGAAGCAGAAATGGGAGGACAAGAAGAAGGCAGAAGCGGAAGAGAAGGCAAAGGAAGAGGAAGGCGGCGATTGAGACTAGTAGGCAGCATTTAGTGTCGAGATATCAGGGAGGTGTTCAGCAACATATACAATGGCCGGTGATGGAAGCTGGACATCTCTTTGCTTCGCTCCCCCACGGCCATATCCGCTAGTCCTCATACATGCCTATGTTGTAGAGGCAATCGGGCACATTACGACGGAACACGGCACCACTCATAAGGCTCTCAATGTTGACTAGTAGATGTCCGCTTAGGACCATTCCAGCGCGACCTCCACAGCCACCTTCATACAGGTTAGCCGTTACCATCTCAAGAGTTGCTAGTCAGGTAGCTATATATGATAGGAAGAGGAGGCAGTTCATATGCCTTGTAGAAAGATCGACGGCTTACACAACGCCGGAAGGAAGTACGGGAGCTGAGCAAAGGAATAGAAATGCATAATTTCTTTCTATCAGTGTACACCAAGTCCATCCTATGCGTCAGCATTTCTCGCTCGAACCCAAAAAGCTCTATCTATTAAACTTGAAGTTCTTCTTCTTGACGTATCTACCACGTGCTTGTCGATTGCAGACGACATTACCGCCAACAAAACGAATTTTCGGTCACCCCAGCTCGCTAATGTCTCAACCTGGAATACACCAAGAAACCTTCAGTCTAATGTACCTAGGTAGACTAGTAAATTGAACAAGACGATTGTATGTAATCGCAAATTACAAACTATGGAGAAGGCTAGAACAATCATGTGAACAACAACTAAACAGACGTCGTTTTCTGTTACGTATACCATACAAAGTCATGTTTGCGCGATCGTGAGAGGATTACCACTCTTCCAAGGTTATTTCTATATGCGGTTAGCGCCATGATCTTAGCGCATACCCGCTTTGCTCCCCTCGATTGGCATCTGGCTCATCTTCAGACCGCCAGCCTTTCGTCACTCGAAGCGCTACGGACTTCGTTTTTGCCTGTCGAATTGAAAAAGGAGTATTTGCTCGGAGTCGTCAACGACGTTTGTGAGAAAATCATGTGTATTAGGTAAGGGTCTGGATCGGTGTACTTTCCGTCAGTGCTATGGCTTCAATATGTCGTGCACGGCTGCTATCAGACTTGAGTGCGCAAACAGTCTGTGACAGAGAAGCGACTTCATTGGATGGCAGACTCTGTGCATTCCACTCTCGACAGTGCCATGGTAAGCAAGCTTCGCTCTTCGCCTGTTAATGCTCACATTTGCAGCTCTGTACCTAGGTTACAAAGGGCGAAACGCCGTCCTCGATATACAGGAGTTGCCAGTGTACTTGGCTGGAAAGAAAGCTTCTATCGTTGTTCAAGACTTCAACGATGTCGACAGCGAAGCAACACTACGGGAGTTACACGACTATCTGTTCCGAAGGTACAACTTGCTTGATCGCGTAATTCGAGCACGCAAACTGCATCATAGTCATTTCTTTGCAGTTGATAACGACTATGGCCACGAAAAGTACCTGGACCGACTACAGAATGAGCGATACAACATGGTTAAAGCTCTCGAGAAACTTGGCAAACGTGCTGCGGAAGTCATGTACGAGCAGAAGCAGTGGTTTGGTTGGATTAAACAATGCCAGGAGAAAGAGGCGGAAGAGGCGGAAAGTGAGGGGAGGAAAGTGAAACTGGAATCATTACTCTTCAAACGACACCAAAAAGAGATCGATCGTCATCAACGTGAAAGAAACTCCAAAGAGAACAAGAAGCGTCAAGAACAGTACCTGAATAAGATGTATGCCAAAAGCCTCGCGCAGATGTCAAAGGAAGAGCAAGAGGAATGGGATCCTATCCAAGATGTGTACGGCCATGAAAAGGATAATTACATTGAGCTCATCAAATTCTTTCTGATGCTCAACGTGCAAGAGCATGACGAGCTCCCTGTGCAAGCGGAGCCATCCCAGCTTGACGGCCCAGCGAATTCAAAGCCTGCAGAGAAGGCGCTCTCCAAGAGCGCGAAGAAGAGAGCAAGAAAAGCTAACGCAGAGACAAAGAGGTTAGAAGATCCAACCACACAAGACGATGGGGGCAAGGGCTTCATCGAAATGGAGACTAAGGAGCAGATGCGTGAGAGACTACGGACGCCTGTTCGGTTTGAACGCGTAGCGAGCTACTATGTTCATGGCAGCGAGGGCGCTGTCGAGCCCAGGACGACTCCCATACTTCCTCACGATGAGATCGAGCAGCTATTGGTCGAGATCGGCGAAATTAAGAATCTCCTCTTCTGTAGGCTTCTCTTAGCATCTAGCGCACTGCTACCCATTGCGATCCAGACCAACAGCATAGAGGAATTTTTACAAAAGGACGATGTGACAAGAGAGCATTTACGAGATCTTTGTCTCAAGTTGGAGCGTCCTAGTCTTCAGGATGTGCGAGATGCATGTGCAGACTTCATACGCGAGAGGGATGGCGCTGATGAGCCTGAGGTACCAACAGACTTGGCTGAACACCCTTTCCACAACGATGTTACGGACGACATCATGCTACAAATGCATAACAACAGTGGTCAACGTTCTGTCCTCATGAACCGATACCGCACCAAACACGAAAGAGCGACAAAGAAGAAATCACAACAGCGGCCGCCCGAGTCGGAACAAAATGGCCTTGTAGACTTTGGTAACACTTCTGGTGAGAACACATTCACTCAGAAGCGAGTCAAGATCAGGGTTTGCGGTCGTGACATGTACAACTACCGTAGCGAGCAAGCTCTCAACCGCAGCGGCTGGTTCCACTTCTCCATCATCGCCAAAGACTCCAACCTCGCTGATGCCGTCGCCTTGTGTCGCAACTGGGACGAGTTCTTCGAGCTCAACATACTGACCACATATCACTATTTCCTGGCTCCAAAGTGGACAAGATTCACTGGGGATGCCCATCGTCAACAACTCGCGCTTGTTGGGTTCATACCTTACTTTCAAATCGATAATGCCGAGGCTAAAACAAAAAGATCTCAAACTGGCGGTCGTGGGATTGCAGGACGATCACACGAGATCAAAGAATCCCGCAACATCATTTGTGGCGTAAGTTTCTCTGTAAAAACTGCATGAAAGACCTACACTGACTTCGTACACCCATTGCCCAGTACATCAAGCGTAACGATGTCTTCAATCGTCGCTTCATTCAGTACCTGACTATGGAGTCAGGTGAACTACGTGCTTTGATTCGCGATCCAGTAACTGGTTATGTCATAGTGCAGCCACCCGAACAGGAACTCTGGCTAAGCCGTGAGAAGACTGGGATTGGTAGAGCTAGCAAACGCGAATACAATATAACTAGCGAAGTCGGACCTGCCTTTATCGAAAAGGTCGAAGCTAGGAGGTCATGGCAGGTCAATTTCGATGATTACTACGATGTTTACATTTGGGATGCGGCACCCGGTGGAGGCGCTTACGAGCTGCAGCAGAAGATTGAAGAGGTATTCCATGCACAGCTATGTCTATCTGTGGATAGCTAACGAAACTAGGTGTTTGCGCATGCCCTTCAGTTTCGGACAGCCAAAGACATGTTAACCCGGGTTCGCCACATCTTCCAAACTGTGACAGAAGAAGATGATACCGGGCGTATTCGCAGCGTTCATCCAGGGGAGAAGGTACAGACTATGGCTGATGTCCTCGACAAGAATGCGGAGATTGCTAGCAACCAGTCCGTTCCCGAAACACAGAAAGCAGTAGATGACATGGTTAAATTGCGATACGAGTTCACAGAGGCGGATGAAGTAGAGGACGCTATCCTGTTTCCGAAAGACGCGGAAAGCGACATACCCAACCGGTCTCCCCGTTATAAGACCGCCATAGAGAAATTCCAGATGGGAAAGCTCAGAGCCTGGAAGATCAGTTACGATCTCAGTACTGATGAGGAATCATCGGGTTCCGATTCTGATTCTAATCCTGATTCTGAATCTGAATCTGAGTCTGAATCGAACGAAAACGAAGACGAAGACGACGCCAGTATGGAAGAGAATGCACAATTACAAACGGACTTGAGTCCCAGGCGCGCTCCAGGTCGAGCTTTGAAAGGAGATTTTCATAAACACTTGTTCGAGGCAGATCAACAAGCACACAAGCAAAGATCTGGTCCTTTGGTCCCACAATATGAGTGGGTGGCTAAGACAAAAGACCCACACTATTTCTTACCTCTAGTACACGATCCCGAGCATGCACGCATGGTAACGGCCGGACTCGAGGTTCCTCCTGCAGATTTCATGTATACGCTAAGGACTGCTCTTCGCCGTCAGCGAGTATATCTTAACAAGGCGTATGATGTTGGGGAGATGATTGAAAGTCATTCCCAACGGTCAAGTGATAGAGGTAGCTTAATCGTCTCCGGTGTTGACAGTAACTGACGATTGCATTTTAGTCGCGAAGGAGTGTTGTCATCTGGGGGACTTGGAACCTGGCGGTCTTAGCAGGTATAACGAGTACCAGTCTATGGTAGCGTCCATGGACGATTTCGTCATGAGCGCTATCAACCCAGGTCCGTTCGAGCTCTGCAAGTTTATGGGGATGGCACCTCTCTTCCGCAAAGAACGTCGAAACGTTGACGATGCTTTCCAAGCCTATGCTGCCATCGCCATGTTCTATGAAACAAAAGACTTTGTCGCTTCTGAATATGGCACACCATTCAGGTCGTCCCTACTATTTGACCAAGAAGAAAGAGCCAAGCGGATTCCAGACCGGAGAACGCATCATAGCAACATGTATATGCCAGCGAAGCTTTGGGCCGATCGGGACAAGCTTCTGAAAGACAACAATCGAGGGGCTCTTGAGTTTGTAGAGGACATTTACCCAATGGAATGGCGCAAAGCGATACGTTCCGTGATCATTCCTTTGTTCAAAGCGGGCGTCATTCGACTTTCGTATCACCCGCGGGTCAGTGGTGTTGTAACAGCCGCGGCCGAACCCGGCCGCCCGCTCGACCTCTACATTGATTGCCGGCACCAGAACCATTCAACGAAAATGATCGGGGAAATGGTAGACCCGACACCCTTGGACCGCGATTACATGGTCAAGACGGCAAAACAATTTCGAGCTCAACACGCTTCAGCAAGGTTTTCAGCGCTGCGTATGTGGTCTGCTCCGCACTTCTACCCAATGAACGCCAGGGAGGGAGACAGGTTCTTGGACGACAGAGGCAGATTCTGGGAATGGAAGTACATTCCCAAGGATATGCCAATGAGCGAATGGAGCATACACAAATCAATGACTATGACGCTGGGTCATTACGAAGACATCTGGAAAGGTCAAGTGGTAGTTGCCCGAGATCTGTTCCTGGTGATGGGTAAGAATGCAGACGATTGTCGGAGATTAAGTGAAGGTGTCACGTGGGCCATCCAGAAGAAGCCCAGCCGGTGCGAGATAGACTTTTGGCGAAGCTTTGTTAATGTGGATGCCGACTTCTTGGAAGGATTGCATCCTACATGGCTTTCGTAGCGAAGTGTGGAGGCCTTGGGAGATTGTTGTGGGGGCTGTGGTGGCTGTGGTAGGCTAGAGAGCAAGCTCAGCAGCGTGGGCACGTGTCGAGGGTGAGACGCAGACGTTGGATTAGCCTATGTCTGCTTATATACTTGTTTGGGTCCCACAGCATGTCAACTGCAGGATCGCGGGCTGCTTGGCGGCTGACCGATGACGAGCAGTTCGAGGGAGCGATGGTGGTGTGGTGGCAGTTGCAGCAGAAGCAGGCGTGGACGCGTGGTGTGGCAGTAGGGCGGCTGGTGGTGGGATAGCAGGTCGACGCGAACCCTTCTAGAACCGTTGATCTCTGCAACGCCTGAGAAGCCCCCACCGCGGCCTGGCCGAGTTAGGCAAGGCGTGTATCCGAAGAGCAGCCGGATAGAAACCGTCAGATCACAACCTTGAGCGTGCCCCTCTGACCAGCGGAGGCAGAGATTTTGCAATCACCGTCCTGACGCCTCTCGAGCACGCGATTGTGCTTGCCGCGCCCGTTGCCCGCGTGAGAAGCTGCAAAGGCTGCAGTTGCAGTCTCGTTGGCTCGGTGAGATTGACTCTGGTACAGCGCAGCGCGGAAGCCACAGCAAAGCCGTCCTGTGACCTCGACGCCGGCCAATCGCCCGTCAGCCTCCGAATGCGTCACTCCCCGATACCAGGTACGCGACGGGCAATCCGACCATCGCAGCCTGTGCTGCATATAACCGCCCGCCATGAGTGCGACGACTGACGCTGCTCAGGTGCCGCCAAGTATCTTTTTCCGCCATATATAACCACCTGAAGGCCGCAGAGGCCTGCTCCGGCCCTCGCCCAAAGCGGAATCATCCGGCCGATCAGAAGACTCACATTCCAGCGCAGTCCATGCTTCTTCACGCCGACCCGAGCCTGGCCGAGGTCCCAGGCTTCAGAAAAGAGCAATTGGACGCCTTGGCCCGCAGCGTCGAGCTGAGGAGGCAGCAGCTCGAGGACGACATCAACGACTACATAAAGGCCAAGCAGGACGAGCTGCGCAGATATGGCGACGAGGTAGGATTCTGCGCCCGCTGCATCGACTCTTGTGCGAGACTGATTTGGGCCTAGCTTGTAGACCGGTACCGCTCAATGGCATGCGACCAGCAATCCGCCTCTGCAGAACAAACCATTACCAGTAATGCTCAAAGCATTGCGTCACCGCTCGACCCAGAGCCCGAAGAGAGGATCAAGCAGAAGAAGCACACCAGAGTCCACAAGCGGGAGAAGGAGCTCTATGGCCTAGTTACGCCTGTCTTCCTTCCCTTGCTCGACGCACGCGACACGTCGCCGGAAAAGAAGAAGAAGAAGCCCAAGACTGAAGTCGCGCACGGCGCAAACACCACGCCCAAATCAGCCCAGCCAGGAGCGTCAAGAGATGCTGAGCAGAGCAAAGACGGCCGGAAGTCTAGCAAGGACAATACGAACATGGAATGCGCTGCCCCGGAGGAGCCAGCCAAGGAGAATCACCCAGCCGAGACAGTCAAAAAGGCCAAGCGCACCACCATGAAGAAGTCTGCGCTGCGACACAAGGACAAGCCTCGATCGCAGCGGAAGCGAGTCAGTCTGGTCATTGACGGCCAAACCGTCCTGCCCGCAGATACCGTCGAGGAACCACCCCTCACATCGCCCAGCAGCGAAGCAACGTCCGCCTCAAACTCAACGGCATCGCTCGACGACATGATAGATCCGCGACTCACCACCCCAGAGCCACCAGTCTACCTCGAACACCGCGACGCCGTACATCACAGCCTGCCCCTTCCCATGACCAACGCTATCAACTCGGCTGCAAAACCCCTGTCCGAAGCACCAAATACCATATCCATTGCCGCCGAACACTCTCCACCGCTCACCTCCCCACGCTCCCCCAGCATACCTTTCGGCTCTGCCCAAACCGCAACGCGCACGTTTCTCGACCCGTCCCCCTCACTCCCTTTACAAGCCGTGCATTCTATCCCCGAAACTGCTGGTCCAGATCCTATCTATTCGACCGCCGCCGCTACAAGCGCCGAACTTGAAATCGACGACCTCGCAGACGACGACACCAACTTCGATACCTACGTCGGCGGGTTACATGGTAGTGGTGTAGATGACGTGGACCAGGCGGGGAGCTATGGCTACCCCAGTAGTCTGGGCGCCAGCTACATGGAGAGCTATATGCAGAATCGGCCATTGAGCGTGAGGATGCAGGCTGCGAATAAAGCAGGGTTGGGTGAAGAAGAAAAGAGGAAGTTGCTCGAGGAGAAAGATGAAGACGAGGCTGCAGAAGATGACGACTTGGATGATGATTTCAAGCATAGTGGGAGTTTGAGGAACAACAAGGCGGTGGATACGGGTGATGATAACTTCATGGGAGATATGGATGATTTTTGAGATTCGTTATGGGTCAGGGAATTGAAATTGGAGTTGGATACTGGATCATCGACTCCAAATCGCTCTCAATGAGTCATCTTGGATATAGATGATCACTGGAGCAGAGACGCTGGGCATGGCGGAAGCTTTCAGGCTCATTACGCTACAACGACGATTAGACCACGACTACTCGATGTGCACGAGCAATCAAATTCGCATATGAACATTGATCATATGTCAGAAATTTGTAGGTCTACAGAGACTCAGCACATCACGACGACAATAGGACGAACGATCAGACACGTTTCGACCGAGCTTTGGATACCGCATACAGGAATGCTTATAGCTTTCTTTTGTTAAGAAACTCTGTATATATGGGCGGCCTTTTTTTCTCTTATCATTACGCGGTTCTGGATTATTAGATACTGAAGATTTCTTGTATATCATGCCACATGACCTTCAAATATTAAACCTCGACCCGACCCAACCCACATTCTCCTCTATCGAATGGTAATCGTACATGTCAGTCTCTTTGGCTAACCTGCTGAACGCGATTCACTACCCGATCCAGCAGACTCACCATTTCGTCGCTCACAAATCTGGGGTCGTCCTGCTGGATAAAGTGGCCACACCGGACAGCTGTTATGGGACCGATAGCCTTGCCTTCATCTGTGATTTGGCAGAGACCTTCATTGTAGCGGCGCCAAGCGGGGTTGGCATAGGTCATAGTGAGCACCTTTGGAGTCTTCATTGTGCCCGTGTCTATTTGCCGAGTTAGTCTCTGAAGTCCAAGAGTCGACTTGGAAAGAGACATGTACGTACACGACTGCTCAGCAAAGGTCTCCCAGTCATGACCCACGACTGTGAGATACGGACCTCTGCCCAGGTAGCCTTCGAGCTTCGGTGCATCCGCGTACGGTAATAATTGCGGGAGATTTCTTCTTGATAAGCCCTCTTGACTGGGGACATCGGGATGGAACATTCTTCTATATTTTTCTCTTGTCGAGCGTACTTCATCCTCAGTTACGCCTTCGGGTAGTGTGTGTGGATTGAAGTCTGGCGCATCTGGGTTCGGCCATATATCTTGGTAGTCTGAGTTGGCCATGATGCTGTCTAGAAACAATAAGCCAGACACAGTCCCTGGGTAGCACTGGGCGAAAAGTCTTGCAAGTGCGCATCCGATGCTATTGCAGACGAAGATGAGACATGGATAGTGGGTGGGTTTATTGATGTCAAGGTGATCCCTCCATATTTGAAGTGTGAATTGCTTGAGTGCTTTGACTGCAGATATTGCGTCATGTCCGTGCGATGGTGGTGGATGCTCGTCGTCTGGATCGGGATCTGAGTCTCCTTGGCCGTATCTATCGTAACTCAATAGAGCAGGATACGGTAGACGTCCAGCTATCCGTTTCTCTAAGAAACTGCGCATTGCCGGATCCCACGAACTTCTTGGCATCATGAGTCCGTTTAGGAAGACGATCAGCGTTTGTGAGAATGGGTTTGGGTGACCCCCGTGGGGCTTGGATGCAGGGTAGTACGTGTAGTGTATTTGGGCACCAGGCTTGTTGTCGAGCGCCAGTGAAGACACCTCGGCGTCGGGAAAGGGTGGTGTGTCATCTTCAGATGAGTTCATGCTTCCAGGAAATGGAATCGCATAGCTGCGATTGTTCATGGATTCATGTTTCCTGGCCGCCTTGGTAGGGTCTGTCTGCGCCGACTTGGTACGTGGAGAATTAGCCTTGTTCATGGTGACGGGCTTCTCCTTTGCTGGCAGACCCTCTCTTTCTTGCTTGGTCAGGCCCGAATATTTGAGTTGTGGAGAGATATAGGGAAAGGCTTCCATGATCTGGCGCAGTGGGGACCTTTGTTAGACAGGCAGCGATTACTAGTCTTCCAGATTGAGAAGGGGCGATCTGCAATCTGGAGCGGAAGACGTCGGAATGGGGTATGTTGGGGGAATGAAGAGGGCTAGAAGATTCAGGAACGTATATGCAGCTTATGCGTCCTTGAAGGTTAATTCGAGTGTGTACTCGAAGCTGCGAGCGCGTTACCCCTCTTCACAACCAAGGCGGGAGAGGATGGCAGGTGCTAGGTCTCGACCGGAACCAGGCCTATGCTGCCAATGAGCTCTCACGTGTGTAGGCGTATTGCACGCCGCCAAGGGCAGCGATGTTCAAAGTGGTTACCAGGTCGACGGAAATGGAGAGCACGCGGTGTTTCTCGAGACGATGATGTCGCGAGATGACGCCGGTCAGGGCCAGGCGCTTCATGGCGGCCAAGAGGGGCTTCTCATCATGACACGCCGATCCACACCCCAAGCGCGACGGCGGGTGGCTTGAAGGATTCTGCAGGCCTAATGAAGCGTGAAACCAGAAGCGAGGGCAGCAACATCAAGAAAACAAAAAACATGGCGTCTAGCTGGACTGTGCAGTCGGGAATGATGGCGCTGGGGGGATGTGTGGCCGGGGATGATGGTGGGGGCGGACGTGGGCAGCCAGGAACCCTCGTGGCTCCGCGGCTATGACGTGTGACGTGTTTGTGGTGATGCAGGTCGCTGCTTCGCTTTCACCGCACCCGCGTTCTGCGTTGTTTGTTGCACTTGTATCCACCCGCTAGACTCGTGCCCTTCATATGAGAGCAACTTACCCGCGCCGCCTTTGCCAGTCCCTCTCTCTCCCCCACCGCAGTCTTACGTCCTCGACTCCCACACACGCATTGCATTGACCGTCGCCGCCCGGTATCCTTCGCTGTAGCATCATCCTACTCCCCCGGCATACATTCACCACGCGACACTCTGCCCTCGATCCCGAAGCCACGGCGCACTTTGTCTTCCCGCAGCCTGCATTAGGTGCGTGTGCTGCCTCTAGAAGGCGTGGAAGTCGACTAACCGCCTTCTAGCGTTGATGCAACTTCATGATGCCATACGCCGACGCTGAGACGCAGACTGTCTGGGCTGGCCTCACCAGGATGGATGTTCGTCCTGACATCCTCTTCACTGCCCCCGACACGACTACTCCGCCCGCCGAGATGATAACAGACAAGCTACAGGGCCTGGACAATGTCATCACCGGCGCCCAGCTGGGTACCCTCGATCCCAACAGCTCCTCGTTCCAGACCCTGCTTGCAAGACGACACAAGCGCCCTGACATGCCCACGCGCATCTCCCTGCCCACGTCCGATCTTGACGACGAAGTCTTCCCATCCCCTCCTCCGACCCATGCTCTGCTCTCCCCGCTACCCGAAGCCAATAAGCGCTTCGCCGGTCACACCCCGTTGATTCCACGCGCCCTGTCTCCGGTCCAGGACGAGCAACCCACGGTTCAAGAGCCGCCTGCTCACGAGGAAGAAGCACGGTTCGGTACACCACCAGAAGATCAGCCCTTGATAGGTCCGCTCATGCTACCAACCAATCCCGTCGATGGCGCTAGTGACCACATAGCACTGGACGTGCTCGATGATGTGCTCGAGAAGGTTGCCAAGGACCAGGACAGGTTCAGCAAACTAAAAGATGCCCCCGAACCCGCCGCTCCCCCGGCCACTGCAGACAATGCTGAAGAAGGCTTGCCACTGAGTCGCAAGGGATCTGCCGAATCTCGCAATTCATGCGCCACCGAAGTCGACGGAGTCAGGCTCAAGAGTCCTCCGCTCAATTTTGGAGTACCCATTGGACAAGTATAGACTACGTCGCAATCACAGTCCCGAAAAGGGAGTTCTTCAGAGCCCGGGGCAACTGCCCCGTCACCTCATAAGAGCAGCCTGGCTCAGACTCCGAGGGACATTTCCCCAGAGTTTGGCTTCATCTAGTGCATTCAAAGGGCGTTTTAGAACGGATTGGGTTGGATCATGACATGGCGTTTGAATTTCACCAAAGACATTACATCACCCGGGAGCGATACCCAATGACATGCACTCATGCAGTGCATCGTGGTATTCACCGCAGGCCATAGACTACCGGCCTAGCGTCAAAAATAGAAGAATACCATTACAATCTCTTACCAACGCGTGCTTTCATGTCTCGTTAAGCATCAAACTACTTAATCACTTCTTCCCCACAAACCTATCTTTATCCTCCAGGATTCCCCGTGCCATCTCCAATTGCTCGTCTGTCTGGACGACCAACGTTTTGTACCTCGCATCCCCGGCACTAATGTCGGTAACCACATCCTCAACCTGCTTCGCATTCTTGTCTTCATCAATCTTGAAACCCAAACACCTAACTCCTTGGACGACAGCCTGTCTCAGCTTTCCTCCCTTTTCACCAATACCCCCCGCGAAAACAAGAGCATCGACCTTACCATCCAACTTGGTAAAGTAGGGAGCCACATAGTTCAGAATACGGTCGACGAAGATGTCAAACGCCAATTTATCCTCCTTTCTCTCGGAAGAGCTGATTTGCCCAAAATCAGTAGTCCCGGTCAGACTCTTCCAGCCACTATTCTTGTTCAAGATCTCTTCAGCCTGCGTAATGTGCAGTTTCTCGCTAGAACTATGCGAGGGTTTTCCTGCGCTGTGTGTATAGTGGAACATGAGAGATGGATCGATGGAGCCAGAGCGTGTGGCACCTGGTAAACCTGCGAGGGGGGTTAGACCCATGGTCGTATCGAGCGACTTGCCGCCCTTGATACAGCATGCGGAAGCACCGGAGCCTAGATGTAGAGCGATGATATTGATCTGATCGAGCGGCTTGTTCAGGTGCTTTGATACGGCGTTTGCGATGAACGAGTAGCTTATGCCATGGAAACCGTATTTGCGTAGTTTGTTTTTCTGTGCGACCGTTTGGTCGATTGGATAGGTGCATATGTACTCTGGCAGTGTGTTGTGGTACGAGGAGTCGAAATAAGCGATGTTCTTTGCGTGTGGCAGGATGTCTGCTACGGCTCGAACGATGGTGAGCGCAGGCGCGTTGTGCAGGGGGGCTAGATCCGAAAGCTCTTCTATGTGGTGGTATGTTTCCTTATCGATGACCTGGCTTCTGGGGTAGTCACCGCCATGAACGACGCGATGGCACGTGAAGCGGATGTCTTCTTTGTGGTTGAGTTCAGGAAGGCCTTCATCGTTGGTCAGGTGATCTAGGATGTAGCGGAATCCGTCTTCTTGTGAGGTAACATTCTCTAGCTCCTTTCCCTTGATCTTCTCGTCTCCACGCTCATACTTGAGCTTTGCAGGCGGCGCAGTTAGGCCTTCGATAGTTGCTTCAGCAAGTTGTTTCGGTACCGAGGCGCCATCCTCCGGGGTTTTGTAGACGGAGATCTTAACGCTAGAGGATCCTGCGTTGATCGAGAGGATGATCTCAGGCATGGTTGCGACTCGTGGGGATGGTTGTCAGGGGATCTGGCCAAGATATCTCTGCTCTGATGGATGCTAAATGTACCAACTCAAGTTTCAATGCTTGTCCGGATGTCCAGCCCAGCTAGGTAGTTTCGATGTGGAGTAACAATGACGTCGTCAGAAACCTGACGGGAAGCTTGAGAAGTAACAACTCTTTGGAACAGATTCGGGAGTACAAAGTGGTTACTGTAGTCAGTTTCTTGTGCTATATATATATGTTCAGTAGATGTCATGAGTTTCAGCTTCCACGTGTAGGTAACATCAGGCTCGAACGATCGGAAGTCGCGGAGCTCCAGACCCAACATTTTCTTTTCTTCGTTGAAACTTGTGCATCTACGTCCTCGTCATGCATGCGTTAGTCTTCTTTTAACCTCCTCTGATGGGTCAACATTCTGTCACGGCTTCCCGTGACTGCGTGTGTGTATCTCGCGATGTGCCAGTATGCGAGCTCAAGTGAGCAGATGATATGACGTCACTATCATCGACCCTCCCGAGGTCCCAGCCTATGTAAACAACTCTCAACATCTCTAGCCTAGCTATAGAGTATTTTTGGTGGTGGAAGAAGCCAAAACATATGCTCGTATATTAATTGGGCTTTAATTTCTGAGGGGCAAACATATGATTGACGCTCCTGAGGCTAGCTTGACACAAACATCGCAGGCATACTTTCTAGAAGTAATCTCAAATGCTACACTCACAGTCATCATGTCAAACGCACCAAACAAACAGAGAGTATGTTGGATATGCTTTCGATTAGGTCTAAAGTCTCTGGCACAACCCCGCATCCTCTATGTGCCTCCCGACTGCGGGGAAGCTTAAAATGACCTACAAATCGCATATATGAACAGCATGCTAATCTTGCACCTACATACGCTCCTATTCTCTCACAGTCAACTAATAATCATAAAGAAGAGCTACATAGGAATATGGGTGATCAGCCCAAGACGGCATACATAACAGGTACTCCATGCTGCTCCACCTTAAATCTAACAGATCTTAACCAACGTTCACAGGTGGCGCAAGTGGCATAGGTCTCGCCCTATCAACCCACCTCCTATTCAAGAACTACAAAGTGTTCATAGCCGACCGCAACACGGCTGGCGCTACACACCTCGCCGACCAGCACAACACGCCTAACAACACCGTCCTCTACTATGCTACCTGCGACACGTCAAGTTGGGAATCTCAGCTCTCTGTCTTTCAAGCCGCACTCAAAGCTCTCGGTGGACGCATCTCCTGTATGTTCCCTATTGCAGGCATCGGCGAGAAGAAATGGCTTCCCTTTCCTTCTGAGAGCTGCAAGCAGCCCACCGATTCATTTACGAAACCCGATCTCTCAGTTATCGATGTAGATCTCACTGGCGTTCTCTATACCATTGCGTTAGCGATACAGCATTTCCGACGTCAGGATCTTGTTGTTTGGGGGGATAGGGGATCCGAAGACTCGTATCTCCTGCGCGGCACAATTGGTCTGGTAGCAAGTGTATGTGGGTTTTACTGTGTACCCAGTCTACCCATATATACAGCAGCAAAACACGCTTTGATCGGCTTAACGCGATCTTACGGCGCATTGCTCTGGGAAGAGGGTATCGCTGTCAATGCTGTGGCGCCGAATGTTGTCAGGACGGGGATTAGTGCGGAGGAATTCTATCATAGTCTGGAGAAGGAGAGTTTGTTAACACCGATGGATGTGTTGATGGAAGCTTTTGATGTCATGTTGGCGAGAGCAAAGAGTGCAGTAGTGTATGAATGTGGTGCGAAGGGTTGGACAGTGAGGGAAGGTGCAGAATATTTGGATGAGGAGAGTGGGAGATGTTGTGACTTGCTCAAGGAAAGAGGAAGGAAATTGCATTATGGGTTGGAGTAACGAAGCAATCCTGTATTTTTGAAGTCTTCTTTGCCTCTTACCATATTCTCTCATACACTTCAATTGTGCTTTGTTCCATGTCTACGAACTCGCTTTTCCCGCTGCCCGTCATAGCATGATAGTATGCTGAGAAATACAACTAACATAGCGAGGCAAGGCACCATGATAGAGTGGACAAGGAGTTCTGCGTAAGTGTATTGTCGCATCGTCGTGCTGTGTGCGGATGAAGCGTTGGGTAAATTCAACCTGTTTGTTGGAAGTCACGTAATTTTGAGGTTGTGGGACTTAGATGAGGGCGTATCAAAGCTACATAGGCCGGGGGAAAGCATCAAGTGTGAAGAGGCAGTCACTGATCATCGCTCCCCATCATGCAAATGAAGTGTAGACGCACGCTACAGCAAACATCGTCACGAGCCAATGTGATTCCTACACACCGTCATTCAAAGAATCTTGACAATGACTTTTAACAATTTCTCATTCCTCTATCTCGTCCCAGAGAGCCCGAACCTCGTACAAATCGACAGGCACGTTCGCTCATCTTTTATCTATACATGCCTCAATACTTTCCATGTCCGTGTTCGCAACCAGTAATAAACATCAAAATGAGCCAGCCCATGACAGAGTTCCGCAGCCTGCGACCCAAGAGAGACCAGAGAAAACAATGCTGTTGTGTACCGAGATGTTTGTGAACCGAAAGACCGCACCCCGGAAGAAAACAATAGAGAAATTAAACTCCAAGATGATGCGATAACATGCATGTCGCGCGTAGCAAAACAATAACGCCGACCAAGTGAAAGAAACACAAAGCGCTCTGCGCGAGCGCGTGATTCGCGCCGCCGAGTGTAACAGCAGAGTCAACGACATATTGTCGATGTGTGTGACGTCCGACGGGTGATTTCCCTTCTTTTTCTCTCTTTTCAGTGGCATCTCACCGTTTCTGTCTCGTGATGGCATCGTATGAATTGGCCTGCCCCACCAGTTGGAATCCGGCGTGCAAATGGGCCCCAGGCTGCTCAACTTCAAAATGCAATTTTGTGACGTGTCTCCGCTATTCAAAAGCGAACCAAGCGAGCGACCGAATAGCGATCTCTGTAGTTTTCAAATCGACGGCAACGACAAATATCTAGCCACCCTTGCGATCAGCGGCATTAACGGGCAATGGCTCACCCATTGACTTCTGGTCTGGAGCTCTCGGCTTCTTGTTCTTCCCCTTCTTACGAGGAGGCTGCTGTTGCCAAGAATTGGGACTACTGCCTGTCGCGCTCGGCTTGTTCGTCCTCTCATTGTTCGTGTTGTTCTTTTGCTGTTGACCATTACGATTTTCTTTGGCGTTACCATTCGATCCACCTGTAAGCGATGCGCGACGATGTTGTTGGTTGCTTGGCTTCACCTGCGACTTGTGACTATTGTTACCATTGACGAGCTTGTTAAGATCTGCAGATCTGCCGGCAGTAGGCGAAGGCGTGCGCGTCTCGAACACAGGCGATAGCAGTGGAATCGTCGCAGATTTGATCTCTTGAGGATGTGCTCGCTGCACATTTGAAGTTTCCAGAGGAGGTAGGCCGTTATTGTACGCTGGTGCGCCCCACTGATGGGGAACCGAGCGAGTTGGTGAAATATCATCGCTTCGGTCGCTTTGGTGACCGTTAGTGGCATCGTAGTTTACCCAGCCATCCCCGAATGTAGGAAATGCTTGCTGGCCCTCGCTTGGCACGCGCGTCAAGCCATTTGTCTCCACTGGTGGGGCACTGTTCATTGAGCCATTCACAATGGGGGGACCCATGTTTTGCACTGCTTTTTGTCTTTCCATCTCCTGAAGAACCAACTGCTGCCGCGCTTGGAGCTGCTGGATCTGATGGATAGCCTGATCATTGGCGTATGCCCCAAGTGAAACTTGAGGTGGCATCTCTTGCGGTACAGTCTCTACCGTATCACTTCTAGGACGAGGTTGGCTTGGAAACGAGCCATTAACAATGACTGGACCGTTGTCGACAGGTGGACGGACAGAGTCAATGCGTGACTTGCGCTGTTCAGTAGGTGGCACATCATTCGGCTGAGTAACACTTGTAGAGTAACTACGCATATGCCCAAGTGGCGAAGGAGATCGCGTCACTCGTCGTAAAGCAGTGTTCAGAAGAGGCTGGGTGATCTCTGGCGAGACGCGTCGACGACGCTGAGCCAGTTCGCTAAAGGATGGAATCGATCCAACAGCGTATTCTTGTAGCGGGCGTGCCTGCGGTTGTTCTGCAACGTAGTAGCCAACATATTCCTTGGGCGAACTGTTGTCAGAAGATAGACCCGACTCTGGCTGGGACGTGTTGGGCTTCACCGGGATATCCGACGTCATCTGTGGTCGCAAAGGATCTTTCGATGATCGTGCGATTGGATAACCAGCAAATTGTGCAGGATCAACGAGCTGAGGTACAGGTGGGTATCCCACAATGACAGGCTGTTGTCCCGCACTGCGAGGAGGCTGTGAGTGCGAACGAAGAGAGCTTGTTTCGCTTGCATTGGATGCGCGATGCACTCCATGTACGCCGGGTGTACTGCTGCTCAAAGAAGGAGACGAAGGGTTGGTTCGTGATCCATCTTGTGAGCCGTTGGGATCAGACTGAGGCGAAGTGAAGAAGCCAGGGTAGTGATATAGAAAGCCTTGAGGAAGCGAGTTTGGAGGTATTCCACGTTCAGCCAAACGAGGGCTCTGTCGACCGTTGATGTATGGTGACTTTTGCGGCGACCCATTTGTACTGTTGGACGCCCTACCTTGCGCCTGTGCCTGGGCAACGGCGTGGGCATGCATCTGCGCGGCCCGTACTTGATGTGCTTGCTGAGCGTGTTGTTGAGCAGCCAACTGCGCACGTAGAGAGTTCGACTGCATCTCCAGCATTTGGTATTGCTGATACAGCTGGTCGTGTAGCTGATCGTGGATGCCTCTTGGGAAGCTGAAATACTCCGGGCCAGCGCTCGCTGGGATCGGCGGGCTATGTAGGAAGGGTGGTCGACCCTGACCGTAGTTGGAGCTACCGGAAGATCGCCTGCTACCTCCATGCTGACCCTTCAGGTTAAAGCCTCCTCTGCCTCCACGCGTATTCGGACCTCCTCGTCCATTCCGGTTTGGTACACTAGAGGTAATAATAGCTTTCTGCGACTGAGGTTTCTTGAAAATCGCGTTCGACTTTTCCTCCGGTGGATAGTCGAATTGCTCGCATGCTTTATCGAGCTGCTGACCGTCTGCAAGGAGGTCGAAAGCGCGACGAATCTCCAGGTGTATACCACGCCAAGCATAATCGTCTGCAGAATTTCCAAGATTACGCTCCGTGTTGAAAGGCTCCTCCACACAGAGGCGATTAACCCCCTCTTTCTGGCCACCGCCAGGATGCCAGCCCTTTTCCTCTCGCGGTATTCGCTTGCCCTGTCGTACCGATATCGTGTCTTTCTCATAATCGATTTCGTGTCCGTAGAGACGAAAGAAATGAAACAGCAAGTGGCCCAGACTTTCTTTGTTCTTGTCTCCATAACCCCTCAGCTTGTCTATATCGTCGGCGAAACTCGATAACGAAGGCTGGCCGGTCGTCTCGTCTAGCGCTCGATCGGGAAGATCATGCAGGGTAGGAAGGACCGGCGGATCCCGTGTCTGGAGAAAGTTGATAATCAGGCATATCCATGTGTACGAGCTGATTGTGCCACCAATACCTGGGCGATGTTAGTCGGGAAGGAGGGTAAGTATGTAGCAGACTGACCAGCATCGTTCAGGATACGCCTCTTTGTCCAGTGCTTGATAATCATGGCGAGCGGTCGAACACGATCGTCGAGCTGTATATAGGTCTTAATCATGCGCGTATTCTCGATTGCGGCGACGTTGTTCACGTTGATGTCGCAGGCGAGTTGCAGCTCAGGGTCCCAGACTTTTACTATCCGGACCTTGGCTGCTGGTATGCATACCACGCGCTCCATGCCATCTAAGGAGGTCAGTCTCAATCAATCTGATTTGTGGTGTTTCATACGTTTGTCCAAAGCCTCGGCTATTGGGTGCATCTCTTCGAGCCTTTTCATGGGCGTCTGTATGCAAATATCGACTGTTTCTGTTAGTGTGGACCTCGAGATGCCGCGTGGCACTTACCATCGCTCTCAGATGTCCATAGCATGTTGCCAGAAGAACCGAATACATGGACCATGATTTTGGTACCAGGAAACTCAGTCTGGAGTATACGCTCCACCTTTCTTATAAAGCGCGCTCGAGTATCTTCGTCTTCCTGTTTCGGCACTAACCGATCGTACAGCTCCCGCATGTCTCCACTCAACTTGTCGTCCTCGTTGGGATCCAAGCTCTTCTTTGGCTCCTCCTTGGCCTTTTCCAGTATCTCGTCTGATTGGTAGGGCATGCGTCTCCGACCTAGCATACCAACATTGGTCTCGAATCTGCACTTGAAGGGGCGCGCGGGTCTCAGCGTAGGCATGGTGCCGTTGGCTTCGGACGAGACGGAGCGTGGCGAATGGCTGCCCAGTCCGCCGTTGGGCGAGGGGGAGCGCGAGCGCGTGCTGTACTTGCGGGCGACCTGCAGGGGCGTCGAGGGAACGGAATTCGAGTGTTGCGAGACGATAGACGGGCGCTGGGCGCGCGTCTGGGCGCCCGCGTCTTCCCGTTTGCTCGACATATTTGGCAGACGGTTTGATGTCATCGTGGGCGCGCTGGTGGGCACGCTACGCTGTGTATCCTTATTCCCATCTGTGTCATCTGTGTGCGCCTGTGCCGTCTTGACGGGAGGCTTCTTGGAGAGGGTGCGGCCTGAGTCCCGCTGGGGAGGCGGGCTCAGCGAGTGGGGAGACACAATTACGGCGGGGAAGGGCGTGTGCGAGGCGGGTTGATGCACTTCGTCGATGCGCGCGAGCTGCAGAAAGGGATGCAGCAGCAGGTACGGCGGCACGTGGGCGTACTGTAGGTGGTGGTGGTGGTGGTGCAGAGGGTGCTGCGGAGGGAGCGGTAGGGGTGAGTAGGCGGGAGAATATAGGGCGGGCGAGGGCACTTTGGTCCGGCGAGGGTCCGAATGAATGGGCTGGGGGTGTTGTATGTAGAGATATTGTGGGTTGTTGTGGCGGCGGTCGCTCATAAACTTTAGTGGGCGCTCGCTGGCTATGGCAATGGCGGTACTCGGGGAGGGGCTGCGGCCGGCGTAGGGCTAGTGCAGAGCGCCTGGGGGAGTCGGCAATGGGGAGATGCTTCCAGAGCAAGTGAAGGCAGTGGGTGGAATGCGTGAAAGCACACGGTGAAGGAGTATCGGGGAATTCGGCGTCGTGAGATGCTGGTGCGTGAACCCCTGCTGTGAGAGCCTGGTCTGCACTCGTCGCTGCTAAATGTCTCCGGCGTCGACTGTGGTTCCGCCCGTCAGCGCTAAACAATGGCTAGAGGCAGTCGGGAATCGAGGCTCTGCGGACAGCGAAAGAAGAGGAACTCGACAGCAAGAGGTTATGTGCGGTTAGTTGCAGTGCAGCGGCATGCATGGGCTCGAGCATTTGGGCCACGCCTAGCAGGTCCTAAGGAGGGATGAACGCACAGGGCTGCCTCTAAGGCGCTTTGGGACGTGTGACTGCGACAGGGGCGCCTTCTCCATGGACAATATAACACGCAATTCAATAGATTCAGCGCTGCAGCATGGCGGGGTGCGGCCGTATTTGCTGCACCTGGCTTCCTCGAGCCCAGCGGACAAGACACGACTACCTTCCTTCTTCCACCACCATCACCACCCACCGCGCCTGTGACGTTCCCCGCGCCCAGAACACAGAGTAAGGGAAAAAGCACTGCCCACGCCACACCGTCAGCCGTCATCAGCCCTGACCATGCTGACCGTGCGGAGACGGTTGTATGCAACGGGCCACTCCGTCGTGCGCAGTACGCTATAGACATGGCAGCTTACTACGCTGCAGAGACAGGAGAGTCGACTTGCTGACTGACTAGCCGACGAACTCCTGGTAGCTGGAGAACTCATGTCCAGCTAAGCATGGGCGTCTCCTGTCTCGTGCAGTCCATGTCGTAGGGGATGACGGCCGCTCGTGAGATTGTAGGGGCGTCTGTTGCATCGCAGTCAGACCAGACCGCCCGCCATGCCTTCTTGCTCCGACTTTGTCTACCACCAGCCATGCTGCAAACGTCTATTTCCCGTCTTGTCAGATCTGTATCTGGCCGGTATATCACCGCGTGAGCAGACGCAGGGACAGCACCAACGGCGGTATCTCGTAATGGACAGGGTACCCGCGCCTCTGGTCCCAAGTATAGCCTCCTGAGTACTGATGTCAGAGGCCGGACATTCTCGCGTTTGGAATGGTTTTGTTTCGACGCGGTAAATTGGGGCTCAATATGCAGGCAATTGTCTACGGGCGGACTTGTTTCAGATGCCCGGCATTCTGCCTGGTCACATGATGACATTGGTACGGCAGGCGTATTGGACAGATGGGGAAGCGACCATGTCGTTCCTTCTAGCCGAGGCACGTTCGCATGCGGCTTGCATACGCGCATCGACTATCATGGCATCTCTCCTCCTACGCGTGGCACAGCCAAGTGTGTCCTTCACCTGCCGTAGAACTGCTCATCGAACATTCTCTTCAGCCATGGCTCAGCGACGCATTGGTAGGCGGCTCAGCAACATCTCGTGCGACAGTGGGCTGATGGACCATAGCGAACCCCGCCCTCTTGTATGCCTTCCCGCGGCGACTATCATTTCCCCTACTAATACCATCGCAGTATCTGCGATCTTCAAGAGAAGTTCCGTCCTGCTATATATGAATTCCCCAAAGTCGTTTCGACTGCACAGAAGCTGCTCAAAGCAAGTGCGTTGCTCATCCCATACCAACACCGTCTTTCAAAGTCCAAATAAGACACCCAACATGGCATCTCCAGCCTCTTGAACCCCCGGATTGTCAGCCCAGAGGTCTCAGGCTGGCTTGTCCATTTTCTGTCGCTACACACTTCGCCCCACGCGCTTATTGCTGACCAACACCGTCAGGCAAATTACTGAACATTCCCGTATTCGCAACAACCCAGAACAGAGCGCGATTGGGCGAGACATGTCCGGAGCTGAAGTTGGATCAGCCCGATGGCATCAAGACAGTCTGTCATCTTGACAAGACACTCTTTTCTATGATGTGAGCTACAACATGGATGATGTGTGTCCCAAGTCATCTGCTGACTGTTGTTAGAACACCAGAAGTCAAGCAAGCCCTCGACTCACTCAATGCCTCCGGTCCACTCTCCTGTATCATCGTCGGCATCGAAAGCCACATTTGCGTCACCCAGACCACACTCGATCTCCTCCGATCCGGACACAAAGTATATGTCATTGCTGATGGCGTAAGCTCCTGCAACAAGGAGGAGGTGCCCGTCGCTTTGGCGAGGCTGAGGCATGAAGGTGCCGTGGTCACTACGAGCGAGAGCTTCATGTATGAATTTGTTGGAGATGCAGGAACGCCTGAGTAAGCAAAGCTGACATGCTGTTGTTCATGTTCGGGCGCTAACATCCGACAGGTTCAAGGAGATCATCAAGGTGGTCAAGGAGACGTCGCAGAGCACAAAGGAGGCAATGCAGACACTCTGCAAGATCTAGATTAGCTATATCTTGGCCTTTCACATGCGATTCCATGATCTTACAAAACTAATGTCTTTACACGGACTATGTCATTGAACATACGCCAGTGCTGTATTATACTCACCTCTGTTGCTCTCTTCAGTTCCTCACCGTCCTCCCTATCCCCTGCATTGTCTTCGACCCCATGGTACATTTCTCCCTGATAAAGAAGCAGAAATGTATGCTCAACAAGAGTGATCGAGATAATCTCACCCACAAGTATAGAACTTAGCAGCACAGTTCTGGATTTTACAAGATGATGAAGACATCGCAGATCTCTACGGCTCAAACAATTCTCTAGGTGGTTATGCTGATGTTTCTTCGCCAATTCCACTATCACTTCAGCGACTGGACTAAAGCCTACAGGCACTGATCGTGTTCTGATTGAGGTTGAGGATGCCGCCCATTCATTGTTGGTAGAGACGCCAAGGGTTGTTGAAAGGCACAAGACTATGCTAGTCACCCTGACCATGGCCGTGCTAGTTGTTAGTTGTAGGATGGATGAGATGTCTGGAAGTTGAGGCTTGTATTGATGCGACTGTTATGAGTGAGATACACCTTTGTTGAATTATCATCGATGGGCTTTACACGATCAATCTCGTTTGCTTAACTATTTGACACGCAGTTCAGCTTGCTTATCCTGCATCGTTTGCATTGTTTTCGAGACAACCGGAAGCTGTCGTTACATTACGTGGTACGCGTCAGGCGTACAATCATACAGTGACTAGTAGACATTGCCTTAAGCTCGCATGATCTTACTTGCCATAGATTTCCTCCATCTTTCGTCCATCTTTCGTCTGCTGGACTGCATCTTTTAATGTCGCACTATCCTATATGTGGATCATTGATCCTCTCCAAACCTAGCTACGGCTTCTACGGTCCACACATGAAGAACTATGCTAGGAAAAATTGGTCAATACTCTTGCGAAGACGTTTCGTGATGCCATACAGGTGACGCTGAAGTTGGACATAGAGCATGTTTGGACAGGTAAAGATGACAAGCGCTGATTTCATGTCTCAGACAGCTTTCACATACCCAGGTATTTCAAGGCTCCGACCAAGGGTGGAAGGTAGAAGCTGGTACTATGCAGGACGTGTATCGCAACTCATACATCACTTGGACAGCTGATGTCCGTATAACTTCGTGGTCCTAAAAAGAAGGCTTCAATGGGTTTTCCGACCTTAAATTCCAGAACGATATCAGCGGTATTCAGCTTGCTACATCTCGGACCTTGCGCTGGGCTCAAATTTACATGTGTCGTTCAATGCCGAAGATGATACCCTTGAATAAAGATCGCTCTTTCCTATCTTCGAAACCGAATTACGGTCTAAAATCGCTGGATACTACTTGGAAGGCCTAGTACTGGTACTAATCCAGGATTCAGAAAGACATCAACATGTTAGATCATAAGTAGGATCTAAGGAGAAGGAAAAAGAACTTGATAGGTTACTGCATCATCTGAGAAAAGAGCTAGGATCGCGGTCTAGTCTTTCAATAAATGTGCTCACTAGTTCCAGCTCCGACAATACGCATATGCATATCGTGGTGGAACCGAGGCGTTGAGAGTGTTTTCTTTCTTGAAACGTATCATACTTTTGTTCAATCAACTTTCATGAATGACAAAAGTCTCCCCGACTTAGAGAACACATCCTTTACACCCTTGGATTAGATGAGTGTGCCTCGTTCTTGCGTTCGAGGTATAAGGCGTCATCACCATAGCCCAAAATCTTCTCCCTTAGTTTGTCATCGATCGTCTCTGGGGCTTTGAACCCGTACCGCCCCCAGAATTCCGCTGTTCCATAGACAGAAACAAGACTAGTCGTTGCGTATTGCTTTGCGACAGTCCCCAGAATCTTGGTGAGACATTCATGCGCTAAACCAGACCCACGGAATCCAGGAAGAATTGCCAAATCGTGAACGTAGTATTGGTTTGCATCTGGAGCGATTTGTCCAAGGAGCCTGTCCAAAGCTGGCGGTTCGCGGTACAGGATAGGATGTGAGATGATATATCCGCAAAGCTCACCGGCCTCATCGAACAGACCTTGGCAGCCTTGCGGAAACAGTCTCGCACGCTCTGCAAAGACTTCGTCGCTCTCAGGAAGATCGGGATGAATTTTATCAGCAACCTGAACGAGGCTGGCAATATCGCTGGTGGACAGCGGACGCCAATCAGCTTTGACGTTCGACGAATTCTTTGTTTGCGCCATGTGTGGCTCCATTTTGTAATGCGATTAGTGAGGTAATGGTATGTGTTGTGAGTGCAATGTTCAGTGGGAAAGCATCTACCCCACCAACGGTGAGCCTCGTATATTTGGGCAGTCATCGCCTACATGCAACGCGGGGCTGTGCTTGCCGTATCTAGTATCGCCAGCCGAGTAGATGCAATACAACATGTCTTCTTGATGAGGCACACACCACGGCAGACTACTATAATGCCAACAGTTTGGTCTTCAAGGGACCAAGCGCGAATTACGACGCGTCAATCCCGTAGTTCGAAGCACAGACCTCGGTGATTGCTGGCCTTCACGCCATCATCACATCAAACTTCGAAACATGCATGCTTCCCGAGCTCACCATCATGCACCTTTCCTTCGTGAGCTTTGATCTCTGCACTTAGGCCAGCAATGTCGTTCGTTGAGGGTTTATCGGCTGGCACTGCCTAATCAAGCCGCATGCTGCTTGGCGGCTGATCTGGATGGGTTACAAAATAGTCGAAATGGCTCGCGGTCCACCACATTTATAATTCACTCTAACACCATCTCCACCAGTCTAGGGCCTCCTTTTCTATCTCCAATTTGCGATCCTAGCAAGACCACGATGGGTGGTAAAACATCCAATCTTCGGAGCCATGGGCGAACGGTTTGCATTATCGGAGCGGGCATCAGTGGACTACGAGCCGCTATACTTCTTACTAATGTGGGGTTCAATGTCACAATACTCGAAGCAAGAGACCGTGTTGGCGGTCGTATCCACCAAGATCACCGCTTTGGTCAACCTATCGATCTTGGTGCGAGCTGGATCCATGGTACTCAAGGCAATCCTATCGTAGAGCTTGCAAGAAATACAGAGTCAACGACAGTTGCTTGTAGCGCGGTCGAATCTATATGTAATACGAACGGAGTGTGGTTCGACCGGAAGAAGGCAAGACAATACTATGAAGAAGTTTGGGAGATTCTGGAGTTGGCGATGAAACAGAGTCACGCGAATGCAGCAGCGATACCTGACACAATAAAGATGATGGATTTCGTTCATGAAGAAATTCAGAGGAAATGTTCGCACCGCAGATGTCAAGAGCCTGATGCGCCACTTCTGGCGTATATTGCTGAAATGTGGGGGGCGTTTATGGGAGACGATGGCGAACGTCAGAGTCTCAAGAACCTCTGGCTAGACGCTGGGCTGGAAGGAGGTATGGATGACCCAATCCAGCTGCAGTACTATCGCTAACTGTTTACGCAGATAACCTGTTCCTTGCATCGACCTACAAGGACATCGTTCATGACATGTACCTCCAGATTTCGAAGAAAGTCAATCTTCAGTTGAACTGCGAAGTGACTGCAATTTCGAACTTACAGTCAGGTTCGCTACAGATCAGTTCAAAGAGTGGTTTCCACGGCCAATTCGAGGACGTTGTCGTTACTGCTCCGTTAGGGTGGTTGAAACGCAACGAGAACGTCTTCTCACCACCTTTGACACCCGAAATTTCGACAGCAATTCAAAGTATTGGATATGGTAACCTAGAGAAGATTTTTATCAAATTTCCAAAACCCTTCTGGGATGATCCGGATTTTGGAAACAACACCGGATCAGCCAGAGGCCCCGCGTTTCCGATCGAGTCTCTCTTCTTGCGGCCAGAGTACGCAACCGATACAAACCCGTCACGATGGCGAACTGAGATCGTGTCTTTCTCTGGTATGCCGGCAGAATTCTCGCAACCAATCATCATGTTCTTCGTATACGGTCAATGGGGCAGACATATTTGTAGGCTTGTTCGAGGTATGTTGCAGGACTCCGCAGAACGCTATCGGATCTTGGACGACATATTCCATCCGTACTATTCAAAGCTGCCAAATTACGATCCTACCCGCTCTGAATGTGCTCCTGTGACATTTATGTCAACAGATTGGCAGAATGACGAGTTTGCAGGGTTTGGATCGTTTGCCAACATGCCAGTGGGTTCTGGCGATGGCGATCTTCATTTCAAGGTACTTAGGGAAGGTATGGGCCACAATCGTGGAATTTGGTTTGCTGGTGAACATACATCACCACCAGGTGGACTCGGCACTGTAACCGGAGCTTACTGGAGCGGGGAGGAAGCTGCCAAAAGAGTCGCTCTTCACCATGGAATCACGCTAGATATCTGATACGTAGGATGGTAGGAGTAGTACAAGCTCCAGTAAACTTGAACGAGGAAATCTGTACTTATGTAGCACAAACTCGATCTGACAAGTCTTTGCTCGTCATGTACAATTTGAAAGAATTTTCCCTTTGATTATTCAGTCTGAACACGTGCTTGAATCGATCGAAAATCCCTGTCTTCCAGGTATCTAACGATTCTCGAAAGGGCTTTTGGGTAAGAAGGTTGGGTTCTCCTCCAATGTGACGGCGTCCATGTGCTCTGGATCAACGCCTTTGAGCAGCAATAGCTTCCTCACTTTGGAAGAGCCGTTATATGATGCCCAGTGTAGCAGTGTCCATCGATCGTCATCTACATCCTCGGCGCCATAGATCCAGCGAGGGACCTCAGCCTCTCCAGGGTTAGGAGCTGCCTCCCAAAACATCTCCTCGTCTATACCTTGTAGATTTGCATGACGACCAGTTTCGACGAGGGCTTCCATGAACATTCGATATCGATTTGGCCCGATGTAAAGCGCAATGTCGCTTGGAGACAGCTCTCTGTACGAGAGTTCTGGGTCTTCCGGCAGTGGTGATGGGAGAGACAACTGATTGACGTTCGTACCATTTTGTAGGCATAGTCTCATGATCCGTGGAGCCCCAAAGTAAATGCAGCAATGGAGAAGTGTCCACCCGTCACCATCCAAAGACTCGTACACGTCCGGCTCTGAGTGTCGAACGATAGTCTGGAATGTCTCCAGATTATCGTGAGATGCCGCGAAGAAGAGCGCCGTCCAGCCATACCATTGCGCTCTTAGCTCAAGCGATGCACCAAGTTTCAAGAACGTCTCGACGTCATCCGATGTACCGATGGCGGCCGCTCGGTGGAATGCTGACCAGCCCCGGCTATCGCATGTGTTGACTTCACCAAAATCGTTGGCAAGACAAAAGCGCATGAATTCGGCTGACTTCTCCAGAGGCTTGTCAACTACCCAAAGGTACGAGAGGACCGAATAGCCATCACTGTCAATGTGCTCAATGTCTGCACCTTGGTTCAGCAATACCCTTCCTATATTCAGGTGCCCATGAAGAAAGGCAGACTGTATCGCCGTCCTGTATGACTGATGTTAGCAGATCGTCCAAGTATTCGTTGCAACAGTCAAAGGAGGTTGTACTCACATGTTATGTTCGCCGTATGCTAGGTTGGGAGTTGCTCCATATTCGAGGAGTAAGCGAACAAGCCGTGTAGAACCACTTTCGATGGCGTACTATATATTCTATTAGGACAGAAAGCGGTTCTGAAGAAATTTGACTGACATCGAGCATCGGCCAACCGCCAGATGTAATATCACTTCCTTGCGCTTCCCCGCGCTCTAGTAGTCGACGAGCTTGATCGAAATCGCCTGTCTTGCATGCGATGACCATTGCGCAATCCTTAGGCACGATGTTGCGAACGTGTAACATTCGATCAAAAGTAAACCCTGGCAGAATCACTTTCATTTGGAGGGAGTATGTCTTGCTAAGTACCGAGACGTGCACGGTAGCTCGATAACTGGTGGACTCATCTTTAGGTAGCATGGTCAACTGACCGGAAACGCCCCATTGGTTGAATCGTGCAGTCCATGGTAAAAGTTTGGTAGACTTTTTTGTAAGCTGATTTGATTGCTTCCGCAAAGCGCTGGGCCCAAGTATTTGGGTCTGAGCAAAGGTTGGGATAAACGAAGGACTAGATTGGTTGATCACCGCTACCCCCCAGACGTTGCTGTTCGTTGCCCTACTTTTCTCCAAACGACTCAGCGCGCTCTGTTGTTGGATAAGTAAGCCGTACATCATATGGCTGACTCGCCTATGGTCTATAAGTTGTTTGCTCTAGAGCAGATCTGAGACACAACTTACAATTGCTCCATCGTTGCAATTCCTTGTAGTGTGCTTTCAGCAGATTTCAATCGCTCTTGCAACTCTACCAGAGTTTGCTTATCTTTCAACGCCCATCGGACCTTGCTTCTCCATGTATGTGGTTCGGACCGCAGGGGGAAAGAACTCTCAATTGTCGAAAGTAAATCATGAGCGGTAGACATTGCCTTAGTGTACGGTCCTTCTTCCATGACCACATAACTCTTTTGAGACGATGTACGATAATACGGTCTGCTATCCCCTGCATGATTTAGAGCATGAGGGAGACCAGCTTTCCTAGTTTCCAGGGCTTTGATCTCTTCTCGTAGTAGTAACGCATGTTGTCGAGCATTATCGAGATCTTCGTCTGCGCACCTGTAGTCATGTCTCAGCCGGAATATAAGTGAACTGAGCTTTGTAACTGAATCAGCTATGCCTACAACGCCCGCAGTTATCGAAAACGGATCCATGAAGCCGTGTCAGAGGCTTTGATGTACTGTGCTTGATAGGATGCGTGCGTTGAGTGAAGCTGCTAGATGCAGTGGTGATTGATGATCGACGACGAGAATATATATTGTGTTCATAACACTCGTACGTAACTGGCTCTCGACTTTCGCAAATTCCGCAGATGGCCAAGTATAGCTGAAAGTCTGCGAACAGGTGATTCGAAGTGTTATCATTCCTGAATAGGCTGAAGCGTAAATGCATGCCTGAGTAAGCCAGTCACATATAACTCTTCATGAATAGCATCCCTCGGTATTGTGATACGCGCAAGCAGCAACGGAAAAGACTTGGGTTTGGCAATGTGTCCAATTTCACAGCATAAACAGAGACATACTTCGTACGAGACCAGATGCGGCGTACTTCCGAAGCTCTTTATACAACGTTTGGCCCCAATCATCCTGCCATGCAGCCACTGCTTCCGCATACTTGCATGACTGCTGCGTTGTCAGTCGACCAGGCTATCACCTCCACAAGTAAGTCAGATAGCACGCCCTCGTCCATGATGATAGCGATTTCTGCGTCTTCCCGCTCCTGATGAAACGCATACCGCCCTTCCATGCTCAGAAACGTTGCTTCAGGACGAATCGTAGGCTGTTCGAAGATATAGACATCGCCACCAGCGGTAAGCGGCAGTAAAGCCACAATGTATGCTACTATCGTTCCCAAGCGTTATTGGCCGCCATAATCCGCCCCGCAATCCTTCTTACAGACCGCCGGTCCTGGAAAGCCTTCTTGTTGGCACGTCGCTGCCTTGTTATCGTAGATGGTTCGCTATAGGATTGCAGGACGCATCGTTCTAGACCCGCTGCGATAGGACACCACCTCGCGGTTAGGGGTTCTGGCGCAATACTTGAGACAACCAGACATTCAGTTGTGTATCATCGCAACCACAATGAGGTTGCTGGCGTTATCTAGACAGCGAACATGAGAGAACTTCCGCAGATGAGCTCCGACAGCTATCTAATAGGGTGGCACATAGACGCGCAAATGCGAGTTGAGTTTGGCTGTGCTAGATTCATAGGAATGTGGTGGTTGGGATGTAATGTTTGGGTGTCAGACTTAAGAAGCGAAACGCCGGCCGCACTCCGGAACTTCCGCTCTCTGAGGCAAAAGAGTCGCGTCCCCCCGCCCCCTCCCCGATTTTGACGTCAAACGAAATCGCTTGCTCAGTCCGGTGTTGTATGGCCTCTGTGTGAGCGCTGCGAAAAGCAGGACTACCGCCTTCATACAACTTATCACCATAACGTCAGCGGCAACACCGCTACTAGCAGAGCGGGGACGCGCGCACCACGTTCTTTATCCAACAAGACGAGATTATTGTGTTCTCTTCTTTCATACATCGCACAAAGCGGGAGATGCCGACGGAACGAAAGAATGGTTGCGGTCGCTGATTGAAGGCCTCGAAAAAGCCAACAGCTGTCTCCTCAACGTAACAGGAGTGTTGGGCACTACAAGACAAGAAAAAGAGCAGCGCTGATAACAAGGCGGCCGCAGATTCCGCCTGATCAAGAGCCTGTCGATCCGTTATTTGCGACCTCAGCATCAATCGTGATTGTCCCCTAGTTACTAAGAACTGTTAAGGACTCTCAAAGATGGTAACCTGTCTTGCCGTCGAAGCGCCTCTGTAGTCAGATTGTCGGGGCAAATCCGTCTCCACGACCGAATCATACAATTAAGAGTGTATCCTATTCATCTCTATTTACAGATCGTGGTGCTTTCCTCAAGTAGCTATCAGAATCTATCCTGCTCGCTCCACCACACCGACCTTCAGTTCTTTCAAGTGACGATGCAGTCGTCGCTCACGGTTCCAGCGATAGCCATAGCAGCACCCCAGTGTTTGAGACCTACAACACGATCGCATATAGTTCCAAGTCGTATATACTCCTATAGCTGTGCATACTGAACCGAACTTCTAGATCCGCGAAGCTATGTGGGGTCAAGGATGGCTGCGCTAGATATGATCGTTATATAGCGTATAACCAAGGGTCTTGTGGGGCGTCTAATCTGCAAGATAGAAGACCACGAGATTCGCGATTATGGATCTTGCGAATTGTCCCTGTGTATCGAGACGTCACATAGGACAACTTTTCGCCTAGATCCTTGGCATCAGACTGGCATGAGTGCGCGAAGTCAAGCTCGACTCGCATCAGTTCTATAGCTACCGAAGTAGAGGTGTGCTCGTCTCTGACGAAGAAGATTGTAGCGTCGAGTCTGCAGTAAATTGGCCTATCATTACCCAGGTAGTACCTGGGTACCATCAACCTCTTGTAAACGTGTCCGTGCTTGTTCACAGCGAACATTCTCTGCGCACCTTAATGCTACCACTAGCATAATGCATCGTTTCCAACAAGCCTTGGCTATCACTAATGGGCTTATACCAGTCCAAAAACGTCTTGGTGAATGTAGTGTCTTGGACGAGACTACCTAACCTAAGTAGGTAGTCATTTCCCTCTTAAGACTGCTTGTTAGGTAGACGCTGTTCGGCTACTACACCGAATCGCTCAACCGAATGTACCGGAAGTCTGGAAAGAGACCTGGGATCTTGGAATTACGTGAGCCCGCTACTGTACCTAGATACCTTGTTCTGATGGTCAGTGCAGACCATCGGTAGACGTGCCGACACGCGTACCTGGTAACATGGCGATCATTCCTATCACTACAGCTCCACAGCAACGCAATATCGAAAGATCGTCTTGCAGGAAGTCATATTCGCGAGTGTTAAACAAGATGCTTGGGTTGAAGCAGTCAACAAGTACAGTGTTTCACGCCCCACGCTACTCTGGTGATGCAGAGACACCGTGCGCCACTACAGAAGCGCCGATAACTAAGGTAATGAACCAATAAAAGCTTGGCTTGAGGCAAGAGCAGGAAATCATACGACCCATGAACAAGCTTACAGATCAATACGTACCACCTATACCAGATATGATACGGGTTTGAGGAGCCGGTAAGCAGTACCTAGCCTCTAGGTACCTAGGTATTCACTACATAATGATCCGGGACTGCCCTGCCTTTGATGAGGTGAAATCGTCGTCATTAATATGATGGGCTTGGGCTGGATGCGATGGAATAAGACTTGACTGACCTAATCGGCTTGGATGGGCAGTTTGTTCTCACCGAGTTACTAAGACAGAACTCTTTCTTGCTGTGTGTGTATTTCCAAAAGCGCATATCCAGGATGGAGGTGTCGTTCCAAAAGCGATACATCTCAGTGCCGCACAGTTTCAAAAAATACACCTGGTCAAGTAAGTACATTCTAAAGCAGCACATTATGATCTGGTCTTACACAAGACAGAACCAATCATCTCAAATCCCCTCGGTTCTTGGCGTGTTTACGGTCTTGTTCACTGCTCTGAAAAATGGTCCGACTACACTTGGTCGGTCTATAGACGTAGCATGATGACGATTAGGATACTAGTGGTTTTTCTACCTGCAATATGCTCCTCTTCCGCCGGTCTGTCGGAGTCGGAGTGCAGGTATGCCAAACCTCCAAGGTCGAGGGTGTGAGGGCTACGAACCACAGACGTGTCATCACAATATGGAAACCTTGGTGCTTATGCTAGGCGGACAAGAGAGATTGCGGAGCCGACTTGGTCGAGAGAGATGCAGTCAACACAGAGAAGTATATAAGCTGAGGAAATGGCCATTCATTCCTCTTCATCCGCCGTCAACCATCAAAAGATCAAAGGCTAAACGCCAGCCATCTTTTCACACTCAAGTCTGTCGCAGATACCTCTTATCCTCAAAATGCTTCTATCTCACCCAATCATTTTCTTCACCACTGCCTTCGGTGCGGTCTCTATGGCTAATCCGATCGCTAATGCTGAAGCAGCAGCACTCGCTATCCTCCACGATCTGCCCGAATGGGAGTCGTACTCAACCTCGCTTGAAGCACGAAATGCTGAACCGGCCGGGCTAGAGGCACGCCAGGGCGGTCCTATTGCCTGCATCGCCACGGTGTAAGTAACCCCTTATTGTTCAATGTGCAAGGCTGACAGAAGCGTAGTGGACTCGGTCCTCCGTCTCAGCCTTCGTTCCGTGGATGTATTGGAGTCCGCCCTGGCCTTATCACCGGTTTTTTTGTTCGGACTGCGGAGTTTCCCAACTGCGAGATTGGGGTTGAGGTTAACTACCCCAACTGCGCCCAATACCGCGTTGTCAGCATTCAGAACTGCGGTGGTGAACGCTTAGTCGATATCTCGGATGGCTCGTCTTGCCCACCACCACCTGGAAGATAGGCTACTACAAGATAAGGTACTGTTTAAGCTAAGGTCTTTTTTTTGATCCCTAGAATATCCATGTCGAAGGAAAGGCTTCCTACTAGAGATTGTCAAAAGAGGGGTGTTTTTTTTGGCCTTGGCATTTCAGTACTTGTAGACTAGCTAGATGAGACTTTCTATAGAACCGATGACGGCACCGTTACAAGTATCAAGGCACAGCATGAATGTAAACGACACAAGCACAAATGATGGCGAAAGTATCGCTTTATTGATTTTCTATCCAAGCCAGCTCGATTCAGTGTTGTCCAAAAACAAAGAGAAGAAAGCATGCCTGCTGAAGTGCCAAAGCTATCAAGAGTCAACTATTGACCCTGATTTTTCTAATGCCACATGATTGAAAGAAGGAAAAGGAAAGCATGAACCCGCTGAAGCAAACGCGTAGGCGCAGGCGCCACAACGGAAAGGATAGCCGATTGAACGACATTGAAAGCAAGTATAACCAGACAATAGAAGCGAACAGGTATGGGATATGGGAGGGATATCAATAGAACAACGAACGTGAGAGTAAATAGTCGTGAGTAGAAAGGAAAAGTAGGAAACCTGGGTAGTTCCGGAAAGAGCTGCGTGTGCAGGTTTACCACGAAGAGTGTGATTTGATAGTCTGTCCCCCTCATTTAGAGCTTTCGCGCTCATGGAGTACGGGAAGCTTGGGCGGACTGAACGACACACGAGAAAGTCGTTTGGTAGCGTCTCGAAGCGGAGACGACCTATCATTCGAGTTCAGCAAACCGCGCATCTCAGCTCCTCATTAACGATCACCTCAGCGGGGTCTGGGCCGCAGCTACCTCCGCGACCTCGTCTTCTGGCCTCATTCTTAGGCCACCCTCGACCTGAATGCCTTGCTGGACCCACTCCAGTTTCTCAATATCTTCCAAGCTCTTCCGACCGCGTGAGACCTTCTTCAGCAGCCCTTCGACACACTCGCGAGCTCCTCCCCACTCCTTGCCCTTCTCAGCATCCCACTCACCGTCTTCGTCACCAAACTTGACCCAAGACCAGTCGCATCTGGCGATACGGTGAGCAGCTCTGCTACGAGACGCAGCCTTGCCCGGTAGGGGATCAAAGGGTAGTCGTCCCTCCATGAGAGCATAGAGAAGGACACCAAGCGCCCAGGCATCCGTTGAACGACCGTCATATGGCTGACCTAGTAGAATCTCCGGGGCTGCATAATCTTCACTACCGCATCGTGTTGTCAAAAGGGGCGATTCGGGTGGAGCTGGAATACGTCGAGAAAGACCAAGATCCGTAAGTGTCGCTATGGCATGCGGATGGCTCTGTGGATTCTTGAGTAGAGGCACAGTAGACACAGGGATGTTGAGAAGAACGTCTGGATATCATTAGTACAGAGTAGAATCGAAGAAACGTACCACTTGAGGCGCAGCAAGATAAAGAGAATGGAAGCAGTACTTTCTAGCTTGATGTCGCGGTGCACGATAAGTTGGGTATGCAAATAACGCACGGCGCTGACCATTTCGGCGAAGATACGATGGACGATATCGACAGTCAGCTTGTCGCGATGGTCACTGGCTACATCAAACAGATCACCACCGGGACAGTACGTAAGGACAATAAGAGCTTGGGCGTCATCGTGATCGAAGGCTTGGAGATGTACGAGAGACGGATGTGATACTGATCGGAGCATCTCAACCTCTCGCTTGAGGCTTAATTCTACGCGTTCTTCATCGGCACCCCCGGCCGGGCCATGCTCGACGACTTTGATGGCGACCAATTTCCGCGGATCCAAAACGTTCTCATCGAGAGGGTCCTTGGCCTTGGTCTTCTCGCAGGTTGCCAGGTAGACTTTGCTGAAGGTGCCCTGGCCAAGCTGCCGGACAGGGCGCCAGAGCTTCTTCGTCTTCTGGGGTCCACAGCGCACCACTATGTATTGAGTCTTGTCATCATCTGTCACGTCCTCTTCCTCGGTGTCGGTAACACTGCGGTTGCTTGCGTTGCTAGCGGGTGGAGTGGGAAGCCCGGCTGGCACCTTAGCGGGGACAAGGCCCCTCTGCATGGCAAGATATGTCTCGCGGTTCATGCGTTGCTGCATGTTGGGGTCCGTTTCTACCACCGAGACTTGTCGGGGACGAGCGTTACGCATTGCATCTGGAGTGTACTCGCTGATGCTTCTGTTGCGCTCGCGGGCTGCCTCGTTCCTCTGCTGAGAGTTTGCAGCGGCCGCTTCGATGGCGGCCGCTTTCAGTCCCGAGTATCCTTTCTTCTTGAGCGAGGGCGAAGGAGAGAGGGTGCCCTTGGTGAACATGGCGAAGGAGTCGTCGCGAGAAGCGCCTGATATGCCTCGTGAGCACGGGCGATGGTCGGCTCGCTGCCATGGCCCCGGTGAGTCGCCCATCACCAGTGGTGATGGAAGTGGGGTTATGTCTCCCAGGGCGGCCAGTGCTGGCGACGAGATGGCAGACGAGGGCGACAGCGAACCGAGACTAGCAGTAGACCAGGCAGTCCTCAGATAGCCACTGTCTTGTATCGCAATCGGCGCAGTGGCCGACTGCCGCAGCGCGTCGCTCCCGTTGGCCTCCAGATTGGCGGGGTGGAGAGAGCGTGCAGAGTTTGGGTTGGACGAGGCGATGGCGAGGTCCGTGTCAAGCTTCAACGCGGTGGACGGGGCGCGGACGTGGTATCTGGGCAGCGGCAGCGAGGGATCCGTGAATCCCCTTCCAATCGACAGGTCCGAGTTGGTCAGGGTCGACGTCGCATTTAGGTTCGCGGGGGGCTGGAGGGCAGTAGTGTTTAGCGTGGCATGCGTCTTTTCCGGCGCGTCGTTGTACGCGGCCGCCCTTTCGGCTCGAGGGTTGGAGGACGCAAGACCCGTAGAGGATGACTCTGGGTCCTCCATGGTGTTGTATCACTGCTTGGGCGGGACACGATCGTGTGGCTATCCAGTAGTCGTCGGTCTGCTGTCTGCGGGTGATGCTAAACATGGACGTGCGCCTTTCCGGTATCATTAGCGCATGCCTGGACACAAGCCACAACCAGCCTTGCGACTAAAACAAGCAAGCGTGCAATTAGGATGTGACCCGTCGCCCGACCTGATAACGTTTACAAGCAATAGTTCGCCGTCATGGCTAGCTGAGCATCACCGCCGTGTCCTTGTTGAGAAGGCCCATCCTCTTTCGACTGTCATCCGCAACCACGACCAGTCATGGGAAGGCAGTATCGACGTTTGGCCTATGAGCATGGCCCGTGGAAGCACACGCTATCGCTAGGTCTAGACGCACGCGCTTGCTTTCCCTACCTCCGGTACCGTAAAACAAGAACCGACAGTCTAGGTACTGCATCCATCAACACCGGATACGGCTCTGGGGTCCTTGGGGCACGTGCGACTATACGGCTGAATCAACATACGCAAAAGTCTCTGTGAAACATCATCCAGCAACATACAGCCGAGCCTGTGTGTAGATGTCATTTGTGACGTGTTTCTTCGCCCCATCCGCGGATGTCGGCAGAGCTACGAGAGCTGGTGCCTGGCACTAGACAGAGTATTGTAAAGCAAACGTCAAATGAAGGCATCTCGTGATATCGTACAAAACTTCCAATCCGCCCCAACTAGATACCCTCCGGGTGATTATCATACAAGATGCTTCCATGTGAAACTGCTCAAGCAGAATGTCGTGTGTTCGTAATGCTGTCTCCCTGCAAGCACAGCAGGCCATTCGAGTTCCTCGTAATCATTTCCCTTCCAAGGTGAGTCTGGAATGCATTTTCATCTATTGGCTGACTTCACTTGGCCTGTCCCTGATTACCCTGGTTGTTGAAAGTGAAGTGCTGGTCGGGAGGGGTGAGAGAATGAGGGGAATAGGCGTAAGAAGAGTAGCTGCCATCGTAGCCGTTGTTGTATTGACCTCCCATGTTGTGGTAGGGGTTTGTAGGGTAAGATGTACGATCTTCCTTGGTGTTGCGGTTAGAATAGGCAGGACGCGTAGTCCACTGGTTATTGGCCTGATAACCAAAACGAGGGTCGTTGTGATTGTCTTGAGGAGATACCATGTTATGCGGCAACACCGAATGTCCATCGCGGATAACTTCAGAATTGCCACCATAGTAGCTCTGGACGGAATGCTGAGAGCGTGGATTATGTGAAGGGAATGGGGCCTGAGAGATGCTCGCAGCGTTGCCCTGACCAGTGGGAGTGTACTGTTGAAGAGCCTTGGCCTCTGTCGCCTTTTGCTCTACCGACTTCTGCAAAGCCTGAATGATCTGCTTCATCTCCCTCATGTCCGCCTCCATGCTTGTCATCTTTTTGTCTTGTTCTGCAAAGGCCTTCGGTATGGTCTCCTTGACACAGTCGGATATGCTGTTAATACTAGCATGGATGTTCTGCTGGTTGTCTACTATACAATCGTCGATGCGTTTGGCACTGTCCTTGACGGCTACCAGTTGGGATGATATCTGCTCAAAGCGCGTACTGACCAGCGCCAACATCTCCTCCTGTCTTGCATTCGACGTGCTCTTCTGCTTCTCGTTGAATGTCTCGAGAAGATCCCAAGTGGTCTTGCCCACCACGTCGAGGTGCTCATTAGTCATGAAGAAGTGGTCATCGATGGTCTTGGGCGGAAACAGCGGAGGGAAAGCATTGCATGATCCGCCAGAAGGTATCATCAACTGCGCTGAGATTTGGGGACCAGGAACCTTGTGGAGCGGACTGGGAACGGCGCTGGGGCAGTAAGGCTGGAACTCGCCGTGGGACTCGCTCCGACCTGGACTGACAGTATTGAGCATATCGGTAAGCCTCGAGGAAGACTGATCAGGCTGAATCTGGCTAGAGTCGCCATTCTTCTGAGCTAAGTTCCCGTTCTTCTCTCCAATGCGCAGCTCTTGCATGACGCGAGTGGTAATGCCAACGTCAGACCGCCTATCACCCGTCTGGCCGTGCTGCTCGTTCTCGTCTATCTCGTGCGCAGTTGGGGAGTGCGGATCAATATCCTGGCGATCTCCTTGAAAAATCATCTTGATTGAGCCGTCGTTTGATTCTTCGCGAAGATGGAGGACTGATAGCGACCTTCCGGGAAGTGAGTAGAGAAGACGGGTGGTATCGGACTGACAAAGTTGTTAGCAAGTGTTACTAGTACAATATCGGTAAAAGCAGAGTGATGGAGGTGAATGCGAGCAAACGCGTGAGTGGAACATAACAAAGAGCTAGGTGAGCGCCACTCTGTTGTCAAAAGTGAGAGGGAAAGAGCGGGATGCGACATACATTCTTTGAAGGAGTTTCACCTTCAGCGAAGCCACGAGCAGAGATGTGAGTTGGAGAGTAAAAGCGCGGATGTAGAGGGCTGTATGCATCTACGTTGTTATTGTTGTCGTCGTCTAGCGTTGCAGTCGTACGCTCTTCACTCCTGCGGTCCGGATGAGGAAGCTGCAACACAAGATTCGCGCTTGTCAACGGAGTTAGGTACTTAACACCTATCTTACTAGGCGAACCATTACAGTCAGGGTAGGGCCATTGCATGGCTTCACCTCCTATAAGCTTAGAGTACTCCTCTGCGGTATACGGTAGGAACTTTGTAGGGCTCGTGCCACCATCTTCCGGCAGAATACCAGTTGTAGGAGACGGTGACAGGTCAAAATCTGGAAATTGCACAACTCCAATTCCATCGGTGAAGGTAGAGTAGCTCTCACGAAGATCGCGCAATGGCACAGCCCTGCGAAGTGGGCTGGCGGGCCTCTGACCTGCTGGAGGAGTGTCCTTTGCGGGTGGAGGAGGTGGATTGAGTGATTCAAGTGAGTCATTGACTTCAGGTGCTCGAGGAGCATTTTCTATGTCAGAGGACTGCTTCTTCGGACCACCCTTGCCAGACGAGCCACGACCACTCGAGCGATTACGGCGCGATGATCCATTGTGATGGCGATGGGCATAGCTATCCGGATCAGCTATCTTTGGGGGCAGCGAATTTGCCGTGTCTGAGCGCGAAGCCCTCGTTGGCGTTGTCTCTTTGAGGCGCGCTGGCTTGATGGGCCGAACTGGGATGACGCGAGCCTGTCGTGCTGCTGTTCCAAGAATCTGCGCAGCTTTATTTGGCATCGCTGGTGGCGGTGCAGCACTGGAAGATTTGGAGAAAGTGTTGCGGAGGTTCTGGAATAGCTTTTTCTTGGGACTCTTGGGTGGCTCGTCACGGTCTGGCTGCTGCTCCCCATTTGCAATTCGGCACTGTTGTCGCAGGTCTTGCGTCCTGATATAGACGTCATCCTCGTCTACAGAATCTGCAATATTCAGTACCAGAAAATGAACATGATGATGTGTACTTACCAGCTGTCGGTGTAGGCGGAATTTGGCCTGTCAACTTGAACAAACTCTTCTCAGCGCGAGATTCCATCTTTCCCCTAGCTGTTTCTTCGTCGAGAGCTTCAAGCCGGGCCTGCGCAGCCGCAGCGTCGTACTGGCTGCGCCCGGACTGCCTCGAGCGTGCCGCAGAACCAACATTGCTACCTGCCCAGGATCCATGTTCCGACTTGCGGGGAGACGAGACACGTGCCTGATCAATCAAGTTGGTGAACGTGGCCATGGCGTTGCGGCTCCGGCTTGAACCCGAAGCTGGATGATGCGACTCTACAGGCGAAAGTAGTGGGGTGGTACCGGTCGAGCGCTGGCTTTTGGTTGAATTGGACGCGTTCCTGGTATGTTGCTGCCTCTGCTGGTTGCTAGGCGCGGCGTCTGGAGGAGGCCGAGGAGGCGGCAACGAGCTTGGGATGGCAATTGGCGGCGGGCGCTTCCTATCGTCGACGTTTCGGTGTGACATACTTTCGATACGTCGTCCAAGTGTGTGATGTGCTCCAAATCGTCAGAAGTTGAGCGGGTGAAAGGGCTTAGAGGTGACCAACCGGGTTGGTAGTAGCTCAACAGTGTGAAATGCTCGAATCGCCTATCTCGACACAGAAGTGTTAGCATTCGAAAACTGCAACTTGCAAGAGTCACGCAAAGTGAGCCTCAGATCCAGAAAACAGAGGAGGTCTCGGCGTTGGGAAGCTGTTGAGGAAGAGAGTCGTCTACGTCCATAAATCTCATTGTGCAGCAAGGGACGGTCGTGATAGCCATAGGCAACGACAACAGTAATGACAACAAACGCGCTTCTTGTTCACCACATCTTGGAAGAGGGGTAATCCATGTGGGGAAGCAGATTTGCAAGCAGCGTACAGAAAATAGAGCAAGACACAGTATCCGCTGTAGTTAGTGTCGATACCGAACGCACAATGCCCCGTTCTAGCTTCCGCACCGTTCGCTATCTCTCGTCAACAACCACGACGTGTCTGCCTGCTGTGTGCTGAACGTTATGTTGCAATTGGCCGAGGCCGAGAGAAAAGACGTATAGTAGAAATGAACAAGTTGATAGTTGATGAAAGAGAACGCTACCCACAATGGCGCCGGAGTTCGAGAGGTATCCAAAAGATTCACGCCTAATCAAAGAATATCTGCAAACCAATGCTCCCAGCATGCGATCGTACGAACGCAACAGCCGGTCAAGCATCTCAGAGGACAATACATTTTTTGCCCTTCTTCCTCTCGCCGCCCTCTTTCTTCGCTGCTGGTGGTTCAAGTGCTGCCACGATAGCCTGTGAAGATGTTAGCATCTACGTGAGTCCATGTCGAACAAATCTGCGTACCTCATCAAATACATCCTTGAGCTTATATTGAGTCAACGCCGAACACTCGACGTACTTGACCGCGCCCAGCTCTCGCGCCATCTTTTCACCATCCTCCTTCTTCACGGGTGCCATCCTCTGTTTTGAGAGCTTGTCTTTTACTGCAGCGTCCTCCCTAAGATCTACTTGTGTGCCGACAATAAGGCAGGGCACGCCCGGGCAGTGGTGATGTACTTCGGGAAACCATTTCTCGCGGACGTTCTCAAAGGAAGCGGGCGAAGTTACGGAGAAGCAGACGAGAAAGACGTCGGTTTGGGGGTATGACAGAGGTCGCAGGCGGTCATAATCTTCCTGTCCGGCAGTATCGAAAAGACCGAGGGTGTATGGCTCATCACCGATCCTTGGAAGCAGTCAGCAGCTGCTCCACCAATCACTATTCCGACCTTGTATCCACCGAGGATACGCCACTACTCCAAATCTAGGGAGAGCAAAGGGAAGCTCACATGACGGTCACGGCGTAGTTGTCGAAGACAGTAGGAACGTATTCCGAGGGAAACTTGTTGGTGGTATAACTGATAAGAAGACATGTCTTTCCGACCGCACCGTCGCCGACGACGACGCACCTGTAGGGCAGTAAGTACTAGTGTACAGAGAATTGCGGTCGCAAGACAGGCGTATCGCATACTTGATTGTCGCAACGACCATGGTGAAGGTAGACTGGGACTTGTTTCGCGGATATGGATGTTTGTTTGGAGAGACAGATCCGAGGCCAGAATTCAAGTAGATGGAGCGAAGATGAGGCGGAGATGGAGCTACGCAGACCCAGGGTCGTTGGTAGTGCGGAGATGGGAGCTATGGGCTCAAACGAGGGGTTCCAATGAGCGGGGACAGTCTGGCAGACGGATCAGTCTCGGGATTTTTGGCTCTGGCAAAATTGATAGACTCGGGCAGGCATACCTATGAGTCCTCGTGCAGAAGGCGGCGGCGTGTGCTACGTGGTTTGGAGCGTGAAACACCACCCGTTAGACTTGAGTCCAGGTTCTAAGCGGCCGGTGGGCGAACAATGCGCGAGCGATTGAGGCAGTGCTAGCGACGAGGCACGCGACTGGACAAAGACAGCACAGGCGCAGCAGCGGCCAGCGAAGATGCGAGTATCACAGGAGGGCGTGGAGAGGTTTGAGAGGGCCTGAGTGAGGTTGCGATCTAGCTACGGTAGCGGAGGCCCTTGAGCTGCGAGGACGCCAATCAATCAAAGCGGCCTAGGGCTGTTATCACAACCTTGCCCAGCTGCATCGGCTCCCGCCCGTAGCTCGGAAACGGCTCATTATGTAGGGTCTGCACAATTTGAAGCCTTATTTTACTGCGCGGTCGCTGGCCAGACCGCGATGGGGGCCGCATATTAATCCAACGCGTGGCAGACCCATTGCTGCAGTGCCGCCGACACCCCACCACCTGCACGCTGACATTGGCTTGATAGACGCAACAGCCAAGGCACGACGCTGAAGATACACTTTCTCTGGGTTCCAACGCTTCGTACATGGCCCCGAACAATCCCTGACAAGCTCAGTGAGCCCCAGATTCAGGGAGGAACGTGCACATGAACAACGTGGCTGATCGTCCTCTAACAGTATCACCGGCTAGTGTTTGCGCAAGAAGCCGGCTTCCGTCATTCACAGGAGCAGACAGTGCTGCTATTTAGCATGATCTGCACCGCTCCCTCAGCTGTCTTCAGCCAAAGCTTGTACATTGAGCCATAAGCGCGCAGAGCCATATGTACTCGCCCAGGAGAGAGCTCATTTACTGGATATGCGAGGCATGTGCAGCTTGACCCATTGCCGATTGAATCGAATTTTAGAATGCTGCAGGGCAGCCTTAGCACTGTTAGCAGAAGACATGTGCCCAATCACAGCCTAGTCCCGGCGCGGAACAACTCTCATCCCGGAAGCTTGGACGCGTCCTCTCCATCTGGCTCCATCCGTCTCGTCTCACGACTGGATCACGCACGAGAGCGGCACCACGCATCACTCAACAGTCGTGCCCCAATCTATGACAGAGTTGCCATGGATGACCTCGAAGATGAATTGGATCTTCGATTTCACAAGGGCCTAAATCCCGATGTCTACTACCGCTGTCCTACATCTGAAGTAATATGATCTTCACAACCCGTATAAGCGTAGCTAAGTCGTTATGTAATAGTCACTTGAGGGAGCTCTGCGCAATGAACTGGATAAGAATGCAGCCAGCTTCATCCCCACAGACGTTGTCACAGAGTTCATCTTTGCAACAGCCTCTACCATCACCATCCCCGTGACGCAGCAACCCAATCTTGATGCGCTTATACAACCAGCCGATCACCCTCAAAGCATCGCCGCTGAACATGCGCTATGTCGAGATATTGACGGTAAAGACAGGCTCAAGGTACAGCGAGCAATTGCAAGGTACCTGAACCTACCCTGTCTGCACAACTACTACTTATGCAACCTAGATCTATTATCAAAGCTATTCAGGACACTGATGGCTTCAAGTACTCCGAGCGCTCTGCACAGAACAAAGAAGGCGGTGACGGTGCCAGGTTCAAATATGTTTGCCAAGACAGCTTCCAGAATAGGGACCGTAAAAGCAACACGAGGAAAGGGAAGTCCCTTGATAGCGACGATGGGGAGCCTGAGGTTAAGAAGCAGGGACCTGTTGTGTTGCCGACCTACGACTGTGGAGGCGCAATACACATCAAGTTTTCCCTCAAAAGAAATGCTATCAATGTGGTGTACAAGCATAATCCTATACACACTACGCGCGAGGCTGACAACGGGTACGTTTTGCCATTAGCCACAACTGAAAATGGCCATGTGCCGTAGCACTTCGTCCAAAAGTTATAACTGATTTTTCCGATAGTCTACCTGCTCTGATGGTCACTGATAACGGCGTCGCCGCCACAGCCGACGCTACGGAAGAAAAGCAACCACGCAAAAGGAAACGTAGTAAAAAGGATGAGACCGAGGCACAGAGCGAATTCAGAGGCCCGGACCTTGACATGTCAACATCTCCAGAAGGTCCAAATCCATCTGCAAAGAGGAAGAGCAAGAAAGGTAGTGCTGTGGCCTCTTCCACAACATCGCGAAAAACATCTACCAAGAAGACTAAGGCTAGGTTACCGGCTTCACCCACCGGATCGAGGAAAAAAGCGCCTGTCTTCGAAGAACCTCCACTGCCGACACATATCCGTGGTAAAGCCTGCATCCGCTGTCGCGAGGAGAAGATCAAATGTAACGAATCCAAACCCTCATGCAACCAGTGCCGAAGGGGTCTATGGACGTGTCAATACGAAGTGATAATCAGCAAGAAACGCTCGAAGAATGGGTGTCTCAACTGCAAGCAAAGGAGACGGAAGTGCACAGAAATGAGGCCATCGTGTGCGCACTGCTTACGGCTAGACGATGACTGCGAATACGCCGACTAATATTGATGTTCCTTGGGTCTGTTGAACATTCCACATCATGCAGTAGCCCATTTCAGCCTCGTCCAGACATTGACTTGGTGTGAAATGCAGTGTCTTGTGACGATAAGCAGGTGCTACAGCAGATGAAAGTCTTGACATAATGCCATCAGTGTGGTCAGGATAGTATCCGAGACATGCTTGGGAGTAGCGTTCCTCTAACAAGAGAGGTGGACCATACATCATATCGGCAGAGGTTGCAGGAGGGAGTCGGGAAGTCCGTAAAACGATGCGCAAATATCTTTTAGGAGGACGGTTACGTAGACGGCCGTCACAAGCGACAATGTTTGCAAACAGGAAATGTTTACCCTGTCAAAGTAAGTATATGCTAAGATACTGGGCGCAATGCAGCGTCCCGTGCAGCCAAGGTCTGTCAGCGAATAGCAAAGGCCGTCATTTGATCACACTAGTCGAATTCATAACCATCACACGACTGAGCCGCATGTTCTCCACATCGTTCATTGCGCACATTTAGCAGTTCAGTAATTGTATTTCCGGGCCACGTCCATTCCAACTCCACTCGTGATGCAGCGTCCCGAGGTTTAATTCGCCGCGAGCCCTAGTAACCGGCTGTTAACCCTGGGTTAACGGCCCGCCTCCATATATCCCTTCCCACCGCCTCATCAAATTCAGCGATCACCACTCTACATCACACGTCATACGGCTTGTGGTTTTCTTGGGTTATGGGTTCAACATGGTGCATGCTCCGATTCTGCCAAGGGTCAATCTTGATAAAAACAACTGCCTCGGGCTTGTGCGTTGCACAGCATGGATAATCCGCTGGTACTTAATAGGAGAGATGCCCAGGTGGTGGCTTTCATTCGCTCCCCAGTATAAGTCTTGGAAGTTGAGGCGTCTTGTGTTTGACGATGCGATCTTGTCTCTTCCCGTTGTTGGCTACGGCCGTGTTGTCGCAGGCTTCAGGTGCAACCAACTCACACGCAACAACAAAATATTCGCTAACCAACGCAGCCATTCCATCTGATCAGTTTGTTTCAAAACGTGCAGTTGGAAATTGGGACGATGCCTACACAAAAGCAACAGCTGCGCTCGCCAAGCTATCGCAGAGTGAGAAGATCGGAATCGTCACGGGTGTTGGCTGGCAGAAAGGTCCTTGCGTTGGCAACACCAAGGCGGCTGGCTCGATTGGATATCCGTCACTTTGTCTGCAAGGTGAGCAGTTGTGATTCATTACTTCCGAGCCGACCATGCTTCGCGAACGCCAAAGGTGGAGGATGTTGTCCGACACAATCAGGACATGCTGTGGCCTTGATGAGCATGTTGTGATCAACGACTTCGATGCTTGGAGCCTGGAACCTGAAGCCTGGGACACACCGAACAAAATCACCAAACGCTGTCCAACGCATGGTTATATCAAGATGAACTTCTTACTAACAGCCTCTAGATGGACCCCTTGGTGTTCGCTACGTCCAAGGTGTAACTGCCTTCAGTGCGGCTATCCATGCCGCTAGCACCTGGGACGTTGACCTTATCCGTGAAAGAGGTGCCTTCCTGGGTGCGGAAGCAAAGCAGCTAGGTGTTCACGTCCAGCTTGGGCCTTCCGCCGGTCCTCTCGGCAAGCATGCAAACGGTGGTCGAAACTGGGAAGGATTTGGCTCAGATCCTTATCTACAAGGCATCATGATGGCGGAAACCATCGAGGGTATGCAAGAGGCAGGTGTCCAAGCTACGGCGAAGCATTGGCTTGTAAATGAACAGGAATTGAACCGAGAGACTATGAGCTCAGATGTGCCGGATAGGGTACTTCGCGAACTTTACGTGTGGCCCTTCATGGATGCTGTGCACAGCAATGTCGCAGCATTCATGTGCAGGTGAGAAATCATCAAGCGAAGACATGTACGACTTCGGGATTTACTAACTTGCTGCAGTTATAACAAGATCAACGGAACATGGGCTTGCGAAAGCGACGGTGTGATGAACAAGCTCCTTAAAGACGAGCTCGGTCATCGTGGATACATCATGAGCGATTGGAATGGTAAGCATTTGGTCTGCTTGTACTTCTGGTACAATACCTGACGTCAACTTAGCGCAACACACTACCACTGGGAGTGCGAACGGTGGCATGGACATGACCATGCCCGGCACCGACTTCAGCAACGGCAACATCTTTTGGGGCCCGCAACTTCAGACCGCCATAAACAACAAACAAGTGCAGCAATCTCGCCTTGATGACATGGTCAAGCGCGTGTTAGCCGCCTGGTATCTCGTTGGTCAAGACAAGGGCTATCCAAGCACCTCATTTAGCTCCTGGACGATCGGCAAACATGAAGTAGGCGGAAGCCACAAGACAAACGTCCGCGCTACGGCTCGCGATGGTATTGTCTTGCTAAAGAACACAAACGCCGCGTTGCCCTTCAAGAAGCCCAAAAGCATCGCTGTCATCGGAAGCGACAGCATCGTTGCGCCTAAAGGAGCCAATGCGTGCGTTGATCGCGGATGTAACGATGGAACATTGGCCATGGGTTGGGGTTCCGGATCAGTTGAGTTTCCTTATCTTGTTGCTCCTCTTGATGCTATCAAGACACAAGCCCAGAAGGACGGAACTTCCATCACTTCTTCGCCCAACGACAACGCGCAGCAAGGTGCTAGCGCAGCACAAAACGCTGATATTGCGGTGGTCTGCATCAACAGCGATGCTGGCGAAGGTTACATAACCGTCGAAGGCAATGCTGGTGACAGGAAGAACCTGGACCCATGGCACAACGGAAACGAATTGGTCAAGGCAGTTGCTGCTGTCAACAAGAAGACCATTGTTGTAGTCCATAGCGTCGGTCCAGTCATTATGGAGCAGTGGATCGAGAACCCGAATGTAGTTGCTGTTGTTTGGGCAGGTCTCCCAGGTCAAGAATCCGGAAATGGCCTTGTCGACATCCTCTACGGTGCAGCTTCACCAAGCGGCAAGCTACCCTACACCATCGCAAAGAAGGAATCAGACTACGGTACCACGATTGCCAGTGGTGACGACAAGAACTGGGACCTCTTCATCGATTACCGCCGTTTCGACCAGCAGAAGATCGAGCCCAGATTCGAATTCGGCTACGGTCTCTCCTACACTAACTTTACTTACTCCGACCTCAGTGTCTCCGGCAAACCCTCTGCGGGTCCTGCAACCGGTGCCAAGGGTCCTGGAGGCCCTGTTGATCTCTTCGAAACCGTAGCTACCGTTACCGCCAAGATCAGCAACTCCGGTGGTGTTGCGGGTGCGGAGGTGCCACAGCTGTATCTAGGCTACCCTTCATCGACCAACTCACCACCGAAGCAATTGAGGGGTTTCGCGAAACTCAAGATTGAAGCCGGTGCCAGTGCGACGGCTACATTCAAGCTGAGGAGACGAGATATGAGCTTTTGGGATGAGAGCAGTAGGAAATGGAGTGTTGCTACTGGAGAGTATCAGATCTTCGTGGGATCGAGTTCCAGGGATGTGAGATTGACGGGCAAGATCACTGTTTAGTGGCCTAGTATAAGGGTTGCTGGACGGGTGCCGAGACGAAGCTCATAGGGCATGCTTATGCGCCGATTCTGTTGATGTACGGGGACATGTTCGGCTAATTAGAGGAAGCTTCGGATCGTCATGATGCCGATGTCGGGAGAAAACAAAAATTGTGACTGTCACTCGTCATTTGCGTGCGGATACCCGGTAAAGCTCCTCGGAGAGGGTCAATTTGCGATCGACATAGATAAGGCGTGGAGTCTGATGGACACCATTTTTGCTACGTGCGCCGCGCAGTCTCCAAGTGTCATGACGCAAAACTGAAGGCGTCAAGCAGCTGCAGGGTATGCTATACAGCATTGCCCAAAGGGACCTGATAGCGGGGCCGCACACTTATCATCCAGCTTCCCCGGACGTTTGTCATAAAACAAGGGTCAGAACTGAAGAAACTTTGCAAGTCCAATCGTTATCGTGACCGATATTTTAATGTAAAGGCCATCATTGGCGCGTGTGTGTGTCATTGCGCCTAGCGTCATCCGGTGCTGCAGAAAAGCCCCTCCCCGATTACTTTGTATCCTCACCTCACGCAAACTCAACACTCTCAAACTAGCATCTGCAAGCTTCGCCTCAGATAGGCACCCCTCCTGACCTCGACTGGCTCTACTACCGCGCTTATGAGTGCTGCCCCGACACTCTTTACTTCCCAGGTATGTCACGATTGTGATGCTTGATGAAGCCTTATCTGGACATGCATCGCACACCGTCAATTCACCGCCGGCCTCTTTCTGCCTCTTGGTGGCTTGACGATCGATGCATTCTCCTCTAGAATTTTTCATTCCTTTCTTCTTTTCTGACCATGGCTAATTGAGTGCTACAGGATTACATCTCAGGTATGCTGTCGCCCACAGACAGACGCGTCATGAGCGTCCAACTGACTCTATCCGCAGACCACCTGTGGAAGGCATCAGTAAACTGAACGCCTACCCAACAAGCTGCTATCAAACGAATCACTACATCACCTCACATCTCCGCTCATCATGTTGTCGCAAATGATCAAGCCTTCCACCATGCGGTCCGCAGGGTTCCTGGGACGAATGACAAAGAACCGTGTACAGGCACGCTCCCTTGCTACTGTTGAAGGAAACACTCAGCGTGCCATTCCTACTCCTAGCATGCGCAGGGCCACGGCTGTTTCCAATGAACCTGCTACTTTCACAATCAAAGTGCGTAGAGTCATCCTGCACGTCTTGGCGCGTCACTGACAGCTGTTTAGAATGGACCCATCTTCGAAGGCAAGTCTTTCGGAGCCAAGACCAACATCTCCGGAGAAGCCGTCTTTACCACTTCACTTGTCGGTTACCCCGAATCTATGACCGACCCATCCTACCGTGGCCAAATCCTCGTCTTCACACAACCATTGATTGGCAACTACGGTGTTCCTTCCAACGCCCGTGACGAGCATGGCTTGCTCCGATACTTCGAATCCCCGCACATTCAAGCTTCTGGCATCGTCGTTCAGGACTATGCCTTGAAGCACAGCCATTGGACAGCTGTCGAGTCACTCGCAGCATGGTGTGCTCGTGAGGGAGTTCCCGCCATCTCTGGCGTTGACACCCGTGAGGTTGTGACATACCTCCGTGAGCAAGGTTCCTCTCTTGCTCGTATCTCAATTGGTGAGGAGTACGATGCCGATGAGGACGAGGCATACATTGACCCTGAGGCTATCAACCTCGTGCGCCGTGTATCCACCAAGGCTCCCTTCCATGTCAGCTCTTCTTTGGGCGATATGCACGTAGCTTTGATCGACTGCGGTGTCAAGGAGAACATTCTCCGCAGTCTCGTCTCTCGCGGTGCCAGCGTCACCTGCTTCCCCTTCGACTACCCCATCCACAAGGTTGCCCACCACTTCGACGGTGTGTTCATCTCCAACGGCCCCGGTGATCCAACTCATTGCACGACCACCGTCCACAACCTCCGCAAGCTGTTCGAGACTTCCCAGGTTCCCGTCATGGGTATCTGCATGGGTCATCAGCTCATCGCCCTTGCTGCTGGTGCGAAGACTATCAAGCTCAAGTACGGCAACCGTGCGCATAACATCCCGGCTCTTGACCTTACCACGGGCAAGTGCCATATCACCTCGCAGAACCACGGATACGCGGTTGACCCCACTACCCTGTCCAGCGAATGGAGGGAATACTTCACCAACCTCAACGACCAGTCCAACGAGGGTCTGATCCACAACTCCCGTCCCATCTTCAGCGCCCAGTTCCATCCCGAGGCTAAGGGTGGTCCTCTAGACTCTGCATACCTCTTCGATAAGTACATGGAGAACGTCCAGCAGTACAAGAGCCACCAAAACAGCTTCTCGGAGAAGAGCAACAAGCCCAGCCCTCTCCTCGTCGACTTGCTGAGCAAGGAGCGTGTTGGCTGCCACCCTGATGCACCGGACTTTGAGGGTCACGCAGCGGGTATGGCCAATGAGGAGATCACAGTCGGTGGACCCGTCGCGCCGTCCTACCAGCCCATTACTCAGAAGCCCGTTGCCTCTGCTGCTTAGATCGGTTGGGTTCGGTTGTGTATATTGGGAACATCAGCGGAATGGATTTGGCGGCGTTACGGGACACGGATGATAAATTGTCAAAGATGACTTTTGGTTAGGAAGGCGAGCTTTGACAGCGCTTTGGACATTTCAGTAGTAATACAAACAGTGTTGAAACATGCTTTAGTTGTGCTCATCCCAATCCGAGTATCTTCCAGTTGCGATGTAAGAAATAATGGATTGTTGCATGTATGTTGTACCCTTGTTTGGGTGAATAACATGGGGTATCTTTCCATCTCTACTCAGCACTTGATCATGTCCATATCGCCCTCTCTCGTTCAAGCCTTTCCAAACCCAGGTTCCTCGTCCAGCTCTTCTTCACCCTCCCCTTGCGCTTCAACAACCTCGCTGTCTTTGGTCGACTCCCCAACCCTAACATCGCCGACCTTTCTCTCTCGTCTTTCCTGTTCCTTCTTCCTCGCACCAGCTTTGAGCTTCTCCCACTGCTCTCTGTATCGACTCAAGACCTGTGTGTTCCTCTCATTTTGCTTGGCCAGCTTCTCATTGTTGCTCATCAAGTCGTTGACTTTGGCGTTTTGAGAAGCAAGCATGGCTTCGAGATCTGCGATGCGTTTTGCGGCGTCAGCGTCGGGAGCTGAAGTCGGGGCTTGACCGGGAGAAGTGAGTTGTCGTTGTTGTTGTGTCTGGCCTGGTATAGGAGGGGAAGGAAGAGCTGGGAGGTGGTTGATGCCTTGAGCAGCGAGGGCTTGAGCGAGTGCATTAGGGTCGCTGGAGCCTCGTCCGGGGCCTCGAGCACGGAACGACTGTGCGAGGGCGTTGAAAGAGTTTTGGGAGTTGAGTTCCCACATCTGGATGCGTTTGGCTTGTTTGTCGATGACGGTCTTGAGGGTATCGTTCTCTAGAGCCAGCTCTTCCATGGTCTTGAGACCTGAGCCTCTGCCGGCTGGTATGGAGCGTTGGGGTGTTACGGCGGTGCTTGAGTTTCCGCGAGAAGGAGGACGACGTGCTTTGGTGGGTGACGGCGGGCCTACGTTCTCTCGCGCATCGACAAATTCTTCATGTGAACTCCCTCGCAACGAGCCGGAGCCCTCGTCGATCGCGTTAAGCTGTGTGTTGGGTGACACATTCGTTGCATTCGGATCGCGAAGGACACTGGCGTATGTAACCCCGCCACTTGATGTTGGCACCAAGTAGAAGCTTTCGTTAGGTCCTGGCGCGCCATCCTCTCGCAGAGCGCGCAGTGCAGGCTTGCTTATCAGGGCAGCGAGGTCGGGAACTGAGGATTTGACGGTCCTGGAAGCTTCTGGAGAGTGTGGTCGTGACTTGGTCTTGGATGACGTCTCTTCCCTGGGCGTCTCAGACACCGGCGTCGGTGCAGATGGGTTGAGTGGAAGGGAGGTGAAAGCCAGTGGGGCGCTGATTGCGGATATGACGCCCCCAAAAGCCGAATAGAAGCGGCTGAAGTTGTCTTCGGCGGGCGGTGATGCAGGGCGTGGCGAGGCATCTTTCAGCTGCTTGGCCGCGTCTCTGCCAGCGCTCACTTCTGTCTTGCGCGACTGTTGGGCCAAGAGATCCCGTACCGGCGTAGACGGTTGCTCATTCCGACCAGCTGCAGCGCCTGGTACGTTGGGCGAGGCGCCACTGGCGGCTCTCTTTGCGCTGGGTATGCCGCGCTTTTCGGCGAGATTGGTGGCTATCGAGGACTGGGGGAGTCTGCGGCGAGATGTTGGAGGAGTCGGAGAAGATGCCTTGGATGCGGATACTCGTGATGACGAGGCATTCGCTAAAGGGGAGAGGGTGGAGGACTCGGAAGGGTGTTTGCTGGCATCTGCTGTCTTCTTCTCCTTGCGCGGCGCCTCTTTGATCAGGCCGGCGAGCTTGCGATGGTGGTCTTCGAGGAGACTGAGGATGCGGCGGGCCTAGGACTACTTAGACGGGCAGGATAGGGCATCACAGGCTACATACCTCGGCATCGTGGGTATCTTGTTGGGCATTGTGGAAGGCGGTCGCGGCAAGGTCATGCTCCTGCCCCGCGGTCGCGACGCTGTTGGTGCTAGTCGCGGTCGCGGCAGTGCGGGCGTGATCATGAGCCTGGATAAGATGTGCCGACTCCATGGTGGTGGCAGCAGTGAGGTTTGAACATGTTCGACGAGTTTCTGTATGAGTGTGTGCAGAGGCAGCAGCAGGTGCGCGTGAAGGGTCTCGGTCACGTTGACAGGGATAGCAAGGCCGGCCACACCCCCCCATGTAACTGCGGAGTAGATCACTAGGCTAAAGACCCGCAGCTGGAGACGTTGGAACCAGAACACGAGGAACGCGCCCGCCTGGTTTCATCTCTGCAGCCTGCGCCAACTTGCTTGTTCTCTCCCCTCTGCCATAACTCGCAAGCTTCTCCCCGTCCCCCGTCACCCCTCGTTTGTCATGTATCCGATTGCAGCCGCGACCCTGCGGTAGTTCCAAGCGCATCGCGAGCCCTGAACACATGCTCCCTACGTAATCGACCCCCCAAACCTACGTAGCAAACACGGCACCACAAAGCGTCGCAACATCGATATGCGTGTCTGAGACTATAGCGAGACCCTCGACCTCTTCTCAGTGCTCTGCACACTCTCGTACCCTATATATTCCACAATGGCCTCTGAGCGGCGGAGGAGCATAGGCTCCATGTTCGGCTCCAAGGACAGGGACAACACGCTGGCGGCACCACGGGCACAGTCAAAGGGCCCGGACTCATCCACCGTCTCAATTGCGAGCAGCGACGGCAACGACGACTTGTTGCGCAAGTCAAGTGACGGGGCCATGGACCGCCTCAAGAGTCGCCAGAACTCCGACGACGGCCGCAGCGACGTGTCGTCGTCACATCGGCGGCGCATGTCGAAGCTCTTCAAGGGACGCAAGAAGAGCAAAGGCTCCCTCAGCCAGGACGATGTCTCGCAATTCGACCCCAATGAGGTGGTCCCTCCCGTTCCTACAATTAGACGTCCGAGCATGGGTCACCCGTACCAGAGCGACGACTCGCTCGGCCTCGCAAAGAGCGTCGCAAGCAGTCTGCTCACCGACGACTCAGACACGGAATCGTAAGTTGCACGCTGTTCTTTTTTTTCTCCCCCCCCTTATTCCTGTGTCTCAGGTACAGTTCCATTTGCACCTGCGACGCGTCCATTGGAGTGGAAGGTTTGCCTCGTGGCATTGGCGCCGTTCAGCATGGACTCCACCGCGAACAAGCATACGTTCTGGCCTCAGCTTCCCCACTAGCACACCACACCTCGTGCATCATCGCATCCGTATTGCAATACGCACTCTTGGCTTTCACTGTTCCATTTGTTTTTACTACCCACCTCACCCCTCTTTCCAGTCTTTTGTCGCATACGTACCCACTCGGCTCCTGCCTTCCGACTAACCGGCTGCAGCCCTCCACTACTCAAACGCCCCGGCATATCACCACATCAGTCGCATGCCGGCCTCTTGACGTTGTCGTCGCCCCTGATCGCTTCCGAGACCCTCGATTCTGCAGACTCCACCGATGTCACTCTCGTAAACTCCGAAACCTCCATCGAGGAGCCCACCACCCGGAATTTAAACAATACCAGCGACGTCGCTGTGAACAAGCGGGGCGTATCTCCTGTTGGCAAGCTCAAGGAAGCTTTTACTCCTAATCGCAGATCCACGTCTCCGGCTCCTAAGCCTGGTGCTAGCCCTGAGCCCGCAAGACCGAGCACGAGCGGAGGTGGACTAGGAGCGCTGTTTGGAGGGAAGAAGCGCGAGACAAGGGTGTTGGATGACCCGATTCAAGCCTCACCACCACAGATACAGATACACACAGAGGAGGAGACAAAGTCCACCCCGTCGTTGAGATCTGTCGCCCCAAAGCGCATCATCACCTCGCTCCCCGCGACTCCTCCCAATTTATCTGATGCCCCCACGACCTTCATAACTCCACCCACGCCGACAGACGGGAAGGCTTCTTCTCCGACAGAATTGAATAGCTCAAAAAACACTGTGAAACGCACCAATACTGAGACAAACCCCAACGTAGTCGTATCCCCCTCGGGGAATATGATATCGCACAGACGCGTACGATCAGCCACCAATCCTCCAAGTAAGCTATCGCATTCGTCAATACCACCCCTCACTCCTCATCTTGAGGAAGCAAAAACCCCCGGAGGGACTGCTGTACTTCCATCATCTCCTGGCGGGCCTGGTGGATTCTTTGCTTCCATCTTTTCCGCAGCTCAGAACGCAGCGAACAACTTAGGCGATACCATTGCGAACAGCGCAAATCCGAAGAACAAACCCAACCAGCAACAGCAGAAAGACGAGGACAATACTGCTGACGGCGGCGAAGAAGTTATTGGACCTGAGAACGTCGACACCACCACAAACGAAGGTACTGAGAAGCGCCGACCTGCCATTGAAACACTTGGATCTGGAAACTTGAGCTTAGCCCAACTTGGCATTGCTGAGAGCAACGAGGTCAGCCCCATGTCATCCGCGACCAACGTCACGATGAAGGCGGATGAAGCTTCGGCCAAGGTCGAGGATAGAGCCGCTGCACAAGCCGTGTCTGCCGCTTACGCAGGGGAAAAGCCTCCATCGATTGCTAGTGAGCGCCCACGATCACTGACAGCTGTCTCTGGTCAGTCAGGAGCGGGCGCAGCGTCCCCTCCACGACAACCTGAAATAACAGACTCACCGGCATCCATCGGACGCCAAGGTAGCATACGCAGCCGTATAAGCGGCGGCAGACGGAGACGGCATAGAGGCAGCTCCGCTACAACTGGAAATACTTTAGGCGGGGTCATCACTGCGAGCACAAGTACATTGGCTCCAAGCGCAGCATTGAACAGCCACCGTCTAAACGGAACTGGATTCGCGGTTGCACCCCCTAGGCGAAATAAGGATTTCCATGCCTTGTTCAAAAGCGTTCCCGAGGACGACTATCTGATCGAGGACTATAGTGCAGCCCTTCAGAAAGAGATCCTGCTTCATGGGCGTTTGTACGTTTCCGAGGGCCATCTTTGCTTCTCCAGTAACATTCTCGGATGGGTCACGAACTTGGTCATCAGCTTTGACGAGGTTGTATCTGTCGAGAAGAAGTCCACAGCCGTGCTGTTCCCGAATGCCATCGTTATTCAGACGCTTCATGCTCGCAACGTTTTTGCGTCGTTCCTATCGCGAGACTCTACCTACGACTTGATCATCGGCATCTGGAAAATATCCCATCCCAACCTCAAGTCATCTCTTAATGGTGTAACTCTGGATGGTTCCGGTGGTACTGGCGACAAGACTGAGAAGGCAGAATCTATTGGCAGTGATGACGGTTCCCTTCAAGATTCAGATGATGAGGTGTACGACGAAGATGCGGACAATGATGAGGGCACTGGCAGCTTCACCGAACCCGGTGAAGGTAGTATAGCTGGCAGTGAAGTTGGTTCCGTAGCAGGTGAGACCACCCGGAAAGTGAGCGGTGCAGTATCACAAGCCTTTGGTGGTGGTGGCGAGACGACTGAAGCCGCCAAAGCCGCCACGAGTGGCGCTGCGGCTGCAGGACAAGACTTCCCTGGTTCAGCAACACACGCACCTACTGAGTGTGGCGATAACGATCAGCATTACGACAAACTACTCATTGACACAACTATCCCAGCACCTTTGGGCAAGGTTTACAGCTTAATGTTCGGCCCCGCTTCTGGCGTGTTCATGCGCAAATGGCTGGTTGAGGACCAAAAGTCGATGGACCTCCAGATGGAAGATGACAAAAAGGGCTTAGGTGAAGACGTGAAAACGTTCAACTATTCCTACATCAAACCGCTAAATGCACCTGTTGGACCGCGCCAGACAAAATGCAATATTGCCATGAATCTCGAGCAATACGATCTGGACAAGGCTGTGAGTGTGCAGTGCAGCACAGCAACACCTGATGTACCCAACGGCAGTATATTCCTTACAAAGACGAGATACTGCTTGATGTGGGGACCGGGAAACAGTACACGACTTATCATGACCTTCACAGTAGAATGGAGCGGAAAGAGTTGGCTGAAGGGTAAGTAGTGGTGCTTGTTCTAAGTCGAGAGATTTATTGACACTCTGTAGGTCCCATTGAGAAGGGTGCGAATGACGGTCAAATGTCGTATGCTACTTCCCTTACTGCCGCTCTCCGCACTGCCGTGAGCGCAGCGAAAGCCGGCCCATCTCGGTTACCCGGAAAGGGCGGAAAAGGAAAGAGGCGCTCAAAGGGCAATCTTTTGGAAGAGGCCCCAATGCCTGCCGCCGCTCCCGCTCCTACTAGTCAAGCGAAGCAAAGCAATTGGGGATTATTGGAACCTTTGCGCAGTCTCCTTGGCCCACTCGCCGATATCCTGGAGTCCATTTTCACACCGCAGATTATCATCTTCCTTATGGGAGCCCTCCTTATGTACACATGGTTCTTCCGTGGTGGATCTGCAGTCACCGGCCCAAACCAGTGGTCCACTGTTCAACGTCAGGTTGCGTACGAAGAGATTTGGCGTCATGAAGAGTCGGATCTATGGAACTGGCTCGAAGAGAGAGTCGCCCTAGACAGAGTGCAAAGCTCTATCGCTGGATCGCGGATCAAGCCGGAAGACGGAACGCAGAAGCCCCTAGCGCCCCATGATATGCAAGCGCGGGAGATGGACGAAGCGATTCGCGTGACCGAAGAACGACTGAAGGCGCTGAAAGACGCAGTAACTCGCGAACGCTCCAAGTCCCGTACTAAAAGCCCGAAGGAGGAACAAACATAACACGAAGACGCGGACATATGAAAGCGGCTTTCGGACGGTGGTGCGGAGGAAAATCACTCCACAGCTCCGTGGAAATCCATGACTCGGGAAGCCTGAACTGTAAACATACGCAAGACTTGCATGGCGATGGCGTCTATTCTTTCCCTTTGTGATTAGCTAGGTGTTTGGTGCATCGGGGCCCGGCTGGGCTTGTATGGCGCACACCTGTCATACCATGGCTTATCAGCCACATTGTTTCGTTTGTGTTTCGGACTGTTGTTGGGGAAAGGAGAAGTTATACACTCTATTGTCTTCGCACAGATATCTCTTTACTTCCTCACAGACTACAATTACAGTGCGTCCCACTGGCAACATGGTATTCAAAAATTTGGTCCGCAATCCAACTTCAGCTGCTACAAAATCTTGCGACATGTTGCCCTCTGGGTACACCACCCATACGAGAAATATAAGGTTGAGTATCTCGTAGACTAGGTCTCGCCGGTGTGCTTCGTACGGCTTTAAGGTTTGGTGACCTGCAGCGGGCGGTGATCGTCGGCGCGTGCGTTAGCACGGCCTCGGAGATCTGCTGCACGATCCATCTGATCACTCATCACCCAGATCTTGCATGGGTTTATACTGAACATCCAGCTTTGAATGGAGACATCCTTGCCTGGGTGCCGGAACTGCGGAAATCCCATCCTCCGGATCGGCCCACGAAGTGTTATCAACAGCTTTGAAGAGAAAGCAAGTCAGCAAGATGTATGGTTCCTAAATAAACCTTACCGCCACGTGAGGTAACGCTGATGCTTTGAAGTTGTGCCTAGCCTAACCGTCCATCCTGCCGTTGATCAACCCACCTGCAAGCCAAGTGCAGTCTCCATCGCTCACATCATCCATGACTCAGCTACCCACAATCAATCTAGCTGCAGCCCAACCCTCTCATCTCCCGCAATATCTCACCCGCTATTCCAATGTCTCCTCTTGTCGCCTATGTCGCGGATCCGCGCCAGACAAATTCGGCCGAGCGACGCGTCCGTCCCCTCCTTGGATGACCCCAAACTTTGGTTAATCTGCGGCACGGTACTTTGACAGTCGCGGCCATCGGTTCCCCGAACAAGTCATGGCTCCGATGGTAGCTCTCGAGCTAGACGATGCTCCAGATCCGCAACCGTTAACGAACGGCTGCATGGTCTACAGAGGTGCAGCGACCTACTGTTTGGTGCCTGACTCTGTTTCGGTTTCCTCAGCCGCCACTGCATGTCGTTGACGGCCTTTGGAAGAGGTGGCCAAACTTTGTACAGAAAATCGGCATGGTCTGGCTCACGTGGAGAATAGGAAGGGTTTTGGTCTTACATGAGCTAGTATAGGGTCTTTCCCTGTCGCGCGATGGCTGGGGATTGTTCATCAACTACGCCCGTCTACCTTTTCTTTATTTCTTGTGAGTGTCTGTGTTCCGGGGTCTTCTCGCTCTCTACATGGCTTTGTCACGCTGAACGTCAAATACCCGGAAGTGTCACGAACGTTTAAACACACCTCGCCACTAGGCCTCCCAGGCTTGGGTAATCCTGTTGAGGATTCTCTACAAAAGAACTCGATATGGCGTACAGTCCCAATGGAAGCGGATCGAGTGGTCTCCTTCCTCCTATCTCGGTGCTTGCCAAGTGGCCGGTTCCGAATTACGATGACCCCGTTACTCGTTCCAGAGCCGTTCTCATTACATCGTGTGCTCTGGGATCCGTCATGCTTGTCACAGTGGGAGCCAGAATGTGGGCAAGAGCTATCATACAAAGGAACGCAGGGCTCGATGACTGGATTATAACGGCTGCAATGGTATGTATTTCTCGCAGGGACGAAATCCATATATGCGTGGACTAACACATGGTGTAAAGATACCAACAGTTGGACTTACTGTCGTGGTATGTCTAGGTACGTTAAGAGTAACATACAAACTCATTTAACAAGCTTCCTAATAGTGATATCCAGCAACCGAAAAGTACGACTTCAATCGCCACATATGGGACGTCCATCCAAACATGTACGTCCCTGAGCGCAAGATAACCTTCATCCTCTACCTCTTATACATTGTGTCTGGTGGAATGATCAAGATCTCCATCCTCCTTTTCTACCGCCGCCTCGACTCGCGCTCTATAACCCGAAGTTTCCGGATCGCGACCTGGATTAACATCATCGCCATCGGCATCTTCTGCATTGCATTCGTCGTCGTGCTCTTCACAGCTTGCACACCTTTTGAAGCCTTCTGGTATCAGTTCGACATCGCCAAGCAAATCGCAGGATATTCATACCACTGTTGGGTCAACGAATATGCAGATCTGCTATCAGCGAGCATAATTAGCGCAGTGCAGGATGCCGTTGCCGCTTTTCTTCCTACAATCCTATACTGGAACCTGCAAATCCCTCGTCGCCAGAAGATTGCTTTAGGTGCCATCTTCGCTCTCGGCTACCTAGTCTGCATCGTCGCGGGTGTTCGTTCCTACTATGTCTACCGCATCTTCAACAACCCATTGTACGATTCAACCTGGGAGTCATGGCCTGCGTGGCTTCTCTGCATGTTGGAGATTCAATTGGGGGCTATTTGTGCTAGTGCGCCGGCCCTCAAAGTATTCTTTACGCATTACTTCAAGGTGGCCGCGAGTATGTATGGATCCAGCCGGGGTACGGCATCCAGTGTTAAGAAAGACGGTTCATGGTGGAGATCGACGGGTACGGGCTCGGCGAGTATGGCAACCATGGTGTCGAGGCCGGAACAGGAAGGGTATCTTAGGCAACTGGGAGCAGGCCATATTGTGGATGAGGAAGGGGGGATTGTGCTACAGGAGGGAAAGAAATTCGATGGGCGGACAGGAACCGGTAGATATGATGGATGGACTGAGAACCAAAGACATGACGGACGGACAGAGAGTAACAGGTTTGATGGTAGGACGGAAAGTATCGAAACCTTCATCTTTACTTGAGATAGGGTATGAGAAGAACCCATTCGACAAACAACCACCTCGATGCATAACGAAAGTATCATGGATGGTCTCCACGAGTTCACTAAAAAGGACAAATTACGACATGTCACGAAGTATAAGATGGTATCCTAGCCTGTTCTGTTGGTCAAGACCTCCACAATACTCTCGCTCGTCCAGACTTCGTAGTTAGTTCTCGGGCGTATGGAGTGGATTGGCTAAACCCGTAGCTCTATCACATTGTCTCTTTGGACGTGGTTGAAAGAAAAACGAACACTAGATGATGGAGCTGCGTGGTATGAGGCGCATTAGAGCGAGAATACTGTAACGGGCGTGCTGCTTAACGTCGAGTTGCATGACTAGACACAATCACGCCAGACGCAGAACGACATAAACGCCACGATTCCGTATAAATATAGACAGCTTCAGAGTACATCATCTTGTATAATGAAGAAAACGTGGGCCCGAGAGTGACACCATGAAGTTCGTTATAGAAACACTGCACATCCCTTCTTCCAGCCTCAACCTCGACCTACACCCACTTTTCAAATCATCTTCTCTCTCAACGCCTCTTCCCTCCTCTTGATGCTCTTCTCCAATATCTTAAGTTCTCTCCTCTTACGCACCAAGCTCGCCGTCGTCCTCTCGACGTTCCTCTCCTTCTCATCTACTTCAATCTCCCGCCGTAAGACCGTACTCTCCCGATCTTTAACCTCGTCCTCTTGTCGCCTGAGGGTCTGCTGGCGCTCTTCCAGTTCTGCTTCACCTCCAGCCACAATATTCTCCCGCTTCTGTAGATCGGCCAGCAATGGCATGGGCATGTCTAGTTTCTTGGCGTACTTGTCGATGTTCCTGCCAGCGAAGGCTTCGGAAGCTGTTATTTTGCTTAGTCAGGTGTTGCTTTATGGGAGTTTGGGTAAGCTTATGCACACCTCCGAGCGGAGTGACAGGCGCGCTAGATATGAAGCCCGTGTCATAGTGAGCGTACGCACAATCGACATCTCGCTTGCTGCACCGTCCGTTCTGGTGCCAAAAGTGGCAGGTCAATGGCTTTGGAAAGTTCTTGGGGAGCGAGGTGTCAAGTTCGGCGGGCGTGTTATTGGATGACGAGCTTCGGCTTGGTTTTCGACTGCCATTATAGGATTTTGAAGATGATGCAGCGTTTCGAATGGGTATGCTACTAAAGGTTGAAGGTCGACTCGGTGCACCAGACTTGCGTTGGTGCATGCCCTCGTGGTTGGATACGTAACGATCTTTTGTGCCGCTATGCATATTGCTCGATTGAGTACATATCAATGTTTGTGTTCAGATAAAGGAACGAGGAGGAGAGAGAGCTCAACTCAGGTGGTTGGTATCATCCGTTTGTTTGTTGCCATGCAGCAGAGCACTGACCTTGACGGGCGCTTGCATACGATTCGACCTGTCGTTTCGTCTGAAGCAATACACCAGTTTGTCCATTGGCACGTTTAGAAGCTTCCAGAGGCGTTTGTGGGATTGGCTTTCATAATTTGGATCTGGGGTATCATAGTCCTACAGCTTACTCTCCCGCACATGTCGTTCTTCAACAGGTAGCGCTCCACTCATCATGTTGTAGTCCTCTTCTCTTCCATAGAGTACTCGCTCTCTGCCACCTCTCGTTGTCCACCAATTTACAGCAACGCCGCTACGCTCTGCATCCATCTCGCCACTGATTAGCACTTCCCAGTACCGCGCTTTGACGTTTTCTCGCATCTCATCGTCGTTGATTTGGTTGAGGAGTTCTGCGCATAGAGGCAGCCACTCTTCAAGCAGATATATAGGGAGAAAGGGCAAGGCATCGATAAGGGTTAACGCGAGTACTGCCTGTTCCGAGAGGGCAGGGGGTGGTGCGTCCGAGCCTTGCAGGGCCAATGCAACAGAATCAGGCGGCAGTGGCTGAGTAGGAGCGTTTAGCGCACGGTGAAAGACTAGTTCCAATAAAGTAGCTGGAAGATCTGGGTGGGTTGCGGACAGAGTAGAGGGAGGAGCTGTGACACGCATCAAGGTTTTGAAAGCTAGGCGGAACTGACGTGGTGACAAGTTATGTGGAAAGACACTGAACAGCGCATCGATATAGAAAGGGAGGTGCTTCGCGGTGATCTCAGCAGATTGTGGAGCAGACAAGACAGCGAGCATAACGCTGTGAGCGGCTTCGAATACTGGCAACATATGACGATTCTCGCCAGCTGCGAGGTATGGCACAGCTGACGCGACCAGCAAGTCCTCGTTTGTGGCTGGCGATAGTACGAGAGTGAAGTGTTCTGCTGTATTGAGAAAGTAGAGGTCCAGTATACGGTCAAGAGGGTGGCTTGGTATCTGCCCAAGATGTTGAGGCGCGATAGTTTTGAGAAGCTTGTCGGCGTGACTGGGGTACGCAGAAAGGATGTCTATCGCTGTAAGGTAGACAAAGGTATGTTGGGAGAAGGATGCAGGGCCGAGCCGGGACGTGATGAAGTAGAGATGCCGTAAGGTTTGCAAGGCCTGCGAAGCTAGCATAGGGGCGATGGCATCACCAGCCAGTGCTTTATCAGCTAATGTTCGTGTGAAGACGCCTCGCAGTATGATGGTAGTAGCAAACAGAGCCGCCTTGAGCAAATTCCACAGTTGCGGAGTCGTCTTGTGAAGCGCCTCTTGTTCCAGATTGGCTGCCTCTTCGGAGGGCTCGATATCCGACAACTTGGTCTGCCGCCATTGCGTGGTAAGAGCGCGAGAAAAGCTAGCGAGGTCGTCCATCATCGTCTGGATGATCCATGGATTCTTGACATTCTCGACAGAGTGTGCGATGAGGCGTGAAAGGGGGCCCATAGACGATACCAGTGGCCTATTCATGATGACTTCGACCTGTCTGTAGGAACTCGAATGCGGCTATACATGGTTAGCAGACGTCCGTATCATGATCTATGGCCACTTACACTCCAGTCTAGCTTCCCTGACTGTGTTGTCCGCACGTCGAGGTCCAAGCCCCCGAGGAAATAGGCGGATTGGAAGCCTTCGTTGGAGTAGAATGCCGTCCCGATAAGCACCGGAAGTAGCAGATCGTAATCAATCTGTGTCCTTTCTACATGGCCGATGCATCCGAAGGCGTGGTTGAGGGTCAGTGTTATTGTCTGGCCTCCTAATCCATCTGCCTCGGAGCGTTCTCTGACTTCGACCAAAGCGAGGTTTGTCGCGCGGACCAATGCCGCTTCCACTCTCTTTCGCATGGCAGATGCCCAATAGAGGTCCATTCCCTGCTCTTCCAGGCTCCCTATACCTATCAACAGGCCCGTAAGAACGACCAAGTGCTTCCATCGTCGGCTCCGGTCGTCGGCTCCTGCGACGACGGCGCGTACCCATTCGTCCAGCGACAAGCCTCCTCCTATTGGCGTCTGCCCTGGCGCGAGTTTGGCTGCTTTGTTATGTCGCACGTCGTTGTGGTGGTTGACGATGGTCGTGACGGCCGCGTGAAAGACGGACAGCATGCGGAGGGGCGTTCGGACACCATCGGGGCGGTCCCATAATGCCGGCGCGGTGAGGAGATGTGAAGTCAGAAGACTGAGGTTGTGAGGATTGCCGAGCGTGGTGAGGAGCGAGGACGCGGTTCCCAGTAGGCTGTGGTAGTTAGTAGGCGCAATGCGAATAGGGACTCGCGATGCGTACCGCGGCGTGTCCTGTTGATCTGTGTATGTCTGCAGCGAGCGCAGCAGTGTGGACAAGAGGCGATCGACGACCATGTTGAACCCGAAAAGCCCGCGACAGGCTACCAGAAGATGCGCATGGAGATGTTGGAGATGCGATGGCTGGTGTTGATTGCGGCTCGCGTCCAGCCGAGGTTGAGCTAAGCTCGGGCTTTGGCCGTTGACATTCACTCGGGGATCGACGTCACAAGCATTAACTTCCAAAAACAACGGCCTTTAGTATCGTACGATCCTACGACCCCTAGTGTTACGCGCAGAAGTATACAGAGCGCATTATAGCTATGCCGTATAGATGAGGTAAGCCCTCGCTGGACCCTGCATCCATCCTTCTCGCGTCCCCTGGCCATGGCCTCAGACTTCACATGGGACTGAAGACGATTCTTCCCCACAATTCGGCCATGGTAGTTAACGATATCTTTCCCAGCTTCATTCAACGCGTCGACTCGGCGGTCCCGCTCGGCTACACCACGCCGCCCTTCCCATCCCTCTACTGGCCTCTTCCCGCTGGCACCACCCAGTCCTTCTACCTCTACCGCCCCGACGATATCCTCCGCTTTACCGTGTACTGGACACTGCTCTTGGTTGGCGGTATACACTTCATCACCGCACTATGGGCATGTGTAGTCCAATGGCGCAACTGGAAATTAATATGGATCGCCCTGCCCGTCTTCAGTTTTGTTGGAGGCGTTGAAGCACTTGTTGCGGGTGCTATCGTTGGCGGGCTGTGAGTCGAGGTCTGCTGCCATGTCTATCGCGTCGCATACTGACTGCAATCAGGCTAGGAGGTGTATATCAGGCGGGATACTTCGAAATGTCTACCTGGATACCTTTTGTCTGGGCCGTCATCAACACCCTGGTGCTCATATTGTCTTCCTTTGCCATCTACGGCGGTCTCTGATGTTATGCCTCGGTCCAACATACACTCCATATCGACTATCAGCATGTGTACGAGCGTGAGACCGCAGACTCACAGGCCCCAAAACCTCTCAGGCAAAGCATGCAACGCCTCCATCGCCTCGTTCTTCAAGCCCCCATAACCCGCTGCTCATCAGCCCTGATATCAAGGTCACTCTGAACGCTGGAGTGGCGCGTTACACACGTTGTTCAGAGGAACGGGCGGACAAAGCCAATCCTAGGAATCGCCCGATCTAACCTCGCTCCAGAAGATGACAAATCGGAGATGCTTCCGTGCCAACACGCTTAGAGACGTGAGATTGATGTCCAACAAGACATTGGCGTTATCAGCATAAACAGAGCTCGCGTAATGCAGTAGGTGACGTACGTTCTCTGGCTCGTAATGCACTTCGATGTCCAGTAAGATCGAAATGTACCACCCTGTAGTACTTCTGCTCTGAAAGCCATACTGGCGTCAGTTGAACGAGGAGTAGACGCGATTTAGAAGAAAAGAGAACAAGGGAATGGCGGTCAAGGCAAGCTTTTGTAGACACCTCGAGCCAGAGACTAGAATTTAGATTTGGCATATTTTCTGCCTATTGTCTATGCAGCTGACGTCTAAATGTATACCGGTATCATTGCTTTCGTCATATCATAATGTTCGTACAACCACTTTAACCGGTATGTATCTTGAACCTCTGCTTCACCTGTTTCCTACACATAGGGCACTTGGTCGGCCGCGCAGGAATATGGCCATGCTTGATGGGAACAACTACGTCAGCGCACCACTGGCACATAACCATGTGGCCGCAAGGCAGCACAGCTATATCAGCAATCTGCTGATAGCACACCTGGCACGCGAGGGTTTTGGTCATCTCTTCTTCTGTCTTGGGTGCCGGCCGATCGGGCTGGTTGTCCAGCGACATGGGCGGAGGTGAAGGCGGACGGGCAGCGCGCAAGAATGCACGCGCCTCTGCGAAGCGACTTTCAAGACGCAGAGTACGCATTTGGTTCATCACTAGTTCAGGATTCGGTGCGTCAGCCACGTCCATGGAGTTCAACTGAGAGAGTAATCCAGGGATAGCCGTTGTGATGTTGGAGCCAAGCTCAGGGTTGGCTAACAAGGGCTGTGCAAGGTGGTCGTTTTGCGCTCTGTGAGCTTCGTGCGCTTCCAATTCAGCATAGTTGTCCTCTCCAAGACTCTGCCACCGGGGTGCATAACTCCAGACTTGACTCGCTGGCTCTAGACTCTCTGATAGTGACTGTGACTCTCGCATTACTCCCCATAACAACTGTTCTTCGATTTCTCGTCGATCTTGTGGTGACAGCCCGTCGAGCGGAGGCGCGGTATCAGTGCCGTCTGCTCTTCGTTGGTCGGCCTGACGTTGGCGGTCGAAGGCTCGTGTGTACATCTGTGTAAGCGGTGACTCGTAGTCGTCCTGCTCTACGTCCTCGCGAGAGCCGAAAACGCGTGCAAAGTGCTCTCGTCGACGTTGTTGTTGCGCTTGTCGTCGTGTCATTGGTCGCGGGGGCTCTGACGGGTCTTCTTGTATCTGAGGTGTTATCGAAGCTCGTGGTTCCGTTGGTGCCGTGGGCTCCGTGTTGGAGACTTCTTCCACCACCTCTTGTAGAAGACTGTCTAGCGCATCTTCGAGACTCTGATGTGGCTGCTCTGGTCGCTCTTCCTCCGACGACAATCGTCTTCTCTGGAGCCTGTTTTCTAGTCTACGGGCATCGTTCTCTACTCCTGCCCTCAACTGATCTAGCGTACGCGGAAGAAAGCCGGGGCTGACCTCCCTGAACGGTTCCCCAATTACAGGCATACGCTGCTCAGTACCATCTGGTAGTTTTGCGATGCGATATCCCTGGTGAAACTCCCACCATCGTTCTAGGAACTCGGTCTGGTCAGGTATCTCTGGTATGCGTGTCTGGGAGATGTCGAGGGGAGGGTCGGTAGCAGCAAGGCGGTTGGTCCAGAACTCTGGTTCGATATCAGTCTACGATGTTGCCATTCGAAGTGGTATTGCGTAGCGTCGTACCTTTACAGAACCAGCAATAGCCTTGCCATCTTGTCCCTTGGTTCACGAAGCCCACTCCGTCAATATACACGCGATATGTCCTGGAATGCACTCTCTCGTCGGCACAAGCGCAGCAATTCGGCGTTGATGTCAACCGGCAGCTTGTGGCAAGCTTGTGTGGACAGTGTGTCTCCAGACGTGGGCAGTCTGCGGTCAAAGTCCCCATTATGAGCGGGCCTGATGTTTAGGGAGTGTAGAGCCGAGCTGGGATGAAGATGTGAGATCCAAAGCAGAGAGTAAGGATCAAAGACTAAGAAAGGCCCAATGCTTGAGACGTGGTGAAGGAGTAAACAGTGGCGCGAAGTTTGGTGGTGGCGCGCATCTACTCCACGTTCCGCGGTCGGCCCTTGCAGGTGCATGATGCTGTGGTGGGGCTGAACGGGGCAAGTGGACCTAGCGCGAAGCCATCCCCGCGGCGAGACTTACCTTAAGATCAGCATTGACTTCGACTGACAGCTTCTCTGAGTGCAAAGCTCGACTGTCCGCTTATTCGTTGTGATGCTTGGTAATACAGTCTTTACTGGTTACACAATACGTTGTACTTGACCAGTTGAATGCTAGTGCCAACAGCTCATGGCTCAGAGCTGTCAATGACTCTCAGCTTCAAATATACAAACACTCTGTCACCGTTGTCTTTCTTACACCCGTCCAACATAATTCCTCACACTTCAACTAAAGACCAAGTCTAGCACTATGAAAGTAGACGATTGCCACAGGAACCTGCGACCTGCGAAGGAACGCGAAAAGGCTCTGGCCATCAATGAGTTCAACGGCAAGACCCTGACTCCACCAGTATCAGTCTACCTGCCATGGAACCTTTCGACAGACCAGTTCAAAAAGCTTCTTCCTGACACTCCCGAGGACGGAGAGCCAGGCTTTGGCTTTCCAGCCCTGAGAAACTGGTTTGTCAAGCTTCTCCAAGCCCTTGATGCTCAAGAAGACGAACTGCATCCGTTCCATTCAAATCCTTACCGACTAAGAAAGCTGGATATAGAGGCCGCCGACTGGTTCAAGGAAGGGAAGTTGGGGTTTGTAAAACTCCAAAGTGAGATCAGAAATGACGACCCAGATGATGAAAAGAATTGGACACCTGGGGCGGTGTTCTTACGAGGTGGTAGTGTGGCTGTCCTCGTGAGTCTAGTGTCATCCGAAGCACTTGAATTCAACTAACTGGTCGGAAGCTCATTGTACAACCTGAAGGTGCAGAAGGAGAAGATGAGAAACAAGTCATACTAACCGTTCAGCCTCGGGTAGCAGCCTCATCTTTGGCCTTCACAGAGATACCTGCAGGAATGTTAGATGACCAGCAAGATTCGTTCGCTGGAAAAGCCGCGAAGGAGATCAAAGAAGAAACGGGACTTGAGTTGAAAGAAAGCGAGCTACTAGACATGACGAAGCTTGCGCTAGAAGGAGCATCGTCCGAATATCCCCCTGCAGCCGAATCACTGGAAGAGGCCATGTACCCCAGTCCTGGTGCTTGCGACGAGTTCATCACACTCTACCTCTGTCAGAAGCGTCTCAAGCGTGAGCATCTGGAAGATCTTAAAGGTAAGGCAACGGGTCTCGCGGAAGAGGGAGAGAAAATCAAGCTCAAGTTAGTTCCGTTGCACATGCTCTGGCGAGAAGGTGCTCGGGATGCGAAAACTCTAGCTGCATTGAGTCTGTACGAGAACATCAAGGCAATTGGCATGTTACCCGATATGCCTACCAACCTAGACGAGAGATCAAAAGACTGGCGTTCAGAGAAGTGAGGTTGAAGGAGATGTAGTTACAGCTCATGACATGGAGATATTCAGCCGCCAAACATATATTCATTCACTCTCCAAATTCTCGTCACAGCATCACACTGAACAATCCTATGAGTCACTGGATGAGCATTAAGGGTTGGCCTCATTGATACCGTTGTCAAAAGACTATTTGGTGATTGAGTTTGAGCCTCGCAACTAACTTGGTTGTTGTAACGTTTTCTGTAGCACAATGCCCAGTACTCTCGTTATATTCACTGGGCCCAATCTAACATATGAGAACTCAAAGTCAACACCAGCTATACACACGAGCCTCTCTCTCCATTCCTATGCTGTAAAGTGTCTTTTCAATCCTCAACGTGAATCGAAGTATCTTCACTTCGTAGCCGCGTAGTTATAGGGCTCCAATGTCATAGATGTCAAAGTTACACGCCTTGTGTCATATCATAAATCAAGGGTATCCTCTCAACAGTTGTTCCGCCATCTGAGGCTTCATTGTGCGATGCGCAGAGACGTGTGTTGCAGGCAGGTACCCATATCTGCAATGGCACATGTATCCAACCGCCCTATTGGTTACTCTCTCAGTTCGTATAGGACAGCTCGAACACTCCTCGCCAAAAGTGTAGAAAATCCGTCAAAAGAGAGTGGTAAGATCCCCCTAGCGTCAGGAATCTGGAGTTGGAGGCATTTCTCGGGAACCGCGATGGACGATGTCGACATCTCCCGGACCCTTAGATTGGGTTTTTCGTATATTTTCCGCAGCGGACGAAGAGGACATCTGAAGATTTCATTAGGTCCATGAGAAAGGAAATATGGGATTCGCATGCCGTCGCAACTAGCCGGAGGTCATATTCTTACGTCGCCTTGTTGAAGCTTGTCGGACCAGTCTGGCCGGTACTTCGTTTTCATATGCTGCATGAGGTCGACCAGCGACGCGGAGAGAGCAGCGGAGCTCGGCCACCTCCAGGAAGAAAGTTCGAGAACGAGAAGCGCGTTTGAATACAGTTGGATGAGGTTACCACCAAAGATCGCAGGCATGTTTTGGATGAGCACCGTGCCTGCTCGGTAAACCCAGTGTGGTGTGACGAAGACGTGGATGCCACCGAAGCTTACTACAGCTTCTCTGTTTGTGATAGTCAGCATTAAATCCCTCAGCACGTGTGGGCTTCACATACAGCACATGCCACGCGCTTCCCCAGCAAGGATTTAGCAACAGATGTGTAATGTGCAAGGTTATGCGTATGACAGGAAGCAACTCGTCTTTCTCGTCGAAGAGTGGGAGTAGCTTCTTGACCTTCTCTTTCGCAAGGTGGTCACCCTTGCGAAAACGATTCTGCATACGATACAAGGAGCAAAGATATTCGGCGGGCTTTTCCTTGTCGAAACACAAATCTTCTTCCTGCAAGTCATGAGTCTTGTCCTGCGGTTCGTGCTCGACGAGTAGGCTTACCGGTTCTGGAAACAATGCCGGCCTGTCTAGTGTAGATGCAATCTGATTTTCAAGGCAGAATATAGTCATGTGCATGGCTCGGAGCATTTGGACATCGTCCGGACCAAGCTCTTGTAATGTGCTTTTTGACTCTAGATCGAACGCAAGCCGGCCTGCAAGAGCTATCTGCTGACCAATGTTACCCGCTATTGGGTCGAACGAGCTGTTGATGGCAAGTAGAAGGACGGAACGGATGGTGTCGATATTTGGGTCCATTGTTGCTAACTCGAGGTGCTCCATAGCATCTGCGAAGTATTGAGTCGCGAGAGAGCGGTATCTGATAGAATTGGCCTGATGATATGCAAGCCTACCTGTGGGGTTCCAGTCTTGATCTGGCGGTTGCTTTTTGCGAGTATTGGGGATGATGTAGCATGCTATAGAATATATCATGTACAGCGAGAACATCTCAGTCGACGTGAGGTCGCTGGGCAGATCCGGTCCAAGATAACGTAGAGATGGATCCAGAATGGGGTAGATTGGCTGGACTGTCTCAAGGAACAGCTGCATCAGCTCGTACTGCTTCTCGGGCGAATGTTTGTTAGTGTAGTGCCAATCGTCGAGTTCTTCGTCATCTTGCTCGCCGCGGACCTCATGCGCAGTGTGCAGTCTGGGTGATTTGAGGAGGCACGATTCCGCGCCGAGATATCGGTAGCTATTTCCGGCTTCGGCAAAGTGATGCTCGTATCGAGGAATTTCAGAAGCGATGAACTCAGTCTTGACCTGCGTGCCGAATACGCCATGATCTAAAGCGCTACCCGAAGCTGCTGGTGAAGGATTCCCGCTTGACAGACTACGCACACGATCTACCAGCTCGCTGATATAGCTGGCGGTGTGCTTAGTTGGGATTTGAAAACAAGGCACGTCAGCTCACCTTCGTGGCAGCAGCTCATTGCGTCCATGGTCGTAAAACATGCATTCCACGCCGGCTTTTGTGCATTGCCTGACCCGTTAGCAGGATGCCCAGGGTGGGACAGAGGAACGATGTACCTGCACTTCGGTAATAAGGTGTCGCATCCGCGGCGACACTCTCGGCATCTCTTACATGCGGGGAGACTCTGGGGAAGTATAAGTGCGCGATGTCAAATTGCGGAGACGGCCGGCGTTACCTGAATCAGAGCATCTAGATCAAGCGTGGGGGAGTTTGAGCTGCTGGCGGCGGCGGCCATCGGAGCGGGTAGTTGCAAGGACGTGACAGCTATGGATCAAAGTCTAGCAGCTGCTCGAGTCTGTACTACAGTTCATTGCGCGCCGTCGTCTTGTCAGGGACAATGGTCTGAGACGCAATGGGACGCCTGGGCTGGGAAGATGGCGAGTGAGGGATGATCTTATCTGCTAGGGCGACCCGATGCAGAAGCGATCACCCCGGCCGCCTGCATCCCGCGTGCCCGCTGCCCTCACATGCCAGCATCCTGTTCTTCGTTCGAGAATATTGACCATCGCCAACCACCACCGCCAGCCCATCCTTTATCTGCGCCATGACAACTGCGCCGTCGTGGTATAGACGCCAGACGCTCGAGGTTTACCATGCAGAACCGAACTAAAGTCCGTCGCCGCGTCCTGGCCTGTGCCCGCTGCCGGAAGCGTAAACTCTCGGTACACGCTTTCTCTACCCACGTCATACATGTACTGACTTCACCAAGTGCGATGGCAAAGTTCCTGCCTGCACTCGTTGTGTTGATGCCAGCGTCCAATGTGTTGGCTTCGACTCTTCAACTCAACAAGAAGCTCCGCGATCCATTGCAGATTTCTTGGAAGCGCACATTGTTCGGCTAGAGGGCCAGACCAGCACGCCGTCAACGCTGCCATCGTTGGGACAGTCAAGTGCCACTCTGTCATCCCCAGCAGATTCTCATACACCCGACTCCAGACCTGGCCAGTGGCGTGCAGAAAAATGTGCCTTCGCCGATAGCCTCGTCAACCAGGTCATGGAAGACATCACACCTTCATTCCTTGGTGTCTGCAAAGCCCGGCCGTTTTTACAGTGCGTCATCAAAGGCACCAGGTTGCCTTCGAAAAAGGGACCCGTTCTCTCAAATGATTTGAACGAAAACCACCCTAGATCTATTTTGAATCCCCAACAAACTAGGGGCCTCTTTTACGACCTCATGCCTGATGAGGTTGGCGCCAACAAACTACTCCAAAATTATCTAGATCGCGTCATTACGCAATACCCCATATATCATCGCAACGATGTGACAACGGCCTTCAACTCTATCTACCATAAAAAGGCGGCAACCCCCAACGAAGACTCTTTCCGGAATCGCTACATAGTCTGCATTATCATGGCTATCTCGCTAACTACAAGCGCGCGGAACAACGTGCAGAAGGCAAACGACCTCGCCTACCAGCTGGTTCGACATGCCATGCAATGGATTCCAGAAGTTGCGACCAACGACATTGCTGGGCTGCAGGCTATATTGCTTCTGACTCAGTATATCTTTCTGAATCCTAAGATGGCAGATTTGTGGCTCATGACAGGTCTCATCAGCCAAGCAGTCATCGACCTTGGACTTCACCAAGAATTGCCGAATGACGCCAAGGTTTCGGCCTATCAGCGCGACATGCGACGACGTATATTCTGGTGCGCGTGGGAGATGGAAGTTGGAGTCTGCTGCATATTCTTACGCCCTACAAGCCTCCCCGTCGGACGTATAGATGTCGCATTTCCGTTGGAGATCGATGATACCGCCATTACACAGTCTAGTATGTCGCCTACTGGACGGGTGTCAAAATTCACGCAGCGTATAATCTGCCGCTTCCGTCTTATTGAAGCCGAGATCATTTCTGTTCTATGGCATGGCGACCCGATATCTCAGGAATACTCCTCGTTGGAGCAATGGATACAACACTGCATCGATAACATGGCAGATTGGCAACGAGATATATATGCCGCTTCAGAGGCTAACAAGGATCGCAGCTTGAACGCGCGATGGACTGAAATGCGCTTGTACTCCGATATCGCATGCCCTTATATCTTATCATTGTTACATCGGTCCTCTCAACGAATACCAAATCCAAGCAGGGAGAAGATGATGGTCGCCCTGGTCAATGCTGTCAAGGTTGCTGATGGCTATTTCCAACAATCAGAAGCAGAGGCTGGAAAGATTAAATATGTCTTCCATCCGTGCCATCATGTCTTTGATTGCGCACTCATATTTCTGCAGGGGTTGCAGCGTTGCAAGAAAGAAGTTGCACAAAACTACTCGTGGCAACAAGTAGAAGAGTGGATGCATGTTTTCTCAAAGTGCTTTCTGTCCATCTCTGAGCGATGGGCAGCCGCAAAAAGGTGTTTTGAAGAATACGAACGGCTACTTCTCCCAGTCAAAAAAGAATATCTCGAGTTTCTGGAACAGAGAGCGAGCTATCGGCCACCAACGCTTCATCAGACCGTATCTGATACGAGCACTATGTATGATTACCAAATTCCGTCTTGCGTTTTCACGGAAGGCGACGAAGCCTATCAACTCTGGACGGTGTTCAATCCCACCACCTCAACCACTGATACTCCAGACCCGCTTGGCGTCCTTTCATACAATCTGCCGCCTTCTGACTGGAACGCGGAGTTTTCTTTGAATGACAACATGGACATGATACCGGAAATGTAATTCTCTATGGCGTTTCTCGACAGGGTCTTTTCTCTTACCGGCTTTTGAGTATCCCAACTACATGCCAGCAACATGTTGTAATAGTCGTAACCTCTTGGCATTTGATGAATGTGCGCATTTTCGGTTGGTGGGAATGTAATACCCTTGGCGTTAACGCAGATAGATATCTTGTCCTCTAGTATTTCCTTATTCAAATCTTCCATTCAAGCTTTCGGAAAGCCGCTATCAAAGTTTGACAGTCCTGGCTGGTTCCTAGATTCTGCAATTATACGTACCACCATGTGTCACTGAACCCGTTTTCAGTATGTGACTGACTAGCTATGAGGTTACACTCGCCAAAACTTAGTGTAATAGTCTCGCGTATTCAGTACGTGGGTCTCCCGACACGGAACTGCCCGTCCACTTTTACCAACGTGCCGGGTCTGAATCGAGGTCGCCAAGAGCGCTGAACTGCCAACATGCTCATCCAGCCCCCACGTTGTAGTGGGGAACCGCGGCCGGCGTACCCGTCGCATTACTTGGTACGTGACAAAGATCAGAAGACTCTATGCTCACTACGAAATCGCGCCATGTCTTTGCCCAGGAATTGAAAGTAAAGCGAAAACTACTGGGGTTGATCATAGATTTCCCTGCAAATAGTTACTAGACGTTTTTCTCACAGTGCGCGAGCTTCGTATAGCCCCATAATAACCAAGAGAACAAGGAGTGTATTTACTTCATAGCTCTAAGTTGACGATTTCCTGTACTTCTGTAGGCCTGCCAAGTTTCACTACGGCTTTCTTGCTTTTCAAATCTATCACGATATTGAACAACGTGCCACTTCCACTCTGCTCGGTCTCGACCCTACATATTGCCCCTGGGGCATTCTGTTCGTCTTCGAACAATCGACTCACACTTTCCCAGCTCGGTTCTTCACCTAATGCTCCGGCATTCTCAGTCATTGTGCGAACCCGGTCCAAGGAGTCTTTGAGCCACACAGTATCGGTCTCGCCGGGATGCTCTAGAAGCAAATGATTCGTGTGAATGACTTTCGAACCGGAGTCTGGTAGTACGTGGGCGAAAGTGCTCTTTGTGAACTCCAGACCTAGAGACTTGCTTGGGTCACCTATCAGGATGTGCGCTGAAGAGGCCATGCCAAAACTCTCAAGCTTGTGGACAGCCTCATCGACGCTTTCGCTTTCCAATGCCATTCTTAGGCCGAAGTGGGCAGGCATTCGGATAGAGTCGACGCCATGGACTTTTATGGCATTGAACAGTGTACCGACGCCACTGCTATTGAAGCCGATTTTTCCGATTATCCCTGCTTCCGTTACCTGGACTATAGTGGGTTTGGCGGCTTGCGTAATCTTGGTGACAATCAGATTCTGTTGCTGCTCGGTCATCCACTAGGTCCGATTAGCATACAATCATCCTATGCTGCATATGTAATCAAGTAGAACTGACGTCCCAATTCTGCGCCAGCCATGCCCGATTTTGGGTATGCCATGCGAGTGCAGTGCAGCCATCGCTGAATAAACCAAAGTTAATCTCAGTTCTGACGTTAATAGCCACGATATCTAAAAAATCGCGTCCCGAGCCGTCGGCGATGCCTTGCATCTCTGCATGGAAATTTGGCCATTGCGCTTTCGCTCGCTGTTCAAACTTTGATGCGTGTTGGAGAACCTGCGGCCATCTTTGCTTGCAGTTCTTGAGGAAGAGACAAGCATAGAACTCGATGCAGCGGGCTATCTGTAGCTTGGCAGCTTGACCATGTTGGTAGCCGATCTATGTAATATGGTCAGCACAATCCCGTTGAGCGCCTTCTCGGTGCTGCGTTCATTGGCGGTGACGGGCAGCAATGACGTCACGCGTTGCACTTACTTCGTAAGGGGTTCCGTTGCACTCCACGAACAACATGCTGTATTGAAAACTCGATAAAGATCAGACGAAAGCAAGAAGAAGTACTGGTTCAGGTTCTCGTCTACCTGAACTGCGTTGTTAGAGTCCATCTCTGTCATCTCTTCTACGGCAGCGCTTTCGGTAATCCCACGCGTGCCCCGCTTTCGAGCGCTCAATTCCGTTCCGAGCTATCGTAAAGCGCTCCTTCGTCTATAACTCGCTACAAGGCCGTAAATGAGCAAGTACATACGAAATGCGCTGCACCAGCACCAAAGCAGTTCATGGGCCGCTCCAGGCTAGTTCATCCGGTATTGGAACCCTGCTACTACCCATTGTTTAGTATTTCGGAGTATATCAGTAAATGGTGAACCACTCACACGGCATTGAAATGATCCTGGACGGATGTGACGCAACGTTGCAAGCACAACTGCGCTTCAAGCCATAACGTTTGATGAGGCAAGGGGTTGATGATAAGATGGGGCTGTGGCCTTACTATCGAGTGTTGTCACTTTTTAACATCAATTCACGACTAAGAAATCCTTTCTTCTTTGAAGGTATTACCCAAGATTATGCCGAAACGCGTACTTTGTTCGTATGGTATTGATATCGACGCCGTGAGTAACAAGTATGCCCTCTCTTTTTATTTAGACAGACACTGATTCGTACAATGCAGGTGAGCGGATGGTACAATGGTCCTGTTTAGTGCATTGCCGGATCGTGGGCTAACAGCATGTTAAGGCTGAACACGAAGACTGGTGCTCCCGCGAATCCCACTGACATATCGCGGGGTGTGTTTGGCGCAACAGTAGGCATTGATCGTCTCCTGAAGCTCTTCGACAACTACAATATCAAGGCGACATGGTTTACACCAGCGCATACTGCAGATTCGTTTCCAAAACAAATACGCAAGATCGTTGAGAAAGGACATGAGATAGGGCTGCATGGGTAGGAGCTCTGATGTACGGAATGCATATGACATATAAGCTGACTTCGTACATCGACTACCCAGGTACACACACGAGTCCGTGTCTTTGTTAAGTGAAGAACAGCAGCGAGACGTTCTAGAAAAGAGTATTCAAGTCTTGGAAAAAATCGTAGGCAAGAAGCCGCGCGGTTGGACTGCACCGGCTTGGAGTACGAGTAGAGAAACCATTAAGCTGCTCGAAGACTTCGGGATCGTACGGAAACCTGCACGTAATTTCTGGTACAGGCGAAGGACTGACAAAATGCTGCAGGAGTACGATCATTCTTTCATGCACCACGACTCTCAGCCGTACTATGTTCCTTCCCCACATCACGTCACATATACAGAGACCGATCTACCAAAGCCAGCTTCTCACTGGATGACACCCATGTCAACGTTGAAGCCGTCTGCAGTGGTTGAGATACCTGCAAACTGGCACCTGGACGACTGGCCGCCCTTCCAGTTATCACTCATGCAGCCAAGTACTCATGGCTTCGTCGATACCGCGGTCATCGAACGCCTATGGAAGGAACAATTCGAATTCCTGTATCGCGAATGCCCCGACGACGGAAGCTTCATTTTCCCCATTAGTATTCACCCGCAGGTTAGCGGCAAGCCACAAGTCATCCTACTGCACGAGAGGCTCATCGAGTGGATCAATGGCCATCAAGGAGTAGAGTGGGTTACTTTTGGGGTTACTGTCGACGAGTTCAAAAGCGGTAAGTTGAGCGGCGCGACTGTAGAGGGTGGGGCGGACGTGTAATGTTACACCGAGATGGGGCCGAGATATTACTTCGTACGCAAGTAACTGAAGTCACTCCTCGCTTGACATACCCCGTGGTAGATCTTCCGACATTGTTACTGTATGAAGAACATCGAAACGAGTTTTAGTTTGTACAGAGCATACGTGCCGTGTTATTACCCTCTCTGCTCTCGCCTTGCATAGCCGCTACGCACGTCCTCTCCACCATTGGGGACCATACTCACGGGTCCGGAGCAACGCGCATTACACCGAGCGGCGGACAGCGACCGCGGCGCCCTTCAAGCGTGGGCTTAGTGCTCGAGCGTCGCTCAAGCGTCGGCTTAGTGAAGGCACTATATATTTGGGTTGCCATCTCCCCACCCCCCGCGACTCTGCGAAGACCTTCAGGCTCTGCTATCGCATGCTTGTTGATACTTACAATACCCTTTACGAGCTATAGAGGACTATCGTTTCTGCGCCAACAGTTGGTCTGCGATGCACCACAAAATTGATACAGCAAGGTGCTGGACATAAGGCCTGCAACCTGACTCCAGCCTATCGTTCTTTTCCCACTCTCTTGCTAATAGCACAAGTCAAGAGGCAACATTGCTATTGACAGTCTCTCTAATTTCTCCCATATTTCATCATAGAATTCCAAGCTTGTTGCTAGTCCAGCTCATGCCCATGAACATTCCACTAAGTTGTCCCTCTTTCCCTGGGCATCCTGTCCGCGCTTATCTTCTCATCTTATTATCTTCCCTCCATCTTATCGACTTCCTCGAATCTACAAATTACTTCGAATTATTCTTTCTTCAACCTTGTGTTCGTCAGCTTTACATCCACCTGCTTCCATAGCGCCCCTTCGACAAGTGCATGTCTGATGGGTATATCGACATTGACAATATGGTCTTCTCGTAGGAATTTGATCTTGAAGGTAATAATATGCTCGGTGATCAGATAACAAATACCTAACTTGATGAAGAAGTACTCTTCGCTTTCGGTATAGGTAGAAGTCTGGTGTTTGATGGTTGCGAAGATGATCTTACAGAGGGCGCAATAGAGAAGTGAGTCTTATGTGATAGATGCGATAATACATGATCAAGCGGTTTGTGAAATGAGAGACAAAGATTCGTCTTTATTTGCGGAGGGGCGATCTTGTATCGCCATGCAAACGAGTGGAGGGGCCTTTGCATGCTGACTTGCGATGCCGAATAAGAATCTAGGAATTTTAGTCGCGTTATGCTCACGATTCACACAGTAAATGCAGACAGCTGCGAGGCTACTCCTCGTACAGCTCCGAACAATAATAAAATGTCGCAAAATACTAGATTGAATGATGCATATCGACTAGGATGAGGGGGCAGTCTTGTGAGTAGGAACAGATAATGTTAGTATTGACAACCACGGGTAGCAGGAAGTAAATTACATCAACTAAACGTCATTAGGTAGTAGTCATCCGCTAGTCTTACTCCAAGAACACCTTACACGCCATGACTATCGCACTCTCTTCGTGTAGTAGATGGCTTAGTGGCCACCGGTAGTAGGTAGCTGTTTGGAAGTTAGCTTCAGGCCCACATACACAGCGGTGGGAACAACTTACACCAAGGTAGACCTTGAAGGAGTCGTAGATAAGCCATTGGAACGCAGTCAAAGTACCAATCATGAAGATACGGACAGGCAGTCCGTTCCAAAGACCACCGAAACCGATCTTGCCGTATATCCTGCCAATAGCTTGGCCAGCGCCCTCGCCAGCCTTCCGGTCGCTGTTGAGCTTCGAGACCATGACATCTAACACATGTTAGCCACCATTTACTACTCTCTGATATTCGTGAAACATTTCCGACATACCTGCAGGGTGCGAGACGACCGCGCATCCAATACCAGCGATGTATCCACCGAGGAAGCTCACACCAGTTTGCTGTAGACTTCCGTACGACTCTTTTGGCTTACCCAAGAAGCCGTAAATTTGCTTGACAGTCTCTTCAAACGTGGCGAACTTGACCATGGTGTATGGGATTTGACGCGCCCACAGAGGATACAGGCCCTTGTAAAGACCGCCAACGCCCTCTTCCTTGATCACCTTCGACCAGCCCTCCCTTAGTGTGTTTGCGAACGGTGGCATGGTCGTTTGCATCCGGACCTTGATTGCCTCCATAGGACACAGGGCAATATCGGCGAGGAATTCGGCGGAAGCGGAGGCAGCGAGATATACAACCGTTTGCGGGGCGCCGGGAGCAAGCTTCTCACCATACAGGTACTTGAAGACTTCGTAGAAACCGTATTTGCCAGCCCCTTGCATGGAGTAGCCGATGAAAGTGGGTGTCCAACCAAAGAATACACCGCGCAGACCCTCTTTGGAATAGATCATTTTCCACGCTTGCGAGTTGGATTTGTAGAGGTTGGAGTCGACTTGACGGCGGCATTTTACCTGTGAGATGAGAATCAGCGCGTGTGTCCTCGGAAACATTTTGAATACTTCAGCGACTTCAAAATGTAATTGGCACGTGAGAATAAACTCACCAGATCCAGCGGGGTAACCATAGTATGTGTAGGCCCGCACGCGATAATACCACCCATTGTACACGCCGCAAAGTATGAGCCTGAAAAGAGCTCAATCTTCCTCTGCGGCTTCATCGCGTCCAATTTGTTCGACATTGTGAATGTAATTGTAGTTGAGTCACCTCAATTGCTGTGTCGTTCTCGCCGTATGGTGTCGTTTTGGTGCTGGAACCGGGGATGAGGTTTGTCGCGTGCTGCTTCACAAGGATGGTGCCTCAAAAAAACAAAAGCCGGAAGATCTGGAGGAGGGGTATAAGGAATTATAGATTAGAAGAGGGAATAGGGATTCAACAACAATCGCAAAGCCGACTGGGTAGCCTTGTTTGTTATGACGGCACGGCTCTAGGTAGCGGAAAGCTTGTCCGCAGCTTCCGCGTTACCTCGCTATGACGTCGTTTCTGCGGGTGGGACGCGATGACCAGGCTGACGAAGCTTAGCCTGATGCTTATCGATATCGCATCCCCGACCCTCCGCGCGCGATCGGATTTCATTCTCGACTATTGGGCAACTCCGCCCCTCTGTTACAGTTGCAAGTATCATAGTGAGGGATTTAGCATAAGAGTGGGTCGTCTCAGCGCGGTGCAAGATCGTGCTCGGGGGGAAGTCAGCTGCCCAGCAATACTTACGCGTTATGCGTAGGATGCTTTGAGCAGAATGAGATTTCCGTAGATAAATTCTCTATCGTGAGGATGCTATAGTCATGAAGCGTGATAGTCATACCTAACTCCGAATGTGAAGAGGTCATTTCATCTAAGTACCCCCAAGCACCCACGCTATGCCACCCCAGCAAGAACAATAAAGTGAAGACTGTCCCCAAAAACCGAAGTCCAAAGTAAATGCCATGGTGTACCAGATGTGTCCCAGAAAACAGGGCATGCAATTCCTAACAATAACTTCGTGCAAAATCAATGCGCAGAAAGTCCAAATCCATTCAGCCTGCTCTTAGCAAAGCCATGGGTTTATGGTTGCTCTAGAAATTCGTTGAGATGGTGATTTCTTCATCACTGATGTACGTGACGTTCGAAGAGCGGGCTGGAGAACGATCGCTGGCGCCGTCCGGATCACAAGGAGACAGCGGTGAGTCGGACTTGAGTGGGCCATCTACCGACGCATCGTGTCAATAATCATACATCGTTATCATATACTTCTTCCCCATCTGACTCACTACCAGAATTATCATAGAGATCAGCCGCTGATAGGCTATCGTCCTGTGGCCAAGCTTCCAATCTAGGTTCGATCTCCTCAGCCCACTGTTGCATGCGTGTGGTGTCGTTGACAACATCTCTATACAGATCCAACTCAAGATCCTCGCTCTGGTTGAGGTCGTAGAGCTGTTGAACGAGGAATTGGCAAGTGTCGATGAGTGGGGATAGATGATGTTTCGGCATGCCTAGATCTTTTTCGTATACGATGCGCTTCATCATGTCGGTGATCGTCTCACGGAGTGTTTTCCATCTGAATTGTACCAGATCCACAGGCCATCCCTCGTAAGTCCTGTAAAGCTCGCAGACAAGCATCTGTGCACCTTGCCGTACGTCTTCCAGCTTGTGTAAGAGTAAAGGGGGTGCCCAAATGCGGCTTTTCCCTATAACCCATGCGTAGAACATGTACTGGTGCTTTTGCTGAAAGATAGCCTCGTTCTTTATTTGCAAAAGACCGCCAAAGAAATCGAGGGCAGCCGAGCCGCCAGGTGCGCGGCCCTCTTCAATCCGACTGTTTGATGCAACCGCCTTCGCAATCGTTGTAATAATTTTGTTGACACTGTCTACCACCGGACAGCCTTCGCAATACGATAGTGAAGCTCTCATATAAGCATCGCAGAAGGGAGGGTCGAGCGTAACGATGCCTTCAAGAAGAGTCTTGAAGAGGCTGGACTGAGCCTGCGGGTCTCGCCAACCGAGCATCGATTTGACCATGTCACCGGGATTGAAGTAATCCATTTTCGACTCATCGAATATTTCCAACGCCTTGTCTAGAACCGCAATGGCTTTCAGATCAGAGTCCCACCAATAGAGCATGTTCCGTTCTTGATAGGTCAATGGAAACATCATAGTCTCCCGGTCGAGCGAAGCTAGGCGATCAGCACCTGAGGCAATGGCTGGCAGACCGGTATCGATGCGTAGGAGCAAATTCGACAGGAATCCGATGAGCCTGTTATAAATTCCCGACTTCTTGCTCACGATTCTCCATAGGTCAGGGTCCTCGTCCTGGAACCGCTTGTACGAGTGCATACAAAGCATTTTCAGGCAGAAATCCAGGAAGCCACCATTCAGTACTACAGCGATCTCCACATGGCCCAGTTCGAGCATCTGAGTTAGTGTGAGATAGAAGTCGTCCCAGCCCCGTATGGACATGTGGGTTTCAGTTGTGACGATACGTAACCTGGTCGTGAAACTCGCAAGTATCCCACCTGTTAGTGAAGAAAGATCGAAGTCCATATCATTCTCAGCGTCCTCCAGACCGTATGAAACAGGGTCCTTTTCGCGCGAGACTTTGAGACAGTCAATGAGAAAGCTACGTGTTTGAGACCGTACTTTGGCGTGTGTGCAACGGAGCAGCAGATTGAGCAGATTCCATTCGTCGGTAGCAAGAGCCTTGAGGACAATGTTGCAGCATGTTGAGCAGGGCAGGACGGAGCGTCGTATCTGAAGTAAGGTCTCGGAAAAAATATCGGAAGTCATGTGACGCCAGACAACGTTGCCGAGGTGTGCAAGCACTATCCTCAAAGAGCGAGTTTCCTGCAAAGACGTTAGTGTCCTGAATCTGGATAAATCAAACGCGATATCACGTACTTGTAGATGGCCTTCTGAGCATGACCCGTGGTTGATAGTACGTGACATGGCATGAAGCTGTCGCACAAACTTTGTATGGTTTGGATCGAAGCGACAGTATTCTCGGATAAACACCTCGTTCTTAAGATCAACCTCATTCTCCAGGGCTGGGGGCATGGGAACTTTTAGAGTCTTCCCGTCTGGAGAGGGGACCCAATTGCGCTGATCGTTTTCTACCGCAGTCCGGCGTTGATAAAACAGCATGTATGCAGAATATTGTTTCGGTACGCGGTTGAAGGTGTCGTCTGTCAAGCCTCCAAACGCCCAGTACCCAATGTCTGTTGGGTCGAAAGGTCCAACATTGCTATCATCGAATTCAACCCAGGTTGGTGCTGCATTTCCTGTCGGACAAGGTCGTTCACGAATGTAAGAATAGTAATGACCATGCTCGCAAGTACCTGTGTGTACAAGTACACCAACAAGGTCGAATATGTCCGCTTCCTTTGACTTGCTTGGGTCACTAAGATGGTCGACATGGTACGTGCTGATGTCGATAGATGGTGGGAATTCGAAGTGATCGTAGACCTTTCTCCGACTGAAATCGGCCAGGTCGAACTCGAAGCGCTTTAGGTGGAAGATGAGGTTGTCAGGGACCTCCTTGAAGCAGGTGCTGATGTAGTTAGCTTCGCTCAATACCAGATTTGAATTCAATTTACCGCTTGACTGCATCAACATATCTACCCCCACAGCTTTCACATTTGTACTTGTTGTCGCCTTCCATGACATCGCCTCTAACAAAAGCCTGGAGACTCTCTTGAAGTGTGGACTTGCCCTGGACATCGCATTGTACCGCGAAGAAAGGCTCCGTTCGTTCAGAAACGTGTTCGCACTCTTTTGATTTGATCTGATTCAAGGTTTGCCCCCCATAAAATGAGCGAAAATGCTGTTTGTGCTCTTCTTTAATAAGTTGGCGTTCCCATTGGTCGAACAGGGAATTGTAGAACTCATCTGCGTCCATCTGAACGCTGATGTCGATAGGCATGAGCTCCGAATTCTTGACACATGCTGCGAAACTGCGTGGATCTGCAGACCTGCGAAAGGAATGCTGCATGTTTGTAAATAGCCTCTGTGTTTCAAGTAGAAGCTGTTGAGAGCCACTGCCTTCTTGCAGTTCCAAACCTAGGATGAATTCACGGAAGTTGAGATTCATGAAGAGCTGAGTAAGAAGGGAGTTTGCGTAACAGATGGCGCGCGGGTTGTACAGACCCACATAGCCTGTGCCAGAGCGTATTTCCATGGAACGATCGACAGAGACGGTGGCCAACGCTGGCTCGTATTCCTCGTTTTCTACGTCTCCTGCGAGCTTGATGAGGGTATTGTACGTGCTACTGTCGTCGACTAGGGCAAGCATGAGATCGTACATCTCGTGCCTCGTGTGTGACTCTAGTATCGGTACAGTAGCTAGGCCAGCTTCTGCAGAAGACCGACTGGTTTGAGTCAGTATCTTGCTGTATGAAAAAAGGTAGCAAATCAGAGCAGAGTCGCTCGATTTTTGGTCGGTTTGCGCGACGTACCTCTCGGTGAAAATGTACTTCTTGAATATCTTCTCCATCACGTCGCCTGTATTGAGAGGCTTCTTGAACGACTTCAATGACAGTATGCAGCATGATATAAGCTTTGTGAGACCAAAAACCACGTGGTCGATCTCGTCTCGGCCTACAAACTCCTGGTGCTTGTGGTTCAATAGTAGGTCAATCCATTTAGTCAAGTACAGTCGGAGTGAAGCTTCGTTGCGTTCGTACTCGTCCTTTGCCCGAAAAACCCGCTCAGCAATGTCGAGTAGTTGAAAAGACTGTGTAGGAAGGCGCACAGAATCTGGAATGATCGCAGAAATGACCGCCCAGAACTGGGTGGCAATCTCGCCTTTGGTCAGTGGACATGTAGATGGAAGATCACCACCACAGACGGAATCAATTTTCTGAGCAACATGTTGTCGCAAAGGCTCCCTGAGGTCTTCCAGAAGTAGCGCTCGGTGCAATTGCGGAACTTGGGGGTGCTCAATGAAGGCTTCCCAGATGATGCGCGAGTGAAGTGATGCTTCTAAGATAGTGGCATAACAATCTCGAACCACGGTAGCATCTTCGTTCGTTTCAAGTGCAACCGACAGGATCATGATAAGGCGGTTTCCGAGTCGTGTGCCGTCGGAGAAATAGGTGGCCGAGGCGTCGGCGGAAGGTCGCTCTACTTTGCATAAGGCATTGGCCATGTTATGAGAAATGAGAACGTGGCACTTACCTCTAAGAAACTCCAACAGAGCTGCCACGAGGACAGCCGCTAATTGCAGCTCTTGAAAGCTCGAGATTGTATCACTAATGAGACGAGGATTGAGAAGAGCTTCGTTCAACTGGCGTATAGCACCGACCAGGAACTTCTCGTCTAGGTTTGACTTCTAGTTCGTTAGCACATGGATATCAACACGAATTATTCAGTAACTTTACGTTACGTATCTGCTCTCGCAGTCTAGCCTGAAGAGCCATAGCCGCGTATCTCGCCTGATAGAGCTTTCCTGGGGGAAAAAGATCTTCCGATCGTGCTGCGCCTGCCATGACACTATCCGCAAAGGTATGTCGAGCTGGAAAGAAGCTCAAATAATCGAACACCTGGCGAGAATCAGCAACGTACAGCGCGATCCCATGCAAATAAATACCATTCGGCTTAGGTTATCATCGGTTTCCATTAAGGAGAATAGCTCATCCAGATATTTACCCACTGTGGATTCGAAAACCGAAGATCCTGTGCTCTGTCCCGACAAAGGTTGAGTGACTTCCGCATCTGGGGCCCTTTGTACGAGGAGCTGCCCTCCGAAGTCGATACGGCTCAGTTTCTCGTTCGACCTATCGGAAACGTTGAGCCGCTTGCCTTTCGCGAAAAGGTTGACCTTGGTGCATTTCGATACATGACATAGTCGCCTGTAGAGATCTTCCACAGTGTGATCTGCACCCATCATCACGACCTGTCTATCGTTACCACACTGGACTCGGATCGCGATCGAATCGCCGTAGAAAACATCCGTTTCGTCGACTTTGGAATCTGCTCTTCGATTGCGATTGAATTCTGGTTTTTGACGTATCATCTCCAGTAGGAGCTTTTGGAACAAGATGATTCTGCGACAGCGCCCCTCATTCTCATGCACAGCCAAGTGAGATGCGGTGACATCCATGGTTGTTGGATCTCCACTATCTGGGGACTGACTGCGTATGACCTTGCAGGCCGAACGCATCTCCTGCATACACTTCTCGACTAGGACAGTGTGAGCAATTTCCACATCTGCTAGCATAACACCCTCAGCTTCGTTGATTTGCACATAGCGACTCGCAAGAAGACGAGCAGCACGATCTTCAATAGTGCCTTCTGGTGATGATAGAACCATGGACCATAGCACATCGGCACCGGGAATCTGCAATACAGTCTTTTCCCCTTGGTCAGTTACAACAGGCTGCCGCGTCATAGGAAAGTTGTAGTTGGCGACAAATTCGAACATGCCATTTGTGTACATGCTGGGGTCCATGTGTGTCATGTGAGAAGAGACAAGTTGCCTACAGTAATCGTTGTTTGGGGCAACTTTCAGCGTTTGAAGTAATTGCACCCATGCCCAGTCTCGGGCTGTGTTTGAGAGCGCACGAAGACCGATGGTGTGTTCCCATAGCTGATTGTACATCTCGACAGGTATGGCTGGTCCAGCACGACATATCATGAGTGCTAGGAGCTCCAACCGACAACGGAGAGCTAGCTGTTGGTGGGTGGATGGTTCATGGTTCTTCTCGATATCGACATACGATGTAATCTCGCTTAAGATCTTGCATGTGACATCTTGATTCTCATGGAAGAAGGATCCGTCCCCAGAGGGAATCGGTGAAGCCAGCGAGAAGATGACTCTTGCACTTCCAGTTGCCTCGGCTGAGTTGCTGCCGATATAGTTCGCACAATTCCTGTAGATTGAATACCGCTCTTCAATGGGCACGCTATGTGCGAAAGTTTTGAGGTGCTCGGCAGCCTCACAATACAGGTCCAGCATGTCTTTGTCTGGCGCCTTCTGAGACATTATGTCGCGGACAAGACGGATACAAACATTCCACGGTCTTGCGGTACTTTCACTTATAGCGAAGTCTTCTGCCGAGGCCTTCTCAACGATCTTTTGGCCCAGGTCTTGCAGGAATCGGAATATTTCCATCGTATAGCTACTGATGGGCGTCTCATGAAGTTTAGTGCAAAAGTACAGATGATCGGAGGGCTTCATCAGATGCATGATTGGCCTAAGCATGGTCATAGTTGCGGTTACCACTCGAGGGTCGGGATTTGTGGCGACCGTGTTCCAGATGGCGTCCGCTTGGGAGTCCGTCCAACGCTGAGTCACAACGAGAAACCCAACAATGTTTCCGCTGCGCGCGATGAGCTGGGGATGTGAGTCCACGCTGACGAGGTAGTCAACCACTTTCCCGTCGAGAAGAAAGTCCGCTAGGTACCGCATGACAGGATGCTTTCCTGCTGCGTTGGCCTCATTGTACTGTTTCCAGATTTCGACCAAGCTTATATCCATCACACCTATACTCATGACGCGCAAGTCCATTTTGCCTTTAGTGAGGTATCTGCGTAGAATCTTGAACTTCCAGGCGTTGGCGACTAGTACTGGAAAGTATTGAGGGTCATTGAGATAATCGTCCTGTTTCCTGGCAAGACTGCTTTCGATGGAGGACGATGTTGTCGGCGAATCGACGCTCCGAAAGTCTAAGTATCTGTCGACCAGATCTGACTCTATTTTCTTGTCCCAGATACATAGCTCAAATAATAGCGAGTGAAAGTGTTGAATCAAGTCTCGAGCGACGGTAGAATCGGTAGTTCTGCTCAAATCGAAGAGATCGTCCATGTACTGCTCCAAGAACTGTAGGACTCTGCGACAAAATTCGGAACGATCGTCGTCGTTCGAAGATTTAGGGCCCTGCGACATCGATATACCCAATGAGCATAGCACAGGAGCAGTAAATGCTGCGATCTGGGCTTGCGTGTTCAAAGGCACGTGGTGGAAGGCTTCGTTGGCCAGTCGTAGCAGATTTTGAGCACCATTGGCGACCAGAAAGTCCTTCTGTAGTAGCGAGACCATTTTCCGGATATCAGCGGAGTATTCTTTGCTGACCATAGAAAATACTGGCGCCTTGTCAGGGAGAAGAATGGTATGCCAGTTCCGCATATGTTTCTGGCTAAGGAGAGGCAAATTATACATCTCACTGAGACGCGGGCGGGAGAGGAGGTGGACGTCGGCAAGTAAAAGGTAGGAGCATATCCTGATGTATGCACTCAAGAAACTGTAGAACATGTCGCCCGTGCGACGATCATCTAGTTGGTGGCCAAATGCCGCCTTGCGTGATAGCACTTTGTTCACCAGTAAAGAGAAATCATCCCAGAACATGGCCTTACTCGCATAAAAGCCATGTGAGTTAGCGGAAGGTTCGGGTAGGTCGGCCAGCCATCGCGAAAGGCTAGGAAAGAAGTCGAAATCGATTTCGTTGTCAACTAATATTGTTAGAATCGTAGGCGCTGAGTGGGCATCAAACTTGACGTACTCCTTTGCATGTGTTGTGTCAGGTCGCGAACAACGGTAGAGTAGCTACCATGTTGGGAGTACGGAAATTGGCGAAAGTAGTCTTCTGCATCCACCTGTACCGAAAAGCCGACTGCTTCGTCGTCATCGTCGTCAATTATCATGATGGGCGGGCTTCCTCGCTCATCTTCGCTACTAGTTATGAGTATAGGCGACTGACCGGGGGTAGGTGAGGGATCCTCGAGGAAGTCGTTAGCATTGCCGTGGTCCTCGTCTCCACCGCGCTTCGGGGACAAGGGCGGGTGTGAGCGTATGGTCATCTCTACCTGCTTCTCAGAGGGTGATGCGGCAGTATTCGCGGGGGTTTGGGGCTCGCTAGGCATGGCGCACAGGCTGTTGCTCCCGCTGTGCAGGCGGGGGCGTTTGCGTGTGTAGCTGGCGTCGGCGTCTTCAATGGGGTCGCGACGCGGCGGCGAGGCAGAGGCGGTGATTGCTGGCTCGTCTGCAGCGACAGACTGCACTATATCTATGTCTGGCGCGGTCATGACGGTAGAAGGCCTGTGTGGTTGTCTGCGAGAGGACTAGGCGTGGCCAGCGACTATCAGCACGCGTGTAGGCAGGTGAGGCCAGGCAGAGAGCAAGCAATCCCAAGTACAGGCAACAGCAGCTCCTTCCAGCCTTAGTGGCCAACAGCCTTGCACAGCGGCAGGGTAAACGCGGGGAGGTTGGGTCTCATCTGCGTCAACGACAGGAATGAGCTGAAATTGGGGTAATGCAATGAGAAAGAATCAGATTCAACTTGGTAGGCAGAGCTTCAGATATTCGACGCGTAGCTAAGAAACCCCACCATCGTCATCCTAGTTGGTTCCCGCTGTGGAGCTAGCGCGCCGCTAGTGGGAGCAGTCTAGGCCTCATCAGACCAAGATCGAGAAATCCTCCATCTAATGCAAGGCACGCCTGTCTACTCCACCTTACAAGTCTCACTTATCTAGACTGAGCACTGGCAGGGTGTCGGGCGCACTTCGGCCAGCTTGAAAAGTACTTCTGCTCTTCGACGTCGGCAGACACCTATCCGGACAGCTAGTATTGAGAAGCGGAACGAGCCAGTTGGAAGAGCTATCTTGGCAATGGCACCTGCCAAACAGAACGCGAAGCCCGTCTTCAAAACATCGTCGCCATTCGCAGAGACGAAGTGGTAGGCACGTACGCGGTCTCTCAATACACCCTGCTGATCTTCGCAGGCCTGAAGTTTCACGAGAGGACGAAGAAGTCATACTAGAATTGCTTTGCAAGTAGGTACGCAAAGCGAAACTTCATCTTCCCACCACTTCTTCTGGAGTTTGCGCTCGAGTTTCGATGGATCTCCGTAACGGGAGTTTTCTCACCACTCAAGATCCTACGATGCCTTCTTCTTTCCTGACCACTAACAACGTCGTAGTCTTACCACACCGCTAGGTGACCATCGCAGAAACCACATCCATCCATCCAGAGGGAAGAAGAGAAGACGCAACACGAATTCCAGTAATGATAATCCCACGATGACCGAGACTGCGCCTTCTGTGCCAGATATTGGGGAGCATCTGCTCGTCGGCCTCAATAGCGTAACGCGCCATCTGGAAGCTTTAGCTGCCAATAACGCTCCTTCTACCGCATTCATTGCGAATCAAAAGCTTACCAAGGACCTGGTTCAGCTCAATCTCGCCGGGAAGGCCGGAAATGGCGCAGAGGAGAAAGAGACGCCAGAAAAACATCCCGAAGCAGCCCTCAAGCCCTTAAGCATGGTCATTCTAACTCACCCCAAACCTTCTCTATCACCCGCACACGCCCATCTTCCAACACTGATCCACCTAGCCACCCTATCTTCAACACTTGCTACACCGAAAACATTCAAGACAGTCACACGACTCGTTCCGGTCCAGACATCAGCGGATTCCCGACTCGCATCCAGCCTACACATCCCCCGTGTTGGGGCCATAGCCATCTACGAAGGCGCCCCGGGAGCTAAGACGCTGGAAGAGTACGTCCGCGAACATGTTGGGTTGACAGAGTGCAAGTGGATTGATGAGGCCATGAGCGCAGAGTGGAAGGGGCTGAACGTCAAGAATGAGATACCTGGGGCAAAGTAGACATGTTGTAAGATGGATCTCGATACCGATCGTTTTAGTGTAAATACATGTGGTTGATCGTAAAGCTTCAACAAACGCCCGCAATGCATACATTTGGAGTCCAACGACTCTTCCAGTACGAAGAGACCCGAACGAAGAAAACAATAGTACTTTGGAGTAACGTGCTCATCCAAGGAAGTTCTGCACAGCGCCACCGACGTTCTGGAGATCGAGAAGGAAAGTATCATGGCCAAACAAGCTCTTCTCTTCCCCGAGTTCAATATGCGTGACATTTTTGTTGCCAGTACGCTTGAGCGTTGTTGCTATTTCCTTCTGCTGCCACGCAGGGAACAGGATGTCGCTAGCAACACCCAAAACGAGAGTCGGAGTATTTGCGAGAGGCTTCAGGCCAGCCACGAGATCGGCTGGTGGTTCATTGCCGTCAGTCTGCGCTACAGAGTCGACATCAGCAGGCTGCTCTTTCTCCTCGTATGGTCGATCAGGCAAAGTCAAGTTGCACACATCGCTGCTCGTGTCAGACGTGATGTCGTGGCCATCCAGGTAAGCCTGCATCTTGCCACTGTTCGCCTTCCGCACCTCGTTGATGCGATTGCGGTGCTCTTGTCCTAGATCAAACAGGTCCATGGCCTTGGAGACGTAGAGCAAGCTATTCGGATCATACTCCAAACACCATTTTTCCCCCGCGTGGTCGAGGTAGGTTTCGATGAGAAAATCGGGGCAAAGCGCCGGTGGTCGCGAAGGGTCTGCCCGCCGTCGACCAAATCGTTGCTCCCATTCTGGGCCGCTTCGGTATGTGACTGTGGCAATTTCTCGTGCAAGCTTCATACCACCATGTGGAGGGATGCTGTCATAATAGAAACCGCGATTCCAGTTGGGGTCCATCATGAGCACTAGGAATAGGTTAATAACTGCGCATGATCCATGCCCCTCCTATGTACTAACCTTGACGTTGGGTGTGTCTCATAGCAATGCTGTATGGGTGACTGCGTGCACATCCACTTATGCTGACAAGACGGCCCACGCGGTCAGGAAACAGTGTCCCAGCGGCTAGACTTTGCATACCACCCATACTCGATCCTACACTCGCATACAGCTTCTGAATGCTAAGGTTGTCCAGCAGTCGGAACTGTGCGCGTACCATGTCCTCCATTGTAAGAATTGGAAATCGGGTCGCGTATCGTTCGCCGTTGGCAGGGTCGATTGAGGAAGGTCCAGTCGAGCCGTAGCATCCTCCGATTACGTTTGTGCAGATGATGAAGTATTTGTCTGTATCCAAAGGCTTTCCTGGCCCGATAAACCTCTCCCACCATCCCGGCTTTGTGTTCGTTTCTGTGCTGTGGGCATGACTAGAAGCGGATAGCCCAGTATGGAGTAGGATGGCATTACTCTTGTTCGGGCTGAGTTGCCCCCATGTCTCATATGCAATGTTGAACTCTGGCAGTATGCCGCCCCAATCGAGGAGTATGGGCTGTGTCGAATGGAAATTCAGGGTGTGTCCAGAGGTATATGAGGGTTCGGGTCCTGAAGATGCCCGCTTTCTCGAAAGAGACACAGAGCGAGCCTCTTGAGCGTCGAGGCATGGGAAGGAGAGGGCGGGGTTTGACGATTCAACTTCTCGAGCGGCGGCGGCATGTTGTGCTTTTCGTGGTGTCTGCTGGTGCAACTTTCTGGTGGCTTGGTTCGACTGCCGTCTTGCAAATAGCAGCGAAGTCTGAGCTGATCTTTTGGCGAAGCATTGTGTAGTTGTTGCGGATCGTGCTGTTCGCGTGCCTGCGAACAGGCTACGGGGAACGCTCATGGCTGTACCGGTTGCCCGCAGCACGCGCGGATCGAGGGCAGAGGTATGCGAAAGTGGAGACGAGACGGAGAGACTCCATGATGACGCGATATTCACGATGACAAACGGCTGGACCGTTGCCGGACCGTCGTGCGAAAACTTATGGAAATGCGACGATGTCGGATCCAATGACGTCGCGGGGAAATTGCGTGCTTCCCTCGCACGTTTCCCGTCCTGCCAGTCTGCTTCGGGTAAGCAAGCCGCCTCTACCCAGGCACATCCAGGGCTGGTACCTGAGAACACAACGACACCATGCTTAATATGACCTGATGAGGAAATGTATATCGAGTTCATAGTGCAATTTTGATTTCGCGCAGCCTCCTGCGCATCTCAACCCTGAAACTCTGCCTCAACCCAACCAGATGATCTCTGCTCAAAGAATGCTGGAGCTTCTACACCACTGGCACTCTATCACTGCCTCGCCGACATGGTGCCTATATTTGGGGTGTTCATCAATGTCTGCAGTACTTTTGCCGCACAGAGCTTGGAGAACACAAGAAATGTGCTAGCATGTCACCCGAGATCCCCGAGAACATGTAGCCTGACAATGCGTTATCATCTAGAGATGCATACCATACATCATCGAACATGACATAGCTTCAAGAGTAGAGGTGATAGTTTGGCTCATCCGACCGAACCTTGGAAGAGGTACCAAAGTAAGGTGTTTGAGAGCTGGAAACATCATGGCGAACTTAGGGCGATCGATCGAGCCTTTACGACGGGAACCGTGCACACCCTCTAATGTGTTCAGACTGTGCTAGCTAAGCATTGAGCAAAAAGGAGGTGCAAGCCGTGACCGCCATGACATGTGAGTTCTTGAGTCTGAACAAGGGTCTCTTGTGATTATGAAATCCTGCTCGTGACCGTCGTGACTTTAAGCGCCGTGCAAATGGGTGCTCAGGTGGTGTTGCACTACGCCTGAGGCGTACAACGGTGCAATTCTCTGGGTGACAGGTGACGGCAGCTGGACATCGATTATCAGACAGCTAGACGGCTCGGTACTACGGAGTACTCGAGGAATTGGGTCTCAACCATTTGTTTTGCGCTTGTTGGAGTCGAGGGAACCATGGCGGTTTGGCGTTCGCAGAGACAACACAATGCATGAAACATGGCCTGCACCTGACCCCCTGGGGCGTTTGACGACGGGCGTCTAATTATGGCCTGCACTCAAGATGCTGCACAGGAGATTTTACAGGCAAACTAGGCTCAGTCGTCTCAAGTGCATATGCAGGGATGGTGATGTGAAGCTTGGAAATGGACGTCTGAGGTTCCAGGGCTGAGTGATGTCTTGGCCGGCCGCCGGCGTCACCCAGTCGCGCCTACCCACTCGAAACCTCCGCAGACCTCCTTCCCTTTCTCCAAGTGCGATCCTCTCCGTAGTTGCGCCCTGTTGGACGACGTATACACCCGCCTGAATCCCCCGTCGCTTTCTCCCCTGCTGCTACACAGAGGGCGCCGTGCCATACAGGGAACGCCATACCGCATCCGAACTCTGCAGGACCTCCGTCATGGACTCGTCCGACTACTTCACACCCGTCCGGGAAGACCGAGATGCTCCAGGGCCGCAGACTGAAGACTCGGATACCGACATGGCCGCCTCTGCCACCGCTACAGCCTCCTCTTCGCGCTCCACCATGTACACATCACCACACCCGCGCAAGCCCGGCCGCATGTCTCGATCGGGGGCACCACGGCCCATAATCACACCTCAGAGTCCCTTGAGTTCGACCATACCGCACAATCTCCTTCCCTCGGCGCCTGCTTCACCGCCTACACCGGCGCCCAGTCCTACGCCGACCCAGCGAGTGCCCGACTGGAGCACCGCAGCCGAACACGAAGATGGCGACATCAAGAGCATACGAGCGCAGTTTGGCGATATGAACAGGGCGGAGCGGATGCGATTGCTGGGAGAGCTGCTGAATTTATGCGACAGTCAGGAGTTGAGCTTCGTGGCCGAGTTTGTCAGCCCCAGGTTAAAAAAGGACCCCTTCATGGTCCTTCCCACCGAACTATGCTTAAGGGTGGGTTCCGTACCGAAAACTTCTATCGCCGAGATCGCTGACACATCGTACAGATTCTAGAATGCGTCGACGACCCCACCACCCTCGCTCGGGCGTCGCAAGTGTCCAAGAAGTGGCGCGAACTCGTCAACGATGACAGTGCCTGGCGGTTGCTGTGCCAGAAGTACTCCTTCAGGGCTCTGTCGAGAGAAGAGAGGATCGAGGAGGATGACGCAAACGATGAGATGGAGGATACCGACGCAAAATCATGGTGGCAGAACGACGAGCGCGCACCCAGGATAGAAGACGTTACCGAGAGAGAACACGTCGAAGTTGGCCCATCATCAACTGGCGGCGCTGAGGGTCTCCGGACGCAGAGCCTCGATCGAGCCGCTAAGAGGAAGCCATCCCAGCGGAAACAGCAGGCTACCACATACCGATCGCATTTCAAGCAGCGATACATGGTTGAGACGGCATGGCGGAATGGAGGAGTATGCGACGCGCGGCAGATTACCCCAGATCAGGGTGTAGTAACCAGTCTGCATCTGACGAACAAGTACATTGTGGTTGCGCTCGACAATGCGAAGATACATGTTTTCGACACAGTAGGTGATCACCAGAAGACGCTCCAGGGACACGTCATGGGCGTATGGGCCATGGTGCCTTGGGGTGATCTTCTGGTCAGCGGTGGATGCGATCGCGACGTGCGCGTGTGGAATCTTGCGACTGGGTACGATTTTTCTACACACTACGCGATCATCATAGCTAACAGATATTGCTAGGTTTCCCCAGTTTACCCTCCGCGGCCACACCTCGACAGTCCGATGTCTGAAGATGTCCGATGCGAACACGGCTATATCTGGGTCAAGGGATACCACACTTCGCATCTGGGACCTCAAGAAGGGTCTATGCAAGCATGTGCTCATTGGTCACCAGGCTAGCGTCCGATGCCTCGAAATACACGGCGATATCGTTGTGTCTGGCAGCTACGACACCACAGCGAAGATCTGGAGCATATCCGAGGGCAAGTGTCTGCGCACACTCACTGGTCACTTTAGTCAGATCTATGCGATCGCCTTCGACGGAAAGAAGATTGCGACAGGTAGTTTGGACACCAGCGTCCGGATATGGGATCCCAACGATGGGTAAGTCCGATTGCGTACCACAATATTATCGAAAACTAACTCTCTCGTGTAGCAAATGCCTGGCTGTGCTACAAGGCCACACCTCGCTCGTCGGACAACTTCAAATGCGTGACGATATCCTTGTTACTGGTGGATCAGACGGCTCGGTCCGCGTGTGGAGCCTCGCAACATATCAGGCTATTCACCGATTAGCTGCCCATGACAACAGCGTTACGAGTCTACAGTTTGACAACACCAGGATAGTCAGCGGTGGCAGCGATGGTCGCGTCAAGGTCTGGGATCTCAAGACTGGTGTTCCCGTACGAGAGTTGAGTAGCCCTGCCGAGGCTGTCTGGAGAGTCGTATTCGAGGAAGAAAAGGCTGTTATCATGGCCAGCCGGGGCGGTCGCACCATTATGGAGGTAAGTTAATTGCGCACAATCACACCAGAATGACATGCTAACGTGGTTAGGTGTGGGACTTCTCACCACCTGCCGAAGAGGATTTCGACTCGCGATCCTCCACCCCAGCGAGCATGCCCGATCATCTGGACGTCGAATACAACCGACCGCGATCAGCCATCCTTCCTGCAACATCGCCACTGGTTCAAGATACTGGTGCAGGTGACGTGACCATGGCCGATGCAAGCGATTCATAAGGATACGACCAGCTATGGTGGAGCACGACTAGTGCAGTAAAGGCTTTCATGTGCCATTCTGGCCTTCAGATACCACAGCCATGACGACGCTGTGACTGAGTGCGATCGTATTGGAAAATGCCGCGAGAGTCGCATAGGCTGCACTCTACGAGTCGCAATTTGCCCAGTCGACTACCCACAGCCGAGACGAACGGTAACTATGGGCTCATTATATGCCCACTGGCGGTCACCGATATAGCACTCGACCGACAGATTTTGTTGTTCGATTATACCCCATGAAAGCTTACGCACACGAGAGGGCAGATATGTTGCGTAATGTGGAAGCAAAACGAGAGGAAGATCGATGACCGACTTGCATATAGGGCGTCTTGATGCATCCATGGCCCATGTTCGGCATGTAATCGAGGGTGCTTGGATCTTATTTGAATTCTTTGAAAATGTATGCATGAAACAGGAGCGTGGGCCTTCGAATGACTTGGGTTAGGAAATAGGTAGTGGAGTTCAGTGTGAATAGATTTATCAATACTCCTCAAATATGACCAACGCGTGCCAAGAGCCTTGCAATTTCCAAATGCTATCGTGTTAGTTAAGTTCGAGATCTACTTAATGTTCGAGTTGTATGGCGATGCTCTTATCGGTATTCTACTATGACTACTCATGTTGAAGCAAAAACCTTTTGTAGCTCTCATATGACATTCGTAAATTGGAGAGACATTTTCCATACGAGACTTCTTCAAGACTTCCCAAAGTGCTTGTTGTTGAATTGATCAACAATCTCCCTCGCCGCCTTCACAATCTCCACAGCTCCAGGTGAATCAGAATGACAACACAACGAGACCTCGTGGTCGCCTATGGGGAGTTTCACCTCCTCACCCGTAACGGCGGTAACAGTCGCATTCTCGACTTGACCTTGAACGTGTTTCCTCGTCTCGTCTGGATGCCACGGCCTGTATGCGGTGAGCATGTTAGCGTGAATGTAGTTGTTGACATAACGTACTTCTTCTTCCGATCAATGACCAACGTTCCATCTTTGCTATACTTGACATCTCCATACAACTCGGCGACGAACGGCAATCCAAGCTCCTTCGCGACCTCCTCATGCAAGGTACCCGCAAGACCAAACACAGTTGTCCCTTTGGGTACTCCGGCATAAACTGCTCGACACACCTCTTTATCCCGATACATCATCCCGTACAACACGCCGTGTGGTTTCACGTGGTGTAGTGGTACGTCTTCTGCATCTAAGAATGCTTTCAGGGCGCCGACTTGATAGCGAATAGCCGCTGTCAGTTCTTCAGGCGACATCTTGATCTCTCGTCGACCAAACCCTTGAATATCGGGCAGGCCAGGATGGGCGCCGATGGCTATGTTGTGCTTTTTGCATGCGAGCACCGTTTGATGCATGATCAATGGATCCCTGATGCATTGTTAGACTGAGTCGATGGTATGACCATAGGTTTTTGCCTTACCCGGCGTGGAAACCACATGCTATGTTCGCGTGGTCAATGAGTGGAATCAACTCATCGTCTGGACCACATTTGAAGTTTCCGTAGCCTTCTCCTAGATCTACATTGATCTTTACGGCATGTTTGATAGCTGGCATTGTGGAAAACTCTTTCTGTGAAAACGCGTCGGCAAATGGGCGCGATATACTACGGTCGAGATGTGAGATACCTTGTGCTGTTCCTAGAGTATGCCCAGGCAGGCGTGATCAAATGCGCATCCAATAGTAACGGCACGGTTGGAGTAGTTGGAGTAACCTTCTCGGATCGGAGGTCACACTCTCAAGCTACTCGGCGAATTTACACAGCCATTCGACCTGTCTATCAACTCCCCACTCCCCCAATAGTTATTAAACGCACTTCACGCGCGGCGTCATGCCCTAATGCTTGTTATCGAAGTCGACCCCGCCTCTCGAAGCTCCGCGGTGACGTCTTCAGACTCGGGGACACTTCGGCAGGAGTGGTGTATGCCGAATCACCAATTACAACGCCTTCGCTCCAACGGGTGGAGGTAGGATATCGGCGCGAAAGGGGAATGGCGGAAAGTACAGAAAGTGTGGGGTCATGATACGCTACTGCATTGCCTCCAACGACGAGCTTCATAGAGGTCGCATGCTCGTGAGAGTGTTGGATGAGATAGTTGCGTTGAAAATACTTCGATCCAATGTCTAATATTGAGAAACTACGAGTGCTATTGATTGCGAATCGTGGGGAGATTGCGGTACGTAGATTGCGCCGCGGAGTGATTCCGTTATCGATAACTGACATCACCTGCACGGACAGGTGCGCATAATCAGGACTGCAAGGAAACTCGGTATCAAGAGCATCGCCATCTATTCAGAAGCTGATGCTGCATCGCAACACGTGCGTGATGCCGATGAAGCCATCCTCTTGCCTGGTAGCAATGCGACTGCGTATACGGACGAAGAAGCTGTTCTGCGGATAGCTAAGGAAAAGGGGGTAGATGCTATCATTCCAGGTTACGGGTTCCTTTCGGAGAATGCGCCCTTTGCGAGACGAGTGGGTGATGCAGGTATCGTATTCGCAGGGCCGTCTCCAGAGGCTATCGAGGCTTTTGGCGTCAAGCACACCGCCCGAGACCTTGCGGAAAAGGCCAATGTTCCCATCGTACCTGGAACTAAAGGCCTGGTAGAGAACGAGGAAGCCGCCGTAAAGGAAAGCGAGCGCATCGGTTTTCCCGTCATGTTGAAGGCGACTGGTGGTGGTGGCGGTATGGGACTCATCACCTGTAACAAGGTTGAAGAGGTGCGCGAGGGGTTTCGGATGGTGCAATCAAGAGGAAAGACCCTTTTCAAAAATCCCGGAGTGTTCATCGAAGCCTTCTACCCTGCTAGCCATCATATTGAGGTCCAAGTATTCGGCAATGGCCAAGGTAAAGCAATTCACTTTGGCGAACGCGAATGCTCCATTCAAAGACGACATCAGAAAGTCATCGAAGAGTGTCCAAGTCCGTTTGTGGAACGGCAGCCAGAGCTGCGAAAGAAGTTGGGGGACGCCGCAGTACGCCTAGCTGAATCGATCAAATATGGTTCTGCAGGCACCATCGAATATCTCGTAGACGATAAATCCGGCGATTTCTTCTTTCTAGAGATGAACACGCGACTCCAAGTCGAGCACGGCATTACAGAACTCTGCTACAATGTGGATCTGGTAGAGCTTATGCTAAAGCAAGCAGATGCACAGTTGGCGGGCAAGCATGGGCTCGATGACGAGACCTTGAAGCATATGCAGCCATCAGGTCCAACAGGTTCGGCTATCGAAGCTCGAGTCTACGCTGAGAACCCGCTAAGGGACTACGCACCATCTCCCGGACTGCTGCAGAAAGTGGCATGGAAGGATGTTCCTGGAACTCGCATTGATACCTGGGTTTTCACAGGTAAGTTGTGCCTGTACGAAATGCATGTGAGACATACACTGACTTCGTATCTTTACCTTTGCAGGAGTTCGTATCACTCCCAATTACGGTATGGCGCTCTATTCTTCTTTACATTTGTGATACACGGATCTCATCATGAGATCTGAGCCTGGATGGAGTTCGTCAATCATGTGCTAACAAACCCTAGATCCTTTGATAGCGAAAGCAATGGTTCACTCCCAATCCAGAGACGGGGCTATCGCGTCGATGAGGGAGCTTCTTACACAATCTACTATAAGCGGTCCACCTACAAACCTCGAATTTCTCGCCAGCATACTGGACGATTCGCATTTCAAAGAGGGCAACACTATGACCAGCTTTCTGGAAAGCTTCAACTATACGCCTCATGCTATCGATGTCATCTCAGCTGGCGCATATACCTTGATCCAGGATCTTCCTGGGAGGCCGACAGTCGGTAAAGGTGTGCCTCACTCTGGGCCAATGGACCCAATATCGTTTCAGATTGCGAACATGCTTGTTGGGAATCCACGATCGAAGGAATCTCTAGAAATCACGTTAAGTGGACCAGAACTGAAGTTTGTTGGTCCTGCTATCGTAGCTTTGTGCGGCGCTCCCATAGAGGCAACACTTGACGACAAGGAGTTTCCCTTGTGGGAGAGCGTGAAAATTGAGGCTGGTCAAAAGCTCAAAATCGGAAAAACAACAGGTGGAGGTTGCCGCTCCTACCTAGCCATCTACGGAGGCTTTCCGTCAGTTGCAGAGTACTTTGGCTCAAAGTCAACGTCGCCGCTTGTGGCGATTGGAGGCTACCAAGGCCGTGCACTTGCCCCCGGTGATTTACTACAGATAATGAACAAGCTTCCAGAAGACTTCACAAGTACTTCGCTTCCGGAAGAGCTGCGACCGGTCTATAAGACAAACTGGGAGATTACGGCTATGGTCGGACCCCATGACGAAGGCTACTTCGACCCGAAGTTTATCGAGGAGATATACAACACTGAGTGGAAGGTATCTCACAATGCATCGCGGAGTGGAATTAGACTGGTCGGGCCGGTACCGAAGTGGGCCCGTAAGGATGGCGGCGAAGGTGGCGCACACCCCAGCAATCTAGTAGAATACGGATATCCATTGGGTACCTTGAACTGGACAGGGGATGACCCATGTATCTTTCCAGTAGACTGCCCAAACTTTGGCGGTTTTACCAGCAGCACGACGGTCGTCAAGGCAGACTGGTGGAAATTAGGACAGCTCAAAGCAGGCAACACCGTGAAATATATCCGAGTCGGACTGGAGGATGCACTGAAGAAGAGAAAGAGAAACGATAATTTCCTCGACTCGATTGAGCAAGCCATCAAGAGCGAAGACGGATTCGACAGCATCGAGAAATTACAAGGCGCACATTGCAATTTTCACGAGGGCGATATGGGAAAGGCAGTTGTGTGGGAGAGGGAGGGTAACGCGAGTACTCCACAGGTTCGGTATCGTCAGGGAGGTGATGACCATATTCTGGTCGAATATGGTAATGAGGAGTTCAATCTCAATCACCGCTGCCGTGTCACTGCCTTGGAGAACGCATTGCATTCAGAATCAACTCCAGACATCATCAAAGTCAACCTTTACAACACCGTTGGATGCTGTACCACGCTGCTCCTTCACTACAACGGCTCTAAACTCCCTCGTTCGGTCCTCGTCGCACATCTCCAGTCTATCGAGTCAAATCTCGGTGATTTGAGGAACACAAAAGTCCCTACGCGCGTATTCAAGCTACCCCTCTCATTCGAATCGAAACTCCAAGACGAAGCAACTCAACGCTACATGACGAACCAGCGACCACATGCCCCCTACCTGCCCGACAACCTGAGTTTTGTAGCAAAGAATAACGCATTTACACCACAACAACTCAAAGAAATATATCTTACTGGCCAGTTCATGGCAGTTGTTGTGGGCTTCTTCTGTGGCAACACCGTCTCACTTCCTGTAGACCCACGTCAGCGCATTTCGGCCCCTAAGATGAATCCGAGTCGCGTTTTCACACCAGAGGGTACTCTAGGTTGGGCAGGTAGTTGCATGTCCATTTACCCTGTTGATTCTCCAGGCGGATATCAAATGATCGGTCGAACAGTCCCCTGTTGGGATTATTACTCCTACAAACCTGGTTTCGGTAATAAGCCATGGATTTTCCGTGACTTCGACATCCTTACTTTTTACCAGGTCAGCGAACAGGAACTCGATGATATTTTTGCCAAATTCCGTGCGGGTAAATATGAATGGGAGTTTGATGAGATGGAGTTTGACATGGCACAGCACAATCAGCTTCTAGAGACGACGAACGACGAAGTGGGGGAGATCAGAAAGAAGCAAGCTGTTGCGCAAGACGAAATGACGAAAGCCGAGAACGAGAGCTTGGAACGTTGGAGGAAAGAGAAAGCTGAGAGTCAAGTTGATGAAGGAACAGTGGAAAAGCTGCTGGACGATCCTGCGATTGTGGGGGTCGAAGCGCCAGTCGATGCGAATGTATGGAAGGTAGAGGTCAGTGAGGGGGACGAGGTTGGTGACGAGAATGTGGTGAGTTTAGATAGGGGATTGTTCATTTGGCGATGCTAACATGATGCAGATCGTTATCCTTGAGGCGATGAAGCTAGAGATTGCGGTCAAGACGCCAGATTCGGTGACGAAGGCTGGAAAACTAAAGGTCGAGAAGATTTTGGTGAAGCCGGGTGATACCGTGACAGCCGGAGGCCACCTGGCATTGCTGCGCAAGAGCTAGCTGGGGAACAGGTCTTAATCAATCACCATCTGCACATGTCTGATTTACTGTGTGATGATGTTGCGTACACTATGTTCATGTGTATACAAGCTGAGGTATAGCCAATGTCTCATTCTATATTCACGAATCTGCGCTTCTATCAAACTATTGTTGTCTTCAAACCAGCTAAAATTCCAGTTCCTCCATGTTGAGACGGGTACCGCAGCTAAGTTCCTTAGCCGGCTTCATATCTGCCCTGCCCCAATCATAGATAACCCCGCGTTCCACGAACGACTTCTTGTCCCAGACAATCTGCTCCATTACCTTCGGAACGCCAACATCCAAGATAGGACCACTAGTCGTCATCATGCCTTCGCCCTTATCCATGAAGCGCATATACTCGTCAAGCAAGAGGTAGCTACTAGCCATGGAGTTATTGTCCTCAGGTAGGTAGCACGGAAGGTGCTTGTGTCGATCACAGAAGGTTTTCCATTGTTCCTCAGTAACCAGAAACTTCCTTGAGTCACGCTTCCAGGTTTCGTTATCATTCTCACCTGCAACAATGAGGCACTGGAAGGTCTTCCATCGGAATGGCGCTAGCTTCTCGATGTTGGCGATCATATCTTCGTCCCAATTGTAGATATTGACTACAGTGTTGAGCTTGAACTTGACGTTGTACGTCTCGCATCACCACGCGATTCGACATAGCTGGTCTGCGTTTTTCCCGTCGTCACCGCGCCCAATTTTGACGTTTGTCCGAGCATTAAAAGAGTCACAGGAGATAGCCAGGATATCCAACCACTGGGAGTTCTCCTGCATCCACTTCTCGGTGACCTTGCTACCGTTACTGACGATACTGATGCTTCGACACCCAAATTCTCTTTGCAGTAGCGAATCAGACTCGAGAGAAATTTGGGGTGGAGGAATAGTTCTCCGCTGGCGATGTTGAGCTTGCGCATACCGGCTTCTTTCAGAAGTTTCAGGCCTTTAGGAGCCTTGTCGTGCGTTAGAATGTATGAGCTGGTCTCAGTGTGGAAACAGAAGCCACATTTGTAATTGAATTCCTGAGATGGGAAGTAGTTGGCCGAGACAGGAGTATCTGGTGGCTTAGATGGGTGTGATGCTTCTTGTGCCTCGAAGACCGGACTTTCAGCAGGAACTTCGTGGACGGCAGTTTCATGAGGGAAGTTCTTGACTGGCTTTGAGGCAGACTGTTTGTGGACAATGTAGGCGCATGTTGTAAGAACTACAACGACGAAGAACCGAAGAGCAGGGACTTCTGACGGTAGTGATAGCAGAACCATGACTGATGAATGTCTTGAGAAGCCTACAAGATCGACACCAAGCGCTATATGATAGCCGAGCTCTTCAAAAAAAACGGAAGAACCGGACGGTGCAGGATGTACTGTTGGTAGTGATTAGGTGTGATATAAGTAACAAGAAATTGTGGACATGTTGACAGCGACAAATCGCTTTCGTGCTTGCTCGCAACAACTTCTTTAACATACAAAGCGAGGGCGCTTGCCACAAACGGCAATCAGGACGAACCAACAGCGGAACAGCATGAAAGCGATAATATTAGTCCCTTCTTCATGCTTTCGAGCGTGCCGTCCCGCGATCTTCATCTTGCATGTGGTCTACAGGATGTGTCACATGATGCTAAGGATGGCGCATGCGGGGTATACATGGGCCTTATTCTACCTTAACTTAGCTCGGTAGACCTAATACATACGACTATCCTCATCCGCACCCTACAGGTTGTCTCAGCGTCGTAGTTGTTAGTCAGTATCATGAATCCATCCAAGCTCCACAGCTTTGCTATCATCTTTGTCCTAGGTATACCCCCGACGTCACTGATTTCAACTTCTTAGCTAGATAGTGACCCTTGACTAGGTGCGCCTGGCGCGGGGAAAGGTAGTCTCTGCGCGTACCTAGCTCAAAATTGCAATCTGGTACACTACTCGGTCAGTGATGATCTTCGCAGCTGGATGCGTGAGAACAGCAACAGTCCACTGGCTGTCAAGATCCAGGACAAACTCGACAATCAAGGCTTTCTTACGTCTGAAGACTTGAACCCGTTTATAGGTCGGGCCATTGAAGATGCATTAGCTAAGAAGCCTGTCCAAACGCTAAAGCACTAAGGTCGACGTGAATAGGTCAAAGGAGGAGAGCATCACGGAAATGACGAAGAGCCTTAGCGAAAACGGACTTTGGCAGAAGGTAATGGTCAAAAGACTTGGGGATACGTACTTTCTCGGTACATCACTCCATGATGACCTATGAAGGGCGAGCCATTCATGATTTCCGTAACCCATGAGCTCCAAGCAGAAAAGGAGAGCCTTCAAAGGAGAACTATGGCGAGAACGAGAAAGCCAGTCCGTGACTTTTGACAGGATAACATGGTGAGTAAATGAAGTCAACGAGATCGCGCTTAGCTCAACGTGGTATTTGCCAGTTTGGAAAATTTTCGTTTGTTGTAAGGCGGATCTCAAAAATATCACAAGACGGCACAGATTACCACTGCGATGCTAGATGCAGCGATTCGGAGGATTTAACAAGTATTACAAGCGTGAAAACAGTACATTCGTACAACTACTAAAGTATATATATATATATAAATCCGTCAGACCAATACCAGTCGTCAAGCGTCTTCGAAAGGCGAAGTTCGTTACAGGTGTATCAACTTTCCATCATTGCTGACTTTTTATCTAAAGCTACAAGAAGCTGTCAGCAGGTGTGACCAAAGCAAGCAACTACTACCCAATGATCTAGACTAGACTGACTTGACCACAGGAGCAACGTTGACATCAGGCAGCTTGACGAGCGGGCCGTTGATGTTGGGGAGCTCGGTTTCGGGACTTACGTTGAAGTCGTTGTTGTTGCCGGCAGAGTTGCCAGAGCCGGCAGAGTTTCCGTTTCCGTTTCCGTTACCGGCTTGGTTGTTGTTCTACATCGATGTTAGCATGAGAGTGCAGATGACAATATGTTGGAGGAAAGCTTACGCCATTGCCCTGACCGTTGCCGTTGCCGTTGTTGAGAAGCGAGTTACCGCTGCCAGCAGTGGCACCAGTGACGGAGCCTGCGGTGGTGGAGACGGAGCCAACAAGACCGTTGACGGCGCCGGTGACGCCGCCGAGGACCTCGCGCCTCAAGACATTGTTGGTGCCTACGAGACCTCCGACAGCACCAGTGACAGGCTTGACAGTGTCGGTGGTCGAGCCAGTGTTTCCCTTAGCAGAGTTAACAGTAGTGCCAACAGTGCTAACAACACCGTTAAGGGTGCCAGTGACACCAGGGATGAGAGTGCCTGCGCGCTTCATGACACCATCAACGCCGACGAGACCTCCAACAGCACCAGTGACAGGCTTGACAGTGTCGGTGGTCGAGCCAGTGTTTCCCTTGGCAGAGTTAACAGTAGTGCCAACAGTGCTAACAACACCGTTAAGGGTGTCAGTGACACCAGGGAGGAGAGTGCCCGCGCGCTTCATGACACCATCAACGCCGACGAGATCTCCAACAGCACCAGTGACAGGCTTGACAGTGTCGGTGGTCGAGCCAGTGTTTCCCTTGGCAGAGTTAACAGTAGTGCCAACAGTGCTAACAACACCGTTAAGGGTGTCAGTGACACCAGGGAGGAGGGTACCCGCGCGCTTCAAGAGGCCTCCAGTGACGGGCTTAACCGTATCAGTGACGCCGGAAGTGGCATCACCGGTCTGGAGGGCGCCAGTGACCTGGCCGAGGAGAGAGAGGAGCTGGGTCTGGCTCAGCTTGCTGAGGTCAAGACTGTCGGTAAGACCACGGTTGAGAAGACCCTTAGTGAGGGAGTCGGTGGTAGGGCCGACGGTGACGCCGTTGAGCAGACCGCCCTGGCCGTCAAGGACGCCATCGACGATAGGTCCGGCAACCTGGACGCCCTCGACGGTGCCAACAAGACCACGCTTGGCATTTCCTAGGATGCCACCGAGAGGCTTGAGGTTGAAGGTGTTGCCGTTACCAGCAGCGTTGCCGGTACCAGCCTGGTTGTTGTTACCGTTGGCATTGCCAGCAGAGTTTCCATTGCCGTTGTTCTGGCCGTTGTTGTTGCCGTTGCCAGAGATCAAGTTGTCACTGCCAGCGCTGGGGTTGGTGACAGAGCCGACAGTGCTGGTAAGACCACCAACGAGGCCAGAGACAGCAGCAACCTGGGGAGTAGGGGCTGCGAGAACCGAGGCGGAGAGCGCAAAGACGGATACGGCGATTGTGGAACGCATTTTGATGGTTTTGTTGATAGTCGACAAGGAAGGACGAGTATTAGAAGTCTAAAGCGAAGTGAGCGACTGGCAAAGAACGAAAGTGAATGTGATGAGTTGGATGATGACTGTTTGGTGGTCTACAGAGTGGTTTATATGTCTACCCAGATGCTCACCACTTTGATACACCGATTCAGTTTGTCCAGCCGATCGACAATCTACTGTACGCTAAAGCCTCAGGCAAGCTGCAGCCGTCGTTGTAGGGCCAGGCATTCTACACCAGGCTACACCATAGTGCGAACGCTGGGACTACAGCTTGTCTAGTCATGTCATGCCGCACGCATTGTCGATCTTCATACATCTGCTGGCCGATGTTGCCGTTCCCAATGAGGCTCTGGCACGTCGACCACTATGAAAGCTTATTGGTCGTCGTGAGGAGTAAGATTGGATGTTCTGGGGTATAATCCACACGTACTAGGGTAAAGGGGACTTATGGCCTCATCTTTAGCGCGTATCTAAGGGTGGATCCCGGTCGTCGAGCTTCCGGATCGCTGCTTGGGATGTTCGAGTAAGTTGTGTTGCGCCACAGATGTCGATGTGCCTATTAGCTTTGGTGGGGGATTTGATGTTGGGTTGGGGAATTGGCCCCGCGGGCGATATTGCGAAGGGTCGTCGTGACAGTGCGTGAGTTTCTGTCACCCTGAGCACTCATCTCGTGGAGCATGCATGGCAGGTACGGCATCCTAAGGCTTGCTGTTCCACGTGTTGCCCCAATGGATCCCTTGGGGTGCTTCACGTCTGCGTTGCAAGGCTGCTCCCCTGACGATCTACGTCTCTCGGGAGATGTGCACCCCAAGGCGTCGATCTTGCGTTTTCGGAAAAATGCTTCAACACCATCGGCAGTTTTTGTCTAGCGCGTCGAAGGCCCAAGCAGACTCAGACTTCGTGATGTACGCTGCTAACGAGATAGGGGAGATCTGCCACACTAACGCACATCTAGCGCAGGACGCTATGGCAGATGCCTTGGTGGAGCGCAATACAGTTCGCCGATATGCCACTCTGCGGTTTTCCGGTCTTCGATGCGAGCGCAACTCCATGTCGTCCAAGCAAAGTGTTGATGGCCTTTTCGTCGCTACTTCTTGTTGCCGGCAAGATCTCGCCTTTTTCTCCCGGACTTCAGCCTGTATTATCGTCGATCTTGCTATCCAGACTCAAGCAGCGCAGCGACCTTGCTGTCCACTACGAACACCTGACCATCTAGCAAACACTCCAAAACACCGGGTCAGGGGTGCAACAAGCTATGCTGCACGGAAACCATGCTCCCGGGAGTTGCGCATACAGATCACAGTACTCGCCCTGCATCGCCATCCAAATGATTTGCGCGACTCCTTTGCACCTCTTTAGAGTTGCGGAATTTGCCATGGTGAAGTTGAGGCTGTAATGCTGCAGGTGCAGCGACGTGATGAAACACCCCAGGTGCTGTCTCCAGCCGCAACACGGTCAGTGCTTCCACGTGCGACCCCTCAGCAACTTCCTCAGAGTTTCTCAAAACCCACCGAGATGACGGTGCGGAACTCAATCTACACCATGTACGCAGAAAAAGACAAAGGGATTAGGGATGAGATGTGCCGAGAGTCACCGGAAGATTCTCCCGCATGTTCTATTGCTTTTCATCTCGGAGTTTTTCCTTGGTCTCTTCTTTGCTTCTCATATCGATCAAGGCCCAGGCGCTCTGGGACGTTAACAGCCCTGTCATGTTCAGCCATCAGCTCTGTGCACCAACTATTTTCTCAATGCATCTTGAATAGTGTCAAGACGGCTCATGGCATGCACCTTTGTCTTCGATCGTAAACAAATCTTCTCCGATATTGTGTGGACATCCTCTATGGACGCTCGTTGGGTGGTGAGGGCTGGTGTAACAAGCTGGTCAATGAGACGCTGCATACTGTATAGCTTATTGGATACCTCACATTGAACAGGTGATAAATAGATACATAGCAGCGGCGTTCACAATGGTTGCACACCTAACTTCATAACCTTGGTGATTACTCGATTAACCTTAGTTCTATCTCTATGTGCTTGTCAGCGTCTCATATCTTCATGGAAGAATCTGTGTGCCGTATCTCTGCAAATTAGAGTCCTTGAAGACTTGCAAGGTCCCGTCCAGTTCGACTCGTCATTAGACCAACTTGCCGCTGTCCAAATAATGCGACCAGCATGGGTGAGGGCATTGGACACTGGCAATGCGGCCTATATTATCTCGTCATTTGTTTCCATGCAATCGTTATGTGGGAACGACGGATTCCGTCATGTAGCCCTCTTTACAACAGCTAAGATGTGTTCGGTTGTCCGGCATTCGATGAGAAACAGAATTTCTTCTAGCATAGTAGAAGCACGTAGAACTCCTTGGTCCATTTTCGTCCTTGAAGGATCAAGCGTTGATGTTGCTGTGTCCCCTATGTCCTTGCATCATTTCTGAAGAGTATCAAGCACTTGAGACATAATTCTAGATGCGTATTCTTGGTCTCCTCTACAGCACAATGTCGGCTTGGCCCACAAACACAACCAGAGGCTTTTCATATCAATCAAGCAGTTTCTACCTTCCGTGAATTACCGTCAAAGCAGCGCATCCATCCTTGTGGTTCTTGGCTTCCCAAACGCAACATCATCACTCACTGTGGTGACGCCAGACCTCAGCTTTCAAGTATACAGGTCCGCAATCCAGCATCTGCTCGGTCAGATTCCCTGCACCCTCACTCCTACCAACATGACTAAACCGGACTCATACATCACTACCATCATCTATCTGCTCAGCTGAGATGAAAAGGATTTGTATCCCCCACGACCGCCTCCTCATACTAATCGCCCCACTATGTACCAAGATCTCCAACATCAGCGACCCCACTCGGAGCAAAACAGGCGCATTCAGCGTTCACAAGCTGGATCATGCTTCATACCCTACCTTCAGTGAGGTAGACTGTCGCGAAATAGCGCCCAATGATATATATCCACACTATCATTTCACGGACGTAGTCTTTATGGTGGGACGATATGACAAATGCTGTGGGAAGATGATAGTAAATGTGTTTGTTAAAGATTTGGTCCCATCCTGGCTTGTTTGTGCACGGCATGGTACAAGGGTAGATCTTCGTTGGCTATGATGGATATATTATCGAAGAACCTGGTGAGGTGAACGCAGCTGTTCTTGCTAGACCTGGATTGACTGTAGGGAGTTCCCTGAGGCGGTAAGCAGGGAGATGCAAGATTCCAGCGGAGAAGCGCAGTTCCTATTGTGGTACATGATGAAAGAGGTGAACGGGAGAGTACTAGTAGGATCTTGAAACCAGGATGTCGCCGAGTTACCGCTAACGAATGACCATGCTCGTGGCATCGCAGCGATGACAGTCTGATTGAACCAGAACGAACAAGGAAGTCACTAAAGATCAAATGTACAATTATCGTCTGCCTGAACTCCAAACGAAACTTTTCCAACCCCGAGTGTATACATATACATGCAGACATAAACGACGTAAAATCATAAAGATTACTCTGAGTCAGTAACGCAGCCCTGGCTAGCGTCCTTGACAAACCGCGCGTACTTGAAAAGCGTACCCTTCTGATACTTCAGTGCGGGCGCAGTCCACTTCTTCCTCCTCTCTGCTAGTTCTTGCTCGCTAACAGCAATGTTCAGCTCATTCGACTCGGAGTCAATGGTGATCTCATCACCGTCCTGGACCAAGCCGATGGGGCCACCTTCTTGCGCCTCGGGCACGATGTGACCGATCAAGAATCCGTGACTGCCGCCACTGAAGCGGCCGTCTGTGATGAGCGCGACATCCTTGCCGAGACCGGCGCCCATGATGGCAGAGCTGGGCTTCAGCATCTCAGGCATACCGGGGCCGCCCTTGGGGCCTTCGTACCGGATGACAACAACGGTCTTCTCGCCCTTCTTGATTTCACCCCGCTCGAGAGCAGAGATGAAGTCGTCCTCGGCATCGTAACACTTGGCTTTACCAGTAAATATGGTACCCTCCTTACCAGTAATCTTGCCAACACAGCCACCGGGAGCAAGGGATCCTCTCAGGATTTGCAAATGACCGGTAGACTTCAGGGGCTCGCTGAGCGGTCGGATGATCTTCTGCTCAGCGGGGAAATCTCTAACGTTCTCCAGGTTCTCTTTCAGCGTCTTGCCAGTCACAGTCATCTGGCTACCGTCAAGGAGACCTTCCTTGAGCAGGAATTTGAGGAGCGAAGGTGTGCCACCAATGTCGTGGATATCGGCCATGACGTACTTGCCGGACGGCTTCAGGTCTGCCAGGAGCGGAATGCGGTTGCTGACGCTCTGGAAGTCATCAATGGTGAGCTTGAGGCCAACCGAGTCTGCAATCGCGATCAAGTGAAGAACAGCGTTGGTCGAACCACCCGTGATGCTGATGACAACCATGGCGTTCTCGAACGCTTCACGCGTGAGAATGTCGCTTGGTCGGATGTCCTCTCTGAGCAGGTTCTTGATAGCGCCACCTGCTGCCAAGCACTCGAGCATCTTCGCCTTGGAGTTGGCCGGGTTGGATGAAGAGCCAGGTAGCGACATGCCCATTGTCTCAATCGCAGTAGCCATTGTGTTTGCTGTGTACATTCCTCCGCAAGCACCCTGCCCGTTGCAGGCATGTCTGATGATGTCGAAACGCTGGTCTTCGGTGATTTCGCCTGTAATGAATTGGCCGTACGCCTGGAAAGCGGAAACGATATCGATCTGCTGATTCTCGAGGGTCTTGGCGCAGCCAGGTTGGATAGTACCGCCATACACCATGAGCGAAGGCCTGTTCACACGTCCCATGGCCATGATGACACCAGGCATGTTCTTGTCGCATCCGGGGATGGAGATGTTCGCATCGTACCACTGGCCGCCCATGACTGTCTCGATTGAGTCGGCGATGATCTCACGCGACTGCAGCGAGTAGCGCATGCCCTTTGTGCCCATGGAAATACCGTCACTAACACCAATGGTGTTGAACTGCATTCCGAGCAGGCCGGCCCTCTCTACACCCTCCTTCACCTTGTGGTTCAGGTCCATCAGGTGCATGTTGCACGGGTTGCCCGAGTACCAGACCGACGAGATGCCGACTTGAGCCTTGTTCATGTCCGTTTCGCTCATGCCGGTGGCGTACAGCATAGCCTGCGAGGCGCCCTGCGACTTGGGCTGCGTGATGTGCTTGCTGACCGAATTGAGCTCTTTGTCGGCTTTGGCGGTGCGGGCTGCGGAGCTGGAAAGTGCACGTCTGCAAACAATTAGACTTGGTTCTCGATTTCGCGGACAAAAAAACTTACGCTGCGTGCCATTGCGGCCGCGGCGAGCACCTTGCGCGCGCGAGAACTCCTCCAAAGCGTGCGAGAGACATTGTGGCGGGCTGACTGCTCGTTCCGTGGCGGATTGCTCATCCTAATAATTTAAACATGCGAGCTCGGAGGATGCGGGGACGGGGAAACTAGAGCTTCTCCGAGTCGATGCGTGGCTGACCAATGAGGAGCGACATGATGATGCAACACTATCTTCTCCACCACAGGCCCACAGCGATCGCACATTCACCAGAAACCAACTTCTTCATCGACGGCTCAGTCAGACCCTCGTGACTCACTTTTGCACGCGACAAGGTATCGCACAGTCATAATATCCTGGACATGTCTCGAGAAGCAAAGTCCCTCGCACCAATGGAAAAAGTCCAACATGCATCTACGTCAGTATGCAAAGGTACACAGACGCATGCCCATTCACTTTATCGAAATCATGGAATTCGTACTGCAACCTTGTCTGCCTCAATACGTATAGTCTTTTGCGTGAAGGGCAGCATGTGCGTGTTATTATACAGTCTACTATTGTCACAGCCAACAGCCCATCACTATGCTATCTGCGGGCGTGATGGCCACTGAGATCCAAATCAGACTTGCTATATCGAGTCTTGTTGTAGCCTCTCTTATTCATGTCATATTTCTCACCACATCTTCCTATTGTCTTACTCCCCTAACCCAGCTTTCGAAATGAGGTACTTCTTCTGCTTCTTATTCTCTTCATGTCTCGCGCAGGCCGCGAGCAAGGTCTTTACAGGCTTCAACTATGGCGCCTTCTGGAGCCTGGAAGCCAACGTCAAGAAGAAGGCAGACTTTCTTGATGGCTTCAACTTAGCAAGAAATCTTACCACCGACATACCCTTCGATAGTGCGCGCCTGTTCACTTGCAAAGCAGCCGGCACTCTCAATGAGCCCACTGAAGCTTTCGATGCAGCAGTCGACTCCAAGACCAACCTGCTCTTAGGATTCTGGATCACGCCAGGACAGAAAGGCGGCTCGCCGGACGAGATCGTCAAGAATGAAATGGCTGCACTCGAAAAAGGATTCAAGAAACATGGCCAAGCCCTTTCAGATCTAGTTATTGGGCTCTCCATCGGCAGTGAAGACATATACCGTGCCGAGGAGGCCGGCGAGATAGGTGTCACTGCGGCAGTTGTCGGACAAACAATCGCTCAAGTCAAGAAAGACATCGCTGCCTCGCCATTTGCTCAGTACATGAAGGACAAGCCGATTGGCCACGTCGATACAGCCAAGTATGCAGTGGTGGACAACGCTGACTTCATTGGCATGACTGCATATCCATATTGGAATAAAGACAGCATCGAATCAGCAAGCACAAGCTTCCAAGGTTCTCTCGAGCAAGTCAAGCAGCACGCAGGTAACCGACCTGTATGGATCGCTGAGATGGGCTGGCCCTCTACTGATACCGAATTACACAGCGCTGCAGTTGCGGGTGTGAACGAAGCACAGAAGTTCTGGAGCGAAGCTGGCTGTGCTGTGTTTGGTAAATACACTACATTCTACTTTGAGTTACTCAAAGATACAACACCAGAACAGAAAGCTGATTGGAGTATCATTGATACCAACACTCGACAGCCAAGGATCAGGAACTTGAGCTGTGGCAATCCACAGGCCAAGCTCCCTACTGGCGCATCAGCTATCTCGCAAGCATCATCTCAATCTGTTGGGTCGACGCCCCCAAGCATACCTGTTTCTGGCTCACCAGTCACTCCAAGCGCGCCAGCGGTGATACTGTCGTCTGAATCTCCGTCGACCGGATCAAGTACCATGCACGTAACGGTAACGAGGACGACGACGGTGACTCCACAGCCCATCCTACCATCACTAGCTGCATCCGGCGACACGTCATTGACCACTTTCATAGTGACTATGACGAGCACTACTATAATAACGGCACAGGCCTCGATTGTTACTTTAGCGAGCGGGAATCAATCACCTTCCCCCACTAATGGTGTCGCTTCACTTGGCAAGTTGTATCCCCGAACAAAATCCGTCAAAGCTAACATGCTACAGCACAATTCCAAGTGGCGATAGGTTCCAAAACGGTCACCGTCAATACCACATCAACAACCATTGTCTTTGCAGAGACTACAACAATAGCCGTTCCGAGAGACGTACCCCTAGATGTCGAATGGTGCATCACAGTCGTCGACATGGACCGAAACAGCAAACCTATCACTATCGCTGCGGGCCCTGCTGGGCTAGATGGAGAATGCATCTCACCTCCAACTTATCAAGGGTACCCGTATATAACAGCACGATCAGCAGCGGAGCCGTCTAAGGTACCCATCGGAACAGATTGGTGTGTTACGGTGGCCGATATTGACCGCAACGGTCGTCCTATACCTGTTGATGCCGGGCCCGCTGGAGCAGACGGCGAGTGTAGTGTTCCCCCAACTTATAGCGGTATACCTGTGATTACTACTTTGACTATCGACTCGAAGGCGCCTGAGCCATCGAAAGAGCTGCTGCCGATGTCTCAGGCTATGGACCTTGCTTCGCCTTCCAGTGTTCAAGTGTTAGCAGGCACTGTTGCGTCTTCAGCAAGCGCTGTTACTCCATTACCTAGTAAGTCGCTTAGCTGAGTTGGCACTTTGGCTATTTATAACGATCGCAATAGCATCATCGGAAAGGTCGCAATGCAAACGTCGCGAGCCCCGATCTACACCATTGCCTGCTTCAAACTCAACAGTATTAGTTGCAGCATCTATCACGACACCAACATCTCTCTATCTTGCCACTTCGTTTAGGGTACCTTCCGGTCCATTCGGCGCTACGCTTTCCGACTCCCCCACTTCTATGCTGACGGTTGTGACGGACGTCAAAGTGACCGTTGAAGACGGGCACAGAGTGGCAATCAGACGACGAGGGATCAACAATCTCTTCAAGTGGATTGGGATGTAAGTGACTAGAGCCACGGAGTAAATTTTGTTGATACTCTACCGGTCATCACTTCTGCTTTTGGTCCTTAATGTCGACATTAGTAGGAAGGTGTCGTGAATGTAAGTATGAATGAGATAGAGTGCAGTGTAAACAGCGGGGTTTCCTTGAGATCTTACGCGCATGAGATACGTGCCGAACGTGTTGCTAGTTAGGTTTTGAGGAATAGTTGGCAATGCATTCCATAGTATCGCACAATAACATGAACCGTTGCATTGTTTTGTCGAACTATATTGTCTTCCCATTATCGGATTTCTAATTTAGCCGTACACAGGTTCATGCACAGCCTACGGCCTCGGTAGCATCGTCTACACAATGGAAGACGAGTCGATATATACTATCATTAGTGTGATACCGCTCCAGACAATCATGAACCTCGTCTTTGAACATCCATATCGTATGGGCAGATCTTGGCCCGTAACTGAGCCGTCGAGCTTTTGGGAGTGGGTGCACAGCGTCATCTGTATCGACGCGAAGCGTATTCTCATTGAGAGAGCAGATCGTTGAGTACAGTAGAGCCATACGAAGGTAAAGCGAAGACTGCACATAATTCGAGAATGACACCCACAGCATGAGGAGAGATGTTCATCAGCCGTCGTATAAACGGTGGGTTTGTTTGTTTGTTCATTCATGTGATATCTCATCTCTCGTACCAGCTAACATAAGTTTTCCGTAACCGTTAAGAACCCGAAAAAGTCCACCATGAGACACCTGATAGACTCCGAATTCGCACTTTTGCGGATATAACCCGATAACTCGAAACGCACTAAGATGCTAAAGGCGCTTGCCTATATCTTTCTATCAAGGTAAATGGTAGATGTCGATAGGCCAGAAACATCGATACACAAATCCACAGCGCAATGCAATGTCTGACGCGACTCACTGAGGATGATACGCGTCTAAGCAGCAGCCGCTACCTAGGCAGCGGGAGTGGAGGTGGCGGGAGGGTTCTCGACGACCTTCTCGGGAGTCTCGTTGGTGGCAGCGGTCTCGGTGAGAGGAGCCTCGCCGTCGGCGGGCGCGTCGGGAGCATCATCCTCCTTACCGGGGGAGTCGATCGCGACCTTAACGGCGATCTCACGGCCCTCAATTTCCTTGCCGTTCATCTCGGAGCAAGCCTTCTGCTGGAGCTCCTCAGAGCCGAGGGTAACGAAACCGAAACCACGGCCCTTGCGGGGCTCACCGCGGGCCTGGAGCTTCTTGACCATGAAGCGGGGGATGGGGCGGAGGGCGATCTTGGCCTGAGTGGGGGAGTAGTCCTTGAAGATCTCAAGAAGCTGGTTGACTAGTCAGCACACGCTGCGAGAAGGGAGTATGCAAACTTACCCTGTCCTCCTTCAGGTCGTACGGCAGGTTCGCAACCATGACCTTGGTCTTGGAGGGAACGCCATCCTCGGGAGGACCGCGCTGCTTGCGCTCACGGGGTCCCTGGGGAGCGGACTTGTCGGCACCCTTCTTTGCGGTAAGCGCTTCGTTGGTAGTTTCGGTTAGGGGAGCAACTTGGCCGGGTACATTTGTAGGGGTGGAGTCGGCAGGAGCCTCGTTGGAGAGCTCGACCTGCTCGGCACCTTCAGCATCGGCCTTCTTGTGGAATTTGATTAGCTTGTGCACACAGTTTGTAGTGTGGGAAGGCACTTACAGCACGTCCACCGCGTCCAGCACGGCCGCCACGGCCACGACCGCGACCACGTCCACGGGTGGAAGTACGGCGACGAGCCTCGCCAGTGTTGCCCTCGGCTCCGCTGCCGGCGCCCTCAGCGTGGGCCTCGGGAGTGCGGGCAAGCTGGATGGAGACCTTGCGGTCGAGGATGGCCTTGCCGTTGAGCTCAGCAATGGCACGCTCGGCCTCGGATGGGGTCGAGAGGGCAACGAAGGCATAGCCGACGGGGCGCGAGGTGCGCGGGTTGGTGGGGATGGTCGTGGACTCGCTGTGCGACGTGTTAGCTTCACCCTCTTGCGTCATGCGGAGAAAACAGGGTCCACTTTACACCAGGTAGTCCTTGAAGAACTCCTTCAACTCCCCCTCGGTGGTCGCGTACGCGAGGTTTCCAATGTAAAGTCGCCTGCCCTCAGCGGCGCTCGCACGCACAGCCTCGTCCTCGGCTGCGGTGGGTTGTTGAGCGCCAGTGCTCTCCGCGGTGGTGGTGGTGGTGGCGGCGGGAGCAGCGTTGTCGGTGAGGGAGGTGGTGGCCATCTGGGCGGTGACACTGTCGACAGGTGCGGACATGATTGCTGAAGTTTGGGTGGTTGACGAACACGAGTGGAGATCGAACGTGTAAGAGGTTGAGGAAACTTGGAGTCCTGGTAGACCGGTAAAGGTAACCTTGAACAGTAGTTGGTGATTGAGTGGTTGATGGGATTGTCGAACCGCCTGTTGGTGGAACTGTTGACGAGGGGGGTGTGGAGTGGGTAGCTACGAGCCCGGAGAAGGTTGAGAGAGGATTGGGTTGATGGGGTGCGTGGTTGGTCTCTGTTGTTGACTTGATGGGGGAGAAAGGGAGCAGGCCTCGCCCAGGCAGATTATTTTGAAGAGCGCAGCCATGGGGCTTGGCCGCATCCGGTAACGGAAGCGGCCCCTGCGCACAATGAAGGGCCCACTTGCCTGTGAGCAGCTACCATGAGTGCATGGATAGGGGAAACGGCGACTAGGCGGCCGGGGCGAGCATGGACGGCGTTCGAGAGGGCGCAGGCAGGTGCATCATGGCTGCGACCGCCGAGCGAGCACTCTCACCTGCATACCGCGCACCTCGTTCACTGTTGCGAGAGCACGCCCCGTCGACGACAGTGCTTCGCCAAGCTCGACGCCACACGTCGCCCTAGCGCCACAGTAGACCTCCAGCTTGGCGCGCTGCATGACGCTCCAGCTTCACTTCCGCCCCACCGCCCACTGCCGCTAGAAGCATGAAAAAGACCCGCCTGCCGTTGACGTGTCCGCTAGTGCACCGCTTCTTCATGCACTGGATCCGGGGGGCCTGCCATTCCAATCTCCCATCACTCGAGTCCTGTCCAGGCTAGTCTGTCTCACCGCACTCTGATTGCTGGTTTACCGCCATGTCGAGTGCACTGCAACCGCGCCGCGCCCTGGTCGTCTACGGCTCCGAGACAGGTAACGCGCAGGATGTGGCTGAGGAGATGGGACGCGTCGCTGAGCGATTGAGATTCGACACCGAGGTCGCTGAGCTCAACGCCATCACTCTAGTATGTTCGCGGCGACGCTGCGTGCAAGGTACCATGGTTGACTGTTGGTAGAGGCAACTGCTGCAACATCACGTCGTCTTGATCGCCATCTCCACCACGGGCCAGGGCGAACTACCACCCAACAGCCAGAAGTTCTGGAAAGCCATCCGGAGCACTCGACTGCGGCCAGGATGCTTGCAGCAGATGAGATTTGCATCCTTTGGTCTTGGTGACACGTCCTATCCAAAGTACAACTGGGCGCATCGCAAGCTATACAACCGGCTCGTGGCACTCGGAGCGCAGCCGATATGCGATCGTGGCGAGTCAGACGAGCAGCATCCAGAGGGGTATGTCAATATCATCGATGCTCCTTTCCATCCTGCCTTCTTTTGTGGGTTCTCGTGTCATCTCGACTTGTCATCCCTCTACCCACAGCCGAACTTCATCCCGACTACCAGCACATGTCTGACTATTCGAAAGCATCGATGGCTCCTTCCTACCATGGTCAACGAAACTCCGCCAATATCTCCTCGGCTCATATCCGCTCGCTGATGGTATCGAGCCGATACCGGACAATGTTCTGCTAGACCCGAAATGGCTGCTCGAGACTATAGACGATGGTGTAGCATCTTCACCAAAACTCGAATCTGTACCTGCGTTGAGCGGCGACGCGCCTGATGCCCCTCCGTCTGACCTTCTCGACATATCCGGCGGACTTACTGCTAAGATCACAAGCAACGAGAGAGTCACTCCGACGGCCCATTGGCAGGACGTCCGGCACCTCAAGTTTGAAATACCAGAGACACATCCATACGTCCCAGGTGATGTACTTACAATCTACCCCAAGAACTTTCCCTCCGATGTATCTCAGTTCCTCGAATGTATGGGCTGGACGTCCAGGGCTGATGTACCTCTCCGCTTCGTCCCTTCATCATCATCGACACCTTCCGACGCCACTCTGCCCATCCGAAATATGGAGCAAGGTAGTACGATAACCTTAAGAGAGCTTTTAACCAACCATCTTGATATTATCGCTATTCCCCGAAGGTCGTTCTTCGCCCAGCTCGCGCATTACACGAGTGACGAGTTCCACAAAACAAGATTACTTGAGTTTACGGACCCTCAATATCTGGACGAGCTATATGACTACACCACACGTCCACGCCGCAGCATCTTAGAGGTCTTACAGGAGTTTGAATCTGTCAAGATACCTTGGCAGCGCGTGTGCAGTATCATTCCTACTCTACGCGGTCGACAGTTCAGCATCGCAAGTGCGATGAACCCTACCACGGAGCTAGAAAAGAAAACAAAAATCGAGCTTTTGATTGCGATAGTAAAGTATAAGACAATTATTAAAAGAATAAGACAAGGTGTTGCTACGCGGTACATCGCTTCGCTCATACCAGGACAAGAAATCACGGTCACGCTTTCGCGAGGCGGGCTTGGTGTGAGCAAAGATGAACTCGATAGACCGGTTGTTATGATTGGGCCAGGAACAGGTGTAGCGCCCATGCGTTCGCTAATATACCAACGCGTACAATGGCGCGAGGAGCACAAGAAACTTCAGAATGGCCACGCGCAGGAAGATGACGAACCTGTAAAAGACTTACTGTTCTTTGGCTGTCGTAATGCCGAGTCAGATTACTTCTTCAAAGACGAATGGGCGCAGCTCCAGTCCTCCAGCGTGCCGTTAGAAGTCTTTGCGGCATTCTCCCGAGACCAGGTAAGACTTCAACTCCACCTGTTGACGCCCATGCTAACCACACAACAGCGCCAGAAAGTCTACGTTCAAGACCTTGTCCGTCAGCAATCTTCGCTGATATTTTCGCATCTTTTCCACAAATCTGGCATCTTATATATTTGCGGCTCGTCGGGCAAAATGCCTCAGGCTGTACGCGAAGCACTCATTGAAGCTTTCCAAGGGCATGGCAGTATGGATAGAGAAGGCGCAGAGGATTATCTGGTGAGCATGGAGAAGAGTGGAAGATATAGACAAGAAACGTGGTAGGACCTTCGGTAGCGATAGGGCCGCCCTTGATTGCAGATCAGACATCGTAGGCTGTTTGGTTTCATGAACGACGTTAGCATACCCTACCTTCCGATCTAGACGTGGAGGAATGAGATGAGAGTGGAGGGGGAGACATTAGACAGGTTATTGCGAAGATCACGAGAGGTGTGTGGATGCTGGATTGCAGGGTCTGTGATACTGGATCAATTGTCTACACCGCGTACCTACTCATAGATATAACAGAAGGGTCCAGCAAGCGTGCTCGAAGCCTCCTTAATAGTCATATTTGGGAAGCCCAGATACTCCCCAAATGTCATAACATCATCCAGCGTCGCATTTCTTGTTGGTGGGACATTCTGGAACGTAAGGGTGCCAGCAATAGTAAAGCGTCTCTCCTTCAAGTTTTGATTCTGCCAAATCCACCAAATTCGGTCAATTTGTGCGTGGTGGTTCCAAAAGTACGGGTCAGACGGAGAGCTGCAAAAGTGGAGATACCAAGTTAGTATATATCTCATGTACATTCGTACAAGGGGTCTCACTTATAGAAATCGCTACCAGCATCGCCGCCGATTGTTTGATGACCACCAAGATGAACACGGAGTATTCCTGGAGAAGGGTTCTGAAGCGTGTTTTGGAAAGCGGAGATATTGGCACTGCCTGTGATTAGTCCGGCGACGTTGGCATCGGTGGTCTCGGATGATGAGCGGGTGTTGATGTCTCGCTTGATGCACCTGGGGTTGTAGCCAAGACCATCAGGGGATGGATTTGGCTGTACAGTAGTGTCAAGAGACGAGATAGGTCCGACATGCATCTTCCAGCTGGAATTCAGTTAGTACGTAGGCGACGCAGATATTGCTCCTAGATGAGTGCTTACTTCTTGAAGGGTCCAGAAGCGACGCACCCACCTCCGTTACCGGGAGGAATTTCTACAAAGCATCGGCCTGGGTTAGGCACGCAGCTGACATTGCGTCCCGGAACGTACTCTCCATCTCCAGAGATGCTCGTGTCGCTGCCATCGAGGAGAGGAGAAGCAGCAGGGTTATCAGCCCACAAGGCCCAGTTGTAGTAGGGGAGATAGCCCTTGTACCCGCATTCGTTGCGCAGAGTTTGTTCCCACGCCCACATGAAGTAGCGGTGCCACGACAGAAAGTTGCCCTTATAGACATGAGTCATTCTGAGGAAACATTGGAGAGCAGAATTGAACGTATATTTCCGTGTGTATATTGCGTTAGTAAGATATGAGTAACAACAAAATCATCGTAACGACTCTTAGCTCCCGCAGCGATAGCAGCCGGAGTTCTGGCCTTCTTTTGCCCAGTACACTGAACAGCGTCAATGTAATTCAGTTTCTCTGAACGCTTGAGTTTGGACCTGTATCATGTGAGAAAGGTATAGAAATCGCTATCGTTAATCTCGTACCATTCACGACGTCGAGCCACTTTTCGTTTGGTACATTTCGTCGAGTAGCTATTGGGATGTTTGGCGACGTCAAGCCATAGCTGGTCGAGCCCGTGTTTAGCTAGGGCATCAGTTTCGGGTGCTTTTGCCGCGATGGTGCTGCCAGCAAGGGCAAGTAGGAAGATGAATCGCATGATCGTGCCGATTCAAGATACGAAAGAGCTGATTACTGCTTCAACCGCTTTGCAGAGGAAGTAGGGATCCTTTTATGCGTAAGGAGTGGTAACACTGCGGATGCAAGGCATGCAGCACCTGGAACAAGCGCGTCCGAATTCAGGACCTGACTTTGTCGAGCATGGATAGCGTTCACACCTCTCGTGTGACGGCTAGTTATTTGCCGTCTCTCCGGGCATTAATGCCACGAAGAGACTCGTCTAGACATGCGGACTCAAAGTACCTACGCAAAGAGACTGCAGTACAAGCGGGACAGGCCACCGACTAACGCAGATACTCCACCAGAACAGCATGATCAGGATTTCCAGCGCTTACCACAAGTTGGAAACAGACAGCATCATCTATGTCACCTTGCCCAACCAGCCGATGGGCGAACAAGCGTCAAACCGATAGATGATCTGTGCTGGGCACAAAGTCGTGTACTGGACGGACGGCAGGCGTGTGGCGACCCGTATGCGAGGAACAATATTTTAGCTCCAGCTCTACAGCCGTATTACTGCGCCGCTCTGCTGCAGTGTTGTAATATCCAGCCGACATGGGCGTATGCATCAGCTGCTTGGCGTGGGAAACGAGCCGAGGGGACGGATTGTGTTGCGGAAGCGCTCTGTCAACAGAACATGTTGCGCATGGGGCTTCCGTCGGTCATGTTTCGACTACAACGTGGGCTTGAAAACGAAACATTTAGGTTCCAAACAGAGAAGAGCGGTGGTTGATGTTCGTCGTCGCCGTGCACTTTCTCCGATCGCCAAGCTGCTAATCCACTCCCGGAAAACAATCGGATCTTGGGAAGAGCCTCGGGACATGCTTGACACGACGCGCACTCAGACATTGCCTGCAACGATGACCACAGGACGGGTATCAGTCAGCGCTCTCGATAGTCTCCCTGACGAACTGATTCTCCTCATCCTAGATCAGCTGGATCCACGTGACTATCTCACGTTACGCGATTTGAACGCGACAAGCTCGCGTTTTCGTCGTCTCACGATAGATCGACTCTATCGAAGATTTCCAGGTTGCTCCCCAGAGCAGTTCCTGCGTACCATAGCGCTGTCGCATCCAGACGAACGCCATGAATTCATGAATTATGTCAAGGAGGTGGTGTGGTATCAGAACTATTGGGATCGACCATCTCGACGTCGATGCCTACCTCTAGGCGATAGGCATACCGTTGCCAACATACTGAGGAGTTCTGGGGCTATTCTGGACACTACAGATCTCTCCACAGACTTGCCTGGACGCTTCATAGGCTTCTCTTCCGAATATGAAGTTCATTGGTGGTATCTGGAGTTCTTCTTGTTCTCCACGCCCAAGGTTGAGAAAATTACTATACACGACGCATGGCAATGGGACGACCACAGTTACTGGTTCAAGAGCCTGTCTGCCAACCCAATTCACTTCGAAAATCTTCGATCCATTACCGTATTCGGTCCTCTACGCCTGAGAAATATTGTGCCGCTTCTGACTCTGCCTTCCATACACGCCTTAGACCTTACACAAGTCGTCGATATGCGCCAAGAACCCGACAGGGAGTTCTCATGGACCCGCGACGGCGAAGACTACGTTGACCGACGATTGGCGAGTGGTTCGTCTCTTGAACATCTGGTTATACGGGAGTCAGATCTGCATGTCCCGTCTGCAGTGGGTATCCTTGGGAAACTTAACAAAGTCAAGAGTTTCACCTACGAGCATGTGTGTCATGAACTTGCATCGCATCCCGGGATGCAGCCGTCCATTTTCCCGTGGGTTGGCAACTTGTGCTGGGGTCCAGATAGCTCTCTCGAAAGTTTGCATCTACGTATAGAGTCGTCAGTAGTGACGCATGAAGAGATGACATCGCTCTGTCACCACGTTACTGGTCCTGTACTAGCAAGGCTTCGTACTCTGAACATCGGTCCCTGTAGTGTCAGCACTTTCAAAGGCTTCGATCTCGCACAATCTGAAGATCTACCAACTATAGCTTCTAGGATCGTAGCCGCATTTCCTGACACACTCGAAGCTCTACAAATTCAGTGGGCTTACGAGCGTGATGGAGAACCACGGTTAAAATTCTTCATTGATATCTTACGGCATTTGGCTGAAGCCATTGCTGGTTCAAACTCTAAATTGAAGCACGTCTCTATCGTTGACTGGCCAGCACTTGCAGGCTGGTTCCCTTTCCAAGACCAAGTCATCAGTTTGAAGCGGGTATATGAACGCCGGGGATTGCAATTTGACATAGTCTACGAAGAGATTGAAGATGGAGAGCCACTTACCGTCATGGAAGACGTGGAGCCTGGTTGGTTTTGGATCCAAAGGACGGAATATTTCGCGACACATTGCAGGTTTTCCCGCCCATCGTCTAATCACGGCTAGTGGAGTGTGTGTATACGATCTCTAAAGCATTTATAGATGGTATCTACAAAGTTTCGTACGGGATCTGGGTGCGTGTTGGTGTAGCACTAGCAAACAAGACTATGTTGCGGCTGACACAGCTAACACGTGCTTGACCGGTCCGACAATCGCTAAATCATTAGCGTCTCTCCCAACGCGGGGAAGCTCCTGTTCCCTGTTATCGTACTTGGCGTCAATTTCTTTTTGCGGAATGGGACAAGAGCTTCAATGCGTAGCAAGCCGTCAACGGCGGAGTATCCCTTCACCAACCGTCCACTCAGACGGCATAGTAGTCCAGATGGCTACTAATCTCCCATCCAAACCTGGCTTCGATACTCTTCCCAACGAACTTGTCATAAGCATCATCGAGCGCATGCCGAACGATAACGCTAAGGATATATGCAATCTAAGCCTGACTAGTCGTCGCATGTACACGCTTTCTGTCGATCATCTGTACAAAAGTCTTCTAGTACGACGTCCGTGGCCACTTCTGCGTACGTTGCGATCCAGCCCGGAACTTGCAAACCGAATTCGGGACATTACATGGAGGCACAACTTCAACGATCATGACGATACCGAGGAAAATCAAGCCGTCCTCTCCAGCTGCATCAAGCTTCTAGAGTCGTCTCACCAGGACGGATTGATGCGTGATTCTTCTGGGCTTCGGTGTGATCACGAGTTCATCGAGATACTCCTAATGTTCACTCCGAATCTCCGTACGCTTGTTATCGCAGATAGAGCCTTCTGGCCTGATGGCGAATATTGGTTCAGGAGGATCGCAAACAACCCGGATCGGTTCGTGCACTTGCGAACCATTAATATACACGGTCCACTGTCAGTGGAGGCCATAGCATACTTGTTCCTCCTTCCTTCACTTAGGAACCTCATCGCTTCGGACTTAGTTCTCCCTGAGCGCACCGACAACAGACGAGTTTGGGATAACGAGATTCCGCTTAGGACAGTGTTAGACCCTGGTTCATCTCAAGTTGAGAAGATCGTGTTGAAGCGATCAGTTGTGGAGGTGCCGACGCTAAAATACTTCACCGAAGCTTGCAGAGATTTGAAGAGCTTCGCATATGAACAGGACATCAACAACGATCAGCGTGGCATGTATTCTCGAAGTCTCCTGTCGAAGTTTGGCGAGCTTTCAGCAGCTTTCATTCTCAACCGCACAACACTCGAGCACCTCTCTATCCGCGGTGACCATCAGATGCTTCGTCAGGAGCACGTACTACAGGTAGCACGATTGGCTTCCAACATGTCAAACCTTCGTTCGCTAGATATGGGCTTGATCACACATGACGACGACCCGATACAATGCACCTCCGATTTTGTAGCAAAGATGGTACGCCTTCTTCCGCCCACACTTGAAGACATGAGCTTTGAGATTGACTGGCAAGAGCACTGGGGCTCGAGAGGGTGGGAGGGGCCAACAGAGATGTTGCGCCATCTCGCTACTATCGCTTCTCCAAAGCTGTCCTTGAAGAAAGTCGCTGTGGTGGATTGGCCGCCTTTCTTGGGTCATTTCCCGCCAGATTTTGCACAGCTACATCAGTGCTTTGCGGAGCAAAGCATAGATTTCGTATCCATTCCCGCCAGCATCGAAGGGCCGGATCCGCTGCAGTTGTTAGACTTCGTAGAGCCGGGGTATGTGTTCGTACAAGTCGCTGTTGCCGAGTACGCGTAATTGCGTTGCAGTCACGTGGTACCGCAACATCAGTCGTGTGAAGATCAATGCAGCTACTCTGTGTTCTTTTCAATCAAAAAGGAGACTTTGCGATCCATTCATAGAATCGGTGGCGGGTGAATGAAGGGCTGAGCGCGCTAGTGAGATATTAGCGTCAAGCTATGACTCGCGTGGAGGGCAGCTATGATGTACGTCATGTTCAAGTTATAACGCGCCCCTCCACATCTCTTGTTCACAAACTATTCTCGATATACGACCCGTCACCGCTACTTTGATCATCTAAGATGGCGCAAAAAGGTGACCATCTATTACAGCGTCCTCTCTATGGTAAAACATTGCTCCCTCCCCGAGCGCGCATGGAATTAACGTCCACAGTGTTTGATCTGCCCGAAGAGCTGTTAGCCACACTCACTCTCAAAGACCAGCCCGAGCACCCGATAGAAGAGACACCACCTCAAATACCGACGACTGCAAACGACTCTTCCAATACCGCCGAAGAAGAGAGCAACAGCCCGGCAAAAGCGACATCGTGCAACCTCTGTGGGCTCAGCTTTGCATCTCTTGCAGACCAACGCAATCACGTACGATCAGACCTACATGGATACAACCTGAAGCAAAAGATAAAAGGTGCGAAGCCTGTAGGCGAGGCTGAGTTCGAGAAACTGATCGGAGATCTGGACGAGAGCATATCAGGGTCTGAGTCATCAGAATCCGACGAGGACGAAGATGCAGATGGGACGAAGGCAAAAGAATCCACGCTTAGTGCGCTATTAAAAAAGCAGGCCAAGATATCAGATCCCGAGTTTGACGACTTTTCCTCACGGAAGATGCAGAGAGGGCCTGGCAAGCCTCCGTTGATGTGGTTCACGTCACCCTCAATACCCGACAACATGTCACTAGGCGTGTATCGCGCCATTTTTTCGAATACAGAGCAGGAAGAGGAGTCGCATGTTTTGGAAAGTTTACGCAAGAAGCAGCTTTCTCCGAAGCAACCCCCAAAGATCAAGGCGAATGAGGCCGGTGTCCCGCCACCAGGCATAGATATCGGGCCACATTACTTTCTATGCATGATAGGAGGTGGCCACTTCGCTGCCATGATAGTAGCACTGGCACCTAAGATAGGAAAGAATCACACTGGATTCGATGAGCGATCGGCGACCGTAGTTGCGCACAAGACATTCCATAGGTACACCACGCGACGAAAACAGGGAGGTTCGCAATCAGCCAACGACAACGCAAAAGGCAATGCACACTCTGCCGGTTCATCGATCCGTCGTTACAACGAGACTGCACTAATCGCTGAAGTTCGTGAGCTATTATATAGCTGGAAGAACATGATCGATACCGCAGACTTGATCTTCGTACGCGCAACCGGCGCGACGAACCGGAGAACTCTTTTTGGTCCGTATGAAGGACAGGTTCTGCGTCATAATGACCCACGCAATCGAGGCTTTCCCTTCAGTACACGGCGGGCGACTCAAAAAGAGCTGATGCGTGCGTTTGTTGAACTCACTCGAGTGAAGCAAAGTGCTATCGATGAAGCAGCGCTTGCTGCTCTGGATTCTTCTCAAAAAGAAGCGGCTGCTGCGACACCAATCCCAGAAAAACCTAAGCCTAAGAAGCCAACAAAAGAAGAAGAGGCTGCGACATTACACACTTCACAGATTATACCCATGATTAAGCGTTCGAAAGTACCTGCGCTTCTCAACTACCTCAAAACAAACAACATCCCACCAAGCTTCAACTTTCTCCCCACCAACCACCACACACCAACGCCGCTGCATCTTGCTGCATCTCTCAATTCTGCTCCTATCGTCTTCGCGCTTCTGACGAAAGCCGGTGCCGATCCAACTCTGATGAGTGACGAAGCGCGGACCCCTTTCACGCTGACTGGCGACCGTGTAACCCGTGACGCCTTCCGTGTTGCCCGTTCCGAACTCGGAGAGTCAGCTTGGGATTGGGAGAAAGCCGGAGTGCCTACAGCCATTACCAAAGCTGAAGCTGACAAGCGAGATGCTCAAGAAAAGACCGAGAAAGCTGCAGAAAGTAAGGCTGAGGCTGACCGGCGGAAGGCTGAGACCGAGCGCGTACGGAAAGAAAGCGAGGCTGAAGAGGTCAGGAGAAAGGAGCAGAGGCTAGGCAAGGGCAAGTCATTAGGCGCGCTACCTGTCAAGACTGGAGCAGATTTGAGAGAGGAAGAAATGAGGGGCTTGACGCCAGAAGCGAGAGCTAGAATGGAAAGAGAACGGCGAGCTAGGGCTGCTGAAGAGAGGCTCAAGCGGATGGAACGTTGAAAGCGCTTCTATGGGACTCATAATTTCTTACCCGCGTGTTAGCCTATCGGGGAAGAAGACTTTCTGCACGCTCGGCTGTGTGAATGAGTTGTAAGAGTAACGCGAGATTCCACATGGATGTATCATCGACTCTCGTCGTTCGGAACAACTAAATGATCACGAATCACACTTTGTGTCCAACGTAAACCATTAGCCCGGTTATTTCATACCCATGTTCTTCACATGGGTTGAATGAGGTAAACACAGCTACTTGCCCGAATTGCTTGGACATAATGAGCAATACCAATGGTAACAAGGGAGGGAACAAGGTAGATGGTGAAAACAGCACGGGTTAACATGGATCTCAGAGACCGCCAAGTGGGCATTAGAGATAGACCGCGAGAATAGACAGAACAGCAAACATAAGTGAGAAGGTCCAAGACGCTCCTGAACCAAACACATGACACCGCCAAAGCTGCCTCAGTCTTCGCATATTTTGTCTATTATTCGTCACAACAACAACTGCATACCATACGTATTTTTCACCATGACAACTACTCTTCAACCCCGCACTAGCGAAACAACACCACTCTATCTCAGTATACGCCTAACGACTCACGCAAAGCAAAAGCCAACTATCAGTACCTGTGATATCGCTTATGCGGATGAGCCGTTGGAGCGGATGCCAGACGACTACGTCCAGCCTAAACTGCAACACAACCGCTATGGCAACGTGATTCCACAACACTCGTGGGTGTATACCTCTGCCGTCTTCACACCTGCCCCTTATACTCGCTCCATGAAGATCACTATGCGATGCTACGATGACAAGGTCTCAGACACACGGCTATCCATCATTGCAGTCGATGAATATAAGCACGTGTCCGAAGGAGCTATGCGGGAGGATATCGCTCGCTATGTCGATGCAGTAGTGCAGACTCCAGCAGGTCAACAAGCGCAGATAAGACAGGTGATGACTAGCACAAGCTATGATATTGACCTTCAAGATCCAGTGACCGGACAAAACAATTGGTGGAGTCTACTGCAATGGTCAGTTTGTAACACGAAGGCGTATCCAGTTGGAAGGCGTATTCCGGAACAGAACATGGAGAGAATGAGAGAAATTCGTGAGGATTGGGAACGGGAAACAGATTCGGAGGCTTTCGGATGTGTGGAGGAGGGAAAGGAGGATTGGTTGGAACTCCATGCTGTGTTGGACTTGGTCGAGGTGAACGCTGACGTTGAAGAAGAAACGATAAAGTTTGAAACGGAGGGGGACAGTAAGATGATCGGAATGAGTGCGGAGCATATGATATGGCTGAGAGAAAGACATGATCATGAGTTGGACGCGATCTACTACAGACTTCTAGAAGAAGGTACGAAGTCTTCTTCCGGGAACAAGCTACACCTTACTCCATGATCGTAATGACGCTGATGAGGAGTAGAAAGATGACATAACGTTGTAATGTGTGTATGAATATTCAACATATCATGCCTTGACACTACCTCTCAAATCCAATATTCGACGTTATATATGGTAGCAACTGTAATCTTTTGGGGTTCAATCTTAATGCCCAATGACGTCACCCCTTCAGTGAACTTCAGCGCAAACTTCCATCCTGTACTACTACTACTACTACTACCACCACCACCACCACCACCAAGGCCGATCGCAGCCTGTCTGAAAATGTCATCCACCGATGTTCACGACCAAGAAATAGACGCGCGATCCCGCTCGGCACTTGCTTCGACACGGCGCAACCTCCGCTACCTCTACGACCCGAAAACCGCGCCCAATGCCGTGTCTTCACGCCGCACACGCGCACTTCTCCGTGTCGTGCGCTCCGGAATCATTTTCGCTTTCTGGAAGCTTGTACGGTATGCGAAATACGTTGCAATTGGTTCGCTGGTGGCGACGATAGGTGCTGGGGCTTTTGGCACATTTGTTAGTGGGGCGGGATTCGTGTTAGCCCCGACGGGCATTGCGGGCACAATTTTCGCCGCGACAGTTTGGGGGGCGGGGAGGTTTGCTGTTAAGAAGGTGAAGAAGAGGTGGGGCATAGGACAGAATTACGAGGATGATGAAGAGGAGTGGGAGGACAGGAGACACACGGGAAGGAGGATCGACTTCGGCGCGGAGGCTATGCCTTGGTGAGCGACGGTTGAAAAATGATGAGGGAGTGACGATTCTGCGATGCGTTTGTGATACGAAGTCACGGATACCCAGAATGTTGAGACAAGAGTGATCTGTGGACAAATTTGAGTACGACACCTTTCGACAGCCTAATTTCCTGCAACTACTTCGACCCTCCCATTCGCATAGCCATTTTTGCATATCCGCAAACACCAGCAAGATGCTACAGGTCCACCTTCTCTTCCGCATTAACACAATAGCCACGACACATCAACCTTCCTAGGATCCTTTTGACCAGCAACGGCCCTTCTTCCGTAGCATGGACGTGGTCAACACGGTCCTCTTGTTACGCTACAACCGCGCAATACTCTCCTGGACCATCGTTAGATACTACTTTGCCGATTACTATACATATTGTCTCTGTATGGTCGCTTGTGAGGCATACCACGACCCCAGCGTAACCATATCTATCATACACAGCACCCTTTCTGTGGCCAAAGCGCAAGAGACTATGCGAAACATGGCTGACATGGTTGAGGAGAGCGTCATAACGCGGCGGCAGGCGTGTGGAGAGGGTTGGGGCTGGGACGCAGGCGTAAACCAGGACGGATAGTTTATCAAATCGAAGATCACGTGGGGAGGAGAGCACTGTGTGAAAATTGGCTCGAACACTAGAAGAACCTACTCATATCTCCTTGAGTTGATCGCGTGTGAGGATCTCATAGAGGAGCTAGCAAAGGACGTTAACAGTGAGGTGGGAGACTGAGACGAGGTCGAGCGAGGCGGCGATCAAGAGAGGGCGAACATCAAGACTATGAGTTTGAAGGCGACGGAGGAAGAGCACGAGTACGGCGATTTGGACATGAGGCTATGTGAACAGCTTGCCTATTAATTTGCTAGACGATGAATCTATCAAAGGTATCAAGTATAGGGCAAACAAGATTTGGTATCATTCCAGAATGGCACATAAACTAACTCGACAACGTTTTTCTATAAGTAACATAAATGGGCGCAAAAGCGCTTCAGTCAAGCGCCGCTAAATACAACCCTGACCTTGAGTATTCTAGTGGCCGTGCGAGTGTGCATGCCCTATTTGGGTGATAAGCGGAAGTAGCATGCCGATCATTACGATGCTTATATCGCTCTTGGACATGCTGCTGTTGCCAGGATAGGCATCCATGTAGCCGTTTGCTGTGGGATCTTCGTATGCGTGCTGAGATGCTGTGGCTTCGGACATGGAGTGCATGGCCACATACCTATGTTGGATCAGTAGACGAGAGGGTTTTGGTAGAGTATGAAGGACTTACAAGAAAGTTCCGCCGGAAAAACATAACACCCAACCAGTGGCCCACGTCAGACCTTCATCACCACCCAAGTGGTTGCGTCCAAACATGTGTACAATAGCCCAAGTAGCCAACGCGCCAGCTGGGGCCGCTAAACTGAAGAAAGCCAGATGTGTCCGCGCCTTTCGTTTCGAAAGCCCTTGCTTGAGAAGGACGGAGGTGAGGCCAAACGCTGCAGGAGCTTTGTGCAGCATAATCGCAAAGAAGATGACTAGCGATAGCGACGTGGATTCGGCTGTGGAGGAAGCACCCAGTGCGATTCCATCGGCGCATGCGTGTACAACCAGACCAATGGTGGCTGCTGGCGTCTTCTTCGTAGGTGGCGGGGGGAGACCGGGTGTCGCTAGGGGTGTTACTGCAGCGCTCTGGATACCCATTCCGTTGAGACTCAACGAAGATGAGTTGTGCGGTCCACGTGCCAGGTTGGACAAGGAGATATGCATTGGCTGGTACTTTGGTTTCGCGGAGGCCATGGCTTCTGGCAGATGCTCGACCAGGAACATCAAAATGTATCCTAGTATCAGTGCAACACCAATATATGCGTGTGGGCTGGGTCCGTCGTCATGGCTGGCTTCAGCATGTCCTTTAGCTGGCTCGTCGTCTTCGGGTGCGTGCACGCGGGTATGTCCCTCCTTGTGGCCTTCTGTCGAGTCGTCGTCTCCACCTTTCTGCGGATGGGGATCCTCGGCTGGCTTCTCTTTCTCCTTGCTGTCCTTGATCTTCTTCAGCTGCATGTCAATAGCAGCTTTGTCGCTAGTCATGTCTACGGCGCCCGGCGCCTTGACTGCTCCTCCAGTGAGCGAGCTTGTTTCCAGTTGATCCGCCCTCTTCCAGCTCGGGAACTTGGGTGGGTGAGGTATCTCTTTTTGCAGGCTCATGACAGACGGGATGGTTTGGACGCTTCGCGCACTATGCGAGTGTGTTTTGCTTCCTGCGCTGTACATGGTCTCGATGCCTTCGGGTATGATGACGATCAGCGAGGTGCCTACTAGCACACCGGTGCCGAGCAGGGTGATGATGCGCAATTGGCGGGTGGAGAGGTTAAAGGAGAGCGGGAGAATGCCGGCGAGGAAGGAGCTGTGCACGTCAGAGTTCAGTCGTGTACATTGTAACGGTTGGAGACATACGCAACAGCCATGACGGTGCTCAGAGCGAGCAGCATGAACAATCCGTCCCACATATTGTCGTCGTATGCAGTGTCGTCCCCTAAGCGGATGTACCAAGAAAGAATGCGCCGAGTGCACAGAAAAGAGAAAAAGGTTGTAAGCGGTTCAATCGACGCTATCCATGCCTCGAGCAGTCGGCCGTCGCAATATGGGTGAGGTGGTGGTGGTGTGGGCGGTGAGGGTTGGGGAGTTGTGAGGCTGTTGTGGACAAGTTGGTGGCATAGCGCAACTTTCTTGAGGCTTGGTAGCAGGGGCGGCAACGACGTAGTGCTACACTAAAACGCGTCTCCCGTCGCGCTAGTCGCTCCTTCACTTTGCGCGCTGCCTGTCCGCCGTCTAGCTGCTACACACTACTTCTCACCACCCCGCCCACGTCGCCGACACATCTGGCATCCACTTGACCCCGGTCGCGTATCATCTATTCCAGCAAACACCGCCATCATGGAGCTTGACTTGGACGACTGTAAGTTGCAGCACCCAACACCATAAGCAACGCGAAGGTGCAGCATGGACAGCTTTGGCGCATAGCTCGCTGACATTGCCTAGGGGTCACCAACTCCAACGAGTGCTTCCACATCAACCTCTACCGCACATCAAACGAGAACGGCCCAGAACGCATCCTCGACGAATCCTTCCACCCAAGCTTCACCCACACTGTCATCGAAGAGAACGAGACAATCGCGGGGTACAAGAACCCAAGCATCGAGCTTGACTTCCGCGCAAACGACCTCAACCCGAAACTGAAGATATCCTTTGACCAGGAGCTTGACCTCAAGAAGATCTCCCCAGATCTGAACCAGGTTGATCTATCCCCGGAGCTGTTCCGCGAGTACCTACCCGAGTCGATCGATGATGCTGCTGGCGCTACGTCTTCAGATTGGAAACCACCGGGAGAGCGTATGAACACCTTCAGTCTGTACGGAAAACAGTATGAGATATGGAAAGCTCCAATGACTGATCCCGACGCTCGACGCATCTGGACGAATATGAAGATCCTCAACCTGCTATTCATCGACGGCGCGACATTAGAGGGCTTGGAGGACGAGGAAACGCTTGATCGTTGGTCACTGTACCTTCTGTACGATGTGACACCTCTGTCAGACGCATCGCTTTCCCCATACACGCTCGCCGGTTTCTCTACATCGTATCGCGCTTGGGTCTTTCCCACCTTCGAGATTGCGCGTGCTACGAAGCAGCTGCCATCTCCAGCCGAAAGCAGTAACGGTGACGCTGGGAAATATACACCGCCTCGTCTGACTCAAGATCCCGAGACTTTCCTCTTTACCGACAAGCTTGATCTTCTCGAGACGCCGTCGAGGGAACGCATTTCTCAATTCCTCATCCTCCCTCCATATCAAGGCCAATCGCTCGGAAGCCGCTTGTACGATACCATCTTCCACGAGTTGGTGAATAAGCCCTTCATCTACGAGATTCCGATTGAGGATCCAAGCGAGGCTTTCGATGCCATGCGAGATTACAGTGATATCACATACCTTCGTAAACTTTCCGCCTTCAAGGACCTGTCAATCGCCTCAAATCTTTCCCAAGAGTCGTTGAGAAAGAATTCACCGATTCCGCGGGACCAAATCCTCGGGAACGGCAAAGACCTTGAGGAGCTTCGAAAGAGCACTAAGATTGTGAGCAGACAGTTCTACAGGATGGTCGAGCTTCATTTGTTATCAACAATTCCGCCAAACAATCGAAACCGTGCACGAATCACAAGGAAAGCGAAGTCTACCAACGAGAACGATAGAAAATACTACTTCTGGCGGTTGGCCCTTAAGCATCGAATCTACAGCCAGAATGCAGACGCGCTGGACCAGATGGAGGATGTCGCAGAGCGCGTGGAGAAGCTGGAGTCTGCAGTCGACTCGCAGCAGGAGGAGTTCGAGGAGCGTCTGGAGGGGTTGGAGAAGCGCCAAAATCTTGCTGCTGACGAAACGTCTGCTCCCGCAGTGGGTGCAAGAAGCAAGAGGAAGAGAGCGGTTGTGGTTGAAGACGACGAGGATGACGAGTGGGAAGACATGGATGAAGTGTCAGTTGCTAGCTCAAAGAGGATGCGATCGTAGAATAAAAGGCTGTGACGGTGTCCGAGGTATCCAGATGAGGGCGGCGGCTTTCCTGGTTGATCAGGGTGTCTCGAAGATCGTAATCGGTGTCGAAGCCTTGCCCTGAGGTCTCATTGGTAGTTATAGTTTAGGCAGTATACCCAATCCACGAAATGTTCTCGCGCCATTACCAAAGACGCGTAATTGATACTCGGCTGGGTAACGATGCTATTTCTACGGCGATTAAAGGTTAATCTCCGCGCGGGGCAGAGCTACCCCACGCCCAAATTTTGGAATCTGAACGTCGAGCCTGAACCGCATCGACGCAGCGCAAACACAGTCACCCAGCTTTTCTCGTAAAGTCTTCGGATAATTCATATACACGATGCCAGATCGTCAATTCAACCTCACTGTCCTAATCTCAGGCAATGGCTCAAACCTCCAAGCCCTCATTGACGCATGTGCATCCGGCGCCCTCCCTAACACGCGCATAACACATGTTATATCAAAGTATGTCGGCCTCTAAGCAAGATTCCTCGATAAAAAGCCTAATATACCCGCAGTCGCAAAGCAGCATACGGTCTCGAACGCGCCGACAAAGCCTCGATACCAACAACCTATCACAATCTCGTTTCCTACAAAAAGAAACACACAGACGACAAGGCCCGCGAGAAGTACGACGGCGATCTTGCAAAAATCATTCTACATGGGCAACACCCACGCCCTGACCTTATCGTTTGCGCAGGTTGGATGCACATCGTCACCACTGCCTTCCTTTCACCCATTGCCGAAGCCGGTATCAAGATAATAAACCTACATCCCGCTCTGCCGGGGGAGTTTGCTGGTGCGAAAGCAATCGAGCGTGCGTGGACGGCGGGTAAAGAGGACAGGTTGAAGAGAACTGGCGTTATGATACATGAGGTCATTGCGGAAGTTGATGCTGGAGACGCGATCGTTACACAAGAGGTAGAATTGAAAGAGGGAGAGACACTGGATGGTCTAGAGGAGAGGATTCATGCGGTTGAGCACGGGTTGATTGTTGAGGGAACAAGAAGGGTGCTTGGGGGTTTGGGGAACAAATCATGAGGAGGAATGGTCGTGGGTGCGATGAGTCAAAGATAGGATGTTATGATACCCAAAATGGATGATATGGACACATGTGTGAGCCAGGTGTGATGGGTTTTATGCATGAGGACTTATGCAATAGAAATCAAAGGATTATCGTGCGAGATTTTAGGAGTTGTCATCTTACTAACGTCATGAATTATGTGCAGCTAATACGAGTAGTCAGGTTCGAAAGTCACGAGCTTATGGCTACGTCAGATTGTGGCCATACTCTACGATTTCATGCTCCTGTCACTTCTGAAAGGAAGGATGAGAATCTGAAGAGGACAAGAGTAGAGAAGGAAGTTATTGCAATACAATCGGATAGTTGAGTTAGATTAGCTATACCCGAAACATTCTATTCAAGTCTAACTACCCCCGCTACGTACTAAACTCGACTCATTATGAATTGCTGAGGAGGTCTTCGGAAATGTGGTAGAAGCCGCTTCACTGAGTGAGTTTTGGATGTCCTGGGTACTCGGACCACCATGATGCACAGACTTAGTTCGAGGTAGTATAAGCTTGGGGTCTAATCACAACAGCTTTCTTGGAAATCATATTTTGCTCGAGTATGTCCGGTATTGAGCGGATGATGCGGTCGTCTGTAGGGAGCATCGGTTTGTATAGCTTTTAATCGGCAACAAACCCTAGAACGTGCAGCAAGCTACTTCGCGAAAACAGGGTATTTTTTGTGTTGTCCGATCGTGGATTGGACACTCGAAAGGACCTATGTGCCGTGAGAGCTTGTCGCTATATTTCCATCATCTACATATTCGAGTGCTTTCATGCTGCGACTGTCTAATCATCCTTCTTGAGATAGTTGACCAAGTCGACCATTTCAGATTGCGACATGGCGGAACTCATAGCTCGATATGCTTCGTACAGAATCCAGAGGGGGAAGACGACCCACAAGCCATTGAAGAATGCAAGGTACAGCCAACTGCTGCGTGTTAGTCAAGAACCACTACTCCTAAGCTATACGGTGTACGGGATTGGCAGCTGACACAGGCCGAAGGAACACGCCAGATTCGGCGTGATTACATATACAGCTTGCATGTTTTGTGCGTTGTTGTGTTGAGTTGTGTGGTCGTGGTCGAGAGATGAGAAGTGGGTCCGCGGGAGATGGCGCACCGGACAGCGCATATGCAGGACCAGCACATCACTGCTCTTAGACCAGGAACGACACATTCAACGCATGTGAAAGTGTTCACTTTGTGTGCGGATTCGTAGGTGAACGCATATGAAGAAGACGAAATGGACGGTTGCAGCTGTGTAATGGACCAGAGATGCGACGCAATCCTCCCACAACTGTCCAAGAAGACGTGACCGTGAAGAATGGAGAATACACAACGAATGTGAACCATGAACTTACAGATACATCCAATTGCTTGTGTCGAGATTGGGGCTTCCAGTCAGCCACTCAGGCGCGAAAGTCATCCAGCCTAATGTAGCGGTGAACCACGTGTCAGCCACATACTCGCAACAACGCAGTGTTGTCTCATCTCAACAATCCTCGGGCCGGGCCCACATCTCGCTTCACCAATTGTAACAGCTTCCACAACTTGCACATACTCCGCATTAACGGGAACAAAGTAATGAAAGTGTTTGTGACTCACCTCCGTATATCTCCCCTGTGGCCAGTACTATCATCCAGAACCACTTCTTCAACACACCTTTCTTCTCATCTTTCGAGAGAAGATAGCAGATCCAACATGCCAACGGGCCCGCAACAAAAACAGTCAGTATCTCGAGAGCCACAACCGTTAGATCCGTACCTCCCCATCGCTTGTCCGCTTTGGCATACTCCTGCCACAACCGACTCAATGGACCCGTCCCATAGTTCGCTCCATAAAGAAGATCTTGCCTGCCGAGCCAATATACGTCTGGAGGTGTGAAGAGCGTGACTTGAGGGTGGTTGCGAGATGCGGCAGAGAAAGAGGTGGGAAGCGAATACGTGACGAAGAAGCAATTCCAGAGGAAGGAGCCTTCGAATACAAAGTGGATGAGAGCGTCGAAAAGATGCCAGATGAAGAGTACGCGTATCTTGAGGGAAGTCGTCTTCGGCAGGACTTTTATCGAAGCACCATAAGCGCCACCGAGCAGAGCGAGTACAGCTAAGAGCGATATCACGGTCGTAGCGTCGATTTCCGGACCTGAGCGGGGAACAGGCGGCGGTATAACGGGCGGCGGCGGAGACACTTTCTTGCTACCGAAGAAGAACATCGTGACACGTTAAAACGACGAACACGGGACCACGTTGCGGCTCGGCTGGGACACAACTCGCTTGTGTTGTGGATGAATACGCGCTCGGATGCGGCTGTAGAAGATGATTCAGGGTCCCAGAGACGCTAACAAGCTTAGACCATGGTCACATGGCTGGGGAAGTCACGATCCAGAACCAATAGCTTCACAATCGGCGGTAGAAGGCATGCTCACGAGGTGCACCAAGGTGGATACATCGTGAGATTAGGGTAAGCGTTTTATGACATGTTTTTGCATTTACTGCTATATAGGGTCATAGGTCCACGTTTTCCGACAGCTTTCAACGCTGATCTACCCGACCCAAGCAACAATGAGATTTCCAACGCCATATACGAACGAACGAGATATCGCACAATTGATATTACAGTCGACACAATTTAGACAACGACATTCTCGCATTCTTTGCCGCTCCTACCGCCTATGTACGAGGATTCGGATCAACGAGTCCTATGGATGATGAGAAAAGCGCTCCAAAATGCAAAACCGTCCCAAGCTTTTGCGAACCCGCAGATCAGGAGTGACCGTCAATAAACGCCGAAACCAGAGTGGGGTTGCTCATAGAGCATTACAACACCAATCTATGGTATGAGGAAGGATGAGGAAAGAATAAAGATGTTGAGGAACGCCATAATGGGACCCAATGTACGCCGATGGAAAAGACATGCAAGAAAGCCAACAGGAAGATGCTGCAAAGGAGCCGTCCGGATTATGCTGGATGAAACGATCGTCTCTAACAAGACGTCGCGAGGAACGCTAATCGCTAGCCCACAACGTTTCGTACCGTAGTGAAGAAGATTCGTGAGCGCTCAGTTGCCGGCAGACCAGGAACATCCGCTCCACTCGTCCATCAGTCAGGTCGTAAGCGTACTTCGTGTCCAAAGAGATTCGTTACGCGGGAAAAGCAAGTATTCCGCAATTTCAGGTAATGCAGTGACTTCTTAAACGCAAGCCTGGGGTGTATGGCTACGCTCGATGAAGACGCCGCTTGGCATACTGTAGCCGTACTGATATTGAGGGGTGTATTGATCCTCGGGTGAGTAGCCGGTAAGAGGCCCAGACGAGGGTTGATGAGAGACAAAGGGTGATGAGCTTCGAGGGGTGACAAGGTCACTCGCGCCGTCAACCATGAGGGGCATGGCAGGCGATGGAGGACTGCTTGTAGCCGAAGACTGATTGCTTCCAGTAGTGTGGGTGAGCACGTAATCCTGGGCTCCGTCGCCATGTGCGTTCTTTGTCGAAGGCGTAGTGACGTTAGGAGAAGTTTTACCAGTGGGTGTGCCAAACTGGATGCGAGTCAGTTTCCGTCTAGGCCAAGCTACCAGGGTGCTGAGGTGGAGGTTGAGAACGTACAAAGCAGAACTTCTGGATCAACTCGTTGTACTCGGCAGACTCAAGATCGGGCTTCTCAAGCGTCAGAGAGTCGGGGCGAGTACCAGGGATAGGGGCAGTAGAAGCAGGCGCCTTGACAGCGGGGGCCGGGCGGTCGAAGTAACCGTTGTTCATCTTGCCGTGGGTGTTTACCTTGAGTCCGCTGCGGTCACCAAGTGCCGTCTGGGCAGTGGAAAGAGCAGCCGACAGGGAGGCACCGAAGTCGTAGCGAGAGGCAAAAGCCTGAGCGACTTGTGGACGAGATGAGGTCTGGGCTGTGTAGATGCTGCTACGCTTACTCCTAGGCTTAAGCTTGATCGACGAGTTGGGTGATTCAGCAATGATGGCACGGCCGCTACCAAACTGAAACCTGGTCTCGTTGTCGTGACCAAAGTCGTCGTCGAAAGAAGCAGCAGGCATGGAACGTGGGCGAGGAGCCAAAGGTGAGTGTCGGCTACGAGGAACAGCGCCGAGACTGGCAGTCGGGCGCTTGCTCTCACGCTGCTTGATCTTCTTTGAGAAGTCAACCTGGTAGTTCATCGAGTTGTTGTTGTCCCAGTACTCTTGGCCGTTAACCTGGTACCGAACACACAGTAGCAGAGTCTTGGATTCGAGGTTTGCCTGGTCAGCCAACTTGATATTGAAGTTGAATCGGTCGTAACCGTCCTCCTTCTGCTTCTTGCGAACATCCTGGTTGAACTCAGCAACCACCTCCGAGGTGGTCTTCCAGTAGTCTAATGTGAATCGAGCCACAACAAATTTGTGGAAGGAGAGGTTGGCTACTGCGATGTTGCCGACCAGCGTCTGGTGATCGGAGGCAAGGAAGATTCGCTCCACGCGAACAGGTGCTGTTTGCCTCTCATATGTCTCTTGTGTAGGGAAGTTCATCAGCTTGATCTCCCATTCAGGTGTCTTGGAGCGCGAGTCTTCGCCGAAGGGATACTCGCTTTCACTGTCGTAAGTCTCAACGGGGGATGAGCCTGCACTGACAGCGATGGGCCGATCAACCTGGAGGAAATGCCTAACCTGCTCAATGTCCTCGTTGAAGTGGACTGCTTTGGAGTAGGTTGGGGTACCAGGCATGCTTGAAGGGCGGCGGCGGGACGGGGGTCGAAGAGCAGGCTTGACGAGCTCGCCAGACTTCTTGCGCAGTAGCGGCGGTTTTATCCGCAGCTCCTCGTCCTCGGCATCGCTGCCATCTGATGAGCTGATGATTGTTTCAGTGTTGATGGGATGGATCATGTGTTGTGAAAGCATAATCTCGCTAGAGGACCGCGAGTGTGCAATCTTGCGTGCTTCGGCGGATAGTGTGTGCGCCACAGTGACAGGAGGTTGTGGCCTTGCCTGCTTTACGTTCTCCGTTGTTTCGCGAGTAGGCGAAGGTATCCGTTTCTGGTCAATGTGCTGGAGTGCCTGTTGGAGTTCACGTAGGTCTCCGATGCTTCGACCGCGCTCTTCATCGTCCGAGGAATCAGGAGGAGTCGTGATCGCACCTGACGGAATCAGAAGATCGTTCACAGGAGGAGGAGACGGACGGAGGCTACCATTAGTTGAAGGTCCATGGCGGCTAGCGTCAGACTTGATGTCTACGCTTCCAGTTCCTTGTTGGCCGTTTGCGGCGGTGTTGTCGTTGGTGACAGAGGACGGCGACCGACGCGACTTGGCCAGGTATGAGGTTGATGAGACGGAGCGGGGCAGCGAGGGGCGTTGCGATGTGGCTGGCGAGCGGGGAGCCTGGTCGACATAGGAGTGGTTCCGGCTCAGGGTGGGACTGTTAGTCTTGGATGAGGCCGGCGACCGCTGGGAAGGGGGAGTGTAAGGCATTCGGTCGGCTTCGCGGGGGAGCGGGTCGAATGTGTGGTGGTGGAGTGGCTTCAATGTGTAGAGAGCATTAAAAGAATTACTGTAACGAGGAGTCTGCGAAGAAACGTAAGCGAGAGCACCACAACGAAGAGACTGACAGAGTCCCGTGCCACAGCAGCTTGATGCGATGCGAGCCACTGGATGTAGTCGTGGGGCGGGCTAGCTTACAGATATAGGTGAAGGAACGGCTTGCAAAGCTCGCTCTGGGAAGAAGCGGGTAGGGAAGGTTGCGACGTAGGCGGTCACAGCTAGCAAAAGCTGCAATGACGTCGGAATTGGCGGATGGGCTCGATCTGGGAGAGAATCGAGACGATGGTGAGGCTTTCGAAGGACCGAAAGTGTGCAGTATGGATGCGAGGCCGGTGGCTTCCGTATAAGCAAGCAGCGGGCGCTCGTACGATATAGCACTGGGAAGGAACCGTGGGCGAGGCGGTGGTGGAGTGAAGAGGCAGATGGGCCGTGTGTCAAACCAAGATGCACTCGTTGGCTGCAGCAGTCCTATTAAAAGGGTCTTCTGGCTGCAATGGGCCCGACAAGTGTTGAAGAGGAGGGATGGAGAAGAGTGTTGAGGGCGGTAGCGCTGAAGAAGCGTGCAGGGCCGCGACTATTGGGGAATCGTTGAACCAGGATGGTAGCGAAATCGAGGCCTCAAGCTTGGACGCAGGCAGGGGGGGCAGACCAGGAGCTGCAGCACCAATGCACAGGTGGGTCAAGGCCTTTTAGCTCAACCCCAACAGACCGGGGCACCACCAAGGATTTTCACCACGCAGCCAAGCGGCAGCAACCGGTTCTGACTACTGCTGCGAGAGGCCAACGGGAGCGGAGACAGGCGGTGCGTCGTACGCTGGGGGGGCGAAGAGAGGCAGGCCGACGGCGGCGGCTGCGACAAGAGGTACTTTGGGGTACGCCGACTACCTGGACTGCCTGGACTGCCTGGACTACCTGACTGTGCTATCGTATTGTAGTGGCGTCCAGGCGGGATTAGCAGATGATTCATGTTCTTTATCTCCCGACAACAAGCGAACGCGGCCTTGTCTGGCTGGCGCTGGCACGGCCACAGCTCGAAACGGTGCAACAGCGCGCTGCTGTTCTGCTCACCCACGCGTAGGCGGCCGGCTCTATTACTCACTCGCTGTCGCAGCCATATCGTACATGTCCGCCGCTGTTCGCTCGGATGCCGATGCCGCGCACCTTCTCTCTACTCTACTGCATCAACCCAGCAAGTAGACATGGCCTGACAACAATAACAACAAGGCCGAGCAAACAGCCGTGGTGAACATCGTATTCAGCACTCGCAACTCAATCACTCGATCTGAGGTCAAACCGCATCGGCTCGGATGGGTTCGTAATTTGCCAGCCGTTGCCAGGCAATCGCTGGTCTCAGAAGCAAGCAACAACGCTCAAGCCATGCGAACAGGGCCCTCAGCGACATTGCGTGCACGTGCCATGTTCAAGCGAGGCTGTGATGTCATTGTTATCGCAACGAACCGTTTAACTTGCAAACGCTCGTCATTCCCACGCTTTCTACACATTCCAACGCTGCAATGCCGCAAAATCCCCAGGAGAAGCACGTCGCGGTACCTGAAGCCATCGGAGCGATAAGGGTGCGGCTTGACAATCCGCCCGCCCTCCCATGAAAATTTCCCCTCCGCGACGCTCAACACAGCGAGATCGCCGGTGCCGCTTGCCGTTTGAGAAAGGGCGGTCGGGCCAATGCCAATCAAATATCGCAGGAGAAGGGGAGGCCTAGTCGCCATCCCAGTCGCAGTTCACTGGCCCCTGCGGCGAGTGGCTGACTGCAAGCGACCTCTCATGATATCTCTGTAAGCATTGTTGTTGTTACGATTGCCTCGCCGTCCACCGTGCTCTGCTGCAGCCCATGGGACTACATCAGTACCCCATCTTCGTCATCTTGACAAC